TTATACAAATGATTTTTATTTCATTATTTTTTTATTAAAATTGATAAAACTTAAAGTGTAAGGATAAATTTTATCATTGATTCCATTATTTTTTTTTCAATAATTAACGAAAACAGAATTTTAATGATAAAATTAAATGAAATTGGAAGTATAATGATTAAATTTAACAAAATTGAAATAAAATATCAAAATTCAATATTGATCCATAATACAATTTATATTCTCTACTTAATTAACCATTATATATATATATATGTTTTTGTCATTCAAAGGGTAAAACCTTACATTAAGAGAAAAAAAAAATGTTGAGATTCAAATTCTGATGTTGATATGTTTTTTAAGTTTATTTTGATTATTAGATCAAGTAATTAAAAATTATTATATATATATGATTTGATGTTTCATTGAATCAAAATAAATGGCACGCACGCAGGGGCTCAGCCATACCTATAAATAAATATTTATATTTATAAAATATTCGAATTAAATTAAAGAAATTTAATTTAACTTAATTATTGTGGAGTTTGAATTAAAATAATTTAAATTATCAAATGAGTTAATTTTAAATATTTTAATATTTAATTCAAATAATTCGTTAATTTAATTAAAATTTTTATTTAAATATATACCATGATATTTTCTATTAAATATAATGTCATATATTATATTCTAATTTTTTATTTTATTTTTATTTCATAATGACATTTTCTTCTACATATAATATTACTATTATATTTTTCAATTGATTTTGGTTTTGTTTAATTTCTTTTGAATTATAAAATATTTTGTGATAGAATATTATAATGAATATTTTTAATTGACCTAAAATTTGAATTATAGACTTACTCCTAAATAAGAAATATAGATAAATTGTTTTAATTGAAAAATTTTGATGATAAAGTGGAGTGAGAAATTTGTCCCATAACAGTGCAGATGTGGGGAAAAATCCAATCAAAGGCCCAACCCCAGAAAATAAAATGGAAAATGAATGTCCTCCAGTCCAGTCCACGTGGTTTGTTCCTCCACTGTGATTGGTGGTATGGCGCGAACGCAAAAAATTGACGCGACAAGAACAGGATTGGTCCACGTCATGACTTTTATGTTCATTCTTCTAAAGAATCAAAATAAATACCCAAAACCCAAATGGCGAAGAAGACAAACTCGTTCGTCCCTTCGTCATCAAGAAAACAGAGTTTAGTAGAAGTAGAAGTTGATTAAATTTGGAGGCAAACTCAAGTACTTTTCCTCCGACTTTATCCATGATGATTTTTCTCTTTTTCGCTTTTAATTTTTAACAACAATCCTCTTCCTCGGTAAATAGCTAGTACAGTAATAGATTTCAACTTTCCTTTCTTTTTTTTTTTAATTTGGGTAATTATGGAGGGTGATCTGGACATGACCGGGGAAACCAATTGGGATAGCCTCTTGCTTGAGCTTGACTTAACCGATTTTGACAGTATCTTAGAAAATTCTAGTAATGAACCTGAAACAGTAACAAAACCGTCTCAGCCTTTGTCCACCCCAACTTCCCATGAAGATGCGGTGGTGTCTTCCTGGATCGGGGGAGATGGAGAAGGTTTTGATGGAGGACGATCATTTTGATGACAGGTTTGAGATTCAACCTGCCTCTGATGATTTTTTGGCCGATATACTGGTTGATTCACCTCTTAGTGGCAGCGCCAGCGGTGAGGTCATCGATGATTCTGCTGCTACCCGCACCAACATCGATAATGATGATCCCATTGCTAAGAAACAGAGAAGGTATTTATTGCTCTTTTCCCAATTTATCATCTTTTACTAATGGATATGGTTTATTAATGTCATTTCCATTCTTTTAAAAACTAAATTAGTAATATATTTTTTATTTGCCATTTCTTATTGTATGTCTAAGTCTAACTAATTGAAGATAATATATTAATTGATGTGGTTTTTTTAGGCAATTGAGAAATAGAGATGCGGCTGTAAGATCAAGGGAGAGAAAGAAGATGTATGTCAGGGATCTGGAGATGAATAGCAGGTATTTAGAAGTGGAATGTAGGAGACTGGTCCGCATGCTCCAGTTCTTCATTGCAGAGAACCAAGCTCTTCGTCTTACTTTGTATAAGGGTTATGCATTTGATGCATCCTCGGCCAAACAGGAGTCTGCTGTGCTCTTGTTGGGTATGATACGATTCACAATACCTTACTTCTATTTATATTATAATAAGAAGAAAGTAGTCTTCTTGTCTTCACAAATGTATTCTGGTTTACACCGTGTTTGGTAGGAAGAAATAGAAAGAATGGAGAAAAATGAGTAGATTTGTATCTTTCTTTTCTCTCCAAATCCAATTCTTACTGATGTGAGAGAAAAACACTCTTCAACCTAAATTAACAATTTTGTTCACAGTTATATCTCTAATCTCTTTTTTTTTTTTCCTCTATTTTCTATCCTTTGTACCAAACACAACAGGAAAAAAAATAATAAAAACTTCCTTTCCTCTTTTTTTTTTGGTCACATTTTTCTGTGCCTTTCATTTTCCTTCTTTCCTACCGAATATAGTGTAATTTTCTAATTCGAACACATGATGGGCTTGGGATATTTTCACCCTTCCCTCGTTAGCTGATGCTCGATTAGTTTTTATTTTATTTTATTAATCGTAGATGTATTTCAATGTACTTTATGCTTGCGTTAAAAATCAAGGAACTAAAACTAAATGAAAAGGAGTACTAGCATAGTGAATCACTTGTTCATGAGGCTTTGATTTAGTGACAAGGAGAAGGTCTTAGAACTTTGAGGTCTTAAGTTCAAATCTCACTGTGTGTGTTTAATTCAACTTTAGGTTGAAATTGTCTAGTTATATTCTAGTTTGTTTGATTATTTAATGATTATAGATGTAAGTAATTTTTTATTATGATTGTATCTTATAGTTGTAAGTTCGAAAAAAGTAATGCGCACAATTGGTTTCATTTTAACTTTAAAGTTTTTTCTACTACGTGCATAAACCTATTAATGGAGAAGTATAGATTTCAAAAGGAGAGTTGTTTTTTGGCCAAATATACTTCTTATCCATTAAAGATTAAAGGCTTAATGAACTTCGCTGGCCTTGGAGAATCTTGATGCTTTTTGTATTCTTGTTGCTTATTATGATAGCGTGGCTATGTATGATGGTTTAATCTTTTAGGTATGTTTAGTAGTTTTTATCTTTGTTGCTTTGCAGAATCCCTGCTGTTGTGTTCTCTGCTTTGGTTCCTGGGCATCATATGCCTGTTCACCCTGCCAATACTGCCCAACTCTCTTCTGGAGTTAGTTCCACCTGAAGACGAGGAAAGGATAGGTCCAGAAAGAGTGGCCCCAAGCGGGGCAGGAAGTAGCTTGGTGGGACATTCTTTTGCGAAGGAGATGCAGGGCATCGAGGACAAAGATGAAAGACTTTCGTCTTGTTAGAATTTTAGCAAGGGATTTGTTCATTTGTCTCCTCGATTTAGGTTAGGGGGATGATGAGCAGGTTTAATACAAAATTGCTGTTGGTGTGGTTCATATCGAGTTATTTTGTGACCCTGTAGTTGAATAAACAATAAGCACTCTTGGTCTTTGTTTTTGCCTTAAAAACTCTTCTATTGGCGTTTAGTGTGTTTGCATAAGTTAGAACTATAGAAATATTAATTTATGAATTGCCGCAGTTTCTTACTTTATGATTATAGAAGTCCAGTCCAAAGCCATTTTGTCCCAAATGGAATGTTAAGGTTGAATTTCAACTGAACTTGTTCGCTGTAAGAGCGCAAAAACATTGGAAGTGGAGGATTATGCTGCACGGGGAAGAACATGTAGACAAGCAGGTGAGGAGATAAGGTCTTGTGGTTTGCCGTGCGACGGGCGGGCAGAGATTGAGCACTGACTAGAAGTGAGAACTGACAAGTTACAGGATTGCCAAGCAGAAATAGATAAAGAATGGAGACAGGAAAGGGTCATTGGGCAATGGCAAATGGGGCCACCTGATTTTTGCGGATGTCGTTTTGGGGCATAGCTGGTTTCAGGAGGCGATGAATAAAAAGTACATTTAGGATCTAGTTTTGTAAGTGGTATTGGCTTGAGGATATGTACGTCTACTTTACAAGTCATTAACCTCTCGCGGGCGTCTGCTCTAAGATTAAAAATTAGCTGATGATGATTCGTGGAGGGTTTTATCCTTTTCTTGGTTTAGGTTGGAATTATTTGGAAGAGGCAGTGGTTTTTGCTGTAGAGACATTGGAATTTCTCAAAACCATTTGCCTCGACCCTCGGAAATATTAGTTAATATTCATGCGTGAGTAACACTGTGGGCTGCAGGAGATGGCCAGGGCACGCAACAATTAAAAATAGAAAAAGGGCCAATGAGAGTGAAGAGGGGGAAAATAAAAGGTGAAAACATGTCTGCAGTTGGCACTTGGCAATGGAGCGGGCGTTAGGTGGATAAGACTTGAGAAATACAGGCGTGTGGTAGCTTGGCCCTCGTTTGGTGAACGAGGGAGGCAGTGGGCTTCTAAGAATTTACAAAAATGTCCTTTTATTTTATTTTGGGTTTTGTGATAAAGAATATCCTTAAAACTTGTTAAGCATATTCCAAGCGAATTAATTTAGATTTTTGACTGTCTTCATTTTTAAAGTTTAGATCAATGTCTTGACAGAAAGGATTGTATAAACTATAATCATGAAATGGTAAAAATACTTCGATTTTAGTAGTAGTAGTATTTGATTTCATAATATGATGATGGGTGGGAGCTCAATTCCAACCTTATTATTATTATTATTGTAAGTAAAGGGAAATGTAAAAATTCCTATAGAGGTTTTGGAGTCATGGGTTGCGGCCGGCCGCCGCCCATGGTAATTCTTAATTTGTCACCAGTAATAATGAAAAAAATAGTATGCAGTTGATGCCTCCTAATTATTTTATTCTAGAGATGCAAATTAGGGGAAAGAAGCGGTGGCAGTAGCGTAATTAAAAATCAAAAGGGCTAGGCGAAAAAAGATTGAAGAAGTTGGTTTCGCGCTGTCAGTCTCTCTCATAGTCTGAGATTTAATAGGCCAAGGAAAACACCCCCAAACCAAACGCTATTCATACTCATATCTACCTTGGTCTTTACTCTTTACCCACCAAACCAAGAAGAGCAAGAGTAAAAACTACTGCCCTATTTGCTATTGCTGCTACCGATTAAATCAAATCACCAAAAACAAAGAAAGAAACAAAATGGACTCTGATTTCGGCATTCCCAGAGAACTTTCCGATCTTCAGAAGCTCCGATGTCAATACCAGCCAGAACTCCCTCCTTGCCTTGAGGTCTCCCTCCCTCTTCTGTTGCTTAATTTCCTCACGTCATTCCTTTGCTGCTTGCTTACAACTTTATAATCTATCGTTGGTCTTATATGTATATATGTTGAAAGTTCTCTGTTTATATCGCCAAAACTCTCCTCTTCTTTGCTATTGCTATTGCTATTGCTATTGCTTTTGCTAATCGGAAATCACGATTCACGCATCGCATCTTTCTAATCTATTATTTCTAGTATTTCCACCATTGAAATATCTGTTCTCCCTCATATTCATATCATTGTCATGTAGTATTTTTTTTCCTTTTTTATGGAAGTCATATAGTATTTCATTTCATATACTTATACAGTTACTGGTATACCCCTCAAGTTATTATACCTGTGCTGTACTGATGCTTAATGTGAAGACCCTCGTGACTCGTGCGCATGCAATTCTTTCTGGGACCAAAACCAACACTACTACTTACCATGCTTTTGCTGCCAACTAACACTTTTATTCATTCCTTTTAGGGTTACCATGTCTGTTTCCTTATACTCGTTTGCATTGCATCTCCATTTGAGCTGCTAGAGTCTACACGGTCACTTGCTTTCATTCTCTTTGCCTCTGCGCTTTGTTTCCTGTAATTTCAATATCATATACATAGATTACATGACTCACTATTCATTTGATGCTTCAGGGAACTACTGTCAGAGTTGAGTTTGGTGATGCCACTACAGCTTTGGACCCAACTGATTCTCACACCATTAGCCGTGCTTTTCCACACACTTATGGCCAGCCTTTGGCTCACTTTCTCAGGGCAACTGCAAAAGTACCTGATGCTCAGATTATAACAGAGCATCCAGCTATTAGGTGCTCATCATATCACACCATGATTTTTTTCCCTTCTACTTTTTGGGACATTTTAAAACCAATTGTCTCTGCTTGTTTCATCATTTTCTTCCTCCTTTCACCTTTTTGTGAAATTATTGGCATTAATTCATGGTTGCATGCCTTATTATTAAAAACATTTCCTGTTTGTTTAATGCCCAAACATTCTTGCATAACAGGGTAGGACTTGTCTTTTGTGGGAGACAATCCCCCGGTGGGCATAATGTCATATGGGGCCTTCACAAAGCTCTCAAAATCCACAACCCTAACAGCACTTTGCTTGGCTTTTTGGGTAAGCTGCATTCTCTATTTAAAGATGTTGTACCACCGGTGCCATAAGGCACATACAAGTACACACTCTCAAAATACATACATAATTATAAATACATTTTACACACTTACACGTCTATAAATAAATAGCCGCAGACCTATGAACTTATATGTATCTGTTCAAGAGATACTCTTTCTATTATATATTGATACTATATTGTGGTTATTTTCCTTGTATATTCCACTTGTGATGTGCTTTGCTTTTTTTTTTTTTTAATTTTGTCCATTATTCTATTAGAATACAAGTGTATGCTTTTGCTTGCTATACTCTGTGACAAGTGATTCTTTTTCTGGTTCTGCTAACAGGCGGCACTCAAGGTTTATTTGCACAGAAAACTCTAGAGATCACAGATGATGTTCTCTCAACCTACAAAAACCAAGGTAGGTGCTTTCATGAGGCAATATTATGTCAAAGTGTTTGGATTTCATATGGCTCCGTAATCTAACATGCTTTGATATTTGTTTGCTTGACAAGGTGGTTATGATCTGCTGGGACGAACACAAGATCAAATTAGAACGACTGAGCAAGTTAATGCTGCACTTACTGCATGCAATGATTTGAAGTTGGATGGCCTTGTCATTATTGGAGGTGAATTTAATTATCAAGATATTGTAAACATGTTATCATAAATAACTAGAAGTTTCTAATTAAGAGTTATGTTTGCCTTGTAGGTGTAACATCAAATGCTGATGCTGCTCAACTTGCTGAAACATTTGTTGAAGCTAAATGCCCAACAAAGGTAACTTGCATGACAAGATTCTCTTTACCATTATGGTTATTTAGGTGATTCTACCTGTTTTAATTGGGGGTTTGCCACAGTACCTTGAATCGCATCTAATTTCTGCAGGTGGTTGGTGTTCCTGTTACACTGAATGGAGATCTCAAGAATCAATTTGTGGAAACTAATGTTGGCTTTGATACAATATGCAAGGTATCAATCTTAAATGTTTAGTAGTTTACGTTGCAGTAGTAGTTCAAGAAAATTTAAGGAGAAAACATCACCTTTACTGAAAAAGAAGAAAACCGGAGAACTATCGACTTCTGCTATTTGCAGTTTATGGATGTGGCATGAAATGACTGTGAGCACATTGGGGAATGGTAACTTGGGCATAGAGCACTATTGCCATTGATATGGGATTATTTTATGTCTTGCTTTTATCTTTTATATTATGCCATGCCTGATGTGCTCCGTGGTATTTTGGTATGGTGTTTTGTACCTATTCTGTTCAATTACATGCAGGTCAATTCTCAGCTCATCAGCAACGTCTGCACTGATGCTCTCTCTGCAGAGAAGGTATGTTTTTTATATCCTAAGATAGTATCTCCTGGGTGAGTGGTCACATCAATCTCTGTTGGCATGAGGGCATTCAAGTCCTGAAAGAAACCGGTAAGAGCAGTAGACTAGTCTGGTTATAGCGTTCTGTTGCCTTACCCTAGCTTCTTTTCTTTTTCAGTACTATTACTTTATCCGTCTTATGGGAAGGAAGGCATCGCACGTTGCACTGGAATGCACCCTCCAGTCTCATCCAAACATGGTCAGTGTCTGTTTGCTAGTTCTAATTTTTAGTTACAGATAGCATCGGAAAGATGTTTATTTTTCACTTCTTAACATTTGATATATATTTAACAGGTAATTCTTGGTGAAGAGGTGGCTGCATCAAAGCTAACTCTTTTTGACATAACAAAGCAAATTTGTGATGCAGTTCAAGCCAGGGCAGAGCAAGGTCAGATATTTCAATTTGCTTTTATTTCGTGTTAGCATGAGCTTGTTTGTCACTGTTGTTTCATGACATTGTGTGTTTGGACCAGACAAGAACCATGGGGTCATCCTTCTGCCTGAAGGGCTTATAGAAAGCATTCCTGAAGTGTATGCACTGTTGAAGGTAACTAATATTAAGCAGTGACTCTTCTCTAATTCCCTTCACATCCCTCTTACTCTCAAGGGAAGGGGTTTCTTTTTATTTGAAGCCTCAATGTCACATTAACCTATGCTTATATTGATGATGTTTACTGTAGGAAATTCATGGTTTGCTCAGGCAAGGTGTATCTGCTGAAAATATTTCTTCTCAACTTTCACCTTGGGCATCTGCTTTGTTTGAATTTTTGCCACCTTTTATAAGGAAAGAGGTGCTGGTTCTAATTTCCTTTACTTCTTAGTGTTTAACAATGTGTATACCAGTTAATGAGCGTCATGAGTGATGATGCCATGTTCAATGTCGCAGCTTCTACTCTATCCTGAATCAGATGATTCTGCACAGTTGTCGCAGGTCACTAGCTTGCGACATAATTACTTTCTTATTACGAGAAGAATCTATCGAATCTTTCGAATAACTGATATCTGTTCTGCCTTCTACTCCAGATTGAGACAGAGAAACTTCTGGCGCACCTTGTAGAGAATGACATGAGTAAGCGCCAGGTAGGCAATAGTATTCCCCTTTAGTTTTATACCCCCCCTCTTTCTTTTTTCTTGTTGACACTGAACTAAACTTATGAAAACATTAAATGAGCGAACTAAAAAGAAAAACCATTACTCATCCCTAAGCGAGCACTTTCCAGATAAAAAGTTTTTTTCTGTCTGTCTCCCAGCATTTTCCAGACAACTCTTCCCCATTTAATCGTTTTAGTGCTCGTTTGATTGTTGGTTCTGCTTTTTGGTATTTGTTCCTTGTTTTCAGTTCATTTTTCATTTTTTTACTATAAAAAGCAAAAACACCAATTAAATGTACCCTTAGTGGGTTAGCAATTACAAGGGGAAGAAATTTAATGCTATCTGCCACTTCTTTACTCACTGATGTTCCTGTTGTTGTGAGCAGAAAGCAGGTACTTACAAGGGGAAAAAATTTAATGCTATCTGCCACTTCTTCGGCTATCAGGCTCGTGGATCCTTGCCATCAAAATTTGACTGTGACTATGCTTATGTGTGTTATCATTAAAGCGATGTTACATCTCCTTTGCCTTATGTTTATATTCTCTTTTTATTATTAATGATACATTTTCACAGGTTCTTGGACATATCTGCTATCATATTCTTGCTGCTGGTTTAAATGGTTACATGGCAACTGTAACTAACCTAAAGAATCCAGTTAACAAATGGCGCTGTGGTGCTGCACCTATAACAGTTGAGTTTTTTTTTTTTGTTTACTATAGTCCATGAAATGGGCATCAAAATATGAAAGCTTTTAATCACCATTTCCTTTCCCTTGCTGGGAGCACCATTCCCTCTTATATGCTACTCTTTTTTTTTTTTTCCTATGATGCTTTTCTTTGGTGCTTTCTTATAGGCAGTAGGCACCCACCCATTTTGTTTCCTTACATATATACTCTTTAAGGCTTGACTTTGATTGCATTTGGTAAACCTTAGGCAATGATGACTGTGAAGCGCTGGTCTCAAAATCCCAATGCCTCATCAATTGGAAAACCTGCTATTCATCCAGCTACTGTGGATTTGAAAGGCAAAGCATACGAGTAAGTGTCATTGTTTAAGATGTAAGTGAAGCAGTGGGGATTCTAGGTTTACAGGCACTCATTTTAATATGTGTATGGCTATGGCTGCAGGATGCTGAGACAAAATGCAACGAGGTTTCTGCTGGATGATATCTACAGAAATCCAGGACCGCTTCAGTTTGATGGTCCCGGTGCTGATGCTAAGGCTGTGACCTTATGTGTTGAAGACCAGGATTACATGGGCCGTATCAAGAAACTACAGGAATATCTTGACAAGGTGCGTAGTTTTCTGTTGCCATTCATTCAGTCGTCATAATTGTTGTTTTACTTGTATGCCTGCATGTTTCATTCAACAGGTATTTATCTTTAATTATTTGTGCATGAAGTTATATATATTGCTTTTAGTGTGCGTTTCTGATTAATTGCAATTGCTATAGCAGTACCTTCCTCATAATATGTGCATATTTTTAGGTCCGTACCATTGTGAAGCCAGGGTGTTCTCAGGAAGTTCTGAAAGCAGCTTTAAGTGTAATGGCTTCTGTGACAGAGGTTCTCTCTGTGATGTCTTCATCTTCGTCAGCCGGACAGACAACTCTTTGATACTACAAGTTGCGAATACACCGGTCATTGTAATCGTGGTCTCATTATTGTTATTATTATTATTATTTTAAATATGCTATACTTTAGGCCTTAGGGGTGAACATTTTGTGATAAACTAATGGAGTTTCCCTCTTTCTTTTTCTTGTTTCCGAGAGATGATGATCGGAATTTTATCAGTTTTGTGTAGGGAATGATTATATATGGCAAGATATTGGCAACCATGGTTTATTGTGGCCTCGTAGACTTAAAGGTTATTATCATAAAAATAGCATCACTCGATGCGTCTGAGGATCTTTGATCTTGGGTGTTATGTTTTTTTGGTAGAGATGTTACATGCTAGGCCACAGTGCTCTCTCTCTCTCTCTCTCTCTCTCTCTCCATTATTATTATTATTATCATTATTATTCATCGTCATCATCATCATCGTCAAAGTTAAAACCATACTGATACTATTAATTACAGTTGAAAAGGAGGGAACGGGTAATTTAAGACAAGAAGAAAGTATCAAGGACAAGTAAGAATATATCCTTTTATCTATGTGCTTACTAATTGAATAAGTAATATAGCATAAATATAATTGCATAATTTTATTATAAAACCCAAAATCATGTTTAGAAATAGTAATTAAACTTTAAGCATTTTCAATTTGAAGTTTATGTATTTAAATAACGAAAAAAACAAATAAAATTTATGACTTATGGAGAATTACTTTACTTGATTTGATTTGGATAGCTTAAAAATTAAGCAATGAAAATGGTGAGCATACCTTAAATGTTCATTCCAATCAACCTGAGATGAGAAACACAAGCCGAATCGAGTGCATCGTATCGAAATATTACTATACAAATGGAATTATTATGTAACATTACCGGTGTCTTTTTTTTTTTTAAGAATATAACACCTCTTGTTACAAAATGTTTGCAACAAATGTTGTGATAAATAATAATTTTATGAAATAAGTAGTTATTTTATGGTTTTAGGGTTAAAATTTTCATTGAATTATAATTTAATAATTTTTAATTTTTTAATTTTTTTTTTTTACGATCAAATCAGTTAAACCCTTAATTTTTTATTTTAATTTAATTAAATCTTTAAATGAATGAAGTATAGTCACAAAATAAAATTTAATCAGTCAATCTTCAAATTACAATCAATTGATTAATTTTATAAATTAAAGTATCAAATAACTTTATTAATATATAATTAAATATATACCTTTATATATATATATATATATATATATATATATCTTGAAATGACATTCTAAACCTGCTATCACTTTGATATCGTTTCTTTAAAACAAATTTTGACTCATTTCTTGACTTAAAAGCATCATTCTCTATTAAATTGAGATGGATCAAAACTAGTCGAATAAAAATTGTTTTAGCATCTTTATGATTAATTAGCATATTTTATTACAAAATTTATCTAATTGAAAATTATAAAAATCGAAAGAAAAAAGTTAAATGGGATGCCATATGCCGCGAAGACACTTTCATTTACCTTTTTTTTTTCACAAAATTAATTTAATTAAAAATATTAAAACAAAAAAGGAAAGTAAAAAAATAAAAAACAAAAATAAAAAAATAAAAAACAAAAAAGAGAAAATGGAGCTCATTTGAATACTACATAAACATTCAAATTGAGTTTAAAATATAAATTTTTTAAATTAAGATATTAAATAATAAATTTATTAAATAAAATTTGGTAAAAATAATGATGAGGAAAAAAATAAACCAAAAAAGAAAAAAAGGGAAAAGAGATCATCAAGTGTTATATAGACATCCAAATTAAATTAAAATATTAATATCTTAAATTATATTACAAAATAATAATTTTATTAATATAATATATATAAATATAAAATTAAATAGATAATAATATATTTATATATACCATGAGGTGATTTGGAGTAAAGTTCTCTAAATCCTATTTTAATTCATCATTGCCTTCTTAAATTAAAAACCAATTTGATTTGACTCGTTATAAATTTTTAATAAAAATGATCGTATCAAATGGAGAAGGATCGAAACTTATCAAATATTGATTAATTTTTCATCATAATAAATTAATTCATTTTGTTATAAAATTTATCTAATAAAAAATTTTAAAAAATAAAAACAAAAAAAGAAATAAAATAAATGGGGTGCTATTTGAACATTATCTCTTACAATATTCATCTAATAAAAAAAAGTTGAAAAAAAAAAATTTCTTGCTATTGAACTGGGTTGTATCAAAATTTATCGGATACTATCTTTATTTCCTATCTCATTTTGTTACAAGATTTTATTAATTAAAAAAATAAAAAAAAACTAAATTATGGTGTCACATGGATATATATATATATATATATAGTTTCTTTTTTTACAAAATTTATCTAAATTTAAAAAAAAATAAAAACTTAAAAAATTGAAAAGTTATAAAAAATAAAGGAAAAAAAAAAGAGATATGAATGCTATACGACACTTTTAATGAGGATAAACAAAATAAAAATAAGTAAAATTTTTATAATAGATAGATATATTACATTTTAATTATGTGTAAATATGATATTTTTATTAAATTAAAATATTAAATAATAATTTTATTAATATATCATATATAAATATAAAAGTAAAAATATTTAAAACTATAATTTTAAATATACATCGAAATAGAATAAAGTACTTTAAACTTACCTCTATCTCAACTCTAATTAAAAAAAAAAAAAACCTCAACCTAGCTCAAATATTTTAAAAATTAGTACATATTAGATTGGACAATGAGATATAAATTATTTTGTTATATCTAAATCTATTTCTTTTATAAAATTTATCTAATATATATTTTTTAAAATAAAAGAAATGATAAAAAACTAAATAAATATATAATGTGAATTTATTAAATTAAAATATTAAATAATAATTTTATTAATGTAATACATATATAATTAAAATAAATAATAAAATATATATTTATATATATAGACGAAAAATGACAAAAAAATAAAAATCAGAATCATCCTATGATAATAAAGGAGAGGCCCGGACGCAAATATGGAAAATAAAGTGGGGGCGCCGGATACAGGAATTTGAAATTCAAAAAAGCAGAAAAGATCCGTTGGGCAACGGCTTTGTTATTATTATTATTTTAATTTGATTTCCTGATCGACGGTTATATTAATATAACTGAGTCAGTGATGAGATAATACAAGAAAAGATATCTCAAAAAGAGAGAAGTAGAGAGAAACGTTGAATTTTGAGAAAACCATCATCAATCAAAGAAGAAATGGAGAAGCAAGGGCAAGTGTCAGCAATGGAGGCATTCGAGAAGTTGGAGAAGGTGGGAGAGGGAACGTACGGAAAGGTGTATAGAGCAAGAGAGAGAGCGACTGGGAGAATCGTGGCCCTAAAGAAGACTCGTCTCCACGAGGACGATGAAGGCGTTCCTCCCACCACTCTCCGTGAGGTCTCCATCTTGCGCATGCTCTCTCGGGATCCCCATATTGTCAGGTCTTCTTCTTCTTCTTCTTCTTCTTCTTCTTGTAATTGTAATTTTTCCTTAATTCCATCTGCTAATTTAATTTAATTTAATGTATTCACGTTCAGATTGATGGATGTGAAACAAGGGCAAAACAAGCAAGGAAAGACGGTTCTCTACTTGGTCTTTGAGTACATGGACACTGATCTCAAGAAATTCATCCGCTCTTTTCGCCAATCTGGAGACCACATTCCTGTTAACACTGTCAAGGTCTCCCATCTTTTCCCTTCTTTTCTTTCTTTCTGTCACACAATTGCCATCTATCTATTAGAAGCAGAGTTGACATCTAATTTCTTGTTTTTCCATTTATGCGAATCATCTATGTCAAAAACAGAGCTTGATGTACCAACTATGCAAAGGTGTTGCTTTCTGCCACGGCCATGGAGTTTTACACAGGTTTGGTTTAATTAACCCTTCCTTTTCTTTACACCAATGAATCCCATTTCATTTCATGTTGAAATTTAATTCTTTCTTTTCCCTTGAATCTCAGGGACCTTAAGCCTCACAATCTCCTCATGGATAGAAAGACCATGACGCTTAAAATAGCTGATCTTGGCCTCGCTCGTGCTTTTACTCTTCCCATTAAGAAGTACACTCACGAGGTTACTCACATCACTTATACATATACACTCTTATTTTGCCATCACTACTAGTATTGGTACTAGCATCATTTATCTATTAATCTTATTTTATTAGCAAATGTTTTTCAGATATTGACACTCTGGTATAGAGCACCTGAAGTCCTTTTGGGGGCTACTCATTACTCAACTGCTGTGGATATGTGGTCTGTGGCCTGCATATTTGGTACTACTATGTATCTCTACATTGATTATTCACCTATCTTTTCTTTCTTCTTTTCTCATATTAATACTACTTGATCTGCTAAACAACCCCTTTATTCTAGCCGAGCTGGTCACCAAACAAGCCCTATTCCCTGGAGATTCTGAACTGCAGCAGCTTCTTCATATTTTCAGGTCTATTATGATGATGCCTCTCTGTCTCGCTACATCCCCTATTTTGGTGACTCATTTCTATTTTTCATTTTTAATAATTTCATCCGTGCAGGTTGTTGGGTACTCCAAATGAGCAAGTGTGGCCAGGAGTCAGCTCACTACCAAACTGGCATGAGTACCCCCAGTGGAGCCCTCAGAGTCTGTCATCAGTTGTTCCTGATCTGGATAGCGATGGGCTGCATCTCTTATCGGTAACTCTGGCTTTTTACCTCCTTATATCATAAAACTATTTCAAACCATCCTCTAATTCACAAACGGCTGATGATAGTTGAAATCATCTGTTGCTGCAGCAAATGTTGCAATATGATCCCTCAAAGCGTATTTCAGCCAAAAAAGCTATGGAACATCCTTACTTTGCCGATCTCAACAAGGCTTATCTTTGAACTGCACAGGGGGACAGGGAGATGCGTTGTAGAAACCTATCTGCTTCTCTCAAGCATCATAGTAGTAGTGTCTTCTGTGAGCTTTTGTGATTTGTTGCTTGCCGATATCAACAAGGCTTATCTTTGAACTGCACCGGGGGACAGGGAGATGCGTTGTAGAAACCTATCTGCTTCTCTCAAGCATCATAGTACTAGTGTCTTCTGTGAACTTTTGTGATTTGTTGCTTGCTGAAATATGTAGGAACCTTATCGGTTATCCCTCAAATTCTTTGTTTGCTGAAATTTACTTTTGAAGGTCTCATTCTCGTTCTCTGTTAACAGTAGGCATCCATAGCGTTAACATTTTGAGGCCCAAGACGGTTACAAATTGATGTGAATAAGAATCAATTGTAGTTTTTCTTTGAAAAAAAGAAAAAAAACGAAACATCAGTTTTTTATACATGTATTCATTGCTTAAATGCTAACAATTACAAATCAGTTCTTGACAAATCACCACACCTATATAGTCCACCAACAGCTTCTGTTAGCCCCATAAAAAATTGACCTTGTCCATGTCAGATGGTGGCGCTTTCCACTTTCCTTGCTCCCTGGGTCGTGTTTCTTTAGACTGTTGACCTCCCCGGAATTCCTCCAAATAACTGATAGCAAACCTGCTGTTGTATTAGCATTCCTCCATTCATTGTTTTTAACTTCCTACTATGCCAGATAGCCCACCAAGCAACTCCTTTTCAAAGTTGTTTTTGTCGATTAGTCCAACTATACTAGCCAGCCATCTCTCGTCTGTCTCGTGTTCCTGCCTTGTCCATACCCTGTCAATTCCAGCAGCGTCCCAAACTTCCCTTGCTTGGTATCTGAATCTCAGCATTCCAAAACTTTGGCCTGATATTGTTTCTTGCTATGCCATTATTTTGCTCATCTTGTTCTTAATCCCCTTGTGTTCCTATTTCTCTGCTAAGGAGGATTCCGTATGCACTCTTCACCGTGTAAGTCCCCTTTTTTTCAGCACTGCTCCACACTAAGTGGAATACTACATATCAGGTCCGCTTTTTCAGTAGTGAAAATACTATAGATCAACTCAGTTTTCCACTACTTGGTTCCATGCTCTATCAGCTATGCCACTAGTTGTGGCTGGTTATGGCTGGTTGTGGTTAACTGGAGAGGCCAAAATTGTATTATTTGAGAGCCATTTATCAAGCCATATCCTAGCCATATTCCGATCGTCAATTCGTCATCGCAGACCCGAATACGGGACATATCGAGCCATGTGAACGAAGGGTTTGAGCCAAGGGGGCATCTAAAAACGGTAAGTTGGGAAAGTGTTTTGCCCGCATCACCGTATATTGAAATGAGTCTTTATTTTTCAGCAGCCTCCATCCCTGCTTGCCTAGTACAGCTAAGTTGAAAAACTCAACATCACGAAACCCCAATCCTCCACTGCCTTTAGATAAACACAGCTTGTTCCACTTCATCCAATATTTACTTATTAAGCTATTTATTTCATTGCAAAGTCCCTTGGGAAAAAGGAAGCAATTCATGGCATATGCCGGGATGGATTGAAGCACCGATTTATTGAATATTTTCTTGCTACTTCAGAAAAACATTTCTTCAATTGCTGGCATGAAGGGCTTGGTTTTTCTGTTGTTGGGTTTGGTCCTGAAATAATAAAAACAACAAACAGGATGGATAAGAGAAGCGGCCCATATGGGGGGATATAAAAATGGGCTTGGAGAAGAGAGTGGTAGTGGGCAGTGGGGGAGGTTTTCTTATTGTAAAAAGAAAGGAAGAAGATGGGTCAAGCAGCGTAAGCCTTGCACTTGCAGTTTGAAGCTTCACTCGTATTTTACTTTGAGCAGACCGCCGGGGTTTTGCAATTTGCATTGCTCTCTTTGGATTTTTTACCATTTTTGTTGCAGTAATAATTCATTAAGAAGAAAAAAAAAAAAAAAGCCACCGGCGTTAAAAAAGGAAAGAGAACTGGATTTGGAGGCTTAGCTGGCAGAGCAGAAAAAATGGGAATTGGAATCCCAGGGAAGGGAGGTCAGGTGAGGTGTAATTGCCGGCCATGAACGATACTTTCTATGTTAGTCCGATAAGACGAGGCTGCTGCTGCTCTCTTTTATTGCAATTGCTATTCATTACCTCTTTCTTACCCAAAGCCCTAACGCTCCTCCGCTTCTTCTCTTCCACCCTCATCCTGCACCAGGCAAGTTTTTTCTTCAACCGACGCTTTACTTTAATTTTAATGTTATTAGGGCACACTAATATTGCTCTCTTCTTTCTTTTAACGTTTTTTCAAACCGCCCCTTTTTTTTCACTCATTTTCCATTTTAATGTCTTCTTCTCTTTCATATATATATATAAACGTTAAAATGTGATCTAATCCTCCTCTTTGGACTAGGAAAAAAACACAACAAAACGAAAGTTGCTCTTTTGAATTAGTGCTTTTGTTTGCTTTTTTTTTTTTTTTTAAGCCAACTGGGAGCTAGGGTTTGTTTTTTCTTACCAGGGTATATGCAAAAATTCTAGTAGCTATACTCAAGAAGATAACCTGCAGGATTTCACAACTGATCTTTTCGCACATCGCCTACCTTTACTGTCGTCTCTTGTTAACATATGCACTAATAGAACCTTTTTCTTAGACTGCAGTTTGCGTATAACCAAGATGGACGATACCGAAATGTTGAAACAGCAATTACCAAAGGCTTCCCAAGATAACCTTGTCGATGCTGCCGTCCAACATCAACTGTCGCCGCTCCCCACCCAGGTTAAAAATACCAATGAAGCAATTGCTGATAAGACTTTAACCTTGCCCACTGATGTTAATATGAGTCATAATCCAGCTTTGCCGGATAAACCTTATGACAAATCTTCCAATGATGCTAATACAAATTCTTGCGATGCTCCTCCTCCTGCTGAATCACTAGAGAAGAAAACCAATGGAGATGCTTCTCCTCTTCCTTCCTTTACACCTATATCTGGACCCAAAAGGGTGGAGAAATCAAAGAGTTGGTTGCTGGATCCTGAGGTACATAAAAATCCATCCAACCAATTGTGCATGGACATAAAAGCGTCTGTAATTCTATTTATCCATTTCATAACTCAATATTTTGTTGTTTGGGATATAGATGGGGGAGTCTGATGAAGCTGGAACACAGGAGGAGCAAGCAGCATTCATGAAGGAGCTGGAAAGTTTCTATAAGGATAGGTCGTTGGAATTCAAGCCCCCTAAGTTTTATGGAGAACCACTAAACTGCCTTAAGTGAGTTTTTAGTGATCATTTGATTTGGGTTCTTAGGTTATAAGTATGCTTTCTTTCACAATCTAATTTGTTCTTTGTGTGTGTGTGTGTGTGTGGGCATTGGATGTAGGTTGTGGAGAGCTGTTATTAAATTGGGTGGCTATGAAGTGGTATGCATGCATATTCTAGAACCCTTGATAGATGTTTTTTAATTTTTCTTTAAACCCTTAAATCACCCTTTGCTATTCGTATTTACTATGTTTTTCACGTAACAACCATTGGCAAGTCAGAGGTGATATGCAATCTGATTTTATTAATGTGTATAATAATGCACTCATTTTTTTTGTTTTGGAGGTTCAATCTTCTTGTCTAATACATGATCCTAGCTAACAGCTTTTGCATATATTAGGCCTCAATAAGTAAAAGATTACTAATGATCTGATTTTATTTACATGTAAAGTGGTTTGGATCTGTTACTTGTTTAGGAAGGTGAATAAGATTAAATAAATTCTAGCAAAGCCTTGTTTTAGTAATTAAAGACATACTAATTGCTAAGGCATTGTCAGTAACAAAACAATATGTTCTAACTTCGGGATTTAATTTGTTCGGTTTCTTTTTTTGCTCACTCTCTCTCTTTCTCTCTCTTCCACTAACAAAGTACAACACGTATTGAAGTCTCCCAAGTTGGAAATTTGAATGAACATGGCAACATGTATGTTGTAATTAAAGACATACTAATTGCTAAGGCATTGTCAGTAACAAAACTATATGTTCTAACTTTGGGATTTAATTTGTTTGGTTTCTTTTTTTGCTTACTCTCTCTCTCTTTCTCCCTCTTCCGCTAACGAAGGACAACATGTATTGAAGTCTCCAAAGTTGGAAATTTGAATGAACATGGCAACATGTATGTTATAATATATCTGGAGTTGCCCTTCTGCTATCAAATAATTGCTTCTATTTTGGGCACAAAATTGATGAGTTCACCTTTTTTCCTATATCTACAAATGCATTCTTTAGGATCTGATTTCAATGCTTTCCAAACAAGATTCCATATAATAATTAAAGTGCCTTTTCTTTCATGTTTTGGGCATCTTTTAATAACCATTACTGAATTAAGGAGGAAATAAGAATGGTAGTATAGATATGGTTAAATTAGGTGGTACCATTGAAAAATATAATCTTACTCTTTAACATATGAGATTTTCTCTTATATCCACAAAATATGTCAGTATTCATGGTTTGAAAGGTATGACATGAATCCAACAATAGGACCAGAGAATATGAAGAGACTCTCTCTCTCTCTTGTAATTTATTTGGTGATGCCAAGTCTGAGAATTTGGTTTTTTGTTTTATTGTAGTTGATAATAAGAGAAGGCAAGGGGAAAAGGAAATAGTGATTGGGAAAATATTGCATACATGTTTCTTTTATTGCCATATCCTCATTTTTCAAAAAATTACCACAATTGCAGAATCCTATTTGTCATATCCATGTTGTAATATATGAGCTTAAAAATGTTGCATGATAGAAGTGTTTTCAATTCACTTTCTTCTAAACCCCACTTTAATGGTGTATAATCACACTTTTTTGTAGTTCTATTCTATTGGGTTTTTACTGTGTGCTAGTGTGTATTATTTGTAATTTACTGAGTTTAATGTTTTAAAACATATTAGAGCAAGGAAACTGCTTTAATTATGATCCTCTATAAAGTGATTCTGTGATTCATGAGCAAGCATTTAATGATATGTGTAGATTATTGACTTCTGGAGAGGTATTAACTCTTTGTGTATATGATATATATGCTTATCCTCACAATTTGATGATAAACCAAATCCATATTTAATCTCCCAAATCCTTGTTTCCATATATAAGAGTTTTATGTCCTTTAGGATTACTTTTAGGTCAGTATTATGTATTTGTTGATTTTTTACAATATAACCTGGTTGTTATATGTTTTGCTCTAAATTCTTAGTCATGGCCTATGATATATGAATTTGTGAATATTTAAAGGTTGGCAAAAGATGAAGTTGGGTTTATGTGTTATCAGATTTATAATGCTTGTGTTGATAGTTTTCTTATGTGTCAAATTGTAAATTACCTGCTTTTCCACCATCAAAATATATGAAAAATTTTTACACTATGAATACTTATAGGTGACTGCATCGAAGTTGTGGCGGCAAGTGGGAGAGTCTTTCCACCCCCCGAAGTAAGGAGAATTATGGACAGTTCTTTGTTTTTTTCATTTTTTTTTTGGGTGCAAAATTATGTCTCAATCTTAATGGATACAAAGTACTTTAAAGGGGCATGCATTTTATGAAAGTTTTTTTGTCTCTTGATTGACCTTGGTGTCTCTTTCTTTCCTTCTCTCAGGACCTGCACAACTGTCTCTTGGACTTTCCGCATTTTTTATGAGAAGGTATGCATGTTTAGTTGGGACAATTAACTGGATTCCACATTGTGTGGACTGTGGGTCAAATGCATGTAACCTTACCCTTCTATGTGAAGATGCTGTTTCCATGACTTGGAATCGTGTAAGAAATAAATGATATATTGCACCTATAACATTCTTCCAGTGCCGGGAATGATATTGGGGGATTATTTGAGGCATTATCTTTGTAAAAGTTACATGTGTGCCTTGTGCTTTTTAAAATACCATGTTGTGCAGAGCAGTTGTTCAGAGAGAGTCTGTTCTTGTATCTATGTTGTGCAGAGCAGTTGTTCTGCCTGCCCCCTCCCCAGCACAGATCTTCAAACCATTAAAATGAAACTAGTGTAGTTTTTTTTTATAATCAGCATCATGGTGAAACAAGTGTTTTCCCAGACATGCTTGTCCAAACCAAACAACTATATAAACATGAGCAAAATGATAGCAGTGCCAGTATTTCTCCTTATTATCTGTTTGTCTGCATTATAGCGTAACAAGTCTTTTCCTGTCATGCTTAATAATCACCACCAAATAAATAAATAAAAAGGAAAGTTCATTGATTTACTCATTTTTTTTTTAAACAAAACCTGCGTGATTTCAGGCTGTGTTTCCTATTTCTGATCCTTGTATGGTTGTTCAGGCACTATTAGAGTATGAAAAGTATAAGAGGGAGAATGGTGAGATTCAACTTCCTGCTTCTTCGTTCCCTCATACAAGTGGTGAAAAGGAGGTAGGATTTTGTTCATATTTTACAACAGTGTGATGGTATCTGTTATGAATTTTCATCTTCCATTAAATATGCTGATGTGAACTGTGCTGAATTTCATACAAGTTAGCTAATTTTCATTTGAATGCTTATACTAATCTTTTGTTTCCTGTCACTATTTGTGGTAAAGCATTCACTTTCAATGTTTTTTGAGTTTCCCATGCAGTCAAGTGGCTACCTAGCCTCAGGGTCAGGCAGGGCACGCAGGGATGCTGCAGCCCGTGCCATGCAGGGTTGGCATGCTCAACGTTCTGTTGGATATGGTGAGATTACCGAGCCCATTATTAAGGTCTGTTGAATATCTAAACCTTGTTATCATCTGTAATTTTCTATATTGTGGTATTCCTGTTTTTAGAGCATTTTTTTATGCAAAATTCAAAGTGATACAAGATTTAATTTTATTTAAAAATAACTCCCCTGGACAGGATAAGAGCTTGAGTTCTACTTCGAAGCGTGAAAAACATCTCAAACACATTGGTATGCTGCTATATGTAGAGATCTCTCCCTACCATGTACCTATGCTGCCATGAATTCTCAAATTGTTTTTGGTTTCTTTGCCAGGTTTGCACAAGCAGAAGACACTAAGCATGGAGCTTGCTGAGAAATCTGCACATGAACCAGATAAGCAGTTAATATTTGTCGATCCCTTAGCTATAAGATAAATTTTTTGGGGGTTTCCTTCTATCCAAACTTATTTACATTCTACTTAATCTTAACTTTAAATTGAAGATGCAAACAAGATTTTGTTGAATTAATTTATTAATGATTCTCCTGTCTGAAAAATAAATTTATGAATGATTTACAGTGGCATAATTGGAACAGTTAAAAGAACCACATTCTTGATATATTCGTGTTGCACTCTTTGCTTCTAGGAACACCTTGAAAAAATGAGTCAGTGCAAGCCCATCAATAGAAGCATGCCCCTAATTTAAATGGCCAAAGTCACTTTAAATGTACCAATATTTTTCTTCCTTAGCTGTAGAAGGTTCAAGTACCCATTCTGAATTTGGACACATTTAATTCTTTGTGGATGTTTCTCATCCTTTAGGAAGGCCATAGTCAAACATTAGCCCTATCCCATCATGGTTATGGGATGATAATTATACTTGATGTCTCTACCATAAAATGGAAAGTGGAGGGATGTTGGGCCCAGGAAAAAGTGAAAAAATCTTAAACATGCTCAAAAGAACCTGATTGCTGTTTTGTTCTATTCGCTGACCAATGCAAATTTTTATGCTTTAGACTAATCACAGAGATTGTTGATGTTGGATCACCTGCTGATTGGGTGAAGATCAATGTGCGTGAAACAGTAAGTATTCCTTTTTTCCTACCCAGTGCACACACTGAGAGAATAAGCTATGACAAAACTGGTTGCTAAATATGACCGGTATCAGAGTAACTTGTGTTAGGATTTTCAGTTCTGAGTAGTTTCGCTGTCCTTCAAATGCGCAGAAGGATTGCTTTGAGGTATATGCTCTGGTCCCTGGGCTCCTGCGTGAGGAGGTATGTAGTTGTCCTGAAATCCTTTGTAAGTGACCTGATACAAATTAATAAACAATTGGTATGATCGTTGACAGTTGGCATTGAAACCTATAGTCTTTCTCCCAAGTATTTGTGGTTGATCTCGTAGATAAGTATATTAAAAATTCATGTGTCTCTGTTGTTTTTGTAATCATTTGTGTTATCTTCCTAAGCTACCGTGGGCATTTAGAATTAAGTAGGCTACTCATGGGGGTTTTGGTCCTTTCTCAACAATATTTTAGCTGCTTTCCTACTTTCAAATACGTGGAAAGTTTTTTGTCCTTTGAAATCTGTAACTGTGAGTTTTCATATACTTGTGATTAGAAAATATGTTCGAGTTTCACAATCCATCTTGCTTTTGTCTCTATGAATCTTGGTGGATATAAAACTGGACTTGCTTTTTGGTGGATCCAGGTGCGAGTTCAATCAGATCCTGCTGGACGTTTGGTTATAACGGGTCAACCAGAGCAAGTTGACAATCCCTGGGGTATCACGCCCTTTAAGAAGGTATTTCTTTTTATTACTAATCCGGGGAAATCAAAAAGCTCACAGCATCTCTAGACCATGTTGGCAAGTTTGCAAGTGTATATGCTCCAGAAAATATTAAGAAAATAGAAAAAAAAAAAAAAAAAAAAAAAGGTGGCACCCAATCTTTTTGGGGCATTGATATTCTCAATTTTCTCTAGTTTCTTTGAGGCTATAGTTAGTTTATCATGGTATTCTAGATGAAAAAGTTAGGATTTAGTATTACATGGCCACCCCTGTGTGGGTCACGAAAACAAACGTACGACTGAGTACAATAGGGAAGGAGCAGAAATTAAAATGGAGTAAACGATTTCTTGAAATTATTTGATGTGGTTTACAGGTTGTGACCTTACCTGCAAGAATTGATCCACTTCAAACATCTGCTGTTGTTAGCTTGCATGGTCGACTCTTTGTACGGGTCCCTTTCCAGCAGGGATCGGTTTGAACCTTGTGTCATTTGGCGCAAAATCAATTTTAGTGTAGGCAGTTTAATCATTGAGGAGAAATCTAATTTCTGTAAACATGGTATTGTTGAATTAGTTGCGTTTTTCGTTTGTTGGTCCTGTTGAACAATTGGAAAAGCACTTTTTTTTTCTTTTTTAATAATAAATAGTTCAAAAGCACTATTGTGAAGGAAAGAGAATGCAGTCAAACTGTTCGGGTGCCGCTGGAAGAGAAATTGCAAAAGGAAAAGGGGTAGGATTTAAACTTACCCTTTGACTACATTTTCTTAATTTACAAATCAATATATGGATAATTGGATCATCCATCACTTGCATAAGCCTGATTTTTCTCAGTTTTTATAATTTATAAATTATAGTAATAAAAAGAAAAAGACACTTGAATTTTTTTGCTAAGATATATAAAGAATGAATGATGCAATGTTAATTAATGAACTTTTTCTAATCCATTATGAACACATATGTTGGAAATTTATAAAAGGCAGGTAGTTGTTGTGATTATTGTCCCCTTACAAATTTCATTGCTTTTGTAGTGTATATATCATATGACAGTTTAAGAATAAAGAGACGAGGATTGATTCGGAGAAATTTCAGAATTTAGGATGGAGGTGTAGGCCATCCCAAGATACAAATACCATAAAGAGAAATTAAAATTTTTTCACAAATAAGGAATTCCAGCTGATATCGTATCCTTGCCAGCACTAATTCTGGCCTTTGCGTCCCTACTCATAATTATTGATATTTATGTATTTTTCACGCCGATAATTTTGTTGATTTTTGGTTTCACTTTTGCTGTGCAGAGAAAACATCCTATACAACGATTACTTCTATTGCATCAATAAATAACATCTTTTATGTACTTAGTTTTCCGGTGTGAAATTAATGTAAAAAATATATATATATATATATATCTATATATAATAGATTATTCTGATCATATGCCCCCACTCAATTAGCAATGCTGGCCAGGGCAAGATACCATTTAGCGACTAGCTTATGGGATAATAGAAATTACTTACGTTGAGAAATATCATAAATGTTTGTTCGCAGAAGCACGACATCAGTTGAATTGAATGCTTTGGATAACCTATGAAGACGGTTGGATATCCGTTTAGGAGCTACAACTCCAGGGTCTAGAGATGGTTTTAGGGCTTAAAGATGCTTCCCGACAAACAAAGCTTTGGCTTCAGAAGGAAACATCATCAAGGAGACAGAAAGATCCTTTGTATGTGTTGTGTCTATCCAAGTAGATCTAAATTGCCGTGTCATCTTTGTGGGCAACTCAATTAAATTTTTTGTTATTCGTAAAATTATCAAACTATAAATCCTGATTACCAACAAACCAACCACAGGAGAAACCAAGGTGGTTGTGGTCCCTGAATTAACAGTCAGTGCTGCAGCCCTGCAATTGTGGCCCAAAAACAGGTGTAAATGGACCCAAACCCTAGCCACCGGTTTGGACACGTCTCGAGAATCAAGATGAAAAGGGCAATCAAAGTTTACAACCCACCCTCACTGTCAATACCGCAATCAGGGTGACTGAGGTTTGTTTGACTATTTCTGTTCCCAGCCATTCACAATCACAGCTCTCAGAGGTGATGATGGGGCAGAGTGTTTGGGGATGATTATTTCTTATAAAATAAGGTCATGTGGAGATACCTACCGCTTCATTGGAAGAAAACAATGATGCATGTCGACGTCGCAACCAGCATCATCCATTTTGAGGGTCCATTTCTTGACTTTGCGTGGACAGCTCCTCCAGCTTTATCCAAATTCCTAACTCCGTAAATTACAAAAGATGATACTACTCTTCAGGATCCAAATAATCCCACCACCAGTTGGTTGATTATTTGAAGGCCAAGACGAAGCTTTGCCGCCCCTGCAAAGTTCAGCTGATTATAGACATGTGTTAATAATTAGGTCACAATTTGGTATTCAGGTCCTCAAGTTCATATGTTCTCCATTTCCATTTGTAGTCCTTCAATTAAAAAATTTGAAAGATTTTTATTCACACAGGGTGAGTATTTAAAATTTAATTAAGCTCATCTATCATTTATAACATCAGAAAGCAGTTAAGATGGTGTACTGAATTCGAAATAAAATTATCTTTGCTTTTGGTATTTAGACAAGAAAAATTCCAGAAAAAAAAAAAATAAAAAAATGGAAGATAGCCGAAAATGTCATGTTTCTTGCGTCAAGGAGGTGGCACAAACAGATAAAGTAAACCAAAATATCCTTTAATTTCTTTTATAAATGTCAAGTTTTAATACTTGCTGATGACAGAAAATAGAAAACCATGAGAGTAAAAAGAAAGACGTGGTTGGGATTGATAAGGAGGAAAAGAGAAATGGGAACCGAGAAGAGGAATGAGCAGGCAGCAGTTCCAGCTTATGATAGGGGTGGTTTTGGTTTTGGATTTTGGTGTTGGCAGTTTCAATTAAGAGGAGAACGGATCGCAGATGATAGGCGTGGTAGGTCCCATGTCTCCACCTCCCAAGCTGTCTGTCTTGCTTTGTTTGAGAACAATCCAAAGACAAAAAGGGTCTCTTTGCTGCTTATTTATTTATTCATTTATTCCTCTTTTCCTTTTCTTACATTGTTTGGCTGCAATATCATGATGATCCCTATTCTCATTCCCCTAATCCTCCTCCACCATCTATTTCTCTCAACAACAAAACAATTTCAATTAATAAATTTAATTTATTATTTCCCTTCCCTTAGCACTTTCTGTTTGTGTTTGATCTTCTGGTATTATCATTTGATGACGCACTCTGTTACCGATCAATCCTCATCCCCCTGCTAACGCTACACTTTCATCCTCTGTTTTCTACTTTTGGTTGCTTTTCCTCAATCTCTCAATCCTCTCCCTTTCTTTTCCATCTTCCTCTCTGTCTCTGTGTATAGAGCCCAACCCAAAGCCCAAACAACCCCTCCCCCCACAAGCGCATGTTCCATCCAATCCCACCACCATCGACTCCAACCCCTTCTTGGCCCATCTAGGGTTTCACTTTTTTTTTCCTTGTTTTATTTTGATACGATTCTTAGAATTATTATATCCATCTCTCTGCTTTCCGATCTTTTGCTTTCCTGTCAAAAATAACCCAACCTTCGTCCTTGTTGTTTGATTCCCTTATATCCCAATGGATTCTGGGTATATTTCTTGCCTCCAATTCTAGGGTTTTATCATTAAAAGCTTTGTCTTTTTAGTCCCTCTGTTCTGGGGTCAACCTCATTACCACTTGATTTTTATTATTTCCTAAATTTATTCATCACCTTTTCTTTTTCATCCTTAAACAATCTTCACCCTTTCTTTCTTTTACCCCTTAATATTGCTGGATTAGAATCGGAGCATCTGTGTTCATGGCGTATCAGTCGATTCCGGGTCCGAGCTCGGGGTCGAGTTCAAGTTCTGGCTTTCAATACATGAATTCTCCTTTTGGAGATACAACATACACCAAGGTATTTGTTGGGGGACTCGCTTGGGAAACGCAAAGCGAAACCATGCGCCGTCATTTCGAGCAGTTTGGTGACATTCTAGAGGCCGTTGTCATCACTGATAAGAACACCGGCCGTTCAAAAGGATATGGTTTTGTGAGTATTAAATTTTTTTCATCTTTTTTAAGATTTCTTTATCTGCTGCTGCTTGATGATATTATGCTACTTTGCGTTTGGCCATCATTGTTATTCTTATGTAAATATTGACAGACCGGTATGAATCCAAAGGCGGCATGCCTTTGATGCTCTAGCAATGTGTTTTAAGTAAAGTGAATGGTCTGCTTTATTGACTTTAGAGTGACTTGGTTTCCTCTTGTCTTTGCATGGAGGGTGTAGGTGACTTTCCGGGATCCAGAGGCTGCTAGGAGAGCCTGTGCGGATCCGACTCCAATTATTGATGGCAGGCGCGCTAATTGTAATTTGGCTTCACTTGGCCGATCTCGACCTCCAGTTACTTACGGTATCATCTCTAATTTTTCCGGTTAGTCTGATCCTACAGCTGATGCTTTCATGCTGTTTCCATTTTTTCCCTTTAATATAACACGTCCTGGCCGATTAATGATTATTGTCTCCAAGATGTAACATTGTGTGTATCAAATATTTGCTATTCCATTTTCTCCTTTATCTGTCATCATCTGTCTTAAAATTGGTTTTCATTTTCCTTCTCACCAATAATGATTTAATTTTTCCTATGGCAGATGTTGACATTCATTTTAAAACTGTCTTCCTATGCCAAAAGTGTGTCTCATTTAGTTTATCCTGCCCAAATCTTTTTGCTCCTAGTAGCAATTTGTAGGGTGGCTGTATTTTGTTTCCATTTAACTTGTAAGCTGATGGCACCATACTTATGGTTGAACTAATTTTTTAATTTGTCTCAGTTAGTTTACATGTTTCCTTTTGTATCAACCTCAATGATCATGTTAATTATGTTTTCCTTTGTTATCTTTCTAATAGGACGTTTGAGACCAGCTTCTTCGTACATTGGAGGTGTGCAAGCTACACGAGGGGCTTATGTTGGAAACTTTGGCTATCAGCCACCACTTTCTTACAGCTATCAACAAGGATTGATATACCCTTATGGGTGAGTTCTGCATTCTTATTCAAATGGTTTCTAATTATTTTGATTTCTCCAATCCTTATTCAACCCAGCTTGGTTTGTTTGAGCATCAAATTCTAGTTTTCATAATTTATAGTTTATAGTTTATCTGATCTTGTTTTATTAAGTGCCTAAGAGATTTTATGTTAGATTTATTTTTTGGGATTTTGCCTACGACTGACTTTGATGTAAATGCTTGACTGACACTTTTCTGTCTGTGTCTTTAATGTGATAATTTCCTGGGATTTTCCAGTTGGAATTGAAAGAATGGACACGTTAAGTTTAGGTTGAAGCATTTTTCTCCTTTTTGTCTTGGTAAATTTTCATTGCAGATCTCTAGGCTACTTTATGTTAAGCTTTTTCTTCATTTAAAATTTTGTAATGTGTGGATTGAAATGTTTTCCCACATGTATAAAAAGTTGGTGCAGAAACATCTGTTGTTTCATCATTAATGAGGAATAGACTGTAGCCTTAGCATAAATATGGTTATGTCCTGTATATGCCTGATCAACCTACAATGCAGTTGGATCACTGTGGAAAGTTCGCGAGTCAGAGTTCAGTTGGGTACATCTCCTTTTGCAGCTACTTTCTCTTCTTTTTATTATTCTCCTTGTCTCATGGCAGTTCAAACCAATCACAACATGTAACATTGGTCAAGGAGTTATTAGTCTTTACCTTAGAATTCAGGATTAATTAGTCCAAAGTAGTCATATGACATGGTGTGATTGGTAATTGCAGGAATGCAAAAAGTGGTAGTTGCAGAGGATATGTGCCCGAGCTCAATTTTTATTGAACAGGCAAGATCATGATTGTGATTTGATAAGGATCCAAAGGAAGAAGAAATGTTGGGAGAAGGGGGGATTTGATTATTCCCATGGGCTGAATAGTTAGGTTATGATTTTACTGATGAAGTTTTTGGGCCTTGGTATGTCTCATTGATAGCATAGGAGCATGTTGGTATTTCACGTGGGAAACTTGGTTGTTCTGATGTGATGAATAGTATCATGTTTATCTCCTTGCTATAAATTCACACTCTAAAATTTAATGCCTGATCCCTGGTTTAATTCTAACCTTTTTGAAATCTTTGATACTTGTTTATCTGTGTAGGTATGCAACATACGGACCTGATTATGTCTATCCTCAGGTTAATGGCATTCTAAAGTGCAGTGTTGTGAAAATTCTTATTAAACTTTCATAAGAGTAAGTGATACTTGTGTCCCCATGCTGATTTATTCTTTTTTCTTTGTGTGCTATCATTCCATGGACAGAGTCTTTACAACCCTTATGCAGCTCAGCAGTACCTTCAAATATATGGGGTACCTGGAGCAGTGAACACAGCTATCTATCCTTATGGACAATTGGGTCAAACTGTTCCTAGCGGACATGGTTATACAGCCATACAGGGATATGCAATGCCAAGTCATCAAATAGTGCAGTTTGGTGGACGTGGACCCACTGCTAATGCAATCACAACTTCTCCGATGCCCACAATCCAAACACCATATCCCGGAGGTTAATATCAATCTGAAAAGTTACCTTTTGTGCTTACTTCTGTTACTGGCTTTGTTTTTTGCTCCTAATTCTGTCTGCCAACGAATTATACCCACTCCAATATCTTGACATGTACATCATTATCTTTATATTTCATTTAATCAAAAGTTATATTTGCCTTGCATTGTAAGAAGTTATCCATTAGTGAATTTATGTGAACCAAAAATTATGCAGAGAATGGGATGGAACATCATGAATGAATTTCCCAGTTTTTTATTTCTTGATCAATCCTAAAGGCACCTGCTTTGAGAATCCTAAAGCAGGTCCTGTTGTTTTAAGGTGGTTTTATGGGATTAATTCGAGGCATAGAAGACCTTATGAGCAAAATGTGTTTATTTATCAGGTATAGCAGCACCTGTTCCAGCACAGCCACAATTTATTGTTAGTACTCCCTCTCAGTTTATGCAAGGTAGTGGTTCTGACCAAACAACCGGGTGAGGAGTTGATCAAGGTAAGTAGTGACATCTTGGGGAATGAAGTTCTTAGGTTTGTCATGGTCATCTTACTATGGAATTAACTGTGGCTGAAGTTTTTCATCATTTCAGGTATCCTTAGATTGCAGCAGGACTAAGAGCAGCGGAACTGCTACTTGAGTGGCGGGCTTCGGATCTAGCCTTGCAAATTATTAATTTTGCATTCTACAGGTACTGTTAGTTTTTCCTTTCCTGCAGATCCAAAACCGAAAATTGGTAACTGAGAGGAAACAAATGAAATGTAGTCACACCCATTGTAGGGGTCGGTTCTGGTGTGGGGTTATCGATTAGTGCATAATTGCTGACAAGTCTTCTGAATATCATTTTATCAGTTATGGCCTTAACCATGTTTATCTTGAGCAGGTCATACGTAGTCATGCTTACCAGAGATGTCAATGTTGTCTGAGTCGCTCCAGATGGTGGAGAAGCAATATGGAGGATGCGGGGAAAGCTCTTCCTTTTTACCCTCGTATGTGTAAGGCGCATATACTGCTAGTGCTCGGGTTGGGTGGCCGGCAGTCATGGATTGATGGATGCTGGAATGGGGTTTCTGGCAACCATGTAGGAATATTATAAAATGGTGTAAAAATACATGTTGGAATCAACATATGATTCTTTTGTAAGTCTAGTCAGTCCCAGCATTTGGGTGTATAGGTAGTCTCTAGTGTCGGGTGTTTGTCCAGCATTGTACGTAGACAAAGATTCTAATAATAATATAATAATAATATAATTAATTAATTAAGGTTTCTGACTATCGTTAATTAGTCAAAGAAAAAATAAAAAATAATAATAATTAAAATAATTAAAATATAAAATAGGAGTACATTACATTTTTTTTATTTATTTACAAAATAATTATCATATATCCTCTTTGAAAAAAAATTAACTCACTCATCACGTAAATATTTTTTTTTTCTTTAAAAAACATAAATTGTCCATTTATTTGTCAGCCACACATTGTGGGTGTGCCAAATTGCTAATTTGTATAGAACTTTGGTTTCAGTGATGTTCAAAATCTGACAATAAATAAAATTGGAGAGAAAATCAGAGGTGAAAGAAGCCCCAAATCTCGAAGAAGCCTGTTAAACAAAAAGTAAGTAGTAATCAAAGTAGAGAAAGAAAGTCCAGCACTCTCAGGCAGGCATCCTACATGGCTAGATGTGTCTAATCCATAAATTTGGATTGGTTAAAAAAAAAAAAAGAAAGGAAATACCCAACCCAAACCCAAAAAGGATAACAGAAGTTTGGAATTACTTAAGAGACCAAAAAGTAAAATCGAATCACCCATCCATCCATTCAATTCTATATTTATATTTTTATAGCCAAAAATAATTGCGTAAAAACTTATGTAAACTTTTTTTTTTTTAATAAAACAAAGCCCCTAAGACTAAGGACGAAAAAAGAAAAACCCAAAATTTAAAATCAAAATATTTTACTACTACTACATCTGGGAATTCACATTTCTTAAGTTTTCTTTACAAATTCTCCTTTGCTTTTTTCCATCGCAGCCCCTATATTTTCTTCGCTTCCATCTCTTCTGTCTCTTATTTTTCCCTATTTATTGGTAAGTTATTGCTATTTTTTTCTGGGTTTTTCCCCAATTTGCTGTGTTTTTTTTTTTTTTTTTTATGGGATAATATTTTTTTATCTAAACTTTAAATTTTTGAAAAATTAAAAATTGTCTGTACAATACAGAAATTCCATGGGTTTTTAAAGCCATAATTAAAAAAAAAATTTGCAGCTCTATCTTTGTGAGAAAAATTAAAGTATTGCAGCAATTTTCAAGTTGAAAATTGAGAGTGCTTTTCAATTTATACAACCATTTCATTTCCAAAAGTCTCCACTTCTCAAGTTCAACTTCAATTGCAGTGCAGTAGACAGTGAGTTCCTTTTCAACTATAACAATTATCAGTCTGCATCAGTATAACATTTTATATTTTCAGATTTTGTTGTTAGCCTATTTAAAGATTTGGTTATCTCCTTCATGATCTAACGAATTACTTAGATAAGAGCAAAGGAAAGGAATTGAAACAGCATATGTAATATAATTTTATTATTGTTGGTGGGCAGAGACAGAGTGAGGGGTGGGGTATATGGAATTTTAACACACCAATCAGAAAAAAGGACAACAATGTCGGGATCTGAGGCGGGAGTGATGACGAGTAGAGAGCCCTACAGCTTGGGCATGCAACGGAAGAGTCCGGTAGCGTCACGGCCAATGATACAGAACATTCGTTTGGCCTTTAGTGCCGACGGAACAGCTGTGTACAAGCCCATCACTTCCTCCTCACCCACATATCAGCGGACCTCCTGTGGTGGTGGGGCAGAGGGGTTTGCAGGTGGGCCCACGGTGACTCAAGGGCAAGGGCATGCTGTGAACATGAGCACGGGGAACAAGCCTTTGAAGAGGAAGAGAGGGAGGCCCAGGAACTATGGACCGGATGGGACCATGCCGCTGGCTCTTATACCAGCTCCTTCCTCTGCCAGCGTAGCCCAATCTAATACTAATAGTGGAGGAGGAGGAGGAGGATTCCCTTCATCTCCTCCTCCGCCTTCAGGAGGATCAGCCTTTTCACCAACTTCAGCAAAGAAAGCTATGGGGAGACCTCCTGGTTCCGAGAAGAAGCATCAACTTGAAGCTCTGGGTACTCTTTCTCTTGATAGTTGATATTCAGATAAATATTTTTAGCCTTTAATTTAGTTAATGTCTTTTGCTTTGGATTGGAAATGTGAATGAATCTACAACCTTGTTTCCTAGCTTGGTCTTGAAAGTTGAAATGCCACTACACTTAGGATCTAGGAATTAGGATTTCATTTTCCTGCTCTTTTTTCCTCTCTTTATCCAGTTTTAGTTTTTTAGAGAACAAGTGTCAAATGTGATAAAAATAATCAAATAGTGGTTTTTGGTTTTTGTGTGGGTGTTGGTGTTGATTTTATAGGGGGTAGTATTAGTTTTGGGCTCCAAGTTCCAACAGAGAATGGAATGGTCTCTATGCTGAGTAACATAATTACTATGGTTCTTACTAGTATAGTAGTATTTACCAAGTAGTAGAAGTAGTAAACAAATAGGGGGAACCGTCGGAATATTAATGTGTCTATAACTTAGAAAAGGAAATACGGTTTGCTTCAACTTGGCATCTATCTGTTCGATCTGACTTCAGATTCTTATCTTGACTAAATTATGTATATGCCCTTGCTTCATTTTTCTGTTGTCCCTTTCCAGTTTCTCTATCTTCCCTCTCTTATGTAGTTAATCAGCTATGATTGCAGAGTACTTAATACAAGATTTTGTTCTCTTCTTTTCCTTTTTCTCCTTAAATTACTTTTTCAAAAAATGAGGCATAAAAGTTAGCTTGTCATTCTATGGCTCTATCAACCTAAAAAAAATTGGAAGCCACAGCTGTCTTTGCATTTGTGTTACTAAGGTGACATATTTCTCTCAAGAGAGTTTTCTTTTTGCAGGATCACCAGGAGTTGGGTTTACACCCCACGTTATCACTGTTAAAGTGGGAGAGGTTTCTCTTTCTCCTTTTAACTTTTCATTTCCACTTTTCCTGATTTATGTAGAGAACTTTTTCTTATTGCTTTTATTCTTATTTTGCAAGTTTTAACTATTCAGCAGATTGTTTTTCATCCCATTCATTAATAATGACATGTTCATCTAGTTGCTTGATTCAAATATTTGTGTCATGAGTTGCTAAGACTTCTTTTATATACTTATTTCTTTGTATAGATTTTTACTTGTAATCCAATTATTGTCTTTGTTCAGAACCATATTGATTCTTTGTATGTTGGATTTGATAAAATAAAATATCAAATTAGGGAAATGGATCATTTCCCAGAATTCCTTTTCTAACAACGGGAGTTGATGACAACAACAAAAAAAAATAATAATAATGAAGTTCAAAAATTTGATAATGCTTGTGCTTTTGCAATGTCGGAATGTATATGCAAGTTAAAATAAAGTAGTGCAAAGTGGGAATGAACCACACGATCTTGTTGTTGATTTTTAGGAACCGGCGAAGATATATGTCTTTCCCATTAATTTGATAATCTACTAATGCATACAACCATAGTAAAGGGGAGATTGCTTTCCTTTTATTAATTTTTTTCTTTCTCATGAAGGATCATAATCCTTTGCTACGCTGCACTGGCAGCCTATGCACCATTCTAAATTTTACTGTGCTTCTTTATACAAGCACGTATATGCAATGTATTTGTCCTTTCCTTGATATAGTACTTGTAGTTGGTTAGGCGATCTGAAGCTAACATTTTATGTCTCTGCCTGGTTATAGGATGTATCATAAAAAATAATGTCATTTTCTCAGCACTTTCCCAGAACTGTTTGCATCCTCTCAGCAAATGGAGCCATATCAAACGTCACTCTTTGCCAACCAGCAGCATCCGGTGGGACTGTAACTTATGAGGTTTGTGATATGCTAAAAAAGTAATGTCTTCTTATTGTTGTTGCCTTCTGTTTTAGGATTAAAATTTACACCTCTAAACTGCTTTAGGTATTGAGAGCTTTACTGCATAGCTCTGAAAGTTTCATACAGGCAAAACAGCTTTTTTATTTTCATTATTAATTTTTAGGCTGTTTGAGAAGGAGGTATATGTTGGCATCTGGAGTATTAAATTGATAGGTGGATGGCCATATCCTGTTTAAACCATAAACATTAAACTAAGAACACATTAATATATTGGCATCTCAAGTGTGCTGTTATTTAGATGATGTACTCCAATTGGGCAATGGCTAAATAAGTTTCAGAATGAAACAAAAAGTACCATTAAATTGTTTGATGCTTGTTAGAATAATTGATTTGTATTAAATGCAAATATAGCAGGAATAGAGCTTCTTATATCACATTAAAATTTAAAGGTCTTTGAATAATAAATCTCAATTTCAAGTATAATGCTTAAGCTGTATGCAGCCATGGGAAGCGATATGTGAAAGTGAATTTATTGTTAGCTTAGAGCAGAACTTGGAATGTCTTTGGGCAATGAATATTCTGCTTCCAGAAGCATTGTTATACTACCAAAGATGTGCCTGACATGAACTTTATAATGAAAACCAGTTATATCAAATATATTAGTATTAATTTTGGTCTACAATAGAATATAATTTTACATAAATTCCACAGCCTTGTAAAAAGAAAGCACTGGTTTACTATGAATATCTCATATTAATGGCATTATGTTTCTTTCCTATTAATGGTGCAGGGGCGATTTGAAATTCTGTCACTTTCTGGTTCATTTCTTCTGTCAGAAAATGGTGGTCAGCGGAGCCGAACTGGAGGGTTAAGTGTGTCATTTTCTGACCCAGATGGTTGTGTTTTAGGTGGTGGTGTAGCTGGCCTTCTAATGGCGGCATCCCCTGTTCAGGTTTATTTTCTTTTACCATTTTACATTTTTAATTACTGCATCATTCTTTCTTACAAATACTTTTCTTATTGCATATAGTTTCAATCTTTTCAGAATCTTGCAGTGTACAAGGAGGAATCAGAAGCACCACTATTGGGAAGTAAAAGTTTATCTGAATTTAACATTAGCGAAAAATGATCGCAGAATTTCTACCACTTTAAGAAAATGATAAATATTTTTTGATTGACGTTATTATTAATACTCCATTAAATATTAATATTATGAAAAGAACTGTAAAATTTAAATATAAAAGGATGAAGGTTCAAGCTTTTTCCTTTAATATGCATATCTGTCAAATATGAACATTTATTTGAGAGGAATGGAGTGTGTAAATTTTACATGGTTATGTGCGCTTTTATGTTGGGTAAGAATTTAGAGAAAAAGGCCATGCAGACTGAGATGGTGAGTTAGTTTGACTTCGCTTTTGTGTTTGTTATAGTTGCTTCTTTTGTTGCCCGTTACAGTTAGTGTGGGATTCATCTGTTTCTCTGTTCTATCAAGGTGATGTTGGTGCTAGTTGAGTTGAGCTTGGTTTAGCTTTTTATGTGGCACATATACTACTTGCTTAACTAACACATTATTATGTCATTCTCCTTGTTCCATTAATTAAGAAAATGCTAAAAACACTCTATATCAATTCATCTTCATTTTTTTTTATTCTTTTATATTTAAGGGTAATGTGGTGGATACAATCTAAATAAAGAAAAGCCGGAGGCCAGGTACAGTAGGCAAACAAATTGCATAGCTTTTGTTGTAAATTGCAAAGCTTCTCAAAACGGGGAGCTTTAGCTGTGTCAACTATCATCATTGAACATTTGAGGCTTCCTTTGTAAAAAGAAAGAGAAAGGAAAGCTTGATTAAACACAACCTTGGTATATATGTGATGTAATGTAATCCCCACAAAGGGAAAGAGATGAGGAAAGGGAAAAAATTTTATGGGGAGGAGAAACTATCAAAACAACAAGAGCAGAGGCCTGCTAGAAGATGTTGAAGTTGTTGAATCTCAAGTTTCCATAATTACTTGCAGTGGAGACAGCATAAGCATTAAGAAGCTCGTTGTGAGCGGACCAAAAGTCTGCTTTTAAACCACCTCTCCTGATGGCTTTCAGTATTTTGTTCCGGTGTGCATATCCTGTCACCACTACCTTCTCGCCCTGCCCATCCACTTCTACTTTCTCTATTCCTGTCCATCATTACAAACATTGCTTCAACTTTATTATTTATTCAGAATCAAACGCACTTTTGAAAATAATATATATATATCTATATCTATATATATATATATATATGTATGTATGTATGTATATATATATTTATTTATTTATTTACATCCTCCCTCTCCCTAACAGAGTAACCCATAGAAGTTACCTTTCAGCTTTGAGAGGCATTTCCTGAGTCTTTTCTCATGTAAGCCAACCATCTCCACCTTCAATTCAACGCTCTGCACATCCATATCACACGCATGGCGTTAGCTTGTTGGAAAACGAATATAAAAATGGACACCTACAATATCCTACACTTTGAGAATATATAAGAGAGCTTCCTATATATAGGAAAGGATCCTTCTTTTTTTTCAGATTGACATATTTAACCACCCGTTTTAAATGATCAAGAAAGAACCATTTTCAGCTTCTTTTCTCATGATTTCAAGTTACCAAAATCAGAATTATTATGCAAAAGTGGGAACAAAAGATAGTTGTGCTCATAAATCCTGAAAAATCCTTCTTCGATCACTTTATTGAGGTATAGGCTCACCATGATATTAGGAGGGGAGAGAGAGAGAGAGAGAGAGAGAGAGAGAGAGAGAGAGAGAGAGAGGTGGTCCGTATTGCTACCTAAAAGTGGTAGGAGAATTACCAACGCCACTAGAAAGATGCAACGACTAAAATATAGAACACAATAACGGAAAGCAAAAGAAATAATCATATATTCTACCTCCATGAGTAACTCTGCTTTCTCGAAGATGCAGCAAAACAATGATTTATGACAAACAATTGGAATGACGAGTTGAGAATGAATGAAACAAATGGAGAATGTCAGGTTGGTTATATATATATATATATACAGAGCAGAGGGAAGGGGAGGGGAGGGGACAAGTAAAAAGATTGAATAAACATTAAAGTGAGGGCTTCTGGGTCTTGGGTCTGCATACTAAAACCAGGCGCAAGGATCTGCTTTGGTTTACTTTTTGGAAAGAGAAGCAAATAGCCAGCATTGAAAACCAGATAACAAGAAAACGGTTACATCAAGAGCGGCTTTTGTGTGATGACCTGTAAGCTCAAGCTTCAAGACTCCAACTCCAAAGAGTACACTCCCGTCTGCCCAAAGCAATGTGAGTCTCAAGCAATTTAAATGATTGGGTTTGACGGATCTAACTTTGCTTTTTCTTGGGAGATCGATGATACTGCCAGTTAGGATTGTCTTTTGAGGAACCTAGCTAGCTGACATGGTCCACTTATGCCACAATTTGGTAGTGATCTTGATCAAATTCTTAGTGGGTGTGGGTCCAAAGCAGATCAGAATTAATCTTGCATCTTAGACATCCCGTAAGTCCGCACATATATTTCATTTGAGATTAAAAAAAAAAATGTATTCGTTTCTTCTCATGTTCATCTATCTCCCCAATGTATCATTCATTCTCGTTTCAGTTGCTGGGCGGAAAAAGTAAAAGAGCGAAAAAGAAAAGGGAAGAGAAACTCGCTGGACCCAAAAAAAAAAAAAAATACTATGCTCCTGCAAGTTTGGTATTTCCCGGGAAGCGTAACTTTCGCTTAGTATACTTGTATCTGCTAATTAATTAATAGTAGTAAGATTTCTAATGAATCAGCCATAAGTCAGCATTTCAGATGGAGGAAGGGGAAGGCTTCCAAATGAGGATGCTACCCAGCCAGGCGCCCCGGCGTCAGAGTGTACCAAGCGCGCAGGTTACAAACTTACAAAACTACAAGTAATGGTTTATGCCATGGTGAGGGTTAATTACAGGACCAATTGTGCTCTCCACATGAAAGTTGGTTCTTTTCTTTTCTATCCATTTGACTAGCGTGAGCGTTGAAAGAAGAAGAACATAGTATTGCTGAAGTAGGTTGTTTTCAGCATATATATATATAACTTAATTGCTTTATATACCTGAGTACGTAGCTCGAAGTTGTGGGTTCCGCCTGCCTGCAGGGATAACAAAAGCAATGAGATGGATGGAGCCCCTAAAGATTCAAACCAAGATGCTTTGGAATCTGGAAGAATTAAATATTTCTTGAATTTTCATCACATGAGTTGCATTTATCGAGAATCATCACACCTTTCAGATTTGGTCATAGCTTGCCCCACTTTTTTGAATCGTTTTAGGCCGGCCCTCTGGTCACAACTCACAATATTTTTCCTTTTCTTCTGCTTTGTTATTGGTCTCTCTCATCATCTCATGTTGAAGTTATAATATCTGGTGCCTATCATTCAGAAGAAAAACGTTGTTACGGTAAAAAGGGAAGCAGGCAGTTTAAAGCTAAAGCAGGGATGGATTGAGAATTTGAGATATATAATTGATGGTAAAACAGCTTCAGGGGAAATTCTAGTAGCCACAAACATTTCATGTTCATCACCACCATGCATGCAACACCATTTTTTATTATATATATTTATCAAGAGAAAAACAAAACAACAATTAACAAATTAATACAATGACAGAGCATGCATTTTATCAATCATACATATTTAGTAACCAAAAGTTTAAGTTTGTACTAAGATAGTATTATTTTTCTTTTAAGCATTAATTCAAAATCATTGATCTGATTCTAACTTGGATGTTCAATTTGAAGTAACAAGATCACTAGCATCTATTTGGTTATTGCTGATGCATAAACTCAAGAATAAAAGTTTTCTTATATTTAAGCTTAGAAACAAAAAAAAAAAAAAAAAAATCCCTTTCAACGCTTCTTTGTTGATTTTATTTGCAAATAGAAATGAAAAAACATTTAAAATGTCAGTGGGAAGGGAATTTTATAATATCAGGCTCCATTTTTTTTTCTTTTTTAATTTTTGGGTCAAAGTGGGGCACCTCAAACAACAAGCTTGCAAGCAGTTGAATATTCAAGACGTCCGACGGGTGATGGGCCAAAAACTGGCCCAAGAAGTAGGAGGAGAAGGTAAGAGGCGGGACATAACAAGTTCTGAATGACTACCATTTTCATTTCTTAAGTGTGGTGGTCGGAGAGCCTCCTGCATTTCTTTCTGTGTCTGCCCTGCCCTCCCCTTTGGCTGTTTTACTATGTTGTCAAAGCGGAAACTGCTTCCAGCACATCAATCTTCTGCTTCCACATTTGGATGAGGTAATGTTACTTCTACCTCCTATATCAGTTTAGGTTTGGGGTTTTATCTGCATGCCCACCGCCCATCACTACCATGCTTCTTCAATGCTTGATCTTCAGTTTAAACAATTGAACTTGCCCAAATGGTTATACTATCATGTAAAGAAAGCTCTTGTTTGGGCTTTTGTATTACTCTGAATTGCAATGTTCTGTTTCCCGAGGAGGACTGGTGATTGATGAGTATTATTACACTTTATTTTACCTTACAATAACTATAAATTTTCTAATACCTTTGCTTACCCTCCTTTTGTATTGGGAAAGAAATCCCGATAGCTTGTATGAGTTTTCGTCTTTCTTCAACTAAATAGGCTGATGTTATACATTTATTGTATAACAATTAAAAATAGGCTGATATTATAACCAAATTCACTTGTGTAGGTGCTTTCTAACAGGGCTTTGGTTTCTACAGAAGTTAAGCTTGGTACTATAAATTTCCACAGGTCAGGAAATATAATCACCCCAAGGCATTTACTAGAATGCCATCCAGTGATCAGCTTTTTTCGCTTAACTTCATCATGAGCACTTACTTGGCCCCTGATGTCTACTCTGATAACCCAAGGCATTCAGCTTCACAAAGATTGGCTGAAGGTTTGCCACCATATACATCAAAAAATCTGGGCGCTTCATTTATTAGCATTTCTTAATTGGAGAGTTTTGTACTACTATGTCCTGAGGTATGCTCATCCCGACCTGTTTCTCCAACCAAACATGCTGTATTCATATCTAGAAGGGAGCTTGCCTTTGCCAAGCTCAAAGTTATTAGAGGACCATCGGCAGTTCACCAGTTTTTTCCCATTAAATATTCATGAGCATAAAAGATACTCTGTAAAAAATGAGATCATCAAAGCAATTGTTCTTATTGATGATCCAGTTACATCGCACATGAAGGAAGATGTTGAAAGGTTCAAACATTTATCTGGTCTGGCTGATTTGAAGATTGACAAAATCAAATCTTTATCATATGAACATGGATACCAGAAAAGTAAAGAAGATGATGAGCAGAACAGCATGAAAAACAGCGAGGAGATAATTTCTGGCTCTATTGCCTATGGAAATGGTAATGCATCAGCTAAGTTTCAAGAAAACAATAGGAGAAAGCACCAGTTGGACCCTCTGCCGACATCAGCATTCCCCCCCTGTCATGTCTATGTTAAATCATCACTGCGAAGAAGCATCCAAGAGAACCTGCAAAGGGAATGGACCTGCTGTGATGCCCCTCATCACCGTTCCAAATGTCAACCAATGCTTTTCAGAGTCATCCATAATTTTAAATGGGACTGCTAAAAGGGGAATAGCTGGGCCACCTATTGGTGTTTTGGACATTGGTGTCAGCAAAGTTGCATACTTCTTCCGAGTTGATCAGCCTGGAGTTTAGGAAGGATTGTTGTATGTTTCTCTTCTTTCCAGTCCTTTTATTATTTTTATTATTATTATTATTATTATTTTGGTATGTTCATAGTATGAATATCCCTTATTTATAAGACTAAAACATTATGGCACCTCCTTTTATTTAAGGTGCTGTCAATTTATGTTGAAGAACAGGAACAAGGTAAGAGAATCCACATTTTCTTAATAAGAATTATCTTGTTGATGCAATGCTGTCAAGTTGCCCAATGTATGGTAAGAAGCCATTTTTTTTTTACCATTATTTTGGGACCTTGATCATCAGATTTATCAATTCATTGTCCAACATGTTGGACATCTATATAGTGGTCATAGGGAGCTTCGACCTTCTGATTTTCAAGTCCATCAGATACCCAGCAAGTTAACAATGGGCCAGCATATTCTGATTAGTAATACTTAAAAGAATAATTAATGTGCTATATGTGCACTAAAAAGTATTCTTTTAAGAAACCAGAACTGGAATGTTGTGCTCTTGTAGCTTATAGTTCATATAATTGTCTAAGTCATTAGGATTTTTATTGCTGGTCAAAGATGAAGCAATCTGTGCTCTGATGTTGATACCGCCACCTATTTGAGAGCAAGTCTTCTTTGGTACGACTCTTTTTTTATCTAATATCCTATCCTCTCTCTTGCCAACCGAGAATAGGAGAATATGAAAATAAAACAGTGAGGCTGGCATTTGTTTGCCGAGTCCATTTAAGCATTTTGAGGACTGGGATTTGACCCAAATATGTGTACAAAACTTTCATGAGTAATTTTTCATGATCCATAGTTTCCACCTACAAGTTTTTAGCAAATCCTATTTCTGGGAAGAGCAATGAGAATTTTCTCCTCTTAGGTTGTATATCAATGAAGGCTTGTCATATTGTCCTGATAATTCCAGCAACTCTCTTTGTCCTCTATTTTTTGGAATGAACATGCAGTAGCATTGCTTGTCTTCCGAGATACAGCACGTTCTTTTAGTTCATTGACAAATTCATTATGTTTGCTTTTTCATAGGTAAGTTCAGTTGTGAGATTGAATCCAATGGAAAGGTTCATCTCCAAGGATCAACCTCTGGTGGCGGGACTATTAGGAAACGCTCGCGTGTTTTCCATGGGACATTCCAGCAATTGTGCTCAGCTGGACCGTTTACACTTTCATTCAGTCTTCCAGGACCCGTTGATCCAAGATTGTTCTCACCAAACTTCAGATCTGATGGCGTTTTTGAAGCTGTTGTCATTAAACACAAGTCTTAGTATGGTGATTAAAAGTTGAATATGTAGGTAGTTGAAGAAACGGTGATGGTGGAAATCGGCATGTAAGTGTATTTTGGTAACATGATATCTCAAATTAAAGGGAAAAAAAGTCATTGTGCAGTTTTTCTCTTAATAATCTTATCATAAAAGGAAATATTGCCTGTTTAATGACACCATTAGAGAGGCGTGTAATGAGTGGTAATAAGGTGGAGGGAAGGAAAGAAACACTGGATTTTTGCTTATTGTTGAATGAGGGGAGAAAGAAGGAAGGATTGTGAAAACTTAAAAGCTTGTCTGTGTTAACATAACAGACCCTGTTCTTTTCGGCATTTTTAAGGCAATAATGTACTGAGGGTCGTTTAAGATGGAACTGAAGAACAATGGTTAGGAAAAGATAATGGAAATGTTAAAATTAAGAAACCTAGGTGTGCATTAAATGTAGTGCTATTAGCTAGGTCAAACTGAGGAATGTTATGAGTTGTTTATTATTTAATAATCTTTTATTGTTTAGTTTGATTCAAATTTTTTATTTTTATAAAAAAAATTTAATTAAATTTTTTTGTACTTTATTTTTTTTCTTAGGCTTTGCTTTTTTTAATTTTTTATATATTTAATAAATGATATTTTAGATTTTATTTTTTTAGTAACTCACTTGATATAAAAAATATGTCATAAGTCAAACATTTTGATTTTTTCTCTTTTGCTTTTTAATTTTTTTTCTATTTATAGATTTTCTCTTTTATTTAATAAATATTTTAAAATATTTTTAATATTAGATCCATTTGATATGATTATTAAAAATATCTTTTTAGTTATTTTTTAATTTGATAAGAAATCGATATATCATAGATGACAACATAACATTCCAATTTTTTTTTTTTTTTTAAAAAACATATTTATGACGCTTTGCTTTCATTTATTTTAAAATGTATATGAAAATATATTTTTTATTATTTATTAAAAATAAATATCATATTAATTAATATATTTATAATTTAAATAATAATATATAAAAAAATATTTAAAATTTATATAAATATTTTATTATAATTTAATTCATGATGTTAACGCTTAAAACTAATAAAGCAAACAAACAAAAAAGGTGATATACACTACTACAATGCCAATAGTAATCGCCAAACTGCAAATAGATTTGAGGACAGCCGACGCCGAGCAGCGCTACCTCTCCCTATCACCCTCCGCTGTTCGCTTCTAAAAGGTACCCTTTGTGGTCGTAAACCTCCATCTGCTAGCATTTTATTTCATTTTCTTCTTTTGGGTTGTTCTTTTTCATTCTAAAATCTCTTTCAGCATTTAATCGATGTAGTTATACTATCTCCATCTGCTTGCCTTTCTCCTTTCAGCTTGAGTTTTCTTTTCGTTTCTGATGTTATGAAATTTACTTTCCAAACCTTTACCTTGTTTGATTTCCAATCAATTTATGATTAAGTTAAACCCCCCAATTCTTGTGTTCCCTTTGTTTGCCGCTAACCATTGATCCAGTTGTGTTGCCCCTTCTTGCACTCAAATAGCTTTGCCTCTTTCATCTTTTCAAAGATGCATCAAACTGATCTCTTCACTCTGCCTCTCTTATTATGCTAATGCTCATTCCTTGACTATTTTCTCAAACGCCCTTCCTTCTAACACAACAACCTAAGCCATTCACACGATCTGTCTTTCAACATCAAACCTTTTCATACTCCGTTTTACTTTGGAATCCCTTTTCTTTTCTCATATACTTGTATAGACTTTTCGGCATGGTTCACTCGTAAAGCTTGCCATATTATTGAACTGGAGAATTTTGCAAACCTTTCTTGCGAATATGGATTTTTTTTTTAACGGAAAGGCTTTCAAATGGATCAGATGACCGCTGGACATAAGTCGAAACTCATAAATGTTTTGACCTTTGCATTTTCATATTATGCTGCGAGTAATTATGTTGACCTTTTTCCTCTTTTGTACGTATTGATATACCATAATATATCAGTCCGCAATTTGTGAATCTCACCGCAATAATTCATTAGACTCTGAATGAGATGGATGACAGCAGAGGAAATCCTCCACTTTCTAAATTCTCATTTGAGCTATATGTGAGATAATTTTCTCTTTTTCCTTTCAATACGTATATGTGTGTGCACACACGCGCCTCAGCATGCTTATCTTATGAAATATGGGTTACTTTGATCAGAGTTGATGATGGTAGGATAGCTTCCTGGTTCTGCTAGGCCTTTCTTTTGTGTTCTACACTGTGCAGTTTCTTGATCTAACTTGATTTTAAGCAGTATATAGCTGTTATAAATGCACTATGATGTTTTTGGAGACAAATTTCTTTTCAAAGGTTAAGACTCCCATCATTAACTAGCCCTTTATCTCTCATTCTTTTACTAAAGAAATTATTTGCACTTTTGCAGAACCTGGGCTTGATTAAGATCGCAGCTCTTAAACAATTAATTTATGTCATTTCTTGCCATTCTCCATTACCTGTAGCTATTAGTTAAATAAAGTTGTTTTGCTAATTTGGAGCTCCTCATTGTTTTTCAAAATATAGTGTTCAATTGGAATAAACTTTTATCTATCCTACTATTTATTTGTGAGGATAGACCAAAGAAAATAAATAAATTAAAGAAACTTTTTGCATTTCAAATCATCAATTTCAAGCTGGAATTTTAACTAAAATCATAATATTTTTTCATGACCAAAGTGACTTTTACTACCACTGGATAGTTCAATAAGAAACAACACTTTATGCCATATCTTAGATATCCTAAAACACCTCTTATTTAGATTGTTCTCTTTAACAGTCATATGTTCGTGGATGTGGCAACTGGTATCTTGATGCATGAGAAGTGCACACGTGCACGCACAAGCACACACCTAGAAGTCAGTTACTTCATTGGCTGTATTATCTGCTTGACTGCATGTGTGTTTGTATTGTGAAATCAGTAGACGGATCTTCTGGCCAATGTGTATAAAGGAAGTTGATGTCATGGGTGTTGAAGATTATGCAGGCCATTCAAAATTGAAGCCATCTGTTGTGTTAAATGGATCTGCAAAAGAATGTAATAACGGACCAACTATCGGTCTTATTGACATTGGTGTCAGCCAAAGTGCCTTTCTTTTCCGAGTTGCATTGCCTGGTATCAGGAACGATCAAAGTAAGTTTTCTATCTTTAAATATGTATATTAATGGCATGTAAAATGCTGTGCACCAGTATAGTTGTTCGGTTCTCTTCCTATTACTACTAATGACATATTATTCTAGTTACTCTAAATAAATGCAACCAGAATTGCTGTGTGGTATGAACCCTTGATATCCTGTTGAACAAAAAATATAATGAAGATGAGTAGATCACTAAGTATGTAATGATTGTTCCAGCAGGTAAGGTAAAATGTGAGATCCAACGTGATGGAAAGGTTCTTATACAGGGCATGGTAACAGAAGGCACTGGACTGGTGCAAGGATTATCGAGCATATGCCAAATGAGAGTTGAGAAATTATGCTCTCCTGGGCCATTCACCATATCCTTTAATCTGCCCGGACCAGTTGATCCACGACTTTTTTCTCCTAGGTTCCGTCCTGATGGCATTCTGGAAGTGGTGGTCATGAGATACAGGAGGCCAAGTGATTCAACCGATGCCTGGGTTCCACCTTCTTGAGATCATTGCAAAAATGAAAAGAAAATGTTCTTGTTAAAATGATTACCTTGTTTTTTTTTTTGGTTCGGATTGCATTGAAACATGCTGCTGTTTTAAAATGCGAACAAGTGGAGCGAATTTTCGAATGGACAGATCCATTATCTAATTCCTCTAGTTGAACAAGGTAGAAAGATTTGTAGGGGGTGGTGCTTATTAAATCGTGTGATATTCCCCATTTAAACCATCAAATACCTTGATACTATAAATAATCTTGTTATGGTATGGTATGGTATGGTATGGTATGATAGGGAAGTATATATATACACAAGGTAAGGGGATTTTTATTAAACGTACCAAGCATATGTGTATTACTACTTATCTATTATTTGTAGTCTTAAAAGTTATATTTGATACTACAAATTTCATACATTATCAGTCAATTAAATATTACTTCATTAAATGAATAAATTTAAACATTTGAGAGGCCACTTTGTTGATTCCTCAAAGGCCTTGAGGCTTTCCAGTGTTCCTCTTCATCCTCATGTAGCCTTTCTAACCCCATTTGGATCCCCATGAGTTCTTGATGGTTATGTAATCCAAGAACTCATGGCTACATGAGGATGAAGAGGAAGACTGGAAAGCCTCAAGGGATCAACAAAATATATGGGACATGGCCTAACTGTCTGAAATCAGAACAGGCTGCTAATTCGTTGCAGACCTAGATCTTTCCTAGGCCCAAATTGATGACGGGCTTCGTACGTAATAGCAGCAAAGTAATAACCTTTCTCATCTCGCATTGGTAGTCTTCTTACTTGTGAAGTCCACCATTGGAGACAATGTAGGCAAATGCATAGTCCATAAAACCTCATTGTTGTACGTGGTAGCACAATCAATCGGCTCTTGATCAGAAAGTGAAGTCAAATTTCCGGTAACAATCTGGTTTATACCCTCCACTGCAGCCACAGTTGAAAATACCCAGCAACTACCTGCATATAATTATACATAATTAATTACCATCAGTTTTGCGCATGTTTTTTGTGATTAAAGAGAGTGCGCATCTGTATGATATGCTAAACGCATGAACCTTGGTTCTTGACGCGATTAACAGCTCCTTTCTTTCTCCAATCCACAACATCTCTGTAATTAGTAAACTCTTCATCGGTCTCTCTCCTTCTGCTTCTAGGCACATCTTCTTGAACTCTTCAAGGCTCAAATCCGCCAAGTCATTCAGTCAAAGCCAGTAGTTAAGGACCTTCTTATTAGTCTCATCAGTGTGCATTAGGTTATCCTTGAAAATGTCAAAACGACAAAACGTCCTCTCGTAAACCTTTCCATGCTTTGACATCCACGGGTCAAATAGATCAATAAGCTTGTCCATGGATGTCAAATCATCTGGCAAACAGCCCACGATTGAAAAATCGTGAGCTAAAGCTGAATATATATGCAAAGAGACCCAAAGAAAAGGATACAAGGGAGACCTTGAGAATGCTATTTTCAGCTAAAATCTGGTAAAACAGATTAATAGAGAGGATTAATTGAAGACGAACGAGTAGACATGGATAGTTATTTATATAGGTTATGATTCATGTGCATTGCTTCCAAGTAGGGTCGTTAGCAATGTTCCTGCATTCTGAGTAACTAATTAAGCTGGCTTTGAATCCAAGTCTATGATCTCTTCATTCCTTGATATATTATTTATATATAGTTCAATTTAATGATAGGTGATTAACTATTTTTATTCGATATGGTATATTCTTAAACTTACACTAAAACAGTATTTCATTTGTATCTTGTTGTTATGAGCTTGGACATCATGTGCTGCTGGCTATCTTAATACACATATACTGCACTCAAATGTACATTTGCACCATGTCATGACAACTCTACTGGTCAATCTTTGATGCCCTCAGAACTCCAACTCGATTGAACCTCAAGTGAGGTCGAATGACTCATTAGTATTATTTTAATTTCTAGCAAATTTATAATGAATGGAGTGGTTAGTTTTTTAAGACTTGTCCCTTATATTTTTTTCCTTTTACCATTCATTATTGGTGGGGGTGAGAATTGAAGGGAAAATTTTAGTGAATAACTTCAGTACCAAATGGCAATTAGAAAATGAGAATGTGGTAAAAGTGTTGAAAGCCTGGCTAGCAAGGTAGGTGGCGTGTAATCAAATTTATCCCACGCAAATAGCAGCGACTTACCAACCCATCACATATATTAATTTCATTGTCTTATTAATTTGTGATATATGAAATGATATATAAATACACACTTTCCAAAAAAAAATTTTTACAAAACCACTCCAAATTGAATTATTTAACGAGAAAGTTAATTTCATGAATTAATGTGGTTTCATGGCAACCATATATATATATATATATATATATATATATATAAAACAAAACGCTAATAACTACTTTTGACGCGCATTATTATTAGGAATTGAAGACCACCTACCTTGTCTTATCTTAGATGAATAGCTATTGGATTTTTTTTTAATTTGGTTTTAGGGTTAAAATGCATATACGTGTATATGACATATAAGAGCTCTAAGTCCAAGTCTAGGTCTCTAACTGAGACTATTATTTAGAGAGAGGAAAAAAAAAAAAAAAGACTTTTGCAAATTAATTAAAGACTAGGCTTATAGTGCCATGTGCAGCCGGCAGTGGGTGAGTGATATTAATTTTCTCATTTTTATTTTTAGATAAAATATATGTATTAAGTGATATTTCGTGCGATGCTATATAGATGTAATGCGTTGATTTCACTGATGTGTATTAGTATTATTTAATAAGTATTTTAAACTTAAATTACATTAAATAGTAAGTATATTTATTAACAATTAATTAAATTTATGAATATCATAAATGATTAAATTTGTGAATAATTAAATTGACTCTATTTAAATTTGATTCACAATTGTTTAATAATAAATATGAATTTATATATTTAAAATTTAAATAACATTGAAAGATGAAATACATTTATTCATAATTAATTAAGTTTATAAATATTTTAAATTCATAAACATCTAAATTTATAAATAACCAAAATACATCTAATCATAACTAAAAAAAAATAATATTTAACATGATAAACGAATTATACGTACATCACAGTGTCTACATGGTACAATATTAAAAATTCAGGAAAAAAAAAAAAAAAAAACGTTTCAAGTGTTAAACTAGTACCTAATTATTTATAATTAAAACATATTACTAGTAACTCAATATGTTCACATCTAATAATAATAATAATAATTATTATTATTATTATTAAAAGAGGTTTTTATATATCTTCCAAAAAGGAAAGCGGAGGTGATGGCGTTGGTCAATTGCGGAGAAAGGAGGGGTGGGAATTGGGAATAGGTTCTTAATTGGATTGTATTTTATCATGGCCTGGCAGCTGCCCTTCAGAAATAGGCATCTCTGAGAATTATAAAACCACAAGCGAGCAGAGAGGAGCCCTTCCATTCGCTAAACGTCCCACGTGTAATCTGCAAGAGACTGCTTTTTGGGAGTCTTTACGCAAATCTGCCTTTGTTTTACCAATTTACTTAATTTTCTTAGTTTCATTACACACGTGCGCATCAACATTTGTTAATAATTTAAATTTATCATTAATATTTTAATTAATATCATTTTATTTTTAATTTTAGAACAAATTTGTCATCATATTTTTAATTTTAAAATAAATTTAGTCAAGTTAAAAAATATATTATATAAAAATTTCGTTAAAAATTATTTATAAATAAGAATGAGAAGAAAAGAAGTCAAAACCAATTAAAACGTATGATGTAATATTATATTTAGTAAATAATACCATTATGAAAGAAGAAAATTTATGATTTATGTAATATTATATTTAGTAAAAAAAGAAAAAAAATAAATTATAGCTTCATGGTTATTTTTTCTTTACCATAAATATCGTTTTCAAAATTACATTTTGAATTGTAAAACAACTTCTAATGAAAACTTTTACCCAATATTCTTTAATTATTAAAAATTTGAAATATGATGGTTAGTTTGCCCAAAAATTAAAGTATGATAATAAAATTTTATTAATTAATGATAAATTTGAACAACTCAAATAAATATGTGTGATAAATTTATATTTTATCATTAAATTATAAAAATATTTCCGCATCACTAATATTTTTCTAAAATTATTTTTGTATTTTTAAAATTATTATTTAGTTAATATCCCTCTTTTGAGTTTTATAAGTTGAAGTTTGTATCAGATCAAAAAACGCAATAAGTGATGTGCAAATTGATCCTCCTTTTGTGTGTGTGTGTATATATATTAACTACTTTTGATTATAGGTGCAGTGGAGAAAGCATGGACGGAACTCAAGGAAGAGACCGTGATGGGGTGGGGTAGACTCTTAGACTTTTAGAGATTTTTTTTTTTTTTTTGGTGACTAACAGACTTGTAGAGTTTTAATTATCGTTGTTAATTAAATAGCTTTTATTGCTGCTTGGACTTGTTTATATTTCAGTGTTTTTTTTTTTTTTTTGTTTTTTTTTCGTAAATCCACATGATTAAAAAAGAGAGGAAAATCAGTGGATACGCATGCATCACGAACATCCTGCCTAAGGAATCACAATAAACAAAAATAAACAAAGAGAGAGAGAGAGAGAGAGAGAGAGAGAAAGAATCATATATAGGTCCCCCACTATTCAATAATTCATCTGTTGCAAATTCCAAATATTGGATGAAAAAAAAAAAAGGTACGGAAATGGAAAAAAAAAAGCGGGTGTTTTTAGCTTCTCTCTCTTGCATTGGCAGAAAGAGTAAGCTCCATGATTGACATATAGAAAAATTGGATGATATATTATTATATAGAGTGAGAGAATAAAAAATTAAAAAAAAAAAAAGATAAAAATGAAAGTAAAACTACAAAAGAGCCGCTCTTGAATTGAATAAATAATAATGAGGTTGCCTTTTTCTCCTGGACATGTCCTTCTCTATCCGCTGCTCGTCCTTCACTTATTAATTGTCATCTTATCTTTTTATAGGCTTTATATACTAAGACTATCCAATCCAAAGAAACAACCCCAAAAAATGAGGGCGAAACTACAATTGTATCCTACATTGTCATCATCTATCTTAATTATTTCTTTCTTCACTATATATTCCCTTCAAGAAAAATGTTGGCACAGATCACAGATTGCTATAAACCAAGGCAAGACTGAGAAAGAAGAAATTAACAAACGCATTTGCTTACTTTTTGAAGGCCGTACGTTGCAAATAATTTTTTGCCTGATTGCTCTTTAAGTAGCTAAACTGAGTCACCCAAGTTCCAACCCCACCTGTACTGTGCAGGCACAGGCAGGGTGCAGCGGCGCCGAGCTAACATCAAATAAATAAATAAACTCTAATTTTGTATGGATGGACTCTTTAACTCTTATATTGGTGGGTCAAGCTAACTTCACTGGGCCACTCCTTTTGATTGTGGGCCCCGTGAGTAGAAATGGGGCCGTGCTCTTTTTTTTTGTTTTTTTGTGTTCCTTGTTTTCCTGTTCTTCCCCCCACGAGGGGAAGGAAGCGCATACACAGACGTTATGCAAAAAGGTGCTCAATAATCAGAGCTAGAGAGAGGCCCTAACAGTTGTAGGAACAGGAAAAAGAAAACATATTGAAAAAATAGCCGTAACAGCTACGGACTAAGGGTAGCGGCAGGTGAAGGTGATGGATAGGCTTATATAACCTATATTTATTTATATATAATATGAAAAATCTGTGTGTGACAGAGAGAGAGAGTAATCAGAAAATAAAATGCTATTCTATTACTACCTACTACCATAGACGTGCAGGGGATCCTGGCTGTTGTTATCTTTTACTTGGGTGACTCACTAAGATCTAGACGCTTGGTTGCTACAGGATAGAGAGAGGAGCGGCAGCCTACGACAACCTTTTAATTACCTGGTCATCTACACGTGCAACGCCGACATTTCAAGGGCTGCCCCCAATTAATGCTCCTTACCCCTAAATCATCAGTTCATTACTCCTTTGCCGATGACATATATGGCTCCCAGAACCTCCATCTCATCTACGTAACTGTATAGTAAGGTTTATAATATATAATGTTTATCCACTTCATCTGACTTAATAGCTGCTAACCAATAAATGTTATCTGGGGAGGATCTCGTTTTTTTATAACTTTTTATGAATCTTCCGAAATATATATATTTATTTATTTGAGTTTATTTAATCTTAACAAAATAAAAAATAGAGCTTGGGTTATTTGTATAAATTAATTCATCAAACCACTAGTCGTAGTAGTATTTTTATTTTGATCTGCACGATGACTGTCTTCCGCCTGTTGTTGCAAAGATGAGATAAGAAACAAATTTCTTTACTTTAACCTGCCGTTACTTTAACACAGCCAAGCGTAAAAGCAAAAGACTTCGCTTAACGGAACACAACATATGCCATTACCAAGGATATGACAGACTCGGAAAGAGAGCTTTAAAACTTGAAAGTGGATCTGCAAGCTTTCCCACTTAACAGTGGAGAAGGACAGTCTGCATCAATTGGCAATGGCAAAGGTGTGGAAACATAAAATTTTTATTACATATATCCAAAAAAGAGGTTAAAAGAAGAGAAAAGAAAAAAACTACCCCGGTGTCGTAGATTTGGTAATCTTGTTGTACAACTAAACTAATATTATATTATTATTTGTATAAAAAAAAGAATTAATTCATGATGATCTCACTGTTATGTGAGCTAAGCTACCCTCGTCTTATCCATCTCTGAGAACCTGACTCATCTCTCCTTTTCTCTCTCTCAATATGCTCACAAACGCACGCATAAATCTCTGCCCTCTGCAACCAACTTTGCATCTACTATCCTCTCTATTACCACTACATCTGAATCTCTCTTGTTTTTCCGAAAAACGACTTTAAATTTCTTTCCCTGTTTTGGAAGCCTTTCAGATGCGCTTTTGTATATAGGCCCCTTGCTGCCTTTTAAAGAACCCAAACCAAACCTCCTCAAATGGCTTCTCTTCTTTGGTTTTAGAGTTTTTAGTGCTTCTCTTCATATATTGCATTTTACTAACCCTTGCTACCCATTCATTCACAATTTAATCACAAGTACCTTTTTTTTGGGCCACAACAATCACTAGTACCCTTTTGTTACAAATCCTACCCTCCCTTTCTTATTTCTCATTGCGAGACAAACACTACAGCTGTGTGAGAAGATGTTAGCAGTGGAAGAACTTTTAAGCGAACTTACTGGGGAAGAAGCAAACGAGCAGGGTTTGCCGCCGGGGTTTAGATTTCATCCCACTGATGAAGAACTGATAACTTTTTATTTGGCTTCAAAGGTATTTAATGGAAGCTTCTGCGGAGTGGAGATTGCTGAGGTTGATCTTAACAGATGTGAACCTTGGCAGCTTCCGGGTATATATATGCTTGCTTCTCGCCAAAGTCATAATTAACAGTATAATTATATGAAAATATCTGTGAGAATATTCTCTATCTGCTTTATATCATGGCATTCTCTAGCATGTTGCTGGCTCGACATGCTTGTAGATTCCTCAGATGTGTTCCTTTTTCTTTTTTTCCCACCCTCTCAGCTGTGAAGATACTCTTTTTGTTTTTCCTTTCTTTATCAAGATAAATACATAAAATTAATGCCGCTTTCTTTCTGAGTGGAGTCGAGTTAAGACAACAATGTAGACTAGTTAAGCTGTAGTTTACAAATTAGAGTGACCTATGATCTTCATTTATATGCCTTAATGTTCCTGCAGCTGTATCCTGGTTCTGGGTCTTAAAAGAGTTTCTGAAAAAGTACAGTCAATTATGGGTTATGGCAGAGCCTGAGTCTTGAATTTTAAAATAGACCAAGAGCTCTGTGGTAAAGCTCGATTTGAATTGTGTTTAGTAAGTATATTTGCAGGAATGATTCTGCATACTCATTTTAGACGGAAGAGCCCTACCTAGCTTACAACACTTAATTTCAACAAAATGTTGGAGACACGTAGCTTATCTCTCCACTTATTGCATTGTTTTTATCTAAAAAAATATATTTTTCCTTGGAAAGTTTGAAGACCTCGTCATTGTCAAGCACTTGAGTATGGTACACACATTCCCTTTGAGCCATTCCACACCATGTATTTTTGGTTAGAAAAATTCCTGTAAAAGCTCTAACAGCATAAATTTCTGGCAAGATATCATTCATCTAATAAATGTTTATCTGAGAGACAGTGGGACTTGGAGAGGATTATTGAATAATTGTATCTTTAATTTTCTTGCTGGGAAATAGTAGTAGCAGTAGTAGCAGCAGTAATAGTAATTAACAAATGAGATTTTGATTGATCAGATGTGGCCAAAATGGGGGAAAGGGAGTGGTACTTCTTCAGCCTGAGGGACAGGAAATACCCAACTGGACTGAGAACAAATAGGGCCACCGGAGCTGGGTACTGGAAAGCCACAGGCAAAGATAGGGAAGTGTACAGTGCCTCAAGTGGAGCCCTTCTTGGCATGAAAAAAACCCTTGTATTCTACAAGGGCAGAGCCCCCCGTGGCGAGAAGACCAAGTGGGTCATGCATGAGTACCGTTTGGACGGTGACTTCTACTACCGCCACACGTGCAAGGTAATGGGCCCCACACCCTCCACACGTGCTCCGTGGGAATCAAGCTAGCTCTATACCCTGCAACACACCCCAACCCCTCCCTCCTCTTTTGTCGCTTTCTGGGTTGACTTATTACACTGCACATTTTAACTGCTGGCAGTTTATAACACCAAACTCTGCAGTGGTGTGGTGTGCATGCCGACTTGACCATTTTCACCTTATTATTAACCACCGGGGTAGTTTTTGATGTGATTGGCTTGATTTCACCCACTGCCATGGCTGCCAGCAGCAGCTGGCTTTTTTTTTTTTTTTTTTAAATTATTCCAGCAAATCCTCTGCACCTTCTTACTTTGGTCATTGTTATCTTAATAATAATAATAACTATGCACCAGTCTAGTCAGTACAATGTATCCTTGTCATCCTTAGTACTAGTAATTACTGTACTGATTGTACACAAAATTTAAGGAAGGCTAAGCAACACTGAAATGTCTACATGACTCTCAACTATAGGATCTAAAGTTGTAAACCCTATTTCTTTTTCTTTCATAGAACTTTACATCAGTCAATTCTTTTTCGCTTTGTCAATACTTATACGTCTTCTACAACGGTTATTTTGCAGGAAGAATGGGTGATTTGCAGAATATTTCACAAAACAGGTGAGAAGAAAAATGCCCTTGCTCAAGGATCACGCTATATCTTGGAAGTTTCATCTCCAACAACTTCCTTGCCTCCGCTGCTTGAAACACCAACAGGTCCAACACCCTTTTTATTAGAATCTCAATCTCAAACTCCAATGCAGGCCCAGAACCCTTTTCTTATTCACCGCCAAGAAAATGACCTGAAAAGCCTACTAAACCCAGTTGTCTGTCAATCCCTACTCTTTCCGGCTAATGGGTTCCAACCCTCCCTTTCAACCACTCCCACGGCCACCATAATCACTTCCACTATTACTAGCACAACGAACAAGAACGCTAGTGTCACAAACACAAACAACGACCCATCAGCATCGGTGCTCTTCAAGTCCCTCCTCTCGCAACAAGATTGCATTTTGAAGGAACAAGCCGCTATTCCCAAACAGTGCAAGGCAGATTCTAACTTTTCCCATTTCCAACTGCCTGGTGCCACCTTGAACTGGATGGACAGGATTCATCCAAGCCCATGCCAAAATCCCTTGTTTTTTGAGATGGATTATAGTGTGTTGGGGTTCTCTGAAGGTGTTACTGCTGGGGACACTTCCGTCCATGACATGTCCACTTCAATTGCTTTCAATAGGGCCAGCGTTCAGATGACGTTGGATCCTCCCATCAGAACCTCTGGAGATTCTTGGCCGCTAGATTGTTAAAAGATCTTGTATTGGTAGGACCCTATTTCGATGATGACTATATATTTTCCGTATACGTAGTATTTATTTATATATAGAATCTTTAACTGTATGTGCTCTTGGGGTAAAATGTAAAATGAGTGGCTTACTTCTACCCAAACTCCAAAGGCAATCCATTCATGTATCTTTCTAGGATTGGAGAAAATCCTTCAGCAAATTAAAGACATAGCAACCGATTGTGTTACCATTTGTATTTGTATCTGTATTTGATATATTACGGAACTTCCTACTCCTTTTAAGTATTTCTTCTCTTTAAAATTTTCAGCAAAAGCCATGAAACATTGGGATGGAGTGTGAGGTGAGAGAGCATGGAAATGGAAAAGAAGGCCAAAAAGGGCCAGTGAGCAGCGAAAGTTTTAGTTTGATGTGACGCCACGGATGATTTTATTACAGGCGTTTACAATATTTGACGTCACCAATAAGTATGATTGATTTGATGATGGGGTAGGGTGCCCTTTCCCTTCCTTAATTAATTTCCTTCGGGCCTTGCATGCGTGACCAGACTTGTACCTAAGTTAGAAGGGGCTTCGCGTAGGGAGACAAGGGGTTTAGACAGGGATATCCCGATCCAGGAAAGCATTTATTATGTATCATTAATAAAGTCATTATTGGATTACAATGTCATCATCAATTAGTTCGGCAATAATCATGCCACACATAGATTCTCTCTACTCCTTGACTTGTCTCTGTCCATGTACATTAGTTTTTTACTCTTTTCCTCTGCTGCAAGGAAAGAAAATAAAGCGGATTGAGATTTGCTGAAACCTAACGGCTATTCAACGTAATACTTTTTGAACAATAGACGTTTGAAAATTTTTAACCGTTGAAAATTTCCCTTTTTTGGTTTGATTTACTAAGCAAGCATACATTTTAATAAACTACTAATTTCACCATCATTGAGATGGAGACCAATGTCGTTCAATAAGAGTCATGACAATGAATGGCCATGAAGTTGAGCATACTGAATATCTCCAAACTCATCATTGCACCATCTTCGCCAAAGAGTAGTGACAAAACAGGTACGGCGTCGAGACATCGAAATCAGGGTCTGGATTCTTGCCTATGTCGATCGACTTTACCCAAAGAACTCACTTTTCTATGTATAGACCTTTATGGAAAACAGAGTCTGATCCAGCCCCAGGCATTGCCACTTTATATGATAAGGCTTGGAACGAACAAAAGGACAACCATCCTCGGCTATTTTCTGGGTTAAGCCTACCACTGGGACATGTTCCTCTAAAGCGGGGTTGCCATTGAATTCATGATGGCCAGCCACCATTATTTGCGAAATCTTTGGAGCCGCATCGACACTCTCACTTTGAGCGTATTTACTAATACTAACAATTTCAATTACAGAACCTTTTTTGACCCAACTAGACATTGTTCAGTGAAAATCAATAATGCCACCAGCGGAAGCTATATTTTCTCCACTCAAATAATTTAGTATTAAATTGTGTTTATCTTGATATATTTTATTCAAAAGTTCACTTCGGTGCTTTAGCTTTTCATCTCTCTTTCAACCCCCCCCCCCCCCCCCCCCAAAAAAAAACAAAAGCGTCTCACTTACCTAATTTTCCTAAACCATGTTTGTATTTAAACTTCTTGGAGTATAGTTCTAGAAGCAAGGCCAAACGACCAACTAAGCACTTCCCTCTAGAGCTTTTTATTTCACACCTTAAACCAACATACTTCTTATTTGGATAATTAAAATTAATAAAAAAAAAAAAAAGAATTCTAATACCTATTATTTAGATAAAGAGTTAAAAAAAAATGATTCATTATAATAATTTTTTTCAATTATAACATTTCATTACCTGTAATTTTAAAATAGTCCTAGACCATGATATGTTTACTATCTTGTTGACCTCACAATTGCTACTATATCAATGATTTTTAATCATGTGAAACCAAAAGATAATTTCTAAACATGCATTGATAGATTTTTTAGCCATTGCCAAAATTTCAATACACTATCACTTTGGCAATGTATTCATGTAAAAGCTATTAAATATAAAAAATGCAATCAGATAAAAATATTACATCTCATAAACACAAAAAATATGTCTATTCATGTTCAATCATTCATCAAAATCAAATCATCAAAAAATTATAAAAAAATTTTATATTGGAAGAGACATGTGAAACTTATTTGAAAAAAGAGATGCCTCTGAAAATATTATAAGAAAATTGTAATATGGTTAGGTTTTTTTAATTAGGTTTTTAATATTAATAAAAAGATGGATATAATAGTCTTTTTATAAAAATAAAATTTTTCAATTTTTCTTTCCTTAGCTTTTCCTTCAAATTGGGATATTAAAAAAGTGAAGATTACAAGGAAAACCAAAGGTTATTGAGTTTTCACCTCTTTTCTTTCATTTAAATTAAAAGTTTATCCAAACAAAGAAAAGGTTTTTCTATTTCCACTACTTTCCTTTATTTTCCTTTCCTTTCCTTTCCTTCCCTTCCCTTCCCTTCCCTTCCCTTCCCCTCAATTCAAACATAGTATAAAAGAAAAAAGATCAAGGAATTTTGGCCTTACTGCTACAACAAAATCTATAGTCTAAAGTCCAACCTCAAAGATGCCTGAGACTATACAAATTTCTTTCCTACTACTTATTTTCTGCACTATTCTATCATGTTTTAAGTGGACAGCGACATTCAAATCAAAATGAACTTTAGATGGCACCATAATAAAACTGAGAGGATCATCTTTGGGAAACTCAATGTTAAACATCGTACTATTGAAACTTTAAAATATCTCAGAAATAAGTTCAAGCTAGCTGCTTAACTATTTCAAGCTTATTGCTACTCATCACTAATTCAAGACCCTGATATATAAAAACACCATAATATACCAAACACATGACCAAAGACAGAAAGTAAAGAGTTTTACGTTACGAAATAATGGTCTATCTAGGTTGAGAAGCACAGCTAAGAAGACAACACATTATCTATAAAGACTTACTCGGGATTGACTCCAGGTCTCAAAGGCTTAGCTAAACTCAAAATCATGCAACTGCTATAAATTTGTTCACACCCAGTTCACAACTGAGCTCATATTGATGCAAAGCTGGTAAAACTAGAAACCACATTTACTAATTTCCTTCACTCTCTCACCCCAATAAATAGTAACAATGGGACACAATTAATCCACCAAATTTCTAGCTGCAAGTGACCATATTATAACATTTCTAGGTTCAAGTGGGCCCAACAATCTGAGGCAAGCTTAATTAGAAAAATAGAGAGCATTGATGATCATTTAACAACATATTAATCCAAATTATTCAACAGCGTAATTAATGGGCCAATTTCATATTCATTGCATAATGTCCTTCCTTTTTTTTTACGGTCTGAGAAGATTGTAACTCAAAAGTTCTTTGAAGGCAAGCAATCAACTCTCTACATACCTAGAAACAATATGCTGAAATCTTGAAGAAATCCCATTATTGAAAATAGGCACATAGCCCTGATAAAAAAAATAAGTAATGGTTAGAAAGCATCCAAAAGTGTATTCCTTAAACCAGCATGTGTTCCTCAGCATTCAAGAACTAAAAGTGTATTCCTGCAAAAAGTAAAACTTCATGCTTCAAAATTTTCCTCCCAATGGAACTTTAAGCTGTATCAAAACATTAAGTTGGTTATTAAAACAATTATGCTAATACGAATTTCCAACATTCACTGAAATAGCCTTTTGCAAATAATTACTAGTTCATACCCTCACACTTGTTGCACGGGAGGAGAAGACAAATTTGGCTAAAAGCATCAACAATCAAAGAAATGAATGCATTGAACCATTGCTAAAATGAGTTGTCAATGTATAAAGAAATATAGTTCATAGAATCTTAAAAACTGCCTATCCAATTATCAGTGGAGGGAAGCATGCGAATTGGATTGCTGCATGATTTAACCAAGTAGATTACTAGAAGGTACTGATAAACCTAGTTGAGGAAATACACAAAACATAAAAAAAAAAAAATCAGTTATTATTTGTTATCTGGCATACATGTGTTATAGTATAGGGCATATCAGAGTCTTTGAAGGAGAAGAGCTATTGCTCTACAAGCTGGAGCAGAAATGTATGACTATCTAAATGCCTAAGGAAACGGATTAAAGCCTCATGGATGGACAGGATGACATACCAAACAATAGTGAACCAAAAGTAAAGAGGCAGGGAAAATCAATCTTGTCAATGCAGTTGTACACTATAACTCTCTTGGATGGTCACTGACTATTATAAAAGCTGGCTACAGATTTCAGATTAGAAGCAGGTGATCAACAACACGGATGGAAGCCACAGTTGATGACTTTGCCTTTCCTGACTTATGGAATCCAACTTCTTAAAAGGCTAAAAGACTGGAAAAGGCTATATGCAAATTGAATTGCAGCAGTAAGGAGAATAAAAATTCCTATCAAATCACAATCAGATCCATTTCTGACAATAATTAAAAGGTAGGGAGGACATGATGAACAATGCTAGTAGTAATTAGTAACCGAAACGCAGGTAATAATACAAAACCCTAACCAAAGCTGATTTAACCCTTTGTCTTCCTACAGATAAAAAAAAAAAAGAAAAGAAAAGAAAAGAAAGAAAGAAAGAAAGAGACGAACCAGGAGAAAATCGAAAGAGAGAAATTAAGTGGGGGATTTGTCCTTCTTGGAAGAAGCGTAGTTGGGAGGAGAGTGAATAAGGGCAGCAACCATGGTAGCCGGTAGCAGCACGTACTTGGACAAAGCTGCTAGCTTTGTCACCAAAGGCTGTCCCCTCATCAAGGCCATTTCTTTTTTCTCTTCTTCCCCGATGCTTGATATTCTGAATCTTACCAACCGCCTATGACTAAACTCCGAACTCTGGTCTAAATCTAAATAAATAAAACATATAATATATATGAGGGAGAGAGAAAGAGAGAGGGGGAGAGGGCCGAGGCCACCTTCTTGGGCTTTGTAGCTTAGCCTAACAGGCGGCCTGCATTGAATATTGGATTGGAATACTTAATATAGTAAGATGGTTTAGTATTTGATGACTTGTTGGGCTGGCCACTGTGTTCGGCCCAAATGGTTGATTGTCAGATTGATTTTATTTATTTATTTTTTATATGTCTAAAAACAAAAATCACTTTTTTATTTTTATTTTTTTAATTTTGGGGACAAATCAAATATCAATATTATCTGGAGTTTCCAAGGAAATAAACAAATATATATAATTAATGTGTTCCTTAAATCACTTTTATTCGCTTAATATATATATATTATTCTTAATTAATTAATATTTAAATATTGTATTTATAATTTGTAGTTAGCTATAGCTATAGGTATAGGAAAAGGAAAAGCAAAAGCAAAAGCAAAATCAATAGCAATAGCATAGCCCAAGAGAAGGAAATAGGTGATGCAAAAATTAACATACTGATGAGTAGCATATTTATATATGTCATTAATTGTTGAATATTAATTAAGTTGCTGTACGTACTAAAGTTGATAACTAACATTTATATATATATATAAGTTAATTGTATGTGGCTGTGTATGCCTTATTATTTTTCAATAAAAGTTAGTTCAATTAGAGCAGGGAAGGAAGAATCAAATGAAATATCCATTAAATTCCAAAACTGGTCATCATGATATCTCCCACAGCCAGCCACGTATATGTATAAAATGTCTTGGACAAAATTAGGAGAGGGCCGGGAAGAAGGGGATGATGGATTGGCTTGGCACATGGCCTTGCACAGACGCACAGAGGTGGGATCACGTTCACGGATGAAGTAATTTTTGCAAAAAAAAAAAAAAAAAAAGAAGCAACTGGGTAACATGCCCCCACGTGGCATGTGCATTTTATCTTGCTTTGTAACTGATAGTCTTAATAATTCCTACTTTGTATTCCTAACCTACGTTCTTCCTCTTTGGACAAGGCTGGCAGATTCATTGTCCATTTTAACCGCATGGTAATTAATAATTCTTTCTTAATTGTATATATATATACTTAAATCATATTTTATAGAGTGATAGTTCATGGCTAATTCTATAAAGTCCAATTAGGGATTACTGAAGTCCAACTTAAAATTGGGCCTTGTGCCCAAGTTAAGGATCCGTCCTTGTCTCTCCAGCCCATTAAACTTCATTTGTATGAATAGCAAAACGGTGGTGACAAAAAATCATATTAAAAGTGTATTAATAAATTAATATATTGAAAATTTATTCAATTAAAATATTAGCACATATTATTTAATATCAAAATAGTCATTAAGATTTGAAGTATTAAAAATTATGAAAATACTTTGAAATATTTTATATATTTAAAAATAATACTTTTAATGATATATAATACAATAATCATATATATATATATATGTATATTTTGTATTTGAAGCAACAAAATAATCATATAAATAAATACACAATAAAAAGAATTCAAAACAAGAAAAACAAAACTTTCATGTTAAAAGATAATGAAAGTATTTGTAACCAGCTGCTCCGTGACTAGTGGCTAGCGCCAACTGGTGTTCCAAATAGCGCTTCATTTAATGTTTGTGTGATGGTAAATTCTCCTGGCCTGGGTCTTAACCAGAGCAGAGAATTACCTGAATTCATTGTCTCAGTCAATAATAATGAACTCGACGATTGAGATGAGTTAGTTGAGTGACCTCTGTTTGACAAATATGTTGAAGGGTTGTTGAGGCAGACTACATCACTTACCACTACTCCACTCTGGTAGTAGTTTCTAATTCTAAGCGCTTCTCTCTCTCTCTCTCTCTAGCAATAATTTTAGTGACAAATAGCTCTTACTTTTCCCCTCATCACTTTTTGAAACTATCTTTGTCTCTAATAAGCATAGAGATTCCCATCGAAGAAGCTGCTCCATAAATCATAATCATACGCTTTGCAGTCCGGAGGGTTTTATTCACTTGTATACACAAGGCAAGATCTTTGTGGCACAAAGCTCTACCTTTCAAACCTCGTACTTGCTTATCTCCTTCTCTTATTAGCAAAAAGCAACACCCTTTTTGCTTCTACTTCCTCTTCTATGCTTTAATTTCACTGTCTTTGTCTCTAAAGTTTCGCCGGTCTAAAAGTAGGTCAGCAACCTGAGAGATCTAAATTCTTGGGTGTATTAAATTTTGCTGTCGTCGATGGTGATTGCTTTCCTAGTTTATTTTACCAATCCCTGTAAAATTGTTTTGTTTTATTTATTGAGTATTTGGGGGTGATATGCTAATGTGATTAACGTTTTGATGTTAGAGTAGAGTGCTTGTGTGGGTTGATTGATGCAATCCTGTTTGGTGTTTTTCAAGTGACAATTAACTTATTAGATCTGTGTTAGTGATAAATTGGTTGATTTGTGATCAGGTTTCTTCTCTGCTTACAGGGGTAGTTCCGGACAGGCTGTTTGATTCATTGGGTGAAGAGATGAGGGGTGCTGCTCTTGTAGCCATAGCTGCTACAGTTGGTAACTTTTTGCAGGGATGGGATAATGCTACGATTGCTGGTACTTCTTCTTTCACATTTACATTGCTATCTACTTGTTTCTTCTCAGCATGACTCACTGAATGTTTGAACCTGATTTTCAAATTTAAAATAAGAATTCATGGACTGCATATTCTTTTCTTTGTTCTCATCATGGTTTTTCTGTGCTTCCTGTTGATTGGGATTCGTTGAATTGACAATTTAACTGTTTCAAAGCTTCCAACAAAGAATATCTAGTGCTTTTTTATTTTGCTTCCCTTGTTTCTTAAACCACCGTCATCTCTATTTGCCGCTCAAAATCCTGTCTTTGCTGTGAATCCTTAAGGTCTATTCACTTCAGCAATCTTTTTTTTCGTGGGGTGCATCCAGGAGCAATTGTGTACATCAAGAACGACCTCAATCTGGGAACTAGCGTTGAAGGCCTCGTTGTGGCTATGTCACTCATAGGAGCTACAGCTATTACAACATGCTCTGGTGCTATATCAGATTGGCTTGGTCGGCGTCCAATGCTGATAATTTCTTCAATGCTTTATTTTGTTAGTGGTTTGGTAATGTTGTGGTCACCTAATGTCTATATTTTATGCATAGCCAGGCTATTAGATGGATTTGGAATTGGTTTAGCAGTTACTCTTGTCCCAGTCTACATATCTGAGACTGCCCCATCAGAGATAAGGGGATTGTTAAATACACTACCACAATTCAGTGGTTCTGGGGGGATGTTTTTATCGTATTGTATGGTTTTTGGGATGTCATTGATGGACTCACCTAGTTGGAGGCTGATGCTTGGGGTTCTATCGATCCCTTCTCTCCTCTATTTTGCCTTGACAGTTTTTTATTTGCCTGAATCTCCTCGGTGGCTTGTGAGTAAAGGAAAGATGCTTGAGGCAAAACAAGTTCTTCAGAGATTACGTGGCAGGGAAGATGTTTCAGGTTCATTTTTTGCTTCCTTTATTTTTCTTATTGAATTCTGTTTTTTTTTTTTTACCTTCTTTTCTCTCCCTTTCTGTGCATGTGTTGGAAATGTAGGGGACTTGGAAGTTGCATTGTTAGATACTGTGCAGAGAGCCAAGAACATAATTTGATGCTCTGCTGAAGCCACTGAGAGGCATAACATAATTATGGATGAGCATAAGTGATAAAATCTAATGCATTTTACGATGGGGATTTCCATTTATGATTGATCTTTATTCCTGAGGATTCAATTTATTCTGAAGAAAAAGGCATGATGCATGTAGGTCATCAGAAACTTGAGTAAATCTGATCAATTTTGGTAGACTATACAAGAGATTGGAAAGTTTACCAGTTTTACCTGTATTTGGAAAGTTTGCCTCTGCTAAGAATTTTTTGCAAGGGTGTTCACATCTTTATTATGCTTCATACCACCAGCCCCCTTGAACCCACAAATGCTTTTATCATTTTTGGATTACCCATTATTCCAATCACTCTAAGTTATATTTGCCATAAAGGTTTAGCTGAAAATTTTCTGTATAATACACTAAGTAACTTATAGCACTCTGTCAAGCCATGTATTTTCTAAAATTTGAAGTATGCCCTATGTTCTAATAAAAATGTCAATATAATTTCAAACATTATCATTATAAATTAAGGAGGACCATGAGCATTTCAGTTGTTTACGCAGAAAAAAACTTAAAACCAGCATGTAAGTGTCTACCAAATAAGCATGACTCAATGTCAAAGCAAAGCTAGTACTCGCGTGCTTGTCTCCTAATTTGGTTGGCATCCTTTTGATGAGTATTGGTATGTTAGGCATCATGTGCGGAGTATATTTTGGGGACAAGAGAAGAAAATTTTCTCTACTCTTGTCTTTTGAGCCCTTTCAATCGCTTAGAATCTTTATACCGAACAACAAAGGAGCCTCCATAGCTTTTTAGTTTCTTTATTGAAAATGATAGAAATTCCTGTGTCTTCGTAGTTTCCTCTTATTTAACTAGTTTAAGACCAATTGAGGGTGTGGATCTTGCTGAGACTTCTTTGATCTGCAGGTGAGATGGCTTTGCTGGTTGAGGGCCTTGGCATTGGAGGTGAAACTTCTATAGAGGAGTACATAATAGGTCCAGCTGATGAACTTGCTGATAGTCAGGAACCTACTGCTGATAAAGAAAAAATCAGATTATATGGACCTGAAGAGGGCCTGTCTTGGGTTGCCAGACCTGTCACTGGACGAAGCATTCTTGGCCTTGCTTCTCGCCAGGGAAGCATGGTGAACCAAAGTGTACCCCTTATGGACCCCCTTGTGACGTTATTTGGCAGTGTGCATGAAAAGCTTCCTGAGACAGGGAGCATGCGTAGTATGCTTTTTCCGAATTTTGGAAGCATGTTTAGTACAGCAGAGCCTCATGTAAAAAATGAGCATTGGGATGAGGAGAGCTTGCAGAGAGAAGGTGAGGACTATGTATCAGATGCTGGAGGGGGGGACTCTGATGACAATTTGCATAGCCCGTTGATCTCACGTCAGACAACAAGCTTGGAAAAGGACATGGTTCCCCCTGCTTCCCATGGCAGTGTTCTAAGCATGAGACGCCATAGCACTCTTGTTCAAGATGCTGGAGAATCAGTTGGTGGTACAGGAATTGGAGGTGGTTGGCAGTTGGCTTGGAAATGGTCTGAGCGAGAAGGTGAGGATGGAAAGAAGGAAGGAGGGTTTAAAAGGATTTATCTGCACCAGGAGGGAGTCCCTGGATCTCGACGTGGGTCTCTTGTATCACTTCCTGGTAATGATATGACTGCAGAAGGTGAGTTTATCCAGGCTGCTGCTCTAGTAAGCCAGCCTGCTCTTTATTCCAAGGAGCTTTTGGATCAGAGTCCTGTTGGACCAGCAATGGTTCATCCATCTGAAACTGCTTCAAAAGGACCAGTTTGGGCTGCTCTTCTTGACCCTGGAGTGAAGCGTGCGTTGTTAGTTGGGATTGGGATTCAGATACTTCAGCAGGTAGTCAGCAGTTCTATTTTTGCACTTCGGATAGTCCTTCCTTAGCCTTTTAATCATCCTGTCATTTTCTATACATTAGCTTACAGATTTGAATGTGCTTTGAAAAGCAATATGGTCCATCCCTCTAAGCTGTAGTTGGATTTATTATTAATTCTTGAGATTAGACCCTATATTTTTGCTAGTAGTAATTGGTTCTGAGGTATCTTGTTTTACATGCTCATAGTTCTTTAGCTTCTGCTACATAAAAATGGGGGTGGGGGCTTGTTACACATTAATGTTCGTCGATTTGTACTTTAAATAGAGAAGTGTGAATCCTTTTATTTGTCAGATGAGCTAATTATCCTGTAATTGTCATGGTAAATTAAACTAATTTTTCTAATTTTATGTGCAGTTCTCTGGCATAAATGGAGTTCTCTATTACACTCCTCAAATTCTTGAAGAGGCAGGCGTTGAAGTGCTTCTTTCAAGCTTGGGCCTTAGTTCAGATTCCGCGTCATTTCTTATTAGTGCATTCACAACCTTGCTGATGCTCCCCTGTATAGCTGTAGCCATGAAGCTGATGGATGTATCAGGCAGAAGGTGATTTCGTTTTCTCAAATATTCTTTTCAACTTGTAATTCTTCAGTCCGAGTCTCCTATATTTTCTTCCTAGGAGTTCCTGAATCTGCATTTTTATAGTTGCCTTGTCAGGTTCACCTGTTTATTCTAAGTTCATTGCCATCTCCTTGAATATGGTAAATAGGACTTGATGGCTTTTTTTATTCATGTTTTTCTGTTAAAAAGATTCAAATTTTTATCCTGATAACTGTTAGTTTGAATATCTTGACTTTAAAAGTCAGAATCACCTTAATTTTCTTCCTTCACAGTTCACACTTACTTTTTCCCCCCTTAAGAAAATGGGAAAAAAAACTAATACTTTTATTTTTTGCAGGCGGCTGCTCCTCACCACAATTCCTGTGCTTATAGTGTCACTAATCATTCTAGTTTTTAGCGAAATTGTGGATATGGGCTCGGTAGTAAATGCTGCTATCTCAACTGCATGTGTTATTATCTACTTCTGTTGCTTTGTCATGGGGTATGGACCAATTCCAAATATCCTTTGCTCTGAGATCTTTCCAACAAGGGTCCGTGGCCTTTGTATTGCCATCTGTGCTTTGGTTTACTGGATTGGAGATATCATTATTACCTACACTCTGCCTGTGATGCTCAGTTCTATAGGCCTTGCCGGCATCTTTGGAATTTATGCTGTTGTATGTCTCATCTCTTGGGTCTTTGTCTTCTTGAAAGTCCCGGAGACCAAAGGCATGCCACTTGAAGTCATTACTGAGTTCTTTGCTGTTGGTGCAAGACAGGCCACTGCTACCAAGAATGAGTAACTCACTGCTTTAAACGGTGACAATACCTCTGTAAGCTTTCATCCAACTGAGATTTTTGTGCATTCTTGTTGCATTGAAAATGAGGGATTAAAATGATTTTTTGTTTCCTTTTCAATTGAGTTATAGTAATACCAATTTAATAAAGAGCATGGTGGAGATGGATGTTTCATGACAGCTGTTCTTGATCAGTAGGAATAGACTTGAGTAGCTACTCTCAAGCGAGTACAGAGGTGTCAAAATTTCTTGTTTGGAAGTAGTCTTAGAAATTGTAATGCCTTGTAATTTAGTAAAAGTTCCTTTCAAAGATGTTAGAAGCAAAATACCAGTTTTTCTTCAGATTGTTATAAGTTAAACTTTCGGCCCCTTCTACCTCTTCTGAGAAGCAAGGCAATGGGAGCTTGGACTGAGGAGAAACAATGGGAGAAAAGGGAGGAAAGATCAAATCAGCGGCATTCCTTCTTCCAATCTATCTGAAGGGCGGCCCATTAAATAGATGTAGGTCTCATGGCTATACCTTTTAAAATCCAAGATTTTCTTCGATCCTCCTCTCCTCGTACAGCAACATATATATATATATATATATATATATATATATAGAGAGAGAGAGAGAGAGAGAGAGAGAGAATATCGTTCCATTTATATGAGTATAATCTTTACATTGTTTTGAATATTTTGGATAAAAATTATTAAATTAAAAAAATTATTCTAATTCAAATAAATCATAAATTTAATTTTAATTTAAAAAATATAAAATTATACTAATATAAAGTGAATCTTTTCTCTACATACAGACAGTGAGAGTGGAAAAGATGAAAATAAAATGAATGAAAGTGCAGCAACCAATCATGCATACTCACGTTGCTACAGACCATATAATTGCTATGCAAAATCTTAACATAGAAAAAACTGCATTTAAAGTTGATTGACCCTTGAATTAGTTTACATTTCGAGGTTACGGAAAGAGTTCATAATATACTCTTTCAAATTAATAAGTAATAATGTAAAAGATTTAAAGGTAAATTAGAAAATTAAAAAAAAAAAAAAAAAAACCGCATTTAAATAAAATGGACCAAATCAATTACTGCAACTATATGTACAAACTCTGCTCTCCCGTTTACAATTCCAGATCAGGTTGGGCTACCTCGAAATCAATTCCAGAGGTAATTCACGAGGATCTTATCTTTCATATACTACAAAATCAGGAATTCCTTGCAGGATAATAGTAGATTCAATAAACTGACACCAAGGCCACGCAATATTTCAGGGTTTCTGCATTTCCTCTTAAGATAAGTTGCTTTCAATCGAATTGGAGGCACGCTCTAGTTTAGGGGGCCTAGTGTCAGCTGTCGGATTGTTATTGGGGCCCTCCTCAGCAAGTTCATCTGACCTGGCATTTAATTTGAATGGTCTCTGGAAATCTTTAGCATTTCTACTCTTGATAAATTAGTTGTTCAATTTTTCCTCCTGCATGCAAACACGTTCAAGTTTTCAAAAGGAAACTCCAAAAATGAGGCAGCAAACTGCAGCGTACACTGGTAACAACATTTACAAGACTGAGATTCAGTAATCCTACATATGCAAAGATGAATTTGAATATATATGGCTCCATAAAAACAATTTGAGTAGATAAAAAGTTATATAGATCAATAAGCCAGCAGATGTAAATCCCCAACACATTATGCAAAAAAAAAAAAAAAACTAATTTAAGATAAGCAGTAACGCATGAAGAAGACTCTTAATTCCATTCTAGTAATAGTCCTTCATCATACGCGTTGCATTTGCCCAAAGATAGTGCAACAAATGTAATTTCCTGATTGATATAAGGCACTAATCTGGTGCATTTGTCACTTTGCTTACCATCCAAAACTACTGATGGAGCTACCATGTTGACTTTGCCAACCAAAGTCAAATAATTGTAATGGCTACAGAAATTATCAACATATAAGCTACCTATTCTGCAAGCAACTTAATATCGCATTAAAGATGCAAAACTTTAAAACTACTTACTTTTTGTAGTGCTTCAAGCTTTCTCTGCAATGCCTCATGCTCAGCCTGAATATGGAATGGAGCACCATGTTTTTGGTACACATTGTTTTGTGCCAAGTCTTCATCAATGTCACTAGCCATGGTTGCAAAAGGATGATTTGCAGGAATCCATCTGATTGTGTCAGGATCAACATCAGGAGGAATTGAATCCCCCTCTTTAAGGAACACTGTGGGTCTCTTCCACTGATATGCTCTTGACATCCTTTTTTGATGGATAGCTCGTTGCTCTTTGGTAAGTGTAACTGGAGCTAACCGGTAAAGCTTTCCACACATCTCTACAGTTGAATTGCTCTTACGAACCTTCACCGATGGATTATTAAATGGATCGTCATACTTGAGAAGCCTTGATCTGTTAATACAGATTTTATAATTAAACTACACCAATAGCACGAGGGAAGCACATTGGAGCCAAGGCTGTGAAATGTGACGCAAGTCCACATCACCTAAAGCAGCAGAAATTAAAATTGATAGGGCACATGCAATGAAATGCTAGCCCTTAAGAATAAATAATTAACCTGTAACATTATATAGCATGAAGGCCTTTAAAGCAATATATTCATGAAATTTACATCCTTCGCAGGGGCAGCCACAAGACAAAGGAAAAGGTATCACAGAACGAAATCAGACATGCCTCTTCTATCTGATCTTAGATAGCCACGCTTTACAAGATCAGCTACAGAACCAGGATAGCTCCGACTTGAGTTCCTTGCCATGTATGCTCTCATAGCAACAACCATAATTGCAATTGCAATGCACAACCCCACTGTAAAGTTGTTTCTAGGGCATATTTTCATCCGAGACAAGAAAGAAATGGACATGGCTCTTCATATAAAACTTTCCTTTTTTCAAGTAATTCATACAAACATCATCTTTACTGGTTTTTCTGACATGAAAATGAAAAGCAAATATACCAATGACTAGCAACACAAGCGAAGGACGAAAAATACTGGAGGAATCCTTAGCACCAATAGAGGAGCCAATGTTAAAAACTTCTATATAAGCAGTAAATGGACTCAAGAAAAACTTATGTAGGCTCAATATCTAAGCCAGTGATTACATTTCAGCACCCCAAGTAATGAAACCAAAACCTGCTTAATAACCAAGAAAAATTAGCCTTTATATATATATATATATATATATATATCTATATGTGTGTGTGTGTGTGTGTATAATTGAATACAGATAAGAGAAAAATACGAGGAAAACAACAGGTGGGAAAGATGTAATGGATTCCTGAATTTTGGAAAGTGGGTCATTGGAATGTACCGCCAGAGTATGTTTTGCTCCATCAACTACCCCATCTTGGGCACGCCGGTCCTGAGTGGAGCTCAGTGAATTATTAATGGCTCTCAGCAAAACTTCGAATTAGGTGTTAGCGGAATCCAGTTTAGTCGTTGGCTTAGGCTATGATTTAGTAGCAAGGTTGTTCCATTCGAAGAAACCCGGTGCTTCCACCCCCAAATTGAAGGCTATCATCAATAATTGACCAAGAAAAGAAAACCCAGTTCAATGAGAGAGTTACGAAGGAAAGTTTGGGAGTTACCTGGAAAGGAAGGGAATGGAATTGAAGAAGAATCCAAATTGATGGCATTAGGATACTGAAAAACAAACAAGAGAGGGTGTGAGGTTGCTATTAGAATTACTTCCGCTGGCCTTTACATTTTGTTGATAATAGCAGTAAATTAGGGTTACCGCTGAAAAGCGATTTCAGCAACAGAGCAGCCTCCTTTCATCAGTCCTCACATTTCACCACCCCAGGCGGGGCAGAATCTAAACCGAAAAGAAGAATTCTTTGGCTCAAATCAACTTTTAACTCTAATCATAGATTCGTACTCCACTCGTGTTTTCTCGGTGTTCGATTCACGTCGGCTTCAAATCCCGTAATGTTTTCTCTGTGTTCTCGATTAACGCTCATAATTTTATTTAATTATAACTCTCTCTTGGAAAAAAAAAAATACTAATAATTATAGTCAGGATTCAGCAAGGAAAATATTAGTAAATTTTAGTTGCAGTGGAATTTATTCTATGGTCAAAGATGCAGTTTGTACTAGCTAGGGTGTCAATCCATTTGTAATAAAAGAACGGTGTTTATCTTCTGAAAAAAAAAATCAAAGCATAGATACCGGAAATGATTGCTCTGAAATTCTAATGACCTGCCACACCACCCTTGGCATTTCCCTGATTCTAGTGCTAATTAGGAGTAGCATATACGAGTGCCAAACTCAGGACCATTGACTAAGCTCAATTAGCTTAAAGAATCAACAAAGAGTAGCAGCTAGCAAATTGAAGTCTTATATGATATACGCATTACTGTACTGTTTAATTCTACTATAAAGCAGCAGCAGCAGCAGCTAGCTAAGAATAATTTTCCTCATTAATGTCTAGAATTGGACCATTTGCTTAAATAATCTATTGAGAATGGACACTAAATGATTAATTATGAAATACATATGAACCTTGTTGAAACATATGACATATTCTCATCTATCTATCTTCAAATGAAATAATTTTCCGATCCATCATTTCCACTGTTCTCCCTTCTTTTATTTTCCCTTCTCTCTTCTTAAAACTAACAAAACCAATTATAAGACTAGTTAGCGTATTTGATAAAAAAAGACAAAGTCGTACCATAATTGTTGGTAAGCGATTTGAACTTCTCCCATGTGAATGTGGTCTATACCACCAGTACCACTCCACTAATAATAAGAATTGAAATGAAGAGATAAATGCACTGCCGTGCCCACCACACATTTCTCTCAAAAATAAAATTATTTATACATGCTAGTACTATAACATCTTGTGCCTAGGCTAAGCATCTCCTTTAGTCATAAAAGGCAGGCATGACTCCTAGTCCAAGGCGATGGGCTATCTATTCTGGTACTCTTTTCTAGTGGACCTTCCACCTTAGTTTAATGGACGGCTTGAAAATAATAATAAATAAAAAAGAAAAAGAATATATAATACTATATAGTAAGTCTATGGTTTACGAATAAACCAAAATTTATACTGGTAGGCATAAAATGGTGGACGGACTCAAACCATCCTTGTTAGGTCAAGGCAAAAAAGACAAACAGATGATATGGTTGTTTGAAATTAGTTAGTAATTAAAATAATTAACCATATCTTATCACATTAATTTACTCACCCTTAAAAAAAAAAAAAAAATTCCCAGTTAGTTAGTGGGTTACACACTTTGTTTCTATCACCTGTTTATAATAACAAGAAGTTTGATCGTTAGTGATGAATTCAACCAACCCGTTTTCCATTTTCATGCATTGCCAATCTTTCGATATTGAATTCCAGTCAGAAGTTGCCAAAAAAATATATTACTTGTCGTATAATAATGTAAACAAATTTCTCTTTCTAAATCATGGTATTAATTAAGTAATGCTTTCCCTTTGCTCTATTTCTTGCACTCAATTGACTTGGGAAGTTGGCTTTCCACATGCCCCGCACATAATTACATAACTTTAATTATTTTCTTACTGAGTATATAACAGCATAGCTTAGACATGCAAGAAAACATGTTTTTGGTTTGACCTATTGTTAACTAAGTAGAAAGCAGGTAATTCTATTCTAAAAAATTTATCAAACCCAAGTTGTTAAACAAGAGGAATGATTTTTGTGCCTTTAACCCGTAGTCAGTGAAGAGAAAGTGGTCGCGCAACAAGAATCTTAACACCCAGACCCACGGGCCAAACCACCAATCCTAAAATAATATAAAAGGCAAAACCACTTGTTTACATTGATCAACCTCCTTTGTATTGCTAATCAGGTAGTATAAAAAGTGCTGAAGAAAAACAAAAAAGATTGACTGATATCAGCGTCAAAAGTCAAAAACTTTTCCTTTCAGATTGGATCGTCCTACTCAAAAGCGACCAACGGTCCTCTCTCACAGGCGACGTGCTGCCTGCGATTGATACGACACCCATGTTTCGACATGTGCTACCTTTAGATTCTCTTCTCCTCTTCTCTTCATCACCTTAGATGGACCTCCCCCCTCCTGGCATTTTGAACGGTCCCATTTCTTTTCACCGATTCCATGGCCCACTTTACCTTTTAAGTATTTATTTTCTTTATTTCCAGTAATTCTAATACGGGTAAAATTTCCAAGGAAATACAGATACCAATTGAGAATTTTAGATTGACATAACTAACAACTTAAGAGCATGCATTAATAACACTTTACTCTGAAAGGACCACCGCCAAAGGAATTCGTGATCTGCTAAAAGCGAAGAAACAGACTTTCACCAAAGAAAAGTGAAGAACCAAAGTACGAACAGAACAAAAAGACGAAGCATATCAGCAACAGCCAACATGCCATACTTTAAGTTCAGAAAATAGCTTGGATCATCTCAGACAGCATCTATGAATTACCAATATGCAATTTGTTTGATCATGGTTATGATTCGGGTGTTGGCATCTGGGTTTTTAGTTCCAGAAAAGTATTGAATTGACAAACGGAAGGGAACAAAAAAAAGGTGCTTCTTGAACCATTCTTTTTTGTGTGGGTAATACAATCATTGTTCTTGCAGGATCTGACATTCCGATTTCTGTATATAATATATATATATATATATATATTCAAATATATATATATATATATATTCAACATGCAAGATACATACATATATAGTTATACTTCAACTTTACATACATACTACTGCATAGAAATTCGAATAAATGAAAACCTAAATGCTAGTAGCAGCAGTAGTGATAATTTAGCAGGTAATTAGCTAATTAAATTTAACCAAACTTAATAAGCTATGAAATTTTGAAAAGAAAAAATTGAGGACCCTTGAGACTGAGGGGCTGGCTAGGGCAAGAACCTATTGACATCATCTTCACGCTCCTTCAATCTGGCCTCAGTCTCAGTTCCAGAAGTTGAAGCCCCCGGACTGGACAAACCCCCACACTTGTGGCACCTAGCGACTACCAGAATCTGACGGCAGGAAGGGCAGGAAGAATGAGACCCCAACCAGGTGTCGATGCAGGCGACGTGGAAGCCATGGCCGCACTGCGGCAGCACCCTGATTTCATCCCCTACCACGAACTCCGTCAGGCAAATCGCGCAATCAGAGAATTTCGCAGAGGATTCAGCTGAGAGGGTGGCCTTGGGGAGGGACTTGAGGATCTTCTTCTTGAGGCCTTTGTTTGCAGGAGGAGTAGGACGGGATGAAGCTGAGGGGATGGAGGCAGAGCCACCGGAGAGGCGGCGAAGCCATGCGCAGCGTGCGACAGCGATGAGACCGAGCACGCAGATAAGGGCGCAGAGGAGAGCTGCAAGGATTACGACGAAGTCGGAGTCGACAGTTGCCGCTTGTTCAGGTGGCTGCTCGTTAGTGGCCGAGGAGTTGGCGGCGCCTAAGAGCCTGAAAGGACGAGTCATGTGAGGAGGGAGAGAGAGTTGTGTTTTGTTCAAGTAAATGTAATTATGTATCAAGAATGTGTTGTGTTGCGTTAGTTGTAACGTTGTTCCGTGTATGTAATGATATTCGGTGGGGTTTTATACAAAAATATCTTCTACATTTAATTTAATTTAATTTATGCGTTAATTACTATTACTAAATATATAATTAGTTATCTTTATTACCAATTTACCACCCTTCTTTTGTTTACTTTCCGTGACTGATCTTCTCCATTTTATTAAAGAAGTCAATGTAGAATATTTTTTTATATTATATTTATTTTTATATTTGTATTTAATGAATATTTTAAATTTATTTTTATTTTCATAAATATTTAATAAATATGAATAATTTTCGTAATTATGGCTTAAAAAGATAAAAAAATAAAATATTTTTTAAAATTTTATCTTATACATTTAAGTAATTATTTTATAAATATATTTTTTTAAATACAAATATATTATTTTTGATAAATTTAAAGTAAAATTTATATTATTAAATAAAAAAGTAATTTATATATATATTCCTCCAAGTTTTCTTTATCATACAAAATGGAGTCAACCTCCCACTATGGATAGTGAGTTCTAAAATAATCTTAAATACATTTGTTGAAAAAAAAGGGATCAGTGATAAGTCGACCTTTATTGACCAAAGCGACAGCATGCATCCTTCACCACCATCAATGGTGAAGTATAGAACAAACACAAGTTGAGATTTAGGAATGACAGTGGAGCCTCCAGCCAAACATATCCATGTCAAAATTCAAAGTCTTTTTCAACCATACTTAGAACTAACGCGCTAACTGCTAAGAGCCACAGTAATTCATGTCTCTTTGGACCCCTTCTGTGCTCTGCCCGTCACGTTCTAGTTCTAACCTATTCATTCACCATGGCAGGGCAAAATGATTTTGACCACAGAAGAAAAGGAAACCGCAAAACGTTAGAATATCGTTAATGACCCATGACATTGAGCTGTTATACATGTTTTTAGCAGTTACTTTTCTCAATCTCATACATTCTCACAAATCGAATCTCATGTTCCATCTACCCTTCATGTCAGCATTAAGGGTCCAATTATTTTCCCTGATCTGCAGATATGGAATCTGAAAGAGGAATTTTCACCAATAAATTTTCAAAGGAGAGGTTCCTGAAGAAAGGACATAAAGTATAGATTACTAGGAGGAGGAAACCACTCGAGTATCGAAGCAGAAATTGACTCAACAATTCTTGTTACTCGTATTGAATTTGAATGCTTTCCACTTCAAAAACAATTTTATGTTAAAAGAATGCACTAGCGTCAATCTTAGAGAGTTAACATCTTGGTCGTAAATTCAGCAGCTCCTTCTGACTTCCTCTGCAATGGTAGTAGCATGCATAAAAGTATTAAGAAAGGAAAGTTACAACTGTATATAAATAACTGCAGTTTTCTCCCTATTGATGGCATCGTTCCACTCAAAGACAAAAAAGAAACAAGTGTGTAAAATGGTGTCATGGGCATCATTCTTAAAATGACTTTTTTGAGTAGAAGTGATTAAAATATTAGCAGAATTATCCTTCAAATATCAAATGCATCCAAAAAGAAACAGTGTGGGAACTTAAAAGCAGCACCAACCCCTTGAATTCTTGGTCAACATCGTATCTTCCCCTGAAAACGAAATTCACCGAACCATTGTTGGTTACAAGAAAAGATTTTTTTCGCTGCACCGTGTACCGCACTTTATAAACGATTATCATAGCGCAGTCCTACACCAAGGCTTGTAAGTAACTAGAGAAAATTATCAGCCATGTTAATAAACTTGGAAAAGAAAAGTTTATGTTTACATGAGAATGTTGTTAAAACAAGAGCATAACTATTGGGGATAACATACAAACATACATCAGGATAAAAGTGCCTTATAATTGCACAAAAGTTACTCTGGGCCCCAGTTCTTGTGTCTAGCTCGCAATGAACCTACTGTATAGGTACATAAGAAGTAAGAAAACCGTAACGACATAAAGATTGCTAAAATAAAATAGATTCAAGATGTATACATGTACAAAAGCATGAGGTCACTTAAAAATTCTTGTTAGGAATATCTTGCATTCACGCTAAAAACTCAAATACGAACTATCCAAAGCGGTGAAAATTTTGCAAGTTGAATCGCGGATTTAATCCACAGAAAATGCAGGAATTCTAGCACTTTGTTACGCAATTAAAGGCACTTAACAGTCTGGCTAAGTTAAGCAAGCACACAGAGAAATGATCCCCAAAAAGCTGGAAAGAAACACGAGAGTGAGGTTTTGATCTTGAATCATCTAGTCTAGTCTTAGATCTTTGGAATCTCCACTTTATCTCAACCAAGGCTCCATTTCTATCTTTTCTTTCTTTTTTTTGTTTCTATCTGGTGTGTTCGCAATTGCAATGCATGGCATTTGTCGAAACCCAAAATAAAATATGATAGAAAGAATATGAATCTATTAAAATAGTTAAGAATAAGAATTAGTAGTGAATTTTATTTTATTTTCAAAAATAAAATAATATTCGTAATTATTTTTATTTTGTCAACTCTTTTTGTGGGCTCTCGGCAGAAAGCTCTCGTTGTGGGCTATAAAGTAGTTGGGCTTTGGATATATGAAAGACTGTATTTCTTTCATTGCTTCCTCCTGCCTGCCTGCTCATTGATTGGATGTCCAATTTTAGGTGGGCCAACACTAAACTTATTTTATAACATTACCCGACCCAGTCATCTAATAGAATCAATAGGTAAATATTTAAGTTCGATATCCGCTGGCGAGTGTAAGCCCAATCTAAAGTCTCCCTGAGATCTGGCCCTGCCAATTTTGTGACTTATAAAAGGGAAAAAAAAAAAAAAAAAAGGAGTCTAGCACGCGTAAAGAAGTGAAGTGCATCTGGTGAGCGAGACCTTTGGCGACAATGGAGATTTCGAGGTTTTGTGCACTTTTGTTTACGATTTCAATTCTGGCATCCCCGGCACTCTCCGATCTGGTCCTCTCCAAAGTCGATCGACGCGTAAGTTTCCATCTTCTTCTCAATTCAATTTCCATTTCCCTGTATTCTGTTCTATTCTATTCGCAAGGCTTCTAGGGTTTACATTATTATTAGTTAGTAGTAGTATTACTTGAGAGTTCGTTTCTCTGATTGATTCACTGCCTGATATTATCATTTTAAGCTTCGTTTACCTGCCTCTAAAAGTTCATATCTTGGGTTGATCTGAAATGCTATCATAGCTGTGTCTCTTTGATCGCTGCCAGCTGTATTATTTATGCTAATGTCGTTTCGTGTGGTTTTGCAGATTTATTTGACATCACATATTGTTCGGATTTCTTCAACTTTAAAGGTGCTTCACTAATACTCCCTTTTCTTTTCACTCTCAACTATCAAGTTACTAATGCTTTCTACTCTATTATCTCTTTTTCCCTACATTCTTCAACTCACCATCCAATCCACTGACTCCTTTTTTTATTCTTAACTTTCGCTTCTCTTACACATTGTCTTCTAGGTGGAGAATGCAGGTCCTGAGACGGTGTCTGAGGTTTTGCTGGCTTTTCCTGAGCTTCAAGTCAAAAACATGGCATATTTGATGGCTACCCCACATGAAGGGAAAGGGAGAGTCAAAAACTCCGTTGTTGCTCTCCCTGTCGAGGTCACCAACCCAAAAGACATGCCTCCTGCTTTAACATTCTATTCCGTATCATTGCCTAACAGCTTAGCTGAGGGTGATAGCTTCATTTTCGATGTCTTGGCTGTATTTACCCATGCCTTGCGACCTATTCCTGAGCAAATCACTCAAGCTGATATTCAGCTTGTAGTATACCAGGAAAGTGCCTACTATCTATCTCCTTATGCTGTCAAGGTCCAGTCTCTAAGTGTTAAATTGCCTGATTCTAGAATTGAATCCTACACAAAACTGGAGAACACAAAGATTCATGGTTCAGAAATCAAATATGGTCCTTATGAGAATCTCCCTGAATTCTCCTACTCACCCATAGTAGTTCATTTTGAAAGCAATCAACCCTTTGCTGTTGCTCAGGAATTGGTGAGAGAGATGGAAATTTCCCATTGGGGTAATGTGCAGGTCACTGAGCATTACAAGCTCATCCATGGTGGTGCTCAGAGCAAGGGTGAATTTTCCAGGTTATTTCATATGTTTTCCTTTTTACGGATTATGGTAGGTGCCACTCAAGGTTGGAAGTTTGTTCCTGACTTGTTGCCTTGACACCACAGACTTGATTTCCAGGCCAGACCAAATGTTCGAGGTGCATCAGCCTTTAGGTATCTTGTTGCAAATTTGCCACCAAGGGCTCATTCTGTTTATTACAGGGATGAAATTGGCAATATATCAACATCTCATCTGTGGGGTGATACCAAAAAGGTTATATATTACAGATTAGGATTTAAAGAGTATCTATCACTTGGTATTTTATTCTTATTGAATTACTATTTGTCTTTGCAGACAGAACTATTGATTGAACCAAGGTACCCGATGTTTGGTGGCTGGAGAACTGCTTTTACTATTGGATATGGTGTGCCACTTAAGGACTTTTTGTACGAATCAGAGGGGAAACGCTTTCTTAACATCACTTTTAGTAGCCCAATAGTTGAGTTGGTTATTGATACTCTGATTGTGAAGGTTGGTAGTATGTCAATATTCAGATTTAGATATCTTTCTCTAGGCCACAGAATGATGGTCTGATGGACACGATGGGGAGTGTCCTTCCTATCCTTACCTAAAACTTGTATTTAAAGGTGTATTTAAGTACTTATTACTTCTGTTATTCAATTAGGACATAATAATATTCTTCTTATTTAGTTATTATGAATAAGACATGTCTTCCACTAAGTATGCAAATGGGCACTTATACTGCAGTATTATTATGATCCTTAAAATTAAGATACATGCATGTGTGATATAGAAATTGCAGTCTGGTGAACAAGAAGGTTATTTTCCTGGCAGCCTTACCTTGACCTGGTAATTTGATTTACAGGTTGTGTTGCCTGAGGGTTCTAGTGAAATATCTTTAGCAGCCCCATTTACCGTGAAGCAGTGGCAAGAGGTATTAGAAGGCTTAAAATTTCTGTTTCTATTTGACCATATATTTTATAACCTAAGGCTCGTTTGTATGTTGAATTTTGAATCTGAAGGCTTTTGTCTTTTATATACAACGTGTGTATGTTGAATGTAGACCAAAATCTTCCACTTGGATATTGATGGTAGACCAGTAGTAGCGCTGGAAAAGTCTAATGTTGTGCCAGAGCACAATCAATACTTCCAGGTATTCTTTCTTTGTCCATTTTCAATCTGAATGACATGCACACTGGTTCTAGCATATAGTTTGAGGCCTCTCAAAGGTAACTTCAAACGTAGAATATTGGATATTAGGATATATCATAACCCTATATTCGCAGGCTTATGTACTTTAAAGGTTTGCTGTTTGTTCTGATGTTTGTTTACCTGACCTTTCAGGTCTATTACAAGTTCAACAAACTATCAATGCTTAGAGAGCCACTGATGTTAGTTTCGGGATTTTTCTTCCTTTTTGTTGCTTGCATTGTTTATATGCATGCTGACATATCAATCTCCAAGTCTTCTGCTTCTTATTTGGCTAAACAGCAGTGGGAAGAGGTGAGTAGGACTATAGGATGTTGCTATGCTATTTTCTTTGCTCAACCCAAATCACCATGTACAAGTGCGCTGGTTATAGACTTTGCTCTCTGTAATTTCAGGTTCAGGCAGCAATTCAGCAGGTTCAGAATATTATAGGCCGATGCTTGACTACACATGATAAGCTGGAGGCATCACTACGTGATCTTTCAAGGACGGGGGATGTACAAGCTTGTAAAGCTGCTCGAAAAGCAGCTGATGGTTTGTTAAAAGAGCTGTCAAAAGAATTGAAACCCTTGCTGACCTTCTTGCAATCTTCTCCATCAGCTGCTCAAGTATTACCCAAGGTTCACATGTCTTTTACTTATTGGTGTTTTTGCTCAACTTAAGATCAATTTGATATTGGTTTTTTGCCAAGTTTGTTAAGCCTTGATATGTGACGGTATTTTTATTTTTATTGTAACTTGACTGTGCATGACTGAAATATTCTGTTTGTTCTCTATGTGCATAGCATTTATACTATGTCAATTTTTATTTTGCATTTTACAGACTGTTGGTATAAGTGATTTGTTTTTGATGCCTGTATAGGTTGAGGAGCTGGTGGCTAAGGAGAGAGAATTGCAAGAAAAGGTGATGGTGAAGCACACTACAGTGGTGGACGGCTATGAGAAGAAGTCTGGGGCCAGGGACATTGAGAACCGGGTGGCTTTGCAGCAACAGAAACTTGTAGCATTGAGGCAGGAAGTTGATGATCTTCTTGAGTTCATTGATGAAATATAAAGTAGGCATAATACTTTTGTCCAAACTTCAGCTCCAACCTGAATGAACTTGCGATTTGTAGTGGTAGGGGTCAGAATTTTGTTTGAGGATTATAGATGAGTTAACAACCCCAATTTCAATGTTTTCTTTTGTTTCTTTCTTGAACGTTGTTTCTTAATCTATGTGGATTTTACGCACAATGCAAGATTGAGTGAGCTTAGACTGCAAACAGACATGGCCCATTTAAGTCCGGATAATAGTGGTTTGGTATCACGAACAGCCAAGCTCTCACCACTATTCATCTGTGAAGCCGGGATGATTGGGCTCTACCTCATTGATTTTTGACATCAAATTTATCGATAGGACATCAAAATAAACAGGACTATACAGAAAGATTGGATTTCCACCCAAAGCAAAACTTTGTTTAAGACAGGGCCGGAAAGTACAATTACGATCTTAGTTAAGAAGAAGGCGAGAGATCACGAGTGGATATACTGGGACGTAAATGCCTTTTTCACTGCGGTAAAAGTTTTAGACTCTGGACTTGAAACAGCAGTGAGTAATATACCAGAAAAGCAAACAAAAAGGCAGGGAAGGGGAAGGGGGTAAATATGAATGAATCTATGAATGTACATGAAAACAGAAGTAGATGATTTATAGTATTTTCTAATTTCGTAATAATGCCTGATATTTATGGGCTGAAATTAGCAAGGAAAAAAATTTGAGACATGAAATGACGGGTAATAATATCTTAGCAAAATATGACAAAAAAAAAAAGAAGAGAGAAATTGTTGAAGAAAAGCAAATCAATCGGATACCCACAACACGTACAAATTGCATATAAACGATCAAAAAGCAAACGGAATGGAGCGGGCAGTGTGAGATAGTCTTCCATGGGATGGTCTTCTTGTTGCGTCTCTGTCTGGCCTCTGAGAATTGGGGCATTGAACTGAAGAGACTAACTAATATGGAGCACCTTCTTGAAATGGGTATGATAAAGCAACTCGCTTTGTGTTTTGGGTTTGATATGCACCGCATTTGAGCAGATTTTACGACAGCCAAGACTCCATCTCCGTAGAATTCTTACTGATGCCATGACTCCCCGTTGCAATTGGAAAAGCCTGAGGTCGTTAGAAATCCCATCGACCTCTAACTATTTACCTGTATACCCTTAACCGCTAATCATTGACACCTGAGACCTGAGGCTGAGTCCTGCCTCAATTAAATTGGCCCACGCACCCAAAGAAGCGTTACTCACGTTGGACTTAAGCAAGCTGGCCGTCTCTGCCGTATTTACTTGTGTATCATTTTTACAACTTTCTTTGAATTCCACTACAAAAATTTTGAACAAGCATCAAACTGACCCATGCATGGTGCTTAAAAACTGACAAATATAATAATTGAATTTCATAATTATAAGTAATTGAGTTCTCTTACTCTAATTCTGACGTAAACCAATGTATATAGGAATACAGAACTCTATGTAATGAAGGATATTACAATAGAACAAGCTGCACCCATTAGCCACAATTAGTGCATTGCAGTTCAATTCCCTCTTTCTTCCAATATGAGCCCAAAGCACGTTTGGTAGAAAAGGGCCCTGTCCTTTTCACAGCATGCATCATAAAAGTTCGGATACTCATGGTCCACTTAGAAGGTCATGCTGATCAGGCGTTGATGTCTCTGCTTCAATAGCGACTTCCTGATGATCTAAACGATTCATGTTCCCAGCTCCAGAGCGTTTATGTAGAGGGGAGTCCTCAGGGGAACCACCAGGGCTTCCCCCCAATGTTCTTGTACGAGGACCTTCTGTCTTCCCTTCACCCTTCTTCATCACAGCCTTCTTGTGCCACTGCTTTAGGGCCTTGGAAGTTTGTTCATCAAAGATTGACCTCTTCATGGTTGATCCCATCTGAAAACGCCATAGAAGAATTAATCAAGCTGAAACTACGTTCCTCTCATCACTCTTTCCTTATTATTATTATGATTATTATTTATGGATCCTCTAATCACTCGTAGGTAATACTAGTAATTCCTTCCAGTGGTAAGAGAACTTTACTTTTTTAAATTTCAGCTTGCAAGAGAAATCTAGAAAACATAAAAAGGTTACCGAGCAGAGGAGCAATTAGTATAATTATGGAGTGAACCTGAGTAACAAGGGCATAGAGTGGAAGTGTGATGTAGCTGCACATGAATTGGACCACTACCCTGTCAAATTTTCATCATGTGGAACAGAAGAAGATCAATACGTACACAGATTGATATAAAAAGCTGTATGCTAAGTGTTCTGCTTCATTTTGTCTCTAGGAAAAACTAGTGTGCCTGCCAAAACCCTTTCATAACTGAAATTAAGGACAAGCTATGAAATTTTTCATTATGGTTGGATGGTTGAAAGGGCTATTTTAAGAGAGTATGGCTTACCCAAGGACAACTCTTATAAAGATAAGAACTAAATCCTGATGAAAGCATGACTTTAGGCCGAACTCATACTGCATTAGGAGGAAGCGAAGCATTAGAAACATTCCATTTCTTCTAGACATAGAAATAAGACAATGAAAGAAGAGGACAATATCATTACCCATATCCAAAAGAAATAAGTGATCTCGAATGCATTCTGGACATCAAAGATGTAATAAAGAATGTCAAAATAATTTCCAACAGTGGAGGAACCCCCCCCCCCCCCTCAACTTATGTGAGTATACCACGTAATTTTTTTCTATTATTATTATTTTGAAGAAATAAAAGCTTCAGTCATCGTTTTACAAGTAAGAAGAAAGTTGTCTATTGGTGCAAACACAGTAACATGCTGAAATTAAAATTATATATAAAAAAAATCCATAAAGCATTGCCAATTACAATCATTACATGAAGGAAAAGAGGCAGAAGATTGTAAAATACCTGAAACAGCACAAAATGGATAAGATGAAGGATTAACTGTGGCCAACTAAACCAAAAATGCCTATCAGAGACTTGTACAAGAGGCATTCCTTGTATTACAGCATGCTTTTCTACTATTTCAATTGCCATTTGTGCTATAATTGCTTGAAGCTTGGTTCCAACTGCTAATGTTACCTTCAAAAAGCGTTGAAAGGTTAATCCTTTTACATAAAACATAAATCGCATGATCAATTAGTGCAAGTTTTTCGCGGACAATCTCTTACCCCTAAAGGAATAATGGATAGGAAAAACATAGCATGCCATCCTGAAACCAGGATATATGAATCACTCGGGGAAAAAAAAGCACTAAATATATATGGGTAAAAGAAAGAAAAAATGAAAAGGTAAAAGAGAAGGTAAAAAATGAAATAACCATTAACATCCAAAAGGAGAAAGATCACTGCTGAAGCCCATAATACCGGACTGCAAGCACCACGAGTAGTATTAAAGTTAGTAGAACAAAGGAAATATGCATTCCAACGGCTCTCCTTAGAGCGTGGCAAAATTGCTAATTCAAATAATCAGAGTGTCACCTAATTCCGACGACCACCTTGAAGTCATCCTCTAATGATTTTTTGATATATTTTTGAAAGTCAAACTTACTTCCAGGTGCCAAATGAACCTATATAAAAACGCAATATAATAATTACTTTATAGTTAATTTTGTGGCTGATAACAGCACGAGGAGAAAACACAAAAATTCTTCCGCATAGGAAACTCACACTGACGAATCCATGACGCATTGTTAAATAGTCAGCCTTGCGAACAGACCTGAAGAATTGTCGCCACATGCATAACTGGAACAAACATTTTGATATGACAACAATGGATGCAGAATAAATGAAGCACCCCATTAGAAAAAAAAAAGTGCTTTGATATAGGATACTGAATATTCATCAAACCAAATGTTGAAGTTAATTTCTAATTTCACTCTATTTATGAATCCGGTGAGCAAATTCACTCCACTATTAAGTTGAAAAAAAAAAATTACAAAATTGCTTCTACACCAATTGCAGCATTTAAAAAAGAAAACTGAAAAGTGAATAGTTTATGACGTCTTACAAAGTAAAAGGAGAATTTTGTTTTTGTCCAGGCACTGGTGTGGTCCCTCACAAATGATGTCTCATGAGTGAGCCTAAATCTTGAAGGATCTAAAATTAGCAAGCAACCCAAGTCAGCATGTGAAGAAATTGAAACATAAGGGAACGATTTACCATGAATGAAGCTAGAATTATAACAGCTGCAATCATCAAGGTTAAAAACAAACTAATGATTAACTGTTACACCGAATCATGTACCATTGAATTCATTAACAGTAGTGGTACACTCCCGTTCCCACTCCTTCCACCCTCGTGTCTGCAAATAAGAGATTCATGAAAAAGTATACTCCATTTATGAATGGGCTTAGCATAGTCATTACAGAGAGGGAAAAGAAACTGAAGAGATATTTAGCCACCTTTAATCTTCCAAGCATCATTGTTATGGCGCTATATAACACATGAAAAACTGCTAAGAAGAATATGAAAATGTGCAACTGATGCAATCCATTCACAGAGATAAGTGGCACGCGCCCCTACAACAAAGTTACAACTGCTTTAGTTAAAAAGCTGGAACAGGAGGAGGCCTATGTCCAGTCATTTGTTATTTTGTATTTTAACTCACTTTAGAATCTTCAGAAATGATTTCAAAACATAACAAGAGCAATATAAACATAGAGGTAGTTAGTCCTTAAATAAGTTATGAGTTGAAAGGAAGTTGTTGATTCGGGATAGTGATATCAATTTACTGAGCCATTTCCTCCTACCTGCCGCTGCAGATAAAAAATATAACGTCCCAAAGCACATGCATAAATATAAATACATAGAAAGGGTATGCATATACACGCATGCTGCTCGATCGGCTGTACCAAAAATTATAGCAATTCCTCATTCTCTTTCTTGTGCGTGTTAATCTATTGGCAAACTCATTAGCTTTCATAAGTTCGTAACTCAATGAGATCATCAAATGTGACACTAAAATAGTTGTCATAAACAAGATGCATGCAGTACTTACGGGCTTGCACCCGCGAGCTTTGCCACCACCAGCTAAAAATCTACGCTCATATAAGAGCAGTCTCCGATGTCCAGTAGCCTCGCCCCCAGATTCTTGCTTAGGCTGTGTTTTATGAAGGGTAGAATCAACTCTTTTGGGGCAAAATAACATTGTATCCGCAACCTCTTCTGGAATACAGATACTGGAGATATAACTCTGGCCGAATGTAAGGATGAGAGAAATGAATCCCAAAACCATAAGTTCTGGAAAAAAAAAAAGTGTATATATATGAGAATGGGTCAATCTTTTTATTGTTTTTTGACAAAGGATCAAAAATATTCTAGTAAATGAGCAAGTTCATAGTTTTGTAGAAGAAGAAGAGAAATTGAGTAGTAATGGAGGTTAGGGCTGGGGTTGATTTTACCGTTTTTAACTTTTTGAAGAGCCTCATATAAAGCCTCCTTTCTTCCTTTTTCGAACAACTAGAATGAAATCTCATAAATGATCAGTTAACTAGTTATAAACAATTAAGTAGAATACAAATATAATGGCCTCTCTTCTTTTATTTCTACAAAAAAAAAGGAGGGGGGGGGGGGGCATTTGCATCGGTGCAGCAGAGAAATTATTAGTAGTATATAAAAGAAAGAAAGAAAGAAAGAACATTTATATATGTCCAACCCCAATTAATAAAAGGAAAATGAAATGGAGAAAAATGATTATCTATACCTCTCCAATTGCATGAAGAACCTTTTCCAGAATGATTGATATAATAATGATGACAGCACAAACAACGGCTACAGCCCAGGTGGGAGTCTGATCAAGCTCCCTGGCACCACTTTCGGCTCCTCCTCCCCCCATTAATACTATCTATCTATTTATCTATATTATTAGAATTAATGACTAGGTATGTAGCTTCAAAATACAGTACAAATTCATTCATCAAAACAAAAGTCCGTCTCCCAGCTTGTGGCGGAAGGATCGTAGAGCCCTAACTTTCATCCTAAAATTAATCAAGATTTAATGTCATGGAGAATTCAATCACGTCTGTCTGGGACAAGGTGGTTTCCTTATTCTCTTGTAAATGTAATGGAATTGAAGCGGGAACAAAGTGGCTGTTGGTTATCCAAGATTTTCTCATTCATCATTCCTTCAAATTTCCACTTTGCACCTCTTCATCCGATTAACGGGAGTCCATGCATGTAGGCATTTAGTTACAATTACGTCATTATTTGACCACAAAGACAAACTATCATTTTGTTCAAAAATGGGAGATTCCTTTTCTTTTCTCGTCTGTCTTGAAAAAATAGGAGGCATACATCATGTATCCCACCGGTTAATTAGCTAATTAAGCCTGCACAATAATGCTTTGAGAAGATTTTCTAACTTTTTTTTTTTTAATTCTTAAGCTTTTATGTATAAGCTTTTTAGCATATAACTATTGGTTTCCTATTTTGGCCAATGAAAAATCTATTCGATTTCCTATAAAAAGATATGTTGAAAAAAGGAGAAAGTGATAAGCTAGGTTCCAAATTGTTTAGAGCGAACTTCCCCATATCCCATTATTTGTGAATTCCAATTCAGTTAGTGCCCTGAATTGACAACTAATTGACAACTAAATTACATTAAAGCTTGGAACCTAAATCCTGCACAAGAATTAATCCAAATCAAATGAAAATTTTAACCTCCAACACAAGCCATCCCAAAAAACCATACTACTGTCCCCTATTTTTGATGCTGCGTTTTTTGAGAATCACTAGGAACAAACACAGGTAGCTGACCACCTCTCTGTGATCTTTCCTGCGGATAATGACTTGACGTAGAACCTCTATCCAAGCCAACACTACTCCTTGTTCCCCTGTTAAGCTGCCCATTCATAAGAGGACCACCAAAAAATATCGATTGACCGCTATACAAAACCTCTGTTCCAGGAACCTGCAAAGACCCAGCATTTCCGGAAGAGGAAGAGACAAAGCGCCCAGCTTCTGGATCCCAAAAAACTGAAGTTCTCGAGCTTTCTGGAGCACTCAAATCTCTTCTGAAAGGATATCGAGCAGCATTTTCGTGGCCAGCACTTTCATTCCCTTCACTTTGGTTAGTTGACCAAGGAGATTGATTGGCTGACATTTGGTACATGGGGTTGAAATCTTCTCTATTTGAATCTTGCTGTGCCATTGGAGACGGGGTTATGCTGGAAAGATGAGGACTGCTAATGTTGCCGACACTGTGGCCACACGATTCAGCATCTTCTCTGCTAGCACGACTTGAAGGATATGAGCTCAATGCCCCTGCTCTAGCATTTTTACTCTGAAACCCATGATCAGTACTGATGGGACTGCTTCTTCCACTCACATTACTATCAGATAGTTGACCAACAATGTATGAATGATGTCGAGAGCCTACTGGACGAAGGACAGATGAAGTTGCCCTAGCTTTGGCAGCTGCTTTAACTGCTTCATTAGAATCCAATTTTGCAAGTTTCCATGCACTAATTCGGACAGGACATTGGGGTAATCTTTTACCCTTGTCTGGTGGCTGTACCGCATCTGGATCTACTGTAGATGGTAAGCGCCCTCGCTCCAAATGTGGAATGATTTCATCCTTTGAGAGAAAATAAATAATCAATTTTAACGTGTAACAGAAAATCCATGACAGATTATCATCATAAGAAAGCATGTACCCATGTTTAAGATGCTGTTCCCATATAATAATAACAACAACTAGAATTTTAAATTCATATTTATAGTTACAATTTGTCAATGCAAGCTGTGATTACTCTTTTTATGTTATGAAATGAAACCAAAAGTTTTTCCGAAAAATGCAAACTGCAGGAGTAATTATCATGAAATCTCTATGATGATTGAAGATTTAATAGATTTATTTGCATGCCATCTTCATTATTCATCTTTTATGGCCAACACCATCACCATATTGCAGTTATAGCAACTTAAATAAATCCACCTCATCTCCAACATAAAATGACAGAGTTTCATGTCTAGTAAGTTAAAAAGAGGTGGTACCAGGTGGTCCATGAAGATTCTTGGTGGGTTACACCAAGCACCTTTGTATTGCAAGCTCTTTCAAAGAGAGCTTCTTCCACTTCTGGCAGTCACAGCAGAACTGGTAGGTGACAATGGCATACTCTGCTGATCTCCACCATCTACAGACTGTCCAGGTGGTTCGCTTTGAGTTCTCATTGCAGCAACATATTCATATGTGGTGATGCCCTGCAGTTGGAAACAACAATGGTTCAATATTTACATATTATGAGAGGCTGATATATACAAATATATATATATATATATATATATATATAGAGAGAGAGAGAGAGAGAGATTTAAAGGAAACACCTTCCTGATCAAAATTATATGGAAAAAGAATAGTTCTCCCAGGGCCACAGTGGCAAGAAAAGAAACTGCTGTGCAGAGGACCTGTAATCATTTGTGTAAAAGTGTTACGGTAAAACCCATGGCAACCAAGGTTTACATTCATCATTTAGAGAAGTGAACACTAGCAATATTTCAACTTAACCTCTGAGAAATGGGAAGCATACAAACAAAGTTTAGGGTTATTTACCAAGAAAATGAAATTCATGCAAATATGCTATGATCAAGCATCTTTTGTCAGGGCAATAGATGAAATCAACAATGCTACATCCTCCTAATTAACCCGGGCTGCTCTGTCACAAACATTCCAATACCACAAACATAATCTGAACTCTTAGGCAGAGAATGCAGAAAACATACCACCACAGTAGTAAAGGGGGGACGGGAGAATCCAACTCCATGCTTCTAAGTTATCTCACTTTCGGTACCTTTTCTATCGACAAAGCATCAAACAAGGATGGCAATGCCAACACCAAATTCAACAATAAGCTAACAAACACATACATGCATACACCCAAGCACATAAGAATAAGCTCAGTTCTTGTCAGGAGACACAAATGAGTGACATGAACCATTATCCAAAAGATATCCTAAAAACTTACCCAAACAAGGGTAGCTGCCATCAAGCATACAAAAGTGATGTAATTTTTCCTCCCCACGCGATTATTCAACCACTGGATAAATGCAGTAAAACAATTTAGTCATGCCCAATATTGTATGAACATCTAAATCAGTATAAAAAGGTGAAATTGTTTTCAGAGCATTACTAAGGAATTACAAATTATAGAGCAAAAAACAAACTTACAGCATAGGGTCCAGGTACTACAATTAATCTATTAGTCAACCATAAGCCCTAGGTGATTTTCAGTCCAGTCACATAACTTACATGTTCTAGCTATGCAAATTCCTTAGCAGTGCTCAAAAAACAAGAAATTTAGCCAGGAGTTTAGGAAAGTGACAAAAATGAACATTTAATAACTCACTCGACAGTAGTGATCAAATCCATCAACACATTTTTCACAACTTCTGCAATGCTTGCTGAATTTGCACACCTGCAAAAGTGAGTTGGAAGGGGAGGAAGAGAGTTAACATAAATCAATAACACGCAATCAGAAACAGGCTTCATCCAGAAACAGAAAAAAATGTGCTAGCCGGTTGTTTCAGAAGTGTGGCAACTCTTAGTGACTAGTATGAATACAACCTGAGGATATTTCTTGCATGCAACACATGAGTGTGTCCAAAGAAATGCAACTAAACAATTAGCACCTGAAAGGTTATGTCCTTTAATCATCTAACAAGAAATGCTATGTCAAGACAGCTTTGTGTCTAAGCATGCACATAGATAAGAGCAGTAATGTACAGGCTTGGACTAATAGTCAAACAAGATATTGCAGTGTTTTGAGTTTTCCTACTGCTAATTTTGATGAAAGTTTCTTTGCTTTGCTTACTCATTTATTGTATTTCAGTGAAAGGGGAGGAGAGGGAGAGGAAATAAAGGAAAATTTTTCTTTTTTTCAAGGCACCTCCCCCAACTCTGACCAGAGCCAACATTGGGTTATTATTTTTGATACCCTACTTCAAACCAACACATATATGTATAACCCGCATCCAACCCAAATTAATTGAATGATTTTAATTTAGTATTATATTCATAAAAATATTACTTTTAATATAAATTATATCTTAATTATGTATAAATATAGTAATTTTATTAAATTAATAGTTTAAATTAGTATTGAATAATAATTTTATTAATATATATAATAAAAAATATATTTTTATATATATTGGGGCAAATTACCCAAATACCTAGCTTCAACCTGACCCCGATTTTTAAAAAAAATACCCAACTGCCTCCAATCTGACCTGTGATTTTAAAAAAATCCATCCCTATGGGTTTCGAGCGAGTCAGAACCTGTCAAGTACAGGTTATTTTGCCATCCTAGGAGAGAGTTTGAATCTACCTCTACATTACACAATGTGCAGAACAAAGCGCCTTCTTCTCCAGATTGTTGCTGCAAAAGGTCTTCATCTTTGCGGCAATCTTCTCTTACAAGACAAGCACAAAAGAAACGTCCAAGTTTAGAACACCATCATGAACCATGCCTATTAGATTGTCTCCCATACTTTAATCCTATCTTGCTAGGCTCTTCAATAGAAGATGTATTCCCTGGTTAAACAGCATGAAATCTATGATAAATTGAGAAGAACAAAGACCTACAGAGAAGCTCATATCTTAATACAGGCAGCCACACAACAATTCTTAAATGACTATTGTAACTTCAACCAATTAATTCATAATTATCATGCAATCTAATAACAAAACCATACAGCAATGGAAAAAGTTACCGGACAGATCCATTTCATTATGCGATTTATAAGCTGATGTCTTGTCAGCTTCAAGAAGAATTCCAGGATCAGAAGGATCAATAGTGGTACATCGGACATAAAGGATGAGAATAGAGAATGCCTAAATGATAATCAAGCATTAAGATAATAACTAAGAAAGAAACTAATGAAGCTTTGAAGACTTCATAAAACTAAATAAAAAGATTATTGTGCTTACCATGATAGAGTAGACACCAATAGCCACATATTCATAGATATCTTTTCCAAGAAAGGGAGCAAAGAAGGCATAATATGCAACAGATAGCAAAAAGAAAACGGTAATAGCCACAACCTGTTCACCATTTAAAAATCAAACAACAACAAAATGGTAACGAGTGGTTGTTTAAAAACATACATACCAGAAATTAATCCCATGAATCCTCTTAGAGGCTGGAGCTTAGAAGCAAATGAACCAACAATATGTGATGATTACTCAGGCAACCAAAAAACTCCCAAGTTTAACATCAAGTCTACAACATAGGGCTTTGTAGACTATTAAGATACTCTTCTAAAGTCATGACTTGGTTCCAAACCTGCTTTATTTTATTGGTAATCATAGTAATTATTTTACATGCTCATTACAAGCAGCATGCCTTTGCCATGCCAACAACTTAATAACCAGGGAAATGAATGATAATGGCTTTATGAACTACAATTCAAACCTTAATAGAAAATAAAATTTTCCAAATAATCTAATAGTTAGTATTTTGTTTACTCAAAATTATAAGATTAGGATTAAGATCTCAACTTGTTTTGAATTTCTTTGGTAAATCCAAAATAAAGCAAGACATCAATTTGACCAACTATGCATGCTCTAGGCGGATGAAAATTTCAATAAGTCAAAATTTTCAACATATATCACTTTCCCCTTGTTGGATTACCTCTTAACGTGAATGCTTAAAAGGATTAGATGAAAGAAACTCAAATAAACACCTCAAAAGGATGGCGCTTAGTTCCTAAAAAAATCCATACAAATTGATGACGGCCAACAAAAACAATATGCATCTCAAACAATTGAATTCTAGTTAACCCGTTTTCATAAAGAAATAAATATATATATGTATATGCCCCCTTGCAAATATAGAAAGACGTAATTAAATGCAAAGCATATTAGGAAAACCTACTCATCGATAAAGACAATAATGTACATAAGTGAGACTAAAAAATACACACAGACGCAATAACTGAGAAAAATTGTTCAAAGTATTAATGTACATAACCTAACAAGCAAAGACCCTAATAGCGATAATTCACAAGTCACCAAAAATACTACAATTTCAAAAGCATTAATTGGTGACTGTATAATAAAAAGAAAATGAAAATAAAAAATGAACCTGAAATGCGTGAGCTGGCAGTTCCCATCCGTGACGCCTCACCGTTCTTAAACAACTGCTCTGAGCTCCTTACTAACCACTCCAAAGAACCACTACATTTGAAAAAGCCCACTTTGCAAACCCTAAAATTGAAATCTCAAAGCCATTTGCTTCACAAATGGTCTAGCCGTTTTATTCTTTTTGGCATCAGAATCTCGGTATCCGGTGAACAAAAAAAAGAAGGGGTTGTTTGCTCAATCTTGAGCCCCTAGCAGTAAAAGATGTTTTGAGATGACCCATAAAGTTAGTTTTGGGTTTTAGGGTTTGTAGAGTTGAACGCATCGATCAGAGAGCCCTTGAAGAAGGAGAAGAGTAGGAGAAAAGAGGATGACAAGTGCACCGTTTATTGCTTTCAATTAAGTAGTAAAAACTCAGATGTGCAAGCACGGCACCGTTTTATGTCATCCTTCAATTTATTTTGGGTGCTAATACTAATGTAGAGAGATATACTAGTGTTTATGGCGGCGGTAAAATCATACTGTTGATTAAAGTTGACTCAAAGTGTCCTAACCTGAAAGACTGGAAATGAAATTTGGCACTCCTTTTTTTTTTTTTCCACGGCCAGGACTCTCTGATCTGTCAAAACCAAAGAGTGTATGGCATGGCCATGCTATGATGTCTACGCTGACGGTGAAACCCTTCTTTGTTTTTTGTTTTTTTTTTTTTTTCCGTTTTGCATATTTGGGTTACGTGGCTATCGTGTCGCAATCAAAGAAGTCAACCCGCATCCACATGGTAGTGTTTTTCACGATGGAATTAGAACACCCACTTCCCTCTTTCTAGTTTATAAACTTTTTTATTAAGCCTATTATTATACAGACACTACCGCACCATTAAAAATATTTTTTTTATTATTATACATCACTGAATTCTATATTGCTCGGTCAATTTCCCTAAAATTTTTTTTAAAATAAACATACTATAGATATAAATTAACTTCAACTAATTGGATTGATGAATACTCACAAAGCAATTTCTTGTTTGGATAGTAATTAAACATTATTTTAATCGGTTCACAAAATTAAGTAAATACAAATATTAATTTTTGTTATAAAAAAATGTATGCATAGTAGCTAGTAAATTTCTTATATATTTATTAAAATCAATCAAGGCTTGAAGAAAAAATCAATGTCATGATGATCTGTTGGTTTCACTTGATGATCAAGTGGTCTTGAATCTGGAGGAGGAGCATGAGTGGAATCCTCGATATCAGAGAGATCGGGATCGGAGGGGTAAGAGTAATTAGAAATTGGGGAATTAAGAACGCTATCCTGCAACTGCTCCGTCTGATGAGTACTGGACCTGTGTGTGTGATTGTGTAGCAAGTGTAAGGGCGATGTTCCTTGGCTTGGTGTGGCTTCCCCGCTCTCAGACACAGACACATGACTATTCCCTACTGATCCTCCCTCTGCTGTTTTCTTCTTGTTTCTCTTCTTGGCAGCCTTCTGCCAATTCTTTAGAGCTTTGGCTGTTTGCTCCTCGAATATGGACCTTTTCATGTGAGATCCCATCTGCATCCATTTTCAATAAACATAGACCAAATTATATAAAAATATGAATTTGTCTCCTTAATCAATTGGTACCCATTTTCTTAATTAATTTAATGGACAAATTCATATATATATATATATATATAGAGAGAGAGAGAGAGAGAGACAGACAGACAGACAGACAGACAGAGACAGAGAGTGATATGGATATGATACTGCAGCTACTCACTTGCGTCACCAAGGCATACAGAGGAAAGGTAATGTAGCTGCATAGTATTTGAAGCCCATCGCCTAGAAAAACTCTTCCCAATGCAAAATACAATTTTTCGTGGATACAAGAGCGTATGGTGTATTTAAACTGCACGATATTGGACCATATATACATACATATATATATATATGCAATTGAATTAGTATTATTTCCCATATCAGTTGGAACAGCAAATGAAAAGAAAAATCTTTTTTTAACCATATGGAATTTAAAAATAATTAAAAGAAATTAATCTCTACTTACCACTACCCAAAGAAAATATGCCATTTGGAATGCATTCTGCATAAACATCAAATTAATGAATCAAGCAATATAATAGTAAAGTAATTGCGGCTGAATGATTAACTGATTATTATATATAAAATACTCAACCACATTGAGATGGGTAATCTTAAAGCTCATGACCCAACTACTTAATTTAAATTAAACTGCTTATAATGTATATTAATTACTAATCCTACTGCATATATATGTATATATATATATACATTGGCAACTGGGCAATTAGCTACGAATTGGTTACCTGAAACAGTGTATAATGTATAAAGAAGAGAATCCACTGGGGTCGATTAAACCAGAAATACTTGTTATTTGGCTCAACCACAGGAGCCCCTCTAACCACAGTAGTCCGATCCTGGATTCCTTGAGCCAATTCCATGATGATAAGTTCAAGCTTTGTACCCACTAAAAGAAGTATCTGCACAAATTAAGAGTTTTGTTTTAAGTCAGTCTAATTAATTAGGCTAGCTGTATCAATCAAGTAGAATTCTCATTAATATAGTAGATATGATAGATTGGGATGTTTTCTTTTCTACCTTTAATTCAATCATTATTGTTATTAATAATAATGTAAACTTAATTACAAGGCTAATTAGGACGTGCGTCTTACCGTTAGGGGGACTAAAGACAACCAGGTGAGAGTTTGCCATTCTGCACCAAATACATAAATTGTCCAATTAATTAATGAGAGTTGAACAATTAATGTTGTAATTAAAGCGAAAGGGGTAGAATGATTAACTGTAAACGTTTAGAAGTAAGAAGATGATAGCAAAAGCCCATAGAGGGGTGCTGCATGCAAAATCAACAACGAATATCAATTAGTATGATAATTAATTAATTATATATATGCATACATAGTGTCAGCAAGCAAGATGAAGCTAGGTTCTTAGATTTATCCAAGAAAGACGGACGGAGATGAATAATTTAAACGGACCTAATTCCCACTACGACTTTGAAATCGTCTTCCATGGATCTTTTTATGTATTTATGGAAGTCAAATTTGCTGTTGGGTGCAAAATGTGCCTGCAATATTAATATTGGTTGGATAAAATGAAGGCCTTGTCATAGTGGAGAGACGAAGACATTGTGTCCCATTAACATCAATTAATTAATATTCATAAGCCTAATAAAATAGGATGCCTGCTGCTTACGTTGATAAAACCAATGCGCATGGTCAAATAGTCCACCTTGGTCACCGAACCAAAGAATTGCCTGAAGAAGGCCACCTGTATATGTATATTTAAGACGATATGCAGTAATTAATTTAACTTACAAAAAAATATGAAGTAACATATGGAAAAATAAATAAAAGGCGTTATAAATAATCATTATATATATGCACACACTCTCACGAAGCTGAAGCTGAAGCTTTTATTATAAGGCAAAATTAAGTTTCCAATACAACGATGGAGCCAAAATTTTAAAGTTAGGAACCCAATCTAAAATAAAATATAACATACAAATTTTATTTAACATATCATTTGTATTATACATATTATTATCTTATCAAAAGTTATAAAATATATATATATATATATTAAATACAATATTCTATATGTATAAACATAATAATGAGCATACGTAAAACAATTCAAATCGCGAAATGAAAGAAAGTCAAAATACATATATTCAAATTTGTACACTAAGATTTTCCATAGAAACAAAACTATTTAAGTCAAAAGTTTTGATAATTTCTATTTCAATGTAGGGAATAAATTATCCACAAGAAATTCATCCTCCATTTATTAGGAAGCTTTTTGTTTTAACATTTTTCATTATTAAAAATACTCTTTCAGTAATTACAAGTAGACGTTTTCAAAAATGTTGGGCCTCCTCCTCCTATAACGTAATGTTTGAATATACAAATTATTAAGTCGCAACATTTTATATAGTGTAAAACTCATTAGTTATTCTCACACATATTTTAATATGATTTAGTTTAACTTGATTAAAATTAGCTGAAAAAATGCCTCTTACTATCCATTTTATGCCGGGACTTGTCAAGAAACCAGAATGACGTTTCACGAAAGAAGTTTGATGGGTGAATCTGAACCTTGCAGGATCTGAAAGAACATGTCGATGGCACTATATTAGCATGCCAAATGCTTGTGGATTATATGCACAATTGAAGAACTTCAATTTTGATGGACTAGTACAAATTTTGTTCAGAATTTAACATTTATTAATGGCCGAGGCACACAGCTTTTCGGTGTCAATGGATTTCAAATTTAATTTAGATACTCCATAAGAAAGCAAGGTGAAAGCTCTAAAGGATTACCATTTGTGTATTGATACTCCAGGGTTGAAGTTTCTGATTCCCAGGCCTCCCATTTCTTCATCTGATCAATTTCAGTCACCAGAATTACATTATGAAAACTAAATAACTAGGAAATCCAGTCCAGTTGATCTTTGATAATAGCATTATTTTTGGAAATTAAACAAACATAAAGGAAATTTAAGGTTAAAAAAAAAACTCACTTTGGCCTTGGCCAGTAGAATGGTGGCCACACTGTAAAGAACATGAAAAACAGCAAGCACAAATATAAATATGTGCAAGTCGTGCATCCCACTTTGTGAAATCAGGGCAACTTTACCCTATAATTTCATCCAAAAATTAAGAGGGGGAAATTGGTTAATTACTTTGTCTTCGTTAAACCGATAATAAAAAGCTAACCTCCTAATTAAAAAAAACTAAAAAACTAAAAAGAAGGCCGGCATACTTTGTCGCAAGAACCTTTTCCCCCGGAATCGGCCAACACTCGACGCCATACCATGTGATCTTCAGCATAAGAAAGTAACTTTCTTCTGTCGTTATCCTCGCTAATTTTACTTTTATCAATCGTTCCTGCATAATCAGACTTTGGTTTGCATGGAAGCATCGAATGTCCTATCTTTTCAGGGATGCATATTTCTGGAATGTAATATGTACCCACAGTAAGTAGTAACGATATGAATCCCAGTAGCATCAGTTCTGCAAATTAAATTAAAAGGGAATAGTCGTTATTAATCCATTAACTTCAGATCACTGCAGATTGCCTTGTTGCCCAAATGCAATATTGAACAAGTATACATATAACATCAATTAAAAATTAGCGCACAAATATATATATATATATATATAGAGAGAGAGAGAGAGAGAGCGATCTAACCAGCTTTTATTTTCTCCAAAGCTTCCATCATGGCTTTCTTGTGGCGTTTTTGAAACCACTGCACGTCATCAACAAAGAGGTTACAATCATAATTATTAGCATGAAAACTTCATTAGTAATTAACACCGCCATAACCTATCTCCTTAATTACCTTTCCAAGAGAGTGAATTCCTTGTTCTATCAGTATGGATATAATCACAAATATTGCACTCACAGCTGCAACAGCCCATGTTGGCGTTTGCTCCAGTGACCTACCCTTAGAGGCAGCCATTTTTCAGAAATCAAAACGCTTAGGATAGGAAGAAAAAAGTTGGTCGAAATTAACAAGAATTAATATATGGGGAGAGGAGGGAAAAACCATGTGGTAGAGCGTTTTCATTTGCCACTAGCTATAAACAAAACTTTGTCATATATTGCATGGTTTTTCCCGCAATAAAAAAAAAAAAAAAGGAGCATTGTTGTACCGGTCAATGCAGTCGTCTAAGGTATAAATAGGATATATCAAACAACAATCCCTTTGTTCATAGGACAATATAGAATCAGGCCGGCTAATGCAGCCAAAGAAGAGAATATTATGATAAAGAAACATATCTTGGGACGAAGGGTATATATGAAGTGACCCTAGTATTAACTTAGTCATGAGCATCCGATATATTTGAGTTGTATCTATCTATGTCTAAGACTGAGTACTGAAAGCTCTTGGTCTCCAAAGCTGAGTAGTTTCTCCGCTGTAGGTAGGTAGGTATATATGTGGTAGACAAGTCTACTTCTAGACATAATTTTATATAACAATTGGGAATTTAAGATGGCCGTAATTTCTAATAAAGTTTTCTCCATTGATATAATTAGTTAAGGAACCTTCGCTAATTCAGCAATAACATATATAGGACGTTTTTTTGTATATATTTATGGATCTTTCTGACCTTGTAGTTTTTCATTAGTGTAGAGGGCAGCTTAGTTGACATGGGCCAAAAGAATTAGACTCCTTTCACTCTTTTTTTTGTTGTCCACCCGCACAGCATAACTTTTTTCTTCTAATTAGTAAAGTATTTTAATCCAAAGGGATTTGCTAACGCCAGAAAAAATATATAAATAAAAAAAGAAGAGCAAGTTAATTTAAAATCCTTAGTTGAAACTAGTACTCACATGTGACTAGTAAGTTTTTTTCTTTTAGTCAGAATAATAAGTTTTATTGATGTGTTCTAATTGAATGCTTCAAAACCAATTCAGGATAATTTCATTGATTTTTGTCCATGTTACTGTCCATTTGTCTTACAATTCTTATTATCATACATATTTTTAATAATTTCTTTTATAATTAAGGTTAAACCTTTTTTATAATGGATATTTTTTATGAAATTATAATCATTAGTCAGATATTATATATTAAAAACTAGTTTTTAACCCATGCCATGCATGGAATTATTTTTTATTTTTAATAATTAAAATTTTTTTATTAATCTTAATTTTTTATATTACTTTAATAAAAAAAATGCAAACATTTATTGATTTATTATATATAATCATACTTTCATAAATGTTAAGGTATAATTAAATAAAAGTTTATACGTATTGTAATACTTTTTCAAAGTCAAAGTTTTGTAAAATTTCAAAGAATTATAAAAAATTTTTCTTTTTTATAAAAATTATTTTTTCAGTTCATTTACTAAGCAATCAAAATTTTACTACTCATTTTTTCTTGTTCGGTCGAAAAGGCAAAGTTCAATTTTAAATAATCAAGAATTTATTATTGGCTTATATATATATATATATATTTAGTGTTAGAAATGTTGTTATCTATGCTTTTGAATTCTTCACGTGATATTATTATAATTTCTTTAAGGTTTGTATTCTTTCAGTGCTTTATTGTACTCTTAATTGTAGTTGGATATTTATAATCATTTCACTACTTTTAATAAAATTTTATATTAGCAAAATATTCTTAAATTATTAAATCTTATAAAGTTAAATAAAAAATAAAATGTCAAATAATAATAATAATAATAATAATAATTGAACTACAAAACATAATTACTAATTTGCTCATAACCATTAGCTTTTTATTAGTTCTTATTTTTTTACATATATACTTTAACATACATAATTTTTTTTTATTAAAACATAAACCAAATATACAAATTGAGAATTATATATAATTTAGATCTCTTGTACTTAGGCCTAGCAAATATCCAGTTTAACTAAACATATATATATATATATATAAACATATGAACCAATTTATTTTAGAATAAATCAAATCTAGATGCATATATCATATAATGCAAATAAAACCAAAAAATAAGTTTAAAAAAACAAACAATTGAGGAAAATAATAAAAAATATAATATAATATAAAAAAAGTAATGAACTATACCTATTACCTAGTTGAAACCCAGCTAAATATGCGCTCATTTTCCTTTCATTATTGGAATCTAAAAAAAAATCAATATTATAAAAAGAAAAATAATCCAACACCATCACAAACTTATTTTTAAAACGAAAAAATAAAAATAAAAAAATAATAAAGGCATAAAATGAATTTACTTATTCATGAGTATGATGTGTTTATTATTCTTTCTAGCTTTTGTCAATTTCTATCAAAACCCATAAACCATAATTGTCAAATAAAAAAAAAAAGATTGTATTCTTCAATTTCTAATTCTAATAATAACAAATAAAATAACATTAGTTAGAAAGTGATGTACTCACTTTATGAGTTCTTTATTTTTATTTTGAGATTTTGATTTTAGCAAATAAAAATTTATTAAGCTCACACACACACACACACACACACACATATATATACATACATAGAGTTATGATTAAATTTAGAAGGAAAAAGATAAATTATGATTTAATATATTTAAATTCAAAATTTATGTAAATTTTTTAATTTTTGATAAAGTTTGATTTGAATTTAAATAGTTACTCAAAAATATTAAATTTATATAATTTATTAAATAAAATTATTTGACAACAAATATAAGTTTATTAAGCCTATATATATTTGGAATTATAATTAAATTAAAAAAGAAAGGTAATTTATAATTTAATATATTTAAATTTAAAATCTATGTAAAATTTTTAATATTTTATAGATATTGATTTGACCAAATATACAAATTGAGAACGTATATATAATTTAAATTTTTTATACTTATGCATAGTAAATATCTAGTTTCACTATATATATATATATATATATAATCATATGAACCGATTTCTTTTAGAATAAATAAAATCTAAATGTATATATATCATATAATGTAAATAAAACCAAATAAAATGTTGGAAGAAACAAATAAATAGAGGAAAAATTAAAAAATAATAAATAGAATATGAAAAAAACAATGAACTATACCGAAACCAATCTAAAAGTGTACTCATTTTCCTTTCATTATTGAAATCTAAAAAAAAAAAATCAATATTATAAAAACAAAGAAAAACCAATCCAACACCATTACAAACTTATTTTTAAAACCAAAAGAATAATAATAAAAGAAATAAAAGAAATGTAAAGACATAAAATGAATTTACTTGTTCATGAGTAGTATGTGATTATTATTCTTTCTAATTTTTATCCATTCCTATCAAAACTCATAAATGATAATCGTCAAATAAAAAAAATTATTTTCTTTAATTTCTAATTTTAATAATAGTGAATAAAATAACATTAGTTAGAGAGTGACGCTTTCATTTTATGAACTCTTTATTTTTATTTTGAAATTTTGATTTTAACAAATAAAAATTTATTAAGCTTACACATACACAAATAATATATAGATATAGATATATATATATATATATGTAGAGTTATTATTAAATTTGAAAAGAAGAGATAAATTATGATTTAGTGTATTTAAATTCAAAATTTATGTAAAATTTCTAATTTTTGATAAATTTTTATTTGAATTTGAATAGTTACCCAAAAATATTTAATTTATATAATTTATTAAATAAAATTATTTGACAAAAAATAAAAGTTTATTAAGCCTATATATATTTGAAATTATGATTAAATTAAAAAAGAAAGATAATTTATAATTTAATATATTTGAATTTAAAATTTATGTAAAATTTTTAATATTTTATAGATTTTGATTTGAATTTAAATAATTATCCAAACACATTAAATTTATATAATTATCTATACATATTAAATTTAAATAATTTATTAAATAGAGTTACTTAATAAATAATATAATATAAATATTATCTTACGTGTCATAAAAAAAGATTATCTACATAGACGTTTATGTCAGCACATTTTATCATATAACTTTATATCATGTAATATAATATATATATATATATATATATATTAGATATTACTTAATTAATTTAGACAAATCAATTAATCAACAAACTAATATAAAGTTGAACCTGTAAAAATGATTAAGTATGAAAATGAAAACCCACTTAAAACTGCATCTAGGCATATAGCATTGCTTCCTTTTTTTTTGTTTTTTTTTGAAAGAAAGATTTTAGTAGTCATGTCATGTAGTAATAGTTCTAGAACAAATTGGGCCGCAACTAAAAATTTTGGGCCTAGGCCCACAAGAGCAAGCGCCGTCACAAATGAACGGCAAGGAAAGCAGAGGGTCCATGATGAAGTTTCGTCGTCAAGCATAGATATCATCGAGCACCGAACTCAGAAGTAGCAATCTCCTTATCGGATCTGTTTTGTTCCCTGGAACTCCACTGCTTAGTTTCATTTCTAGCGTCTCTCTCACTTGTATTGTATTTTGCACTCTTAGAAAATGACAATCCTTTCAAATTCTTTGGTTTTACCGACAAACCATCGAACCCAACTCTCTTCTGGTAAAAATCCCTCGTCACATTTCGTTTCTCGATCTCTCTTTCCTTTCAATTTTGTGCTGCTAATTCGTTGTAATTATGCTATGTAAACTTCTTATTCTCTTTATGGTATGCGTGCGTCACAATCTCCTTTTTTTTCTTGCTTAAGCCATGGGATTTTTTTCTGGCAGTAGCTGAAAGAAACTTTAGATTGCCACTCACTTATATCTATAAAAATTGATTGCAATTCAATTTCTTATATTTCTTACTAGCATATTTGTCAAAAATTTTTATGTGGCATGTCATTAAACCTGAAGGAAATAATTGACTGCAAGTGCTGTCAGCTAAAGATGAAAGAGAGATGCCAATAGGATTTGCTAAAAGCTCCTTGGTTGGGGAATTAACCGTTGGACTTGAATCTCATTATTTTTCATTTTTGTTCAGCACTTTTGATCTTGTGCAGCAAAAATCTGGGTTTAACAGTATTTCTAATTTCTAATTTCAGAATTTGTTAGATCATAGCATCATCATCATCATGTTCATGTCCATTCTTTGAAATCAGAAGATTGTTTATGTTTGCTCTTTGTTGTACACAAACTCAAAAATAAGCTGTCATTAATTATAATTTCTATTACATGTATACAACAAAGCTATATTTTGTACGATTTAAAGTGTACCATCCGTTTTGTTTTAAAAGTTTTGAAAGACTGTTCATTACCTTCTCTGCCGAATTTGTTTTGCTAGGCTCTCCTCTAAAGCCAGCAGACCAAAACTTTGGGAGTGCCAAACCCGCCAACTTGTCATTCAATTCTAGTCGTTTAGGGAAACTGCATCTTTCTACCTCTGGAAGGCCACTCACTGTTCAAGCTTCGTACAGGTATCATCTTTGAGGCAATTTGGAGCAAGAATGCATCATAGTACTTATTCATATTCCTGTAACTGACTAACTGGGAGCTAGTTTCAAAAGCACTAGCAACTAAATGCTTAAGTTTTTGTGTGTGTGTGTGTATGTGTATTCTGTTCCCTCCTCTATGTGTTTTTAGATGATCTCTTGGGAAAATTAACATGTAATATTACTTAAGTACTCGAAGGAAGTCCTCTTCTTCTTATGTTCTTACAGTGATGGTGCAAGGCCAAGCAGCGCAAGCATCTTTGTTGGAGGTTTTGTTTTGGGAGGACTCATGGTTGCTGCACTTGGATGTGTGTTTGCTCCTCAGGTGATATTACCTTTGCAAATGCTTGTAAGATTGTACTAAAATATCTCCTTGATTCTCCATTATATATGTTTGTTATTTTGATCAAGTAAAATGCCCCCATATGTTGATCAATGGTTACACTCTACATCTATAGTTCCTTTCTTAAACAACTTTATCATTCCTGATTTTTCCCTTTTAGATGATTAAAACGTACAGACTGGAACTGTGAGAACTATTATGTGTTTGGCTATTTGTTTTAGGAACTGTTATTTATGACTTATATGATGGTCATTTTTTACTATTGAAAAATTCTTCTTCTGTTTGCCATCTATAGCTCAGCAAGGCTCTAGTTGAAGATAGAAAGGATCTAATGAAGAAACTGCCTAAATTCATATATGATGAAGAAAAAGCTTTGGAGGTGAGCACTTACTCTGTTCAGAATTATTGCCTTCTAAGTTCTAAGGAATATGGAATGGCCTGACTATTGTGTGCTTTGAAGTTCAAGAACCGGCATTATGTATTAAACATTTGCACTTTAAAATTTATAGGTTTAAAAGCTGAATGATAATATGTGGCCTTTGTTCTGCAGAAAACACGGAAGATACTGACTGAGAAGATTGCTCAGCTGAACTCTGCTATTGATGATTTTTCCGTGCAGGTTCGATCTGAAGATACCCCAAATGGAGTTGCTGTGAACTCTGATGAAATTGAGGCTTCCATATGAATTGCCTTGTCGTTCACATTGTGGTTTAACTGGTCTTGTTATCCTTGTTAAAGAAATAAATCAAATAATAGTGTTATTGTAATTTTCCTGTTTTCTCGGCAAACAGTTTAAGCTCTTTAATGTGTGGTGGTTGTTGCACGAATAAATGAATACTTACTCTTTTACCAGACATGATGGCAAAGATGCTCAAGGTTAGCGCCAAGTTTTAAAGAGTAACATTGCTTTCCTAGTTGTAAAAGTTGGTTTTCTAAAACTTAATTTGCTACTACTTCTATTTATTCCCCTCCCACCACCACCACCCCCCCCCCCCCCCCAAAAAAAAAAAAAAAAAAACTGTACTACTGGGAACAATCTCACTTCAAATAATTATCTTCCTTCTCAATTGTCTCCTGTAATTGATGCATCATTTGGTGTTTGGGAAAAATTCTACATTGGTAGACTGAAATGTGCCAAAAAGTTCACTGATTAAGAGAATAAATGAATGCATTTCCATGTTCCATCTTAGAAGTCCAATGCTACTGGCTTTTCATCCGGCCCTCTCATTTTAATTCAATCTCTTTGTTTGGAAATAGAATGTCACCCTCTCTTTCTCATGTGTATGTATCAAAAAGAAAATGGAGAAATGGAGTTACCTAGTTCTGCTGGATAAGTATCTAGACATGGGGATTCATTCGTCTTATTAGCCTCAAAACATTTTACTATCCTTCAAACGTGGAATGACAGATATTTATTTTCCTCTGAATCTTCACCACCATCCAAATTGATCTCCTCATAGCCAGAAAATTGTTTGTAAAAATCTGGTGCACTGGTCCCATTGAGCCTGAGGCCTTTCTCTCTTGAATGTTTAAAAGCTACACGTTACATTAAGAAAACACTACGTGCGATACGTAGATGAAGCAGATTTTAGATTTCCCGCAATTTTGTTTGTGTCGATCATATACGTAGTCATTCTAAAACAGTGCAAGGGCACTTTAGGAAAAATAAGAACGGATGAAGGAGCTGTGGCTCAGATCATGAGCTGAGTTCTCGAACACAATCTTATCACAGCATAGGCCACAATTCACCACTCATTTCTTCAATTCACTTGCAACCATAATTTATATGCTAATATTTTAACTAGAGGAGGTTGAACAATAATATATTAACTGACACACCAAATTCAACTGTATAAATAATACTGGGGAGCTTGATCTTTTAGTTTACTTGCAGCCAATAAACATGGCCACTCACGCGGCTCTAGCTCCTTCGAGAATCCCTGCCAGCACCAGGCTTCCATCTAAGAGAAATCACTCTTTCCCCACTCAATGCTCCGCCCAGGTCTCTCTCTTTCTTAAGGTTTTGGTATGTAGTTTTGTTGCTCTTTCGCTTCTGGACTATTCATTTCAGGCTTTCAGCTTTCTTGTGCAGAGACTGGAAGTTGCTGAATTCTCTGGGCTTCGATCCAGGTCAAGCGTGACCTTTGCCAAGAACGTTAGAGAAGCATCTTTTTTCGATGTGGTGGCTGCCCAACTTACTCCAAAGGTTCATTCACTGTTTCACCATTTATTTTTTGAGTTTTTGCGCCATAACAGCAAATCAATGTTTCATTGGATAATATTCTACGTTATAGAGCAGTTATGGCTTTATGGGTCCATAGGCTCTTGGTAGTCTTGATATGTCCAAGTTTGAAGTTAATACGTTGCTTCACCAAGCAAGTTTATTTTTTCTCCTATATCCTCAGGTTTCCTGGGCTTAAGCATAGGCCGCTTAAAAAGGGGAAAAAACCCTGCTGAAACACTTTCAACAATAAGCTTGGTTAGGTAGTTCAGCATTAGATAACCAACAGAAAGACCAAAATGATCTATATATTGATTTTATTTTTCTGCAAAGCACCTCATTCTTAATTACTATGTGGTACTGATCACTTGAAATTGTTTTGAAATTTAGAATGTAGGATCTGCTCCTTTTAGGGGAGAAATAGTTGCCAAATTGAAGGTTGCAATCAATGGATTCGGACGCATTGGCAGGAACTTCCTCCGATGCTGGCACGGCAGGAAGAACTCACCCCTCGACGTCGTCGTTTTAAATGACAGCGGTGGTGTCAAGAATGTAAGTAACTGTGACTGCCATGCTTTTTAAGAGTTAACCTGTGAGGTTTGGATCTTTTCATTCATTAACCTAGATATATAAATAAACACAGGCTTCACACTTGCTGAAATATGATTCAATGCTGGGAACTTTCAAAGCTGATGTGAAAATAGTTGACAACGAAACCATCAGTGTTGATGGTAAGCCCATCAAGGTCGTCTCTAACAGGGACCCTCTCAAGCTTCCTTGGGCTGAACTTGGCATTGACATTGTTATCGAGGTAGGTCCTTGCATTTAATGCTCAGAGATTTTGGCCTCCAGGGAAATATAGGTATTGTGACCATATAGAATTTCAAAGCATGGATGTAACATACAATTTATATTTTATACCTCTCCTGTCATATAGTATACCACTTTTAGTATTAATGATAATTGAATAATTTGACATGCAATATTTTACAGGGAACAGGAGTCTTTGTAGATGGCCCTGGAGCTGGAAAGCACATACAAGCTGGTACCAAGAAAGTTATAATAACCGCTCCAGCTAAAGGTGCAGACATTCCAACCTACGTTGTTGGAGTGAATGAAGGGGATTATGAGCACGAGGTCTCAAACATCATAAGGTCGGTTCTGAATAAAGCAGTCATGACAATTATTTTCCATTTCTTTATCGTTCTAGTGCTTTAGAATTTGATTGCCTTTTTGTATTTGAAGCAATGCTTCATGCACCACAAATTGCTTGGCTCCTTTTGTGAAAGTCATGGATGAAGAATTTGGTAAGCATTGTTCATATTCAGATATCATTTCACAGCTTAAACATTTGGGGATGAATTTTTTCAGTTGTTTAATTGCCTATATGATCATAGTTTAAGATTTTCTATTTTTCTTTGACTTTACCAAAAACTATGTGCAGGCATTGTCAAGGGTACAATGACAACCACCCACTCTTACACCGGTGACCAGGTGATCACACTAGTTAACCAAACACTCAACTGATGCACTCAGAAGTTGCATATTCTCAACAATTAGATTTTTATGCTAGATTATATTTCAAATTAATTGCTTAAGCAAAGTAGAAAACTAAAATTATTGCATGTGATTATCCAGAGGCTCTTGGATGCTTCACACCGTGACTTGCGAAGAGCCAGAGCTGCAGCATTGAACATTGTACCAACAAGCACAGGTGCTGCAAAGGCTGTCTCTCTAGTGCTTCCTCAGCTCAAGGGCAAGCTCAATGGCATTGCACTTAGAGTACCAACACCAAATGTATCAGTTGTTGACCTTGTTGTGAATGTTGAGAAGAAGGGTATTACAGCTGAGGATGTGAACGCTGCCTTCAGAAAAGCAGCTGAGGGGCCATTGAAGGGCGTATTGGATGTGTGTGATGTTCCTCTTGTCTCAGTGGACTTTAGGTGCTCTGATGTTTCTTCCACCATCGACTCTTCATTGACCATGGTCATGGGAGATGACATGGTCAAGGTGGTGGCCTGGTATGACAATGAATGGGGTTACAGGTGAGCTTAAAGCAAGCAATCCAAGTAGTTGAAAATTAATAAAGCATGACATATGGTCAAGTTTTTAATCTCTTGGATTTGCGTTGGGTACATTAATAACTGTTACAATGTGGTTCATTGTATTTGTGATTTGCAGCCAAAGGGTTGTTGATTTGGCACACTTGGTGGCAAGCAAGTGGCCAGGCATGCCTGAAGCAGGAAGTGGTGACCCCTTGGAGGATTTCTGCAAGACAAACCCAGCTGACGAGGAATGCAAAGTTTACGAGGCTTAACTCGTTGCAATTAATATTCATATTTCTTTTGTTAATTTGTTTAATTTCCAGCTGGGGGTATAGTGGCAAAGGTTTTTCAATGTTCGTGTTAACTAAATATGCTCATTTTGTAATGACAGCTGAGTGACATGAACAGAATGATCAAATAACATTTCAGTGCAGCTATCAAATGCTGCAATAATCTTTTGATCTAATTACTCGTAGCTTTGGACCAGTATGAATTGCATCGGTGGTTTCTTTGATATTCTAAAAATTTTCTAAATCCCATAGATGATTGTATAATCTGATTGGATTAAGATCTACTCTTGAGAAAAAAAAAAAAAAAAAAAGAAAACAAAAACACTTTGACTAAATACATTTATTTGATAAATAAAATTAAGTTTGAATTATTTTATTTTTAGAGTTTTAATTTTATGTTAAAATTAGAAACAATAAATTTTATGTTAACTTAAGATGATATATTTTGAAAATAACCAATTAGTATAAAAAAAAAAAAAAGCATTATCATAGTTTTTCATTTTATTGTTACTTTTACAGAAAATTTTAATTGACGAAAGAAAAGAAATAGCAAATACAATCCTTTTTTTTTTTTCTCCCTTTAAACCCATGACGGCACCTAGTTGGCTGGACAAGTCGTGAATATGCTGACTGGTCACAATATGATTGGCTACAGAGACCCGAGTGACAAATCCAACAATCGAGAGAGGAAGAGGTGAATGAATTGGACGTAAAATAAATAAAGTCAAGGGAACCCTAATTGACTAATTCCCGTCGATCGCAAAATCTCCCAATTCGAAAACCCTAAATTCGCATTTCCAAATTACACTGAAAGATAAAAAATTTCAGCATAATTCATTTTCAATCTGACAAGAGATGAGACGATCTTTCATATTCCTTTTGCTGTTAACGATCTTATTTTCTCCATCAATACGCGGCTTCTTCTGCTCAGAGATCTCACAAGCCTCTCTTTCCAATCATTTTCTGCCGCCCCGCCCGTAAGTAGCAAAAAGCACTCTTTAACTTGCTATTCTTATTGGATTAATATATATAGGAAAAAAAAGCCGATCTTTATTTTTTTTTATTGCGAATTTTTATGAATTGTACGTTAATTGGGTTCCATCCATGTATGATGGTTGCAGCAAGCTATCTGGAGTTAGCTTAAAAGCCTAAAACCAATTCTAATCAATTGTTTTTGGTGTTTTTATTTAGTAACGATGGAATAGCTGTGGTGGTTACTCTGGACGGAACGATGCATTTAGTGGACAGAGTATCAAGGAAAGTTCACTGGTCACTTGCATCGGGTAGGCCAATTTATTCATCTTATCAGGCCTTCCATGACCGCGACAATGATAAGCTTAATGCATCTGGACCAAACACTGATTTGTATGTAGACTGTGGAGATGATTTGCAACTCTATGTCCATAGCTGGCGCCAAGGAAGATTGGTACCAAAACTCACCCTATGTCTCTTTCTTAAAGTTGCATGTCCCATACTAATTTTAGGTTTTCTTAGTCATTGATTCTGTTGTCTAATGAGTATTACTGAATTTGGCTGATCGAGTCGCGTGGAGGTCTTGTGTATATACTTTTATTTCCATCTATTACAATAGTTTCTTTATTATCTCAATTTTTTTGCACTCTAGAAAAAACTTGAACTGAGCGCTGAAGAATATGTTAGAAGAACACCCTACATAGCAGAGGATGGAGGGATCACTTTGGGAGTAAAGAAGACAACTGTTTACTTTATTGATGCAAACTCTGGAAGAATAATACAAACTTATCGGTTGGATGATCCTCCCTCTACAATAGATGTTCAGAATAATGCAGGAAAAACAGTTCTGTGGGCAAAGGATGCTAAAGCACTGGTGGAGTCTAGTCCTGTTAACTCAACAACAGTTCAGCAGCTTGTCTATATAATGAGGACAGATTATGTGCTGCAGTATTATTCTCCAAACTCTGCTGAAGTATTATGGAATTTGGCATTTGCCAAAATTGATGCTGAATTTCGATGTCAAGAATCAGAGAAAAAACTTTCTGTAGACTACTTGCACGATTCTGACTTGCAATTGCCTTGTCAGATGAGGCCTGTTGTTATCCAAATTCGTGATCATAAATTATTGGAGTCTCTCCCTGTCTTTGGCTGGCTAGATGGAATAATCCCTCTGCCAGCTTTAAATCAAAACCCTCACTTGCCACCTGCTGAAATATTACCACTTCAAAATCCTCACTTGCCACCTGCTGACATATTACCACTGGCTCTTCCTAATGACAAGGCACGGCTTGCTCTGCCAGCTTCCGAGATGGAAAATCCTCTTATGCTAGATAACATTAATATAAACATCACAAGGAGGTTTCACATGGCGGGATCCAGCATACAGTCTTTCGTTGCTTTCTTTGCTACCCTGTTGACTATTATTGGCTTAGCCTTTTACCGCTTAAAACAGGATAAGGGGAGTAAGCAGGATCAGGAATTTAAATTGCAGGTAGTACATAAAAAGAAAAAACCTAAGAGATCTGGGAATAGTAAGAACAGTGCCAATAATGAAAAAAGGAAGAAACTTGTTTCAGAGGGGAATGAGGCTGGAAAAACCAACAGACTTCCATATAATGAAGGGAATGAAGGCAAATCATTGCTGACCATTACAGATCTTGTTGATGGTCGTTTAGATGGATGTAGAATTGGTAAGTTGCATGTTTACAACAAAGAAATAGCTAAAGGAAGCAATGGTACGATTGTGCTTGAGGGGATTTATGATGGCCGTCCAGTAGCTGTTAAACGTCTTGTGCAGACTCATCACGATGTGGCTTTGAAAGAGATTCAGAACCTTATTGCATCTGATCAACATCCAAATATTGTCCGCTGGTATGGTGTAGAGTTTGATCAGGATTTTATTTATCTCTCTCTAGAGCGTTGTACCTGTAACTTAAACGACCTGATCTATGTATACTCTGAATCTTTTCAAAATCAAGCAATTGACAAGGATGAAGATTCAAAACTTTTCAATGAGTATAATGTTCGATTACGTCCTGAGATGGAAAATAACAAGGATATTGAACTTTGGAAGCCTAATGGGTGTCCTTCGCCCCATTTGTTGAAACTGATGATGTAAGTTTGATACCCTTTAATATATTATCTCTCTCTCTCTCTCTCTCTCTCTCTCTCTATATATATATATATATATATATATGTATGTATGTATGTATGTATCTTTGTTTGTGTGAGATTGATCAGAATTTCACATTGTTATCATTTATGTAGAGATATTGTCTCTGGGCTTGCCCATTTACATGAACTTGGCATCATACATCGAGATCTAAAGCCTCAAAATGTTTTGATAATCAAGGAGAGATCCTTATGTGCAAAGCTTTCAGACATGGGCATTAGCAAGCGCTTGATTGGGGACATGTCTTCCTTAACCCGGAGTGCTACTGGTAAGCTTATCAATCATATTTGATAGCATTTAGCAACACTTAAACCATGCACTTTTCATGTTCTCTTTTTTTTTTTTTGGCTTGAGGATTGGATGAACCTATCTAGGAAATGTTGATAATTTTGAATGATGATCCAGCTACTTTAATTTATTTTCAATATACATTGCTTGCATAAAGATTGATCGACTTAATTCTTTATATTGCTGCTATATGTAGGTTATGGAAGTTCAGGTTGGCAAGCACCTGAACACCTTCGTCAAGGACGCCAAACACGTGCTGTGGATTTATTTAGTTTAGGCTGTGTTCTATTTTTTTGCATCACTGGTGGTAAACACCCTTATGGGGATAGTATTGAACGTGATGTAAATATTGTGAATGACCGAAAGGACCTCTTCTTAGTAGAGAGTATACCAGAAGCAATGGACCTTTTCTGTCATCTCTTGGATCCCAACCCAGAAATGAGGTCATTCATCATCCTCACTCCTGAGTTTGCACCAAATTTTGATGATCATACTATTATGTATTCATTGAGGGCTTCGTACTTTAGCACAGCTCTTGTTATCCACCTGCACATACACGGTTATATTAAGTGCATTCTTAAATCTCACGGATAGAAAATGTTTCAGCTATCTTATCAGGAACTTACTTGGGCTGGTCATATGCTTATAGCCTTTGTGGGGTTACTTGTTTATTAGTTGTCTATTCTTGTGAGCTTAAAACTTGGGGTCTATACCTGTGGGTTTGTTATGTTTTAAGTATTTAATAATACGATCAAGCTAAATACTTCGTATTGTAGAAAATAGGTCTCCTCTAATTGCATTGCTTGTGATATGTTGTAGGCCAAAGGCGCAGGAAGTTTTGCAGCATCCCTTTTTTTGGAGTTCCGAGATGAGACTTTCATTTCTTCAAGAAGCTAGTGATCATGTTGAATTGGAAGACAGGAAGAGTGAATCAGAACTATTAAATGCATTAGAAAGTATTGCAGCAGTAGCTTTGGATGGGAAATGGGATGAAAAGATGGAAACTGCATTCATTAATAACATCGGTCAGTATAGGAGATATAATTTTGAAAGTGTTCGTGACCTATTACGGGTAATAAGGAACAAGTCACATCACTACAGGGAACTTCCTCAAGACATCCAAGAATTATTGGGGCCGGTTCCTGAAGGATATGAAGGCTATTTCTCTAGTCGATTTCCAAAACTTTTGATTGAGGTTTATAAGGTACTGTATAAGCACTGCAAAGGGGAGAAATTCTTCCAGAAATATATAAAGAGCAATCTAATCTAATTGTCATTTGTTTCTATCCAGCTGGCTCATGTGCTTCTCATACAAGAATATTTACAACTTCTGTAAATAGAAATTGTATCATGTTGCAAAAATTTTATGTGTCAGTGATTAATTTATATTGTCTAAGTCTAACCATAAGTTTAATTTTGTAGTTTTGTCTTTTGTAATTTTTAAGCAGTATCTCCGAACCAGAGCAGTGAGCAATGTTGAAAATTTGGAGGTGGATGATTCCTGGTGCTAGTGGTTCCTTTGTTTACTTTAGTCGGTAGCTATTTTTTTCGTAGGATAACAATATGCATAATTACCCTATTATTGCAGGCGAGGGAAAGGACTTCTAACTTCAAAGAGTTTTAATAGTTTTAGGGTTAACTTTCAGGCAATATATATACTTATATAATTTATATAAATAGAAATATTTATATATATATATATATATATATATATACACACACGTAGAGAGAGAGAGAGAGAGAGAGAGAGAGAATTGAGACATCAGCCTGAACATATTAAGAACTTAGTAATGGATGAATATTCAAACTCGCACATTTCCTGTGTCTGCAGAAAGATTTTGGTGGATTTTGTTGTACATTTGGGACCTTATTTCTGAAGTCATGATATCCAGTTAGGCTTACCGAGCCCTGCATTCGGTTCAAGATTTAAATTACTACTACGATCATTTTTTCACGTTCAATTAATGATAGATTTTTCTGCCAGTTATAGCAAAAGAATAAGCTGGAAGAAATTAAAGTGCAAGTCCACTCCTGGAAGACTTGGCATGGAAAGGGGTGAAGGAGTATTTTTTTTTTCTTTTTATGGAGTTAAAGAAGGGCAAGTTGTAAGAGATTCTTCTATCATATGATTTCACAGCCCGTGATGAAGCAGGTTATATACATTGGGTTAATCCGACAAACCACCATTTTATACCTTCTATTTATCATAAAACTAGAACGTATAGAAAATTGGGTGGGTGATTGATAAAATTCCACTTGGGAGAAATAAACGCAGGCTTATTTTTATTCCATTTTTTTTCCTGAGGAAAGGCTCTTTTAAAGCGTGACAGCCAAAAGTATAGAAAATTACGAGTCCGACAATTGAAGTTGCTTCAGACTTTAGAGAGATATGGAGGGGTCAAAAATTGAACTCGCCCCCCTCCCCCCCCCACCCCCCTTTTTCTTCTTTTGAATTTCTGTACGCTAGAAAGAAAACTCTAACTTGATCTTGAGACGCGTTTCATACCTGGAAACACATTGCTTTCTATCCTGGATATAGTTGGATCCCATTGAAGCCAAAGTACTACACTAAGCCATCATCAGCCATCAACTCGAGTGAGGACCCACTGCTTGGTGGTAGTAATATTTGGCAAAGAAAAAGTGGCAAACACATTGAAATTTGCCTACTCTTCTGTCCCCACGTAATCTGACATGGCCCAAATTTCTGTGGAGGGAGGGACATGATTTTATAAAGGGAATTAAAAAGAAACCTGCTCCAGCTATTGTATTTTTGTAATTTGAGTATTAACAAGTAATTACCAGTACGGGTAATGTAAATCATGTGAGTAATTCTTTTGAAAACAAGTGCATTTCATGCCAGTAAACGATACATATCTTCACTTCATTATAGCAACAAAATCAGTCACTCTCACTCAACACTCCCTTGATCCTTGAACCACGAATGGCTTCTCTCTGCCTCCATCATGTCCTGCCACTCTCCCTCCTCCTCTTCCTCCTCACCCCATTACCTCGCGTTTCTAGCGTTGGCATTAACTATGGAACTCTAGGAAACAACCTCCCTTCTCCCAAGAAAGTAGCCCAGCTCCTCCAATCCACGCTCATAGATAAAGTTAAAATCTATGACACCAACCCTGAAATCCTTGAAGCCTTTTCCAACACTGGTATAGACCTTATTGTTGCCGTTGAAAACTACCACGTCGCAAACATCAGCAAGGACGAGGCCGCAACGGACGAGTGGTTCGCGACTCGTGTGATGCCCTTTATACCAGCCACTTCCATTGTAGCCATTTGTGTAGGCAACGAGTATTTAACCACAGATGAACATCTGGACCCTGATGCACTGGTCCAAGCCATGCAGAACTTACATTCTGTGTTATTAAAACGCGGTCTAGACCGCAAGATCAAGGTCACCACCCCACATAGCATGGCGGTTCTTGCTTCCTCATTTCCACCCTCAGCTTCAATCTTTGCGACCAAGCTTCTTCCTACCATGAGCTCTATAGTTGGGTTCTTGGCTGATACTGGTGCACCTTTCATGGTCAATGCCTATCCTTATTTTGCTTATAGGGATAATCCCAGCACAGTTGATTTAGAGTATGCATTGCTGGGGAACTCGACAGGGGTCCATGATCCTAAAGGTTACCTGTATCATAATATGTTGGATGCGCAGATTGATGCTGTTAGGTCAGCTATCGATGCTGTTGGCTTTGGTAATCTGTCGATAGAGATTACTGTGTCAGAATCTGGGTGGCCTTCAAAAGGAGATCCCGGAGACACTGCAGCTACTCCGGATAATGCAAAGACTTATAATACCAGGTTGATTGAACGTGCGCAGTCTAATAAAGGGACGCCCATGAAGCCCAAGGATAACATAGAGATCTTTGTGTTCTCTTTGTTTAATGAGAACAAGAAACAAGGGAGTGCCAGTGAGAGGAATTTTGGGATTTTTAATGGGGACGGGTCGAAGGTATACGATGTGGACTTGAGCTGCCAATTCTGCAGCAATGGAGGTGCATTTGAGAAGATGTCAACGAGTGGAGCTAGGGGTCCGTCAGTTTGGTGCGTGGCTAAGCCACATGCCGATGAAAAAGTGCTTCAAGCTGTGCTGAATTTTTGCTGCGGGCCTGGAGGAGTGGACTGCAGGGAAGTTTATGAAAGTGGTAAATGTTTTGAGCCTGACAAGATTCATGCTCATGCATCTTATGCCATGAATGCTTACTATCAGATGCACGGGAGGAATTATTGGAACTGTGATTTCAAGGGAACCGGACTTGTCACCTTCAGTGACCCAAGTAAGTTCATAGAAGGAATTTGAATAATTATTTAATTTTAATTTAGTAACTTTTTTATATTTAAGTTCAATTTCAAGTCGGTTTAACTCGTTTCTCTGAATTAATAATATATTTCATTTTTTTTCTTTTTCTTTTTCCTCTTTCTTGGATCAGGTTATGGAACATGCCGGTATCCTCAGCAGTGATTCACACTGGAATGACAAATTAGGCTAAATGTGGTTGACAGCTCCTTTGTACTGGTAGTGGTTGCTAGTATTGTTGATTTGAAATTCAAGCAATGTATGTGAGATAAGTTCACTATTATCTTATGAAATGAGTTCAGGTTTGGTGGCCGCTGAAAAACAAAATTGATTCAATTTCCTTCGTAAGGAAATTGAATATTTGGTCCTTTTTTTTTTTACCGTACCAAAAAAGAAAGGGTCTTTTTACAGAATGATAAAGTAGACATTGGCACATGGTTAAAGTGCCAGAATTAAAGACTTTTCCAGTTGAAAAAGCTCTTCCTCTTTCTTCGGGCGGGAATCTCGGCTTGGCCTGTGGACCCATGAATCCTGTGGCTAGGTCTAGGGACTGAGAAAATGGGCCATGAATCTTGTGCCAGACCCATAGTTTCCACATACGCTTTTGTCCGGACTCCGGAGCCAAGAGTTTTTTTGTGCCTTCGGTGATCATTGGATTCGATATAACAAATGATAGCTCTTTACCATAGTCTCCGAATTCCATCATCATTAGCTCAAAAAATAATAACTTAATTAATTAAACATGCTAACCCCTTTAGTCCCTTAAGACATCAATCATCAATGGCAGGCTGATTAAACGTAATTCATTTCCTCATGGGACACCAGTGAAAGATTATCTCCGCATCTCTATAGTAGAAAACCCACATAAAAAGCTCCACTTACTTTAGCCAACAATGCTGACTCTCAGGAACCTTTCTTTCGATTCAAGAACTATAGTTAGTGACAAGCCAATACAGAATACAGCGTATTAAAGGCGCATCCCCGGGAGACCTAATAAGTCAGCAATGCTTTGCATGCAAGGCAAATTGGAGTCAACTTGGTTATGAAAAATGAAGGAATTACAGAATGTTTAGATGATAAATATGAATGAAAATGACATGTTATCTCTAGAAGTTCAACTGTGGTTGTTTTTGTCAATTACTGCGCCGAATGAAAACTCAGCTGTAAAATCCTCTGTTTGAAGAGAAATGAAGCCAGAAGCAGTTAGCTGCCGGTATGGACCGGGGAAGGAAGATGGAACTAATGAAATCCAAGTTTCACCCGCGGTATTAGTTAAATCTTCTTTTCAACTCGCATTAAGGAATATTCTCTCTCCTATTTGCATTTATCGTGTATACATATAATAATCGTTCAAAGTCTGATTTGATCATGGACTAAACCAGTGCCAATAAAAGGCCACCTGGAACATAAGAAACAGAAAGGATTAACATGGAAAGAGGAAAAGCATGCACATTTTATCCTGATTATTTACCCTAGGCATACAATGGCAAAAACAAGTTTTGAAATCCTAAGCTTGCATATGACATGAACACAGAACAAAGTTGGAGACATGTATTTAAATGTTGATAATTGAATTGCTGCAACTTATACGAGGATGGCTGGCAAAAGTATTACTAGTATACTCAATGTTGGATTTACATTATCATCTGAATAATGGAGGTGTTTGAAATTAAATCTAGTGGACAAAAATGTCCTTGTAATATATACCTACACATGTAATGCCTTGAACACTTATGAACAGTTATGGTGCTTTAAAATAGGGTTTGTAGCGTGACTCACATGAAATGGCACAGCTAGGCATCTCCAATGATCAAACTGAACTAATTGCTGGAGTTTACATTTCACCCGGTACTCATTTCTGTGTTTCTCCTCTTGGCTTCCTCCCCAACTCATCATCCCTATCATTTTCAGATAATGATTTTTCTACTTTCCTTCTCTTCTGCCCACTTTTTGATGGGTCTTCTTTCTCATCCATTAGTGACAAAAACCTCTGAAGCCGTCCAGAACGTGAACTACCGTGACTAGTTGAAGTAGAATCACGAGGAGGAATGCCGTATAATTGGCGCAATATCTGCAGAAAGTATATGAAGAGAGCAATGAAGCAAGCAATCCCACATATAAGGAACAGTCCCCAGAAGCTCGATAGATGAAGTTGGTTTGATTCTATTTCTGCACTATCTAAACTGCAAGTGCTTTGCATCAACCATTTGTCATGTATCCGCTGCAGATCACCATTCTCAGCAAGTGCTAGAATTGCAGTTGACATATCAATTGCCAAGGGAGAGTCTCGAGGAAATGCCTACGAATAAATTATGCAGCAAAGGAAGAACTCATCAGAAGGTTATGTGACTTAATTTTTGCTTATAATGGGTGGATTTGAATTTTTTTTATTTTGAATGTTATGAATTTGACTCGTCTAGTAGATAGAATCTTACCTTCAGGTGCCATGGAACAATTAAAAATGGTCAATGAAGCTAATATATATGTTATCCCAATCTTAATGATCACTTCTCAAAATGATAAAGACAAGTAACTTAAAAAATAAATACTCACGAAGCCCCAGCCACTTTTGGTAAATTCTTGACCTACAATCCTGAATGTGCATTGGCTCGAGAGAAAAAGTTCAACATATGGACGTTCATCAACCACAGCAGCAACACCTCCTTTTTCAGGACCAAGTTTGAGTGCAGAAGCATATTCTTCAGGTGATCCGAGGGGAACAAGCCTAGATCTAGATATGTTAAGTTCCTCACTTAGATAAGGTTCAGCAAAAGAACCTACTTGATATCCAATAGGCTCATCACTGGTCATCAAGCTTCCAATTCCTTTAATAGGAGAAGATAACTGCTGCACTGTGAGGATTGATGTCAGACTTGCAGTGTAACTAGAGTTTACTATCAAAACCACAAAGAGCCATATAAGTAGCACTAGACGCCCAAGGGTGCTCATAGTATTCTCTCCTGCAAAAGGAATAAAGAGGTCAGCTTAATCAAATTTATCATATACCACTTATGCATTGCCATAAGAATAACTTTTTTGTAATAGTAGGAATTTCACTTACTGTGGGCAAAAAACAGAGTTGAGAAGCTAAACCTGCAAGGATAGCAAACAAGTTGCAAATTATTTCACATCCCAGGAGACAACTGAAAGGCATGAAAGTAACTGTACCAAGACATGACAACTTGTTCTAAAGAATGAAATAAATTGGAAAGACATGCAAAAACAAACAAATAAAAAAAAATCTTACCTTAATTAAGCATTATGATAGCATGAAGGCCAGAAAAAAGTGATGCAGTTAAATTTATAGAAGAATAAGTAGTAGTTTTGCGCGCTCTCATTAGTTTTAACCACACAAAGCTCGCAGGTCATGTAATAATCCATTCTCTTTGCAGTAACATTTCGAGATTGACAGAAAAATTTTGCCTCTTGCTCTTCATTTTGCTTAAAATGATAGTACTTGACCCACCATGAACAACTCTTATACAACAAGGCCTAGATATGCTATGTAAACAGTCCTACTTTTTCAAGCATATTAATGCTGTAAATGAGTTAGGTCAGCAACACAAGAAGACTTTAGTCACTCACCATAAAATGGTTATAACTTGACGTTGAGGTGGGCCCCTAAAATCATCATTTATTCTGTGCTCCAGGATCCAAACAACTATTCCAACAACGAGAAAAAAGGAACCGGTGACGATCCACATTCGCGGACTAAATGGCTGCAAAAAAGCCCAAGCACCGGTGTTCTGTTTGTTAAATGGAGCCACAATAACCAGTCCAGATGAAACATAAGGTTGAGTAAAATCAACTATCTTTGTCCGATTTTTAACAATAGCAATGTCACCAACAACAGCATCAAAGTCCTGCAGGAATAAAATGCAACAATTAGCCAGCAGCAGAAAACAAATTTTACATAAGATGAATTAACATAGTAGTCATAGCGGTACTCACACCCGTTGTGATCATATTCACAAGCTCTGTATAGCTTGGGTTTTTACGACCATCTCCGAAGGAGATAAATTTATACGGAACAGCATATGGTAACAAATTAACAGCAGCTGTAAATACATCTATACAAAATCCCTTGAACATATCAGTTCCTCGCACTCGTGATACAAATTCCCGGTAACTGACCCTATTTGGAACACCGATTCGCAATAACTTTCCATTGTTTGGAAACACCCATCCACGAGGCTTAGACAATGTCTCTCCTGGCCAAATGACACTGTATAGTTGTTGGCTTGCACTTGAACGGTTTGGTGGCCTTGTATAAAGTGTCTCTGGAGGTACAGTGGATAAACCAGAATAGTTTGACCAGTAACCAATTCGTCGAAATCCAGTTCCAAGCACATTAATAATATCATATGCAGGAAGAATAAGAGACCTGTCTGAATTAAACTTAATAGGACCTGTCAAACCAACAAAATGACTCAGCAATATGTTCTTCAGCAAGAGCATTCCATCATCAAAAATGCTTATCGCTTCAAGATGGAGAGTACTGCCTGCCACAGAGGGTATCCTAGAATCATTAGAGAATGAGATAACCCCACCCTGGTTAAAAAAAGCATCAAGAGAATGAGCAAGCAGCCAAACTGAATCATAAGCATAAAGCCCATAAGAGTTCAACCCCGGAGAACCTCCAGTTATCTTGTTCCATCTAGAGAAAAAGGTTCTCTTTCTATCTGAATCAGGTGTGTGCTGGCGCAAAGTCAGAACTCCTTGCATTGTGTCTATGGTCTCCGAAGGCAAAGTAGAAGTAGAATCTAAAACTAATGAAAGCCAATCCGTAGCTATCCATACATAGCCATTGCCCATCATTCCAAGATAGTTTGCCACAGAGAAAACCTTAAAACCTATTATTGGATTTACATGCAGAACAATAATTCGAGATTGCATTAAAGCAACCTTAACAAGAATATCCATGATGGCACCCCGATTCACTACAGAATCTGGTTGAATACCTGCCTTGTAGGAGATCCGGCAGCGCCTCCCTGCAAGTTTATCATTCAAGGCTGACACACCATTTCGTCCCCCATCGTCATCTATAAAGATTGCAATGACCTCCTTCCAACCATAATGGTCAACAATATCAGCCACAGCAGTCATTTGATACAAATCACTCTGTGTTGTCCTAACAAAAAAAGGGAACTGAAGGGAAGAAAGAGTGGGATCTGTAGCTGCAAATGACAGTAGAGGAACTTGGAGTTCATTTGCAACATGTGATATAATATGCGCAACCGTAGAACACTGCGGACCTAATATGGCAACGACATCAGTCTCCATGTACCGCAAAGCTGTTATTCAACATATAAATTGGAGTATATAATTATTAGAATCAATTATAGACATTAATTCAAACAATATTCTCGACCATTATATACAAGAAAAACAAGAAATTACCAAAAGCAGATTAACAGAAAATAATGGATTCTAAAATACCTTCGACCATGCCAAGAAACCCACTGCAGTTGGAATTTTGCATTGTTACATTAAGTTTTGTCCCTTGGAGAATGCTTAAATTAGAGTTGACATCCTTCACAGCTTCATCAATAGCAATCTTGGCAACTCTTCCAATGGTAGAGTTAAACGTAAATATTGCTCCAATATTTACAACAGCTGGTCTTGCAGAAACATTTCTACCGTACCCAATTTGGAACACTCCTATATGAAGAAAGAGCAGGAAAGCATACCAGGCTCCGTTCATTTCAGACAACTACGAAATCAACTTGACCAGTACAAGATGTATCCACAGCTGCCTCCAATTGATTCAGAAGCTCTACAAATGAAACTGAAACCAAAAGTTTCTAAGATAAAACAATTAAAAGATTATGCAAGTACTATGTTACAGATGCAAGACCCAAAAAGCTTCTGTAGCAACAGAACTTGAAAAATTAATCAAGCTCTAATAAGGAAAAGCCATGTCTATTACAATGAAGAACAACACCATCAATTCAACCTTACCTACTAACCCGAGTGCTTCATTTGCGTTTCTATATATTGATTAAAATCTATGATAACACCTAAAAGGATTGTAGAAACAGAATGAAGGTAACAGATAAAGGAAAGAATATGAAGCAAAGGAACTAAGATGATAGTGGAAACCAGAATCAGATTCCTGGATCACATCAAACCCAATAATAAAATAGCTGAATAAACCATCGAGAATAGCACATCCATGAGGCCAAGTATTTTCTAATATTATTATTCGCCAGAAAATCGAACCTCAACAAGTAAATGCAGTAAAGTTCCATCCTTATGTCGCAAGTCAAGAAATGAAGTAAAGAAAAAAAAGCAGAGAAAAAAAAAAAAAAATTACTTGGTTACTGACATAAAAGAAAAAAAAAAAAGTTGGTAGCTATAAAGCTCATATGACAGAACTCACCAGCTGAAAAGCCAAATCCAAGAATGAGAAATTGAGTACTTTCCCCAACCACCCAGCCCTGTTAAGTCATACTTACGGGAAAAAACGAAAAAGGAGAGAGAGAAGGTGCAAGGGTAAAAGGGAATGCTATTGGAATATTTTAAAAAATAAAAAAAAAGTATGAAATTAATGTAAATTGTATTTATTGGACAAATTGAATAATTTTATTCCACAAATAATTAATTTTTTTCAAAAGGCCTTCTTTCACAATAAAAGCTTCATTATATTCTATAATTATTTGATTTATATAAAGCTAAAAGAAATGGCGTAACACAGCACAAACAAAATTCTTAAAATTACCAAAAGAAAACATTCAGAACAGGAAGCTCACGTGCGATGCAGAACGGGATTTTACTACAAGCAACTTTTCAGGCTTCCATTTTGGTTAGACAAAGAGTGAGAGAAAGTATTTGTTAGGAAGTGATGCTTCCAGCTGTTGAGGATATTTTTCTATCCTGAACAGATTCTTTTCACCGAATATTACTAAATTAAAACATTACTAAACTACTTTTACTAGGATTTAACATCCTTCTCTTTTTTCTCTCCTTTAGAAAAACCAACAAACCACAATAAGTGGGAATCGAAAGCAATTTTGGTCCTTTTATTCCTTAGTCGCCATAATCACCTTGATTGACTCTTAATCCACTCTCATAATCAAGTGATGCATTTTAACAGTGAATGGAGGCGCTTGACTTTCTATTCAGACGATAGAGACGCACTAAAGAGCCACGAGTTCCATGAGGATTTGAACCTTAAACCATATATATATATATATATATATATAAATATATATATATATATATATATACTTGCAAGAGTCGAGTCAAAAAGCCCTACCTCGCCACTTTGCTATAATTTTGCTTTCAAGTGATTAGAATCACTCAGTTTTTGTTCTTATTTTGAAAATTTGACAAGTTTCTTAATTATTGAAAACAAGTTAAATTAATAAGTAGTTTTATTCTGATCGGATTGTAACTATCAATTTATGCCATAGTCAATTCCAATGGTAAGTAATCACATGCTAAGACACCAGTTGAAAATAGAACAATAATGATGATTCGGATTGGGCTTATCTGTACAGAACAAATTGGAATTGTTGTACGACCCTTTGCTTGCAAGCATCACGTGGAAGATGTGCGTACACATCACTTGCAAGATCAAAATGGGGATGATTTTCATATTTTGATTTAAAAAAAAAAATTTCTGATTGGCTGGGTGAAGTAAAGGAGTAAAGTGGATGAGGATTCAGAAAGCGATCATTGCGAACCTGGGGCATGCAACTTTGCGGTCCTAACTTTTTTGGGCTTCTTCTGATTTTTTTAGCCCTTAAGACTCAACAACAGCAGCACCTGAGCCATTGGTTGCGGCCTTCGGGGTATTTTACACTTTACGACTTACGTTACGGTCTTGTCCAAAATTGGGTGAATTTGGGCTCACGTTTTGTAAGACCCAATTTGGCGACACAGACAAGAGTCGAGTTGTTGTTCTTGTATTTTGTACCCATCATTCAGGCCCACTTCAGTCCCCTTTTCGTTTTGTAAAAGGCTCAATTCAATTGGATCTGAGTGGTCCACTTGGAAATTAATAATTAATAATGATAACAACTAACATAAAAAACTGGTGAAACTTTATTTTATCTAATTGCAATAGAAGATCAGATTCAAGGTTTAACTTTGGTCTTTGGCACTCCTTAATTAATCTCTTTTTTTTTTTTTCTTTTGATAAATAAAAATATACCATCGAAATTGGTCCATGTTCACCATTTATGCTAGATTTTCTCAAGCAAAGCTGACTACCATAGAATTCTAATTTGTTTTAGACTCTTTTGAGTCTGAGCTTAATTCACGATGCAATGGACTCCTTGATTTGTTCAAACCACATGTAGTCCCAGACCACAAAGCCTTACACAAATTTGGTCTTTTTACCACAGTTAATTAATAAGATTCCAGTTAATTTAATTAATCACATTGGGTCAAAAGACATTACTACTTTAATTAATTAGTTAAGCACTAATCACTTTGTCATTAACCTAATACATATTAATTGTTTTAATTGAATTAGACTCAATCATTTTATTTATGAGTTAAATTTTAAAGTGGAAAATATTATTTATCATTTTATCTTAATTTTTTGTAAATCCTAATATAAAGAATAATTATTAATTTAATTACAATATCTTATTTATAAATTAATTAATTTACTTATAAATTGATAAATCTTACATTTGCATTTATTCCATAATCATATGATACATTAAAAAGCAGCACAAAAATTTCAAGTGTCAAAGTAGTATGACTACGACTCTATGACTAGTTCCTAGTTCTAGACTTTTTGTTCTATCTTTGCCGAAATAACAACTTCCTTCCAATGAATGCCCGCCACGTCTGCCCGAGAATCCTAGGCTCAGTTAACGGACGTTAACGAACCTAACCTCTCATCTCCTAAAGCGTTAAAAAGGCCGGACAGAGATCCAACGGCTGGGAAGCTCTGGCAGCAACTAACAACAATAATGCGCCATCAAGTCAACCAAGAGTTCCCATCAATCATTAAAAGCCACGTGGCTAAACGCCATCCTCGGCCCTCGACAGTCTAGAAGATCCACCGGATTACCTGGAATCGCCGGTGGCCAACCACATAGCACAAGAACAACAAAAACAACAAGTTCTACTTTCTTTCTCATCGTCCAATTCGCTCCTTTGAACGCCTTTTGCTTCTCTCTCTGTTTGGGGTTTTTCTCTCTTGGATCACCTTACACGAAAAAGACTAAAAAAAAGGAAAGAAAGGGAAAAAGGCAAAGCACAAAGAATCATCATATTTACCCTCTGCGAGAGTTTCTCTGCTTTTCTTCACAGCTTTCTTCAAATCGTTGGAGCTTTGTTGTTGTGTAATCTTCTGCTTCATTCCTTGTCTTTCTTTTTTTTTTTTTACCTTGAATGAATATTCTGATGTTGTTGTAGTAGTTGTTTCGTCGATTTGGTGGGAATTTTTGGAGTTATGATCTGGGTTTATTTTTGGAGAAATTTTGGCAACTGCTTCAAGTTATTATAAAAAAAAAAAAAATCCAATTTTTAGATGGTTTGCTGGATAGCTTGAAAAAAGTAATTGAGGGCTTACTCATCATATAAAGTTTGAATTTTTTATGCTATTTGGGTAAGAGTAGTTTGATCTGGGAGTTGACTATGTTTGTTGAATGTTTTAGAATTATTGCTGCTTCCCACAACGAATTGATTTTCTCATATTTTTGAATTGTTGTCAAGGAACTCTGATGCGCAAAATATAAGATTCCTTCACTTCGGAATTTCTTACCTTATTTGATTGCTTGGGTGGTTTTGATTAGTTATTTTTTTTATCCGTGGACCTTTGTTTTTGTGTGAAGAAATTTAAGATTGGCTATTTTTGAATCTTCAAGCTTTGTTTGGAACATTTCTGGGAAGTTGCTATAGGAATTGGTTGTTTTGGAATCTTTTGAGAAGTTGCTCCAAGAATTTTAGAGAACGGATGGTTTTCTTATAACTTGAAAGGTTTTTTCAAGGTCTTTGATTAATGGTTGGGAAAGGAGTATGACTGCGGGTATGGATTTTTCACCTCCATTTGCAATCATAGAAGGTGGTTACACTAAGGATAATGTATCAAACATGGAAAATGAAAATTTGGATAATGTAAAACAAGTCGCTCTTGGGAAACCTCCGCGCAACCTCTCAGTTATGCACCATTGTGTGAGTTCAGCGAGGCTGATTGCTGAGGCTAATTTGGTATGTTTAATCTTACCTGCTCGCTCTTTCAATCATTATGGATTTGTAGGAGCCTTAGCTTTAAGCTTTTTGAGTTAACATAGAATCTGAAAATTTATCACAAATAGTTGTACTTTATTTGGATTCTGATGGTCGAGGTTTGTTTTGCTCATAAAATCCTGCTGATTTTGTTGGGAATAAATTATATCATCCTGAAGTGGCGTTTTTAAGGCTTGTACACCTGCATTTGTACTGCATAAACTTTTGTCACTTTTCCAATTTGATCAAGTTTTAGGAGAAATAGGGATTATCTTCTGGACAAATTCCAAAACTGTTTATATTTTGTTGAAAATCATCCCCTTGAGTAAGATTTTACATTGTTTTCATTGAATTCTGTTGTATCATGCGTGAAAGAAGATGAAATCAGATTTAGTAATTTCTTGCCTCTATTTTAATCAAAGTAGCTGCATGATCCCATATAATCTTTTCATCTCCTTTTCTTTCTAGTTACTGGTTCTTTCCAGTTTCCAGTAACTAGAAAGAAATTTAGTGTTTCTACTTTATCACACTTCATTTTCTGAAATGCTTCAACTAACTACTTATTTTCTTCTGTAGGAATTGGATGTTGGTATTGTAGTCCATAAGTCATCTTCTGATGAAAAACCCAAGTTTTTGCCCATGCTGAGATCAGGAAGCTGTGCTGAAATAGGACCCAAACAGCATATGGAGGATGAACACATTTGCATAGATGATCTTATTGGACATTTGGGGACAACTGCAGAGTTTCCTTCTCCAGGAGCTTTCTACGGGGTATGCATATATGGCCTGCCCAGGGTGGTTAATAAGTAATCTTTTGGTGAACATCTAAATTCTCGTTTTAAAATAGGGAACTTTGTCTAATTTATATGGCATTTAATTATGCACTTTCCTCAGACTGTTGGCACGATTGTTAGTCAGTAGTAAAAAACATGTGTCCTCATTGATATAGTAAAAAACGTGTATTTACCTTTGGTGTTTAGTATTGAGGAAGGTTTGGCTTTGGTCTTTGAAGACATTCCAATTCAAGACAAGGGAACCTGGAGATTTTAAAGTAATATTCCAGGCCAAAAAAAAAGGAGATGTAGGAACTAGGCTCATTATTGTCTCTGACATTGTAAACTGCAGTATGATCTTATTTTGCAATCTTACGTAGCAAGCAGTTTTTGAACATTACCCTATCCTTTTTCCATAGATTAATATACTTTATAATTTTTCTTTCCCTTCGATCTGCTGCCTCCTTAAAACTTGCTACTTTTTAAGGTGTCAACACACGTCAGTTTTTATTATATGTACAGTTACCATGGAAGTTGGTTTAGGAAACATGTTTGGCCAGATTTGTGAATTGATTCTTGCTAATGCATGTGGACAGGTTTTTGACGGTCATGGAGGAACAGATGCAGCTGTATTTATTAGGAATAATATCCTTAAATTCATAGTTGAAGACTCTCATTTTCCAATTTGTGTGGAGAAGGCAATCAAGACTGCTTTTCTGAAAGCCGATTATGCATTTGCAGATGCTAGTTCTCTTGATATATACTCTGGCACCACTGCATTAACTGCACTTATTTTCGGAAGGCAATGAACCACATATCTGCGCTGCTAACGTTCCTTTTTTGACATTGTTTCCATAAATCCTCTTCTAGCAGCCTTTGTTTTGGTTTGAGATGCCCTAACATCCTGTGCATTAAGTCATTGACATAAAAAACGTATTGCATTGAAACAAGACATGGTATATTATCATTTATCAATTTTGTTCGACAAATTTAGTTGTAAGGAAAATATAGAAGAAACAGGGACAAAACGTTAAGGTTTGAAGAGTTTTCTTCTCTAACATTGCAAGCATTTCTGTAGAAGTTATAGCATGTTGACACTTGCAGCCTTGTTGAATTGAATGGGGTTCCTATACATCTTAGAAACTTAATATAGGGTTCATCATTTGAGGTTAATTAAGAAAGGGTTTACAACCTATTTTAATTGCTTAGCAAAAGCAATTTAGAGGTAGAGGAGAAATAAAACATTTGTTTATGACTCTACTTTAAGCTTCATTAGGATATGCTAGCTGTGTTTAACATTGTGCATCGATCAAACCTGAATTTATGTCTTCAATTAGTCTTTAATGTTTTGCATTCTGAAAGTCAGGATTTGGCTTCCTCTAAAGACTCTTAACATTACTTTCTCTTTCTTTATAGGAGGTTGATAATTGCAAATGCTGGGGATTGTCGAGCTGTGCTGGGAAGGCGAGGTCGAGCAATTGAAATGTCCAAGGACCACAAACCTAATTGCACATCTGAAAGATTGAGAATTGAGAAACTTGGCGGAGTCATTTATGATGGCTACCTCAATGGTCAGTTATCTGTGGCACGTGCACTTGGAGACTGGCACATGAAATGGCCAAAAGGATCTGCATGTCCTTTAAGTGCAGAGCCAGAGCTGCAGGAGGCAGACCTGAGTGAGGAGGATGAATTCTTGATAATGGGATGTGATGGGTTGTGGGATGTTATGAGCAGCCAGTGTGCTGTGACTATGGCAAGGAAAGAGCTGATGCTTCATAATGATCCTGAAAGATGCTCAAGAGAGCTTGTCAGGGAGGCACTGAAGCGCAACACTTGTGATAATTTAACAGTTATCGTGGTTTGTTTCTCTAATGATCCTCCTCCTCGAATAGAAATACCACAATCCCGTGTTCGGAGGAGCATATCAGCAGAAGGGCTAAATTTACTAAAGGGTGTGCTGGATTGTAACTGATGAAACAGAGGATGGTTGAAAGAGGTTGTGCATAAAATTTTCCTCCCAAGTAGCTGCCGCTGTCCCTTTCACAATGGCTGACATTCATCCTCATTCAGGGACATCCTTATCGAGTAAAATATGATTCTTTATTGAGTTTTTTATATCCTGTACATCTGAGATAACTCATGTTGTACCGATTGGCAGGATTCATTGTTCAACCCGTCTTTCTTTCTTCATCTGCTTACTCCTGTGTAAATATATTGAATCTTGAGAGACTCGTTGTAGCACTCTTCACTAAATCAAATAATTGCTATCATTGATCATGCGGATACATTATTAGTTAGTTTTGTACGGGCACCCTTCCCAGTCTCGGAATGGAAGACTTTCCATAAGAACTAGCCACATGCAAATCTGATTTGTCAAAGAATTCATGAATCCAGCAAATGCCATGATGCAGGCAGTTGTTGAGTGTGTTTTGTTTTTTTTCACGAGTTAAAAATCGGGTGTGTCTTCCCTTGGTGTGAGAGTCTCATTACTTTGGCCTTTGGGAATCAAAGAATTTTACGTGGGACCGTCATGATTGTTATGGTGTCGAAAGGCTTGGTATATTTTTTGAGCACTTGGTAGAAGCAATAACAGCATTGCTGTTTGCCTTTTTCCACTGGATATCAATCCAGTAACAACAACACCTTAAAGAACCATTTAAGCTTTCGTTTCAAACCATGCAAGAAACATTTAAGCTTTCCTGTCAAAACTTTGCAAGAAAGGGAAGGGTCAACATTTAGTGCATGGTATAGAATATTAAATTTTATATATTTAAAAATCACATGTTATAATTTTTATGAATTAAAAACATAAAATATATTTTTTTGTTTTATTAAATTCATATATAATAGTTATTAAAATTTAAATAGTATCATATTTTAAAATACAAAATCCAAGAAAGAGTACTATATTACTAATATTCTTTTTTTTATGTAGATTGCTTAGAAAGAATATATATATATATATATATATATTTATATATCTATATATATGCGCAATAAACGAGCATAATCCTCTTTAAAAAAAAAAAAAAGGACAATCCTAGAGATATCATTCAAAAGAGCCAAAATCAAGGCAACAAATTTTGATTTGATTGATTGAGATTTGCTAGAGTCGCACGAGTAAAAAAATTGAAGTTCGAAGCAATTAACACATGATCCAAAGAGCCAAATTTTGTTTTTTAGTTTCAGAAAGAAGACTCATTTCAACAGTCAAACTACTTCGGTAATGCTGCAACAGAAGGAAACTTTTTTCCATGGAGTTAATTTGTTTATAGAATCTCTTCTCCAGATGAAGCCCGGTGATTTCAATGATTTATAACTCATCATCATCATCATCATCAACCTCAGAATGGCCATCACTGCACAGATAAGGAGTGGCACAGAAGTCAGAACACCAGACACCTTCAAATGAGTGCGTGCAAGTGCAACAAAAGTGAAGGATAAACTATATAAACTCAGAATTGAATAGAATTTTAGGATAAAAACAAAACTGGTTTCTGGTTACACGAAGGGAATGTATTGCAGAAATGATTGAGGACAATCCGCCCTTCATTGTCAACATATGCCTCCAAGTTCCACTTGCATTAGTTAGGTGACTTCAGGCTGAGTTACAGTTTAGACTTACAATTACGTTCCTTGAAAAGAGAGGAAAAAGAACAACAAATAAAATAATAGATACCTTAACCCGCTGCACTGCTTGCTCAAATCCTGGCACAGAACTTTGCTTACATCTCCTACCTTAATGGATCCTTTCTTTATCAATTCTGTCAACTGTATGAGTTTGATATCACAGTAAGAGTCAATATCTCACATATGTAGCACACAAGCAGGATTAAAGGATTCACCTCATCTTCAGTTTCCTCCAGTAACCTATACCACAATAAATACAAGGGTTAAACTTGGTTATTACAATATAGCTGGCATTTGAATAATATTATATCAAACAAACTACTGCCAAAAACTTAAAATCCATAAATGACACGTAATAAGAGGAATAGTGCAAACTCTATGCAGTCTCACCTTCCACAATAAGAGGATATATCTGTTGAGTATGCCTTAGCTTCTTGTTTATCTATCAATAAATTAAAATGCAAAAAATAGGGAAATACTTCAGAACTTAAGAAAACACTTAACTACAGAAACAAAAAGAACAAGAAACTGAGAGTATCTCTAACAACATGATAAATGTAGACGCAGCCATTAACATGAAAGTATAGAATAAAAATTGCTCGGTGAATGGTGAGGAAGAAATACGGAAATCCTAGAGATATCAAGCAAAATCCTCAGAGAGATGGGATTTGCATATGCAACTCAAGCCTCATTTATGTTAACAATATATGCAAATGAATGAATCAAAGAGCCAGCGCCTGAACTTTAGTGCCCAATATCTGATTAAGGGACCAATCAAATCTGCAGTGAAACATATGATTTAAGTATCTGTTAATGGTTATGATCGATCAAAGCCTTCACCAGCCATTTTTATGATGCAATAACCACAATTAGATTATTTATGCTAGCCATTACAGACAAAGAATCCATACCAATAGTGAGGATGTCCCAGTTATCCACTTTGATCCACTCTCTTTGGGATGAATCTATCTGCATAGTAAAAACAGATATGAACACATTTGCACCAGCATGCCTAGATAAGCTATGTCACAAAGCATTAACAAAACAGCTACCAGAGAATATGGACAATTTACATACAAACAAAAAGTGAAACTATAAATTTGTATATTTTGTCAATGCTGCCACAAGTTCAGTGTCTGTTGCTATAAGATAGTTTGATGAATATCCTGTTAATTTTCAAGGAAAACATAATATCATGTATATTTTTAAACCCGTGTTCTCCAAAGATAGCATGGAACAAATGTAAGGAAAAATACAGTCCAAGTAAGAGCTACCTTTTCAAGAGTGTAATCTTGCATTTTTTCACAAAGCCCATCCAAAAGTTCAACAGCTCTAAGCTCACTCATCCTGATAAAACAAAGATAAAATGTTTGGAAAAAGCTATCACTTATTAACCATTAATGAAGAGTAAGGATTCCTGCTTCAGGTGCCATACCTATGCAATCACCATCAACGATCAAACAGATATAAGTAGCAATGAATTTGTGCCACCCATCAAATAGACGTGCTTTATTTAAAAAATCCATTTTGAAACCCATTACTCAGATGGAATTATAGCAAACCAAAAACATCATCTTAGATTTTATTGCGTGTATAAAATACAAGTCTCAAATGGCAGAGCTGAGCCTTTGGTCATATCCAATCAACAGTAAGTGATTTTCATAACAAAAGGTGAATGCCATAAATGTCAGCTACTGGTCCTTGTTAAAATGTTGATAGTCAACTTTCTACCCAATTTTCAGTACAAGTTTGTGTTGAGTGATTCCTCTCTTAATCAGTTTCTGTTCAATGTTTCACTTAATTCTATTGCTTTCTTTTACTACCATGTTTGATCTTTCACTCATTTTGTTTTTATTGATACAGGTTCAAGCTTTTTGCAGTCAATCTTCAACCCTAATCCCAACAGCAAAGAAGGAAGGGAAAATTCCTTCTAATTCAATTTCTGGATTAAGAATTTGCAATGTTGGTTTCCCAGAAATGAGAAAACTGAAAAGAGGTGTTGAAATAATTGTTATACCTGTAATCAATGACCTTTCCTTGGCGTTGACCTTTGGAGTCCAAACGATGTCTCATATCCAAATGGTTCCTTGGTTTTTCCTACAAATAATAATAGTATTAATTACGAAATTACTGCTGAATTTGCTGAAAGAGGGAGCAAAGGGCATGTAGAAGAGAAGTCCTTGATTCTTAGATCTTACCTTCGAGAGTTGAATCTCTAGCTCTGCCTGCAAAACACCCAACAAAATTATTTTAAAAAAATCCTAAAATTAGACTTGTTCATGGTTTAGTTACAATTTTCTATTTTTTTTCTGAAACAATGATGGATTAATGTGACTGTGATTGAAACAGCAAAATTTTCATCGACGTTTGGAAAGGGCAAAATTGGGATGGGACTTAGGAGGAGAGAAAGACTATATAAATATAAAATTACCGCAACGGCATTGCAAGCAGCACAGTTGTCATCGATGCAAGCGGCGATAGAGATAATGGAGAAGATGGAAACGAGCCAGAACAGGGAGCGTGCCATATCCGGTCTTGTTAAATGTTCTCGACTCTTCCTTTTGCACGCTATATTGATTGTTGAGCGACTTGAATTGAGTTGGGAGCCTGGATCTGGGGTCTGGCCTTTACAAGCATTAAAATGGGACTTTTTGAAATGGGCCATTACCACCAGTGAACATGGAAGCATTTTTTTTTTTTTAATTTTAAATTATTATTATTATGTAAGTTAGCAAAAATATTAATTATTTTAAAAAATATGTTATTACATAATAATTAAGTATTAATTGATTTAGTGGTACAAAGAAAGTTCTATAACCTTAAGGTTTTAAGTTTCAATTTTTGTATAATTTTAATTATTTAATTATATTTTAATTTATTAATTGATTATCTAGTGATATAGTATATATTGAGATAATAATTTGTTATAATTATAAATTTTTTACATATAATTCAAATAAAATATTCTCTACCAAAAAAAATTGAATTTAAAATTTATATTTAAAATTTGATTCAAATTTACATTAAATCGCGTGAACATAAAAAGCATAGTTAAAAATATAAATAATTCAAGTTATTTATAAATTATTCAAATTTAAATAAAAAAATATAAACTTAATTTATTTGTAATTGAATCCAGCTTAATTATTTGAGTAACGAATTAACTCAAATTTGAATAATTTAATACATAAGTCAAGAGGCTCGTGAACAACATCAGATTTTAATTTTTTAATATACATATATATACACGCATCACGGCTAATTCGGCCGCGGACAAATCCGTCGAGACGGCTCCGTTGGAAGAGGTACTTAGGTCCACACATCTAACCACCGTGGAAATTTGAACGCCACTCTCACGCCGAGCTTTTCGCTTTGTCAATCACCCTCACCCACTGCTGCAAAAGTAAACCTCACACGTGCCTCCAACGTGCTCTAATTAAAGCACCGAACCGAACCGATTTTTCATATCGGTTTTCAGATTAAAAAGGAAACCAAAGGATAACGGGCTGTCACCCTAAAAAGCTCACAACCGCTGTATCAATGAGCCCCGAGCCCACAACACATCTTCAAAATTGGTGCTCTAGGCGATAGACGGCTGTGATATGATTTGCATGATAAGCGTTGAGGAAGAGATGGTATAAGATGGAAACTTGACTGGAAGAAGAATACTTGCACAAAAGGAAAGCAGAGCATTGCAAAAGGGAAAGCTAATAGCTGATGGGTCGCTTTACCAATTCAAGCCCGACCAACCAAACACTCATTTTTGTCGGTTAAGTTTCTCTGGATTCAAACCTTTACAAATCCTAATCATCGATCCCTTTCTCTTTAATTATTTTCATCATTCGTTTTCGCTTTTCTCGATTGCAACTCTGATTTCTTCTTCGGAGCCTCGAATTTTCATTCTGGCAATGTAAGTCCCTTGCTTTTGTCTCGCTTGTTTTTATTTTAGCACTGCAATTGATTTCAGGTTCTGGAATTTAGGTTTATTAGATTAGTACTAGTAATTTACATTGGAATGATAGGAGAAACAAAATCTACCAAGCTCGTTAGCATCTGCTTCATTGTAGCTGAATTCTACCGTAATTTATTGCTGTCGGCATGTGTTTCTGGAAGTAAAATGTAATGGTATTTATTGTGGTTCTTATTTTGCTTTTACATCATCAATTTCAATTTGCTTGCTTTCATGTGTCTTTGCCTTTGTTTTTCTGATTCTTTTTGAAAAGTCTCGTGATTCAAATCAAGTTTGGATATATGTCTGCTTTGACTCTTTGTTCACTGATTAACATGTTTACTAGCAGTACTAGGCAGGCAAGGGTTCCTCCCTGTCTTGTTTTAGAATTACTATTTCATGGCTTTGTGTTTAATATTTCCCCCTTTTCTGCGAGCGTCCTTGGCTGCAACATCATCAGCTTTTTTTCTTGTAGATGGCAAGAGTGTAAGTAACCAAAATGCAGCTAACAAGATAGAAATGGGTGTGCACCTTCGCATGCCCAAAGGTGGAAACCATAATGTTTGCTGATAGTGTGAGTGGGGAGGAGTCACTTCGTCAGGATTTTGAGGCTCTGACTGTGTCAAAACGTCTTGTGAGGAGTGTTAGCCAGAAATTGAGGAAAAAAAACCATAGAGGTGAAGGGGAGGAAGAAGATAAGGCAAGAGGGGTTTCTGTGAAATGTCTTACTCTATATGGTAGAGGAGGTGGTTGCAAAGTGGGTGCTGATACCAGTGAGGGATTTGGTCATCCGAGTAGCAGGAGAAGGTCAAGTGCCAGTGAAGAAGGGAAGGTGTACAAAACGATTTGTGGTACCGAGGACAATAATTTTGATTGCTTCTCATATGGGGTGAAGGAGAAGTTTTGGAAGAAAAACAGTAGAAAAGACTTAGAAATTGAGGAATCGATACGAAACAGCAGGATGCATATCTTTCTTCCAGATGACATTCTAGAGATGTGCTTGGTGAGACTACCACTGGCTAGTCTTATGAATGCACGCCTTGTGTGCAAGAAATGGAGACACTTGACTACAACCCCTCGGTTTTTGCAGATGAGACAAGAAGGATCATATCAGAACCCATGGTTGTTTCTTTTTGGTGCTGTTAAGGATGGCTTTTACTCTGGGGAGATACATGCACTGGATGTGTCTCAAGATCAATGGCATAGGATTGGTGCTGATATTCTCAAAGGAAGGTTCATGTTCTCAGTTGCTAGCATCCAGGATGATGTTTATATTGTTGGAGGTCGTTCAAGCCTAAGCAACTTTGGGAGGGTGGATAGGAGCTCATTCAAGACACATAAAGGTGTATTGGTCTTTAGCCCTCTCACCAAATCTTGTCGTAAAGTTTCATCTATGAGGTATGCTAGATCTATGGCTATACTAGGAATATCTGAGGTCAGTTCAGATTTCTTGGTCATTCAAAGCCATCAGAATCGACATGATAGGTGGTTTCCCAGATCACGTGTTGGTGGGGTGTCAGATGTTTATGAGGATCCACACAGGCTTTCACTTAGACTACAGTACAGAAATGCTTTTGATGAAAATGAACCTTCATTGTTACCTGATAGAAAATCATTCAAGTTTATTAGACAAAGAAGTGAACAATCGAATACAAAGGGTTTTAAAAGATTTGTGTTGATTGCTGTTGGAGGTCTTGGATCTTGGGATGAGCCACTGGATTCTGGAGAAATCTATGATTCTGTATCCAATAAATGGACTGAAATCCAAAAACTGCCTATAGATTTTGGGGTTGTTTGTGCTGGGGTTGTTTGTAAAGGGATGTTTTATGTATGCTCTGAGAGTGACAAGTTAGCGGGTTATGACATAGAAAGAGGCTTCTGGATTGGAATCCAAGCCTCCACATTTCCTCCCCGTGTTCATGAGTATTACCCAAAACTTGTGTCTTGTAATGGTTGCTTGTTTATGCTCTCCGTCTCTTGGTGTGAGGGGGATGGGCAAATTGGTCAAAGAAACAAGGCCGTGAGAAAATTGTGGGAGCTAGATCTGATGTGTCTTACATGGACTGAGGTCTCAGTACATCCTGATGCTCCAATGGACTGGAACCCTGCTTTTGTTGCTGACAGGAACTTAATATTTGGGGTTGAAATGTTCAAAATATTTGGTCAGGTGTTGGATTTCTGTACTGTGTTTGATGTGTCTGATAAGAGGATGAATTGGAACCATATTTCTAGGAATCACATGGCTCACGAATTAGATGCTTCTTCTTGCATGAGTAAGACAATAGCGGTGCTACATCTATAATTTCTTTGTAGTACACTGTAATTCAATCAGAAAATTTTAAAACATTATTGCTCGTTGAAGGATTTTGAGCGTATATTTCAACCCATGAATGTCATATTTATTTCTCTTGAATTTCCACAATTTGTAGAATGGCGACATCCTCTGCTTTCTAGTTCTTAATCAGTCTTAGTAAAGGTACTGTTACATGTAGTCTTCGTTGTAATTTCTTCACCATTGTTCATAAATTGATTATGCATTTTTCATCATGTTTCTTTTGCATGTATAATAAATTTTCCTCCTTGTTCATTCACTCATGTTATTGTTTATTGTTTACTTTGATCTAGTTGTGACAATTATTTGTTGAAAAGTAGAAAGGAATCTGAAAGCTCAATGGTTCTTGAATTTGGAAATTTAAGGATTGATGGCAATGCTAACTATCACATGCTATCCTGTTGGGAGTCCATTAAATGAACTTACCTGCGTCTAATTTCTGATACAAGTGATACGAATATCTAAAAACTTAATTTGGAAACATTCTGTCTACTTGTGAGAAAAGATAAAGAAAAGAAACCATCCCGTTGCCTAGGTACCGTAATCCTTTTGAATAAAAATACACATAGGTAAGTTTTTAGTATATAATTCTAGCCTTGGACTGATCTGACTGAATATATGATGAACACATCATCTACATACGGGAATCCACTGCTATAGTTAAACCTAGAGACGGAATCTTTGCTATGATGGATATCCGCCTTCAAGCTTCTGCAACTCTTTTTCAGTCAAAACTTTTCTCCCCCATCTGTGTTCAAAGTTATGCGCGCTATCAGTGAAAATAAATAACAATAATAAAAAAAAAGGTTCCTACTTGCTGTAATCCATTACTAGTTACTAATCAACATCAACCACCGAATTTTGTTTGAAGCAAAGGACTTCATATTATAAAAGGCCACAAACGGCGTAACCAGAAACTCAGGAGGCATTTAAAAAAAAAAAAATCACTAAAGGCCCATACCACTCAATGCCAAAACAATTGTAGTTCGTATAAAGAAATGAAGGACAATGAAAATAGCATCATTAAGAACAAATGAACAACTTCTTGAAAACCTCTACAAAGTGGGAAATCCATATACAGCAATATCTACTTGCAGCTTAATGCCTTGTTGCAAAACTATCCATGTATGGGACTGAAACAGCTTTTGGCAAAGGATGAACTACATACACTCGCCCAATTATGAATACAGGAATCTATCCCATGTTTGGAAAAATTCCAGAAAAGTTTGGGATCTTATCAACGTGCTTCAGGGCAGACTCAGCAATCTGCCGGGTTCTGTAGTCAGCATGGTGGAAGGCATCAACAAGTGCAGTGCTCACATTTTGATCTCCAGAAACTTCATACGCTATATCATCAGTTCGCAAAAGTCTCTCAACCACCCAAACTGCTCTTCTCCTCAAGTTCTCTGTTCGTTTCTCAAGTAACACGTCAAGTATTGGCTTAATACCCTCTGCATCACACAAAACCATCACTCCTTGCTCAATATCAACTCCATCATCCAACAACGTGGAAAGTGCTGCAAGTGCTGCTTCAACCACCTTCTCATTTGTATGGTCCAAGAGAGCAACCAACTTATGCACAGCCTGTCCTTCCAAAAGACAAAAGCTCTCTCTAAGTGAACATGTTCCCCGGTGGACCCGGCACAATCCTGTTATGACAGCCTGTTTGTTGAAACATGGAAAGATAGTGGCACAAAAACCAGGTGCTGGCAACTCTGGCAATCTCGTCAAATTTTTGGATTCTTTAGATAAGTTCTCCAAAGCAGCAGCAGAAACCATCTGCACATTGTCAAGACCATTGGTCTGAAGCAAGTCAATGAATAACACTGCAAGACCATGCTCACGGCAAAGGGCAACAGCATCAGGCTCATCTGACAAGACAAAAGTAACCCTTGCAAGCACACGAACAAGTCCTTCAAGGAATGGAGTTACAAAGCGGGTGCCTCTAATCTCTCCTTGCCTGATCTTGACAACTCTAGAAATGATCAACTGAAAAGCACCTTCATCTAGCATTTGCCGTGTGAGGCCCAAATCCCTCTCTGGAAGTTCAGCTAAGAGGCCAGCAGCAGCTGCCTGTTCTTCAGAAATGCCCGTATTTTCTGATATGACTCTAATTAGGCCGCCGAGCTGCCCGACTGTGCCACGTAGTGCATCTGCTAATTCCTGACCCATGTGAGGAGAGAGGTTCTGGAGTAGTTTTATGGCTGCCATTCGCAAATCTTTCTGGGGAACCTCAATAAACTGAACCAAACTGATGGTAGCCCCAGAGCTTTTAATTGCAGCAACAACATTCAGAACTGTTGTCGGAGAACTAGTGAGCCCAACGAGAACTTGAAGAAGTTTGCACTCAATTGGTGGACCAGTGTTGCTGATTAGATGAAGTAATTTATGTACATTGTCTTCTGAAACAAGAGTCTGGTGGTCCGGCCCAATAGGGATGGAGTCTACATCAAATCCCGAGTTTACTACATTGGCTAGAATTGTGGCGGAGACCTCTTTCAGTCGCATGGGAAGCTGATTAGCACCAACAGTAAAGAGGTCCTTGACAAGAGGGGGAAGTATCCCTGCCTCAAGCAACACCTTGGAACTTGCCTCATAAGATGAAATTTGATTAAGGGCCTTCAGAGCAGCTTCTCTTGATTGCATGCTACCACTTTTCATGATATTGATTAGAGATGCACCTACAGTTCTTGCAACATGGACTTTCACATCATTATTCAAAACCAACTCACCAAGATATGCAGCCATGGAAAGCTTTGTTTCTGGCGGGCCTGCAGCAATACCATATTACATTAACTATAGAAATACAGCAATGTACAAGATTAGAATGGATATTTCAGAAGTCAAACACAAAGGACTACCAGCTTAGCACAAAAACAAAATCCTGCTGCCGGGTGTCGGCCAATTGGGAAGATTACTACTCCTATTACAAAGATGCAGTTGAAGTTTACTACAAATATGAAATACCCCCTGAACTAAAGAGATAGAGGGTTGCAGATATAGACAACACAGTGAATGTTTAAAAAGTTCAAGACAAGCTAACATCAAAAATCAATTTAGAAGATCATTTAGCATCCAAGCCAAAGCAAAAAACCAGGTCTCGTATATGAAATTGCTCAAACATATTTGTCAGGAGCTGGGCAGATATTTTTCACAACTTCATGATTTAAAATGGAGAAGATTCCCCAAAAGCAGGCAAAATTTCATCCCAGAGTGAGAAGCAGAGAAATAACTAGCAAGTTTCAGGGTCAGGACAAACAAACTAAGGACTATGTATGAACACTAGAAGCAATGACTACTACATAAAAAAATCTAAACTGACAAATAACACAATGATGAGCATGTCAGCATGATGCTATATAAAAAAAGAACATAAAATTTTCAATGAAACAAGAACAAAGCCAAAAGTACATGACGACACCAAAAAATTGAGGGAGGACCAGTATGCTTGAAACAAGTTTGAAAAAACATAAAAATATCAAGGAGAGAGCAACACCTTCAAGAATCTGGGTCAAAAGAGGCTGCAATCTACCATTTTCAGCCATCTGTCTGACATTGTTCTCACACTTTTCCAGATTTTCTAGAGTTTTATCAGCTTTCTCAACAGTCAAAACATTCTCAGATTTGCTGCTTGTCATTCCAACTAATATAAGAATTGCTCCATTAATTGAACCAATCTTCTCACACAAAGCTTCAGATTTTGAAAGTTCATACAGCAAAGAGACAGCCTCTTCCCTCTCCTTGGACTGTTCGTGAGACAAGAACTTAACTATTGTGCGCACAGTGTCCCCCTCAGCCAATATTGCCTGAAAAAGCAAGCATAACTAGTTAATAATCCAATCCTGGATGCATATATGACAACGATGTGATTGTCACTCTACAGGAAAACATCAAACCTAGAACAACCTTATTATCTGCATCTTCCTCAACCACTACTTGGAGTGTCTCCAATGCTTTGCACCGAACTTTACGGCTGCTGCTCTTTAGCATGTCAACAATCATAGGTATTAGATCAGCATTGCGGACAACATGCTTATTGGATCGATTTTTTTGGCAGATGTGCTGGATGTACTTCAGGGACAGCAGAACATCATTTTCTGAACTGCCTATATTTAATGATCTCCGAGCCATATCAAGCTGCGCAGCTTCATTCCTGGTAGTCCACTCTTCAATGGTGTTCCGCAATGCAATACTAGGGTTTAGATCTGAACTTTTCAGTTCTTTTAGGGTCAATGGGCAAACCAGCTTCCTTCCACTTTCCCTGCATTCCTTGAACCACTTTTCAATTGCTTCACGTTCAAATGTTTGCCCATTTTCTAACGTCACAGGGTCATGCATAACTTGCTTCGTCAAAGGGCAAACAAATGCATCATAAATAGGCTCTATGTGCAGTCTCTCGAAATAATGGCTCTCATCTGACTGGCTGCCAGGGTCATAACTTCCGTCCCAGCTCCCAGCCATCTGACTAATATAGTCACTGCAAAAAAATTGTAAAATTTCTTAATAACAAAAGCAGCTTATTGAAATATTAACAGAGACAATAAAAATTGCAATAACCAATGAGATAACAATCATGAGAAAGAATCCAGAAGACAATTAAAAACAGCACAATCAAAGTTCAAGGGTTCAACCAAAATCAAGGAGCTACTAGGTCACAGCAAAACAGTGCTATGCTTTGATATGAACAGGAGAGTATGCTAAATATGATTCCAATTTCAGGCTCCATTAGCATGCCGAGGTGATGCAGAAGACTAGGGAAATTTAGAATAAACAATTATGTGCTTGTCCAGAAATGGTTGCTTTACAATTAAGAAGCCAAGTTGTAGTTCTCTAGAATCATGAAAATATAGCATCACAGGACACCAGCAAGACATGAAAATGAAAAGAATCGATAAGAGAATCTCATCTCAAACCAAAACCATAATTTACAAATCTAAATTAAGTGAGTCGAATGAGCACGGAATTTAGATTAGAATCTAATTGCGACCCATTAACGTCTTGAAATCGAACCAAATAAAAGGAACTAAATTTAAAATTAGAAAAAAATGAACTTTTCGTTCCAGCAACTCACAGCTGATAAAAAGAGAAATAATAGAAACAAGAATAAGAGGAAACAATCATACCCTGTTGAATTTGAAGAGAGATAAAAAGGAATACCAAGGATGGCTTTGGCAAAACCCTAGTTCAAGTTGGAAGAGTCCCAGAAAAACTCTTGTTGGATTACAGGAGAGAAGTAGATTCTTCCCATAAGTTGTTTTACTTCCATGAAATGATTAAAATTCCCAACTTTGAAAGGAATTTGATTAGGGTTTGGTTCTTGATGTTCGAAGTGGTGATGAGGGTTTTGGCTGAGAAGAGAAAATAGGAATAGGAACAAACAAAAGAAACCGTGCAGAAAATTAAATTATGAAAAATATTTAACAAAAAATTTTGAAAACCATTATATAATAGTTGGAAGAGAGAAAACGTTGACTCCAAAACGATCAGTCATCTCGTCTGCCAAAGAGAGAGAGAGAGAGAGAGAGAGAGAGGGCGTGTGGAGGCACCAACTCATCATTCAACCCCCTGTGAACCCACCCCAGCCCCATCATCATCCGCGCTTCAAAAGCATGAAAAATATTTGCATTTTTTCCTTTTTTTTTTTTTTCCTTATTTTAAAACTATACAATATTGATGTCACCGTCTGCAACAGTGGAGGGAGGGTCCTTTATTTTGCCGGTTATAAAAAAAAAAAAAAAAAAGGCGGGGAGACTTCAATACGCTGCGTTTGCTACACTTCGAGTGGTTGTTGTACAAGTCAGAAGTAGAAATATCAAATCTCAAAGATGGGTTCGAGTTGACGGACAAACTCAACTTTCAAGTCCGCACTTGTTAAATTTTAATCTACAAGTCAAAATTTTCTTCGTTTAGTTGATCGATCAAATTTGGTAAAAGCTACACGGTTTGGGCTGGAGACTTGGACCCTCGTATGGTCTTGGTCCCTATAATGAGCCCCAAAATCAATAATTAAATAAAACTCTCCATGTAATGTAAATTGAAAACAACAACTTTACTAATTTCCAGAACAAGTCAAGATTCATAATTAAATTATATCAGTCCACATACATAATCATCCTGAAAATTGGAGCCTTGCTAGCTAGATTTGGCTTTGCAAGAAAGGGGAGCCAATCTATTTCCGTTTCTGTCCTGTTTCTCACAGTACTTACAAAATTTCAGTTCAGAAATTATAAGTAGAAAAAAATTTCTTAAAGTTTGGCAATAAGGTAAAAAAAAAAAAAAAGTGGTTTGATGAATAATTAAGGATTATGACGAGACAAAGAGAAGGCTTTTGGGATCGATAGATCATCACACAAACACTGGTGAGCGGTGAGGCTCGAGCCTTCGTTGAGGCAACCGAGCTCGACTATTTGACGACGATGGTTGTGCTACGAAATAAAGTCAGGAGTTTTTTCTTTATTATATCATTTCATTATTGAGGATTTTCTTTCCAAAAATAAAATAAATGGCCCGCTATTTAGTGAGGTAAAAGTACGACGCGTGAATGCTCATATTATAGCACATTGGATTTGGAATGAAGGAATCAGATTTTGGGCCTACATCCACGATATTGGGTTTATGAGCCTTTGAGTGAGATCTATTATGCATGGGCTTTGCAAGGTCTCTGCTCTCTACTTTCTTGTGGTAAAAGAGCAATGAGTCCAGGGACGGGAAGAGGACAGAGGGCTGGGATCCATCATTCATTTAATTTTACGTGGACTATATTAAAAAAGAAAAAGAGGCCCATTGGCCTTGTAATGGCCAACTAGGCCAATGTTCTAGAATGCAACCCAACCTCGTACTGGTTTCAGTTCGAAGGAGTTGGGAGTTACTTGTTAGACAAGTGCAAGAAAGAAGAAAGAAGGAAAATGTTTCTGGGTTTAGGAAGATGAGAGTAGAACAGGAAACGCCAAGCTTGGAGAATGGGAAAAAACAAGAAGAAAAGAATCAGTAACAGTCGAAGAACAACCACAAGAAGCAGAAGAAGTAGAAGAGAATGCAAATGTTTTGCATTTAAATATATCAAACTAGACTAGAGACATAACCTAGACTTACCAGGGCCAAGAACTACAATGGTTGAAGGCCAACTGCTTCAAAGTTCAAACTACCAAAATGGTGATGAATGGGGTAAGCATACAACGTGGCATAAGCAGCCCCGCCCGCGTGGATCAACGTCTTTTGCAAGATTACAAAAGAATGCAAAACAGGAGTCCGCAGGCGCTCCGACACATGTACCACTTGGTAGAGCAAACTTGCTTCATTCAGTTCATGCTCCAATTCCAATGTCGACTACGGACAAGATTATTAATCCCCATATATCATTTGGCTGGCGAGCAAACACAACGCCACTTCAGTTCCCAGCACCAGCAAATGCAGCCAAGCTAACAAAATTATCGTAATTCCTAACCAAACAGTAGAACATTTTCTACTGCTGAGCAAGCGAGGCAAACTACAAAGCAATCTAACTACCGTCTCGATGATAATCAAAATATAAAGTCAATGCAACTTAAATCAAAACTCAAAATAACAGAAATTTTTTTTGTTTTCTTTTGCGGTCAAGAATATGGCACTTGAACTACAGGCATGTTTCTCCGTCTCATTCTGGCATGCCAACCCCCCCCCCCCCCCCCAAAAATGTCGCCATTTAAGTACAGCAAGGCCACACCGAACAATTTTACAACAATCCAATTCTATGTCGCAGAATATACAGCACACAGAAAAAGGTGGACAATCAACAAAAACTGAACAAAACGAAAAAATGAGTAGAAGAGCATGACGGGGAAATTTGTTCACTTTTTCTTCTCCTTGATCTTTTTCCGGTTTTTTTTTTTTTTTTTTTTTGTGGGGGGCGGTGGGAGGAGGGGGATTTACCAGCTAGAAAGCACTCCATTCATCAGAACCTTTCTTCGGACTCTGATGGTCTGATGAGACTTTAAATGGACCGCTGGAGCCAAACGGATCACTGTCATCAAAAGAGAATCCATGGCCAAAGTCTTTGGTACTATTTATGGAGTCAAACCTAGTGAGCGTCTCAGGTTGCTGTGAAAATCCGCTGCCAAAGTTTCTGCCACTGTTTATGGAGTCAAACCTTGTGAGCCTATCTGGTTGCTGTGAAAAACCACTATCGTGCATGCTGAAAGAATCAAACGTGGAGAAACTGTCAAACTGATCCCTCGATGCCTCACTAAACCTTGCTGGAGAGTTTCCAAACTTGGAGTGCGGAGTGCTGGGAACAGAGTCTTCAAACGTAAATGGACTCTTCTTATCATAAAAGCTTTCAGCACTTGGAGATTCTGTTCTTGTTGGCTGCACGCCAAAATCACTTGATCCAAAAAAATCTCTATGCTTCTCAGAGTCTGAGTCCTGCCATGTGATATTAAAGATTGAGAATAAATATGGCAATATGCAATTAATCCCATCTGACCAGAATAGGATCATAATAAGCAAATCAAAACATTTCATGCTTGTAAGAATCAGAGTTTATTAAGGGTAAGCTAGGTATAGCAACAAAGTTTCTGCATTTTGACTGAGAGCTCCAAGGTTCAAGTTGCAGAAACAGCCTTCCTGCAAAGTAGAGGTCCCCCACCCCCCTCCCACAAACAAGGAGGAGGTAGAAAAAGCAGAGATTGACCCTGCTCAGATCCCACAGCCAGGAAGGAGGCTTTACCCACAGCACCTTCTTTTTTTATATATATGTTTAGGGTTTTGGTATTCTGGATAGATAATCCATACAGTCTCTGTTACAAAAGGGTGGATATACTACAATAAGGACATAAGAATGTCAAGTCCAAAGTGCCAAACTACTAGGCTGTTTTCAGCAGCTGGGTCAAATTCAGATCGTCTTCCAAACTAAAATTTCAAGAAACCAATTCAATTAAATTCTATGGTGCCAATTATTGAAGGAAACAATTTCCATCCTTGTCTGGTGGTAAATATATATATTTGTACAGGTCATTGACTTCTATGAATGTAATGCACTTGTAAGAAGGACATCTTTTTCTTGTAAAAGCATGCCAACTTGCACAATTACAAGGATCCCTTAATATAAGCTATGACTAGAGTATGCTGTTGGATTTCAATCAGAAGAAGGAGCAAAATTTGTTATCTTACTACCCCACCAAAGCCCTAGTCATGCACCGAGTACATAGTGAACATCTTGGCAGAAAACTTCACACAAGGTTAAGACAACAAAAAAATTCAGACAAACCAAAAACATATTCCAGGGAAGTTTGAACTGGCAAGCAAACTATAATTTTTTTCCTATCACCAGACAGGGGACACAACAGTTGACTTAGCATTCTACAAAATGGCAAATCTATGTAACCTAGATTATCAAAATGCTAAAAACGGAAGTGTCTTCAAGAAGTTCAGGCTCACCTTGGTATTAACAGGATTAAACCCCCACACAGAGTCTGTATCATCATTATCAAAGGTCCCCCAAGCTGATTCATCAAAACTTCTGTCCATAAAAAATGAACAAATTTGGCAAGAACAAATGAGTAAAAATGATCAATAGAAAGTTGAAAGACAGACAAAACTTTGAAGTGAATTAGGAAAAAAAAGTTTCTCATTCTTACCGATGGGTTTCTGCGTCTGCTTCAGTACTCTTTCCAAAATGGTCATCAGAAAATTGTTGAGATGGACTTTCTAGAGAGTTTCTTCCAGCAGGACTGCCACGAGGACTTCTGGCTGATTCATCTTCACTGTGTGTGTATGCAGACTCGCTCTCGAGGGCATGTTCACTAGCACTGAAAAGATTCCCAGTTTTATCATCCACATATGAAGAGGAATCAGGGGTCAAGCTACCATCTGGAGATGCTTTTCCTCTCTGAGAGACAGGCACATTTTTCACATCAACAGTGAGCTCATTGCCAAATCCTGAAATTTGAAATGAAATATCAGACAAATAAAATTGTTAGAGATCCCCGACAAATTATACAAAACTTAATTTGCAGAATTTACAACAGTAATGGAAGGAAATACCTTCATCTTCAAACTTATCCCACTCTTCATCCCAAAGAGCTGCTCCCTCTGGAACTCCCGGTTGCCAACCTTAAAAAGGCATTGCATGTGAAAAAGCCAAAAAGATCTCTAATTAGTAGATGGAATTGTCTTTACAAAAAATGAAAGGGTCATTTCAAATACAAACAAAGATAATTGGTATAATAAATAGCATATATCAGAAGTCTTTGTCCTTTCTACTAAACCAACTAGAGGATTCTTTAGATCAAAAACAACATGACAAATGGACTTTTCACAGTTCTATGGCAAACGAGAATCTAAACAGACATAGGCATCCCAAATGACTGTGGGAGTGTAGAATTTTTGGTGCCAAAAATTTCTGAAAGGGTAAAAAAGGGGTAACCCATCCTCACTACCTGTTTTTATTGCCACTTGTCAACTAAACACATGTCAAAAGGAAAAGGAATAATATGGGAAAACAGTGTTAATTGTTTATTTAGCAGATCCTATTGCTATTAAATTATTAGGAGAAAGGTACACATGGAAAATTAAGAGTGAAATAATTTGACTTTTAGAATGGTACCATTTTAATTAGGAGTTGGGACAACTGAAAATGGAAAGGCAAAAAGTTGTGGGATAGGACCATAGGGGGAGTAACCTTGAAACCATAGAACAAACACACAAAAAAAAAAAAAAGAAGAAATAAAGGGAATGTGAAATAATATATCATGGCATAACTATGAAAATTACTGTAGGAAAATCACCAAACAAAGACACAAACATGCTCCAATAAAATAACATATCCAGTGAGTCTATCAAGCTAAATAACTTTTGAAAAGAAACGTTTAACTTATATAGGCTTCAGCCTTCAAGAAGTTGGATCAAAGAGTGAAGATGCATAGGACAAAACCACACAGTATGATAAGAACATCATACTAAAGTACAAGACTGTACTTAATGGGAGTTGTGTAGAAGAACTTTTTCTTAATAAAAAGCACATTAAAAAAGACTAAAAGTACCTATGGGAAACTCAATTACTGCAGTTGACTTAACATCATATCCATGTTTCTTGCATCGTTCGGTCAGGGCTTTCATTAGCTCCTCAAGATCAGATTGTAAGCGGTCAGCACGGACCTACACAAGCCATGAATGCTTCAGTGTCAGTAAATTTTACTTGGATTCTCCAAACATTTAATACACTTGATTGGTCTAAATTTACCTGAAGAATACCATCTGCACTGCCCCCTTGTTCCATGTTAACAATAGCCTGATGCAACTCTGTCCTCCTCTCCTAAAAACAAGACAATTACAATTACAGTTACAATCACATTACAATTGCAAAAGTTGGTGAAATAAGAAAAGGGGAACATGCTAAATGGTAATAAATAGCGAGTAAACAAGAAGCTGTAGCTGTAGATCAAGTTAAGCAAAGAATGGATGGACATAACAGATTGAAACACACGTATAATTTTATGATGAAAATGAAGGAAAAAGGAAGAGAACAAAGATATCAGACATGTGAAGCAAAGCTTTTTAAAGCAAACAAGTCATATCCTCTCATCCTGGCAAAAGTTAATGACTCAACAAACACTCAGCCATTAAGATGAGGAAGTCAACAGCATGGCATTTCAGGCTGGGAAAAATTGATTGGAAGAATCCCTTTGTAAAACAAGGTAATGTTAAAAGCAATACAACAGTTTTCAAGGGTTCCCAAAACCTCAAATCTCAAATAGTCCAAACCAACTCAAGGTCATGTCCCATAAAAGAAAAATTAACCATTACCTGAATCTCACGAAATTTTGCCTCTTCAATTGTTAATTTGGAAGCTATTTCTGCAACTTGTTTGTATTTCTCCTCATATTTCTTCGCCAACATTTCAGCCTGCAATACAAATTGTGAGCCAGAAATAAATAAAAATAACATCCAAATAGATAGAGAAACATTTCTTCAGATTTTAGACAGTACCTCACGCTTATCTGCAATTGCCCTTTCCATGATTTCATTTAGTCTATTATCACATCTACTTTTATAGAGGACCTGACAAAAGTAAGAACATGAGTAAGATGAAAGTTGTATAAGAATGGTAGAATCATTAGGTTTCAAGTTTTCCCTGCATTGGCCTACAATTCAACTCACTACTTATGGCTCTTGAATTAAGAAAATAGTTGAACAACATTCAGGCATTCAAACTAATGAACACAATTTTGAAATCATTAATACAGTGCTCAAAAAGGAACTTGTTTCAGTATGCTGCAGCAAACTAACAAGCATCTTATTCATGAGATTAAACTAATCATTCTAGTTCCCGAATAAGATCCATGATGGGTAGCTTCAGTACAGGCTTAAACTTGCATCAGTACTCAGACAGGACCAATCAGCATTTGTTTAAACAAAATGAGTTCTTTTCATGCACATTTAGTTTCTAGAAGACCGAAATCAAAGGAACGTGAAATAGAAATTACTCACAAGTTCCTGCATTTTTTCACGGTAGAATTCAAGCTTCTCTTTGGAATCCAAAATCACCTTTTCTGTTCCATCAACCTGCCAAATTTCAAAGAAACATGCTTCCTATTATCCTTCAGCAAGGAATATAAACCATTAAAACAGTAGGTTAGATAAAAAAAATATTTTACAGAAGTGAATAAAAATCTGTCCTCAAACTCTCACCAAACCCAAGGAAAAATAGAGGAGCAAATCAAATGAGTGGTTACATGTCCATGTGTGTGTGTGTTTATGTTGTGTGTATCAATAAGTGAGGGTGAAAGAAAGAGAGGGAAAATATTTGAGCTTTATTATAGAAGATGCCGTGCCTTTTTTCCATCACCAATTGCATCTTGGGCTGCTCCATTCACTGAATTCTGCTCACTGTTATCAATTTGGGTCGCAAAGGAATCATCCAACTCTGGTGCTCTTGACTTTTGTTGATTGGGCATTGTAGTGGAGTCAGAAGAAGCATTTGAGGGAATTGAAGGTCTGAAACCAGTTGATGGAGTCATTGCCTGGGCACCCAGCCCTGGCTGCTGTCCAAAACCTAGCGGCAAAATTGTTGTTTATAAAGAGAAATCTTGATTAACAACGAGAAGGATAAAAAATTAAAGATAGTAGAAGCATCCTAACTGATACCAGGATTGGGACCCCAAGCTGCATTTCCATATGAAACATTGGGTTGGCCTGTCATGGACAAGAGCGTCTCATCAAACATAACATTGCTAGGGAGTGCAGATGGAAGAGGACAGCCTTCCCTGTACCGCTCCATCAAATAGAGAGCAAAGCAGAACTCTCTCAAAGAAAGCATACTGTCACTATCCTGATCAGATAAGTCCCACACCTGCTTTAATACCTCTGAATAAGACAAAAGCAACAATGTTAAACATGTTTACCCCAATAACAAAGCACTCAGTAGGATCAATCATGGCAAGGTTTTCAAAAAAATATATCATCAAGTACTGATACCAAACAACGTGCAAACCATAACAAAAAATATTTAATTGAAACGAGGATTTATGGAAAGACACCCTCTAAGAGAATCTAATCATTTCATCACCCTAGCAGCAAAAAAGGAATATTGTACCAACCTTCATATTCAAAAAATTCAGCATCATAAAAGCTAGTCAACAACCACACAACTGACCTCGTAGTTTTTTGTAGATAGGAAACTCCAGTTCACTACCCAGAACCTACCAGAATAAAATCTTAATAACCAGCCTCATTAAAAATAAAATCTCTTATTGTTATAATTCCAATTATATAATAATATTTACAATAAGATTTTGCAAAAAAAAAAAAAAGAAAGACATTAAACCATAAGCACAACATATGTTTTGGCATCTTCAACAATAGTGAAACTCTGAATAATATTTCTGATGCATAAGAAATCACCATTTCTGTTAAACAAACAAAACAGATGTATCATTCAGGTCATGCATCATATTCATATGATTAAGTGATTTGAATGATAAAAATATATGAAAGAACCATACCTCTAGGTAGCCTCCAGCTCAAAAATAGATTCCTTGCCTGCTCACCAGTTATTTTCCCATCTCTGTCAGTGTCCACTTCCATGAACACTTTCGTATATTTCTGAACATCAGATGGTTTCATTTTTGGCCATGGAAGCTGGGAAATGTTCGAAGCAGCATTCACAGCTCCCACAGAAATCCCAGATGGTGTAACAGGGGAGGAACTTGAGGGCGAAACCTGTGGGGCTGAGGTTAAAGAAGAGTATGCCCTTTGACTTTGACTGCCAGCAGAATGCATTGAGAATGCACTTTGCAATGAGTCAAGTGAATTGGACTTAACTATGGGTTGTGCAACACTTGAAAAAGGTGTAATCCCTGACGAGGTGGGCGCACTGCCTGGAGAAAAAGTTTGTGCAGATAATTCTTGTTTTGGTGCGGATGAGGTTGCAGAAAATGCATCACCTCCAAATGCTGAGTCAGAAGCAAACCCATTTCCAGGAACAACCAGGGCTTTAGAATCATTAGCAGTAGGCTGGGAAGACATTGAAAATGCAGTTTGTGGCTTTGTTGTAGCCGATGGTGTTGATGGAGTGACCCCTCGTGGCCCAGTTGAAGCTCCACCAGTCCTTCCAGCAAGCCAATCACTTGACATGTTTTGATTTGTGAAACTGGGACCAGTAGCACCAGTCGGCATGGGTTGAAGTGGGCGAGCGGTAGAACTAGCAGGCATAGCTTGAGGTTGACCAACTATACTACGTCCCCTAAAGAACTCTGGAGAGGCAATACCTTGAGGAGGACGTGGTGCAGTAGCAGCAGGCATGGTTTGTGCGGGTCTCATTGATGGAATTTGTTGAGAAGGAAAATTCTGCTGGCTCATACTGGCATTTGGAACTCCCAGTCCTCTGAACCCAAGATTTGAAGAGGATGTTGGCACAGCTGCACCCATCTGTGGGGCAGATGTGGGAGGAAAATTAATTTGTGGTGCTGGAATTTTTGCTGCAGCAGGACCATATAATGCTGCCTTGACAATGTCTGGTGTTAATTCACGCCTTTGTGCTACAGTCACAAGCTTGAGAGCATTAATAAATTCTTGCTTACTGAGGAAACCACTATGGCTCTGATCAGCATGCATCCATATCTGCAGTCATAGGATAAATTGATATGAATGAAGCCATAACATGACATCCAATGCCTTGCTCAATTACGTTTTCCATTTGCGCCCACCCACCAAAGAATCCCCCTCCCCCCCCCCCCCAAAAAAAAAAAAACACAATGGACAAAAGCACGCTAATAAAAAGATCCACAAATAAACCAAGTATCCAACAGGACATACCTTATGATATAAGGAAACTACACATAATCAAACAACCATGCAGAGGCCACAAAATAACTTTAGCACTAGGAAATGCATGTGTACTTAATGCAGTGTAATATTATCATACTAAAAAAAGATCCTACAAGGATATAAGCTCACAAACAGCATAAAACAAAGAAGATAAGGTAAAGGACACATGAATCACTACAAAGTACAAATAACAAGTCACATCTGTATCAATCCAACTCAAGCATCCACAAATCAAAATTTCCAATCCCATAAACCATGGCATTCCTTGTGTGAAATTCCACATCGACCACCACATGCTATGGAAAGTACCCCAAGGCAGAAGGCATGGCATCTATTATTTCAACACAATGAAAACTATTCTTCACATTTTCTCTTCCACCAAACTACAAACATAGTGATCATTATCCACTGACTTGTAGACTGTTTTATGTCAGCTTTGATTTAGAGTAACAGACAGTACATCAACAGAATATAGAACAAAATAACTGTGACTGGTTCAGCAGCTCGCAAAGGTGAGTTTAAACAATTAAAGCATGCATAAGAAACATAGTCACAAAAGACCAGATAAGTTCCGTTTACAGGATATATCACACTGTACTCCAAACTGCAACAAGAGCCAACCGGACATGTATTTTAATACTTTCAAAGCTTATCAATAGCAGCATCCAAAAGTAGACAACTGAAAACCTAACTATGGGATAAATCCTTGACATGCAAGAAACAAAATCCACATGAACAAACGATGAGTTCGTTAAGAGAAACCTAAAGTAGGAGGGTGATAATTACACGAAACAAAAATAGCAGCAAAATATGTTGAGTTAGTGAGACATTTGATCACCATGTCACAGCCAAATTCAATCCAATCTATATTCGGAAAAGTGAGGTTCGTGGAATTCCGATTCTAATAAGAAATGAAATGTAAAAGAGAGATAGAGGAACCTGAGCGAGGACTTGTTTGGACAAACCGGATCCTTGAAAGAAAGCAACAGCCTCAGCTCCACTAATCCTGCCATCTCCATCTAAATCTGCTCTCCTGAAGTAAACTTCGAATTGATCCTGACTTTGCCCCGCCATTTCAACGCCCCAAAGAAAGAATCAAACAAATCGCAAACTAAATGTATAACTCTCCTAGATCAGACCGGGAAATCAAATCCAGATACAGATCGCAAACTCAAGTACACAGGAATTCTATACGTATCATTTACCACACAAAGGGTTACAAACGAATCGAATCAATTGAAGTTCAAAGTGGGATAAAAACAAAAAAGGTATAAAAAATCTGACAAGACGGTTTTTTTTTAACAAAAAAAATATTCAGAGAATAGGGATAAATTGGGAATTTGGGTTTTGGTGGTTAGATCGAGGAGAGGACGCCAGTGATTTGTATCGATAGATGAAGTTGGAGATCGAAGGCACCGGTTAAATTAAACCAATAAATGAGCGAAATAGGAGAGACAAAGACGATGACGAAGATGTCGTTCTCCTTCAAATATAAGTATATGGGTTGGGCTGTCTCTCTCGATCGCCAGAAACAGGAGGAATCGATCGGTCCAGTTTCTTGGGGGATAAAAACTTAGCGTGAAATTTTGTTGTGTAAATGTGTAATTATGCTTCCTGTTACATGCGAACGAAGCCCAAGGAAAATTGATGGACGTCAGCTCTTGTATTCCAATTTGAATGATACCAATACCATATCATCTCATAGCAAAGCCCCAAGAGCAAAGTTTTTGGATGATACCAAGTCAGGGCCATTACTATTTAGCCTTTGTCTTCAGACAAGGCCCAAAGTCGAAGTAATTGGCACCGGATGACATAACAAATGAAATTTCCCTGTATTGGCCACTGCTTCGAATTGAAATGGTGAGGCAGCGACCATTTCTTTCTCTTCTGCGATAAACAAGAATTTCATTTTCCTCAATGGAAATGGGGACTTTCCTATTATTTTAATTAATTTTAAAATTGCATATCTCATTTGTTTAAGAGATTAAGATAAAAAAAGGTAACCCAACAATGGATAGCATTAAAGCCCAAGATCCTATCAAGAAGGTCCATCCCTCAAGCCTCAATTGCCATTTGCCACGATGGAGATTAAACCCAAAGACCACGCTTTTCCTCTTTGTGGGGATTAGTAAATTATGCTAGGCTTGAGACATTAAATAGATGGAAAGAAAGGAATTTAATTTAACCATTGAAACCAAACAAAGGAATTCCATGGCATGACAAGGAACACACATCAATATCTTCTCTTGTAGTTTGATATTATTAAGAGTCAAGGATTGAACACATCAGCTTCCTGATGAGAATAAAAAGAAGAGAAAGGACTGACTAATGAAGCTGATATATTCCAACATTTCCTCCCTCACACCTGATGCATATCAACGACCATTGCTTCAGTTACTTCTGCAGCATTATTTGCAGCAGTGATATCCGCATTTTATTTATCCAATAAGCAGTGAAACCGCTACTTGTACACTATCCTGCCCCAACGTACCAGAATTAAGACCCCAAGCATTACAAAGGTTCAAATTGACAGTCTCCTGCAATGTTCCCCGCACCTGCAACTCGCCAGCAAACTGCATCCTTGATGTAAGCAAGCCCCACCGTCCTTGTTGCTTGAACCTGAGAAAATTGTCTGCTATTCCTCTAACTCCAAATCTGGTACATAAAGGCACTCTAGGCTTTCCTTAGAATAGTGGAAAGAGCAGACTTCCCTTTAGTCTTGTTACAGCCCAATGAAGTTCTTCATTCCAAGTTGCAATTCCTCTATTCAGCTGACAGAGTTGAAGGACTTCTTCGCTTATGCATTTAGAAAATTCACACTCAAAAGAAAAGATTGTTCCTGGTCTGCTGCATTGAGTGACATAAAACACAACCTCCATCCATATCGAGACTCCATGAAAGCAATCTGTCCATAGAGGTAATTTGTTAAGGGGGCCATACAAGAACAACCAAAATAACAACCAACATCAACGGTACTCACTGTAACAATAAGTTTCCCTTATGCAATCACAAAAAATTGTGACAATGGATAAGATTTTCAAATCTAAAAGAAAGAAGGGCAAGCCAACCCAGATAAGTTCAACATAATCCCCAGCTAATTTGAGAGTTGCAACTATCCCTTCACCCACCCTTCCCTTTTTTCTTTTTGACATAATGAAGATTTCTCTCCTCAATTGATGTCAACTTTGTTCTCCTAGAAGCTCCTCAATCAGCTGACACGATGATGCATAATGTTCTGGTTCAACTAGCCCACCATGCTCTATTTAAGAAATTCAAGAATCAGGACTGCTAATCATTTCTTCATGCCCCCGCCTTGAAGATGCATAACGTCCTGGTTCAAGAGGCCCATCATGTTCTATCTAAATTCCAATGCTAAAACCCTTTTCCAAAATACATGCACCTGCAGATATTACCTCATTTGCAACAAATAACTAAAGGCACCGCCAGGCTACCACAATAGAAGAGTGGAGTCACATGCACATTCAGAACAGGTTTCAAGATCTTGTCCATAGGAACTAGGCAGTGAACAACTCTCGCACTGCGAGCAAAGAACAATCATTCAAAATTTAAAAGAATAAAATCAAAGAGAGCATGCTGAGAAAGAACTAAGTATTCTAAAAAGGCTTCATAACATCATTCAGTACTTCCAAAATGGCACTGTGTACTATTCAGTATTCACCAAATTCAAGGTAATGAAGGCAGACCAGGCAGGCAACCAACCTGGTGAAATATCCAGTCTAATTCACGCTAGTAACAGCCTAACAGGATTTTTCATAATGCCAATGATTTAAGTGGGTTCTGAAACCCAGATATTTACAAAGACAGCATGCTAAATAAAACAGCAACAATCAGCAGATAGTGTTATCAAGACCAATAATTCCTACTATCTATGGAATGAACACCGTAAAGTTGAAGGAGTTAAATCAAGAGACAAAAACGCAGCAAAACGAGAAGTAAACTATCCCTACCTATTAGAGATTGAAGGTAAATGAAATGCCAAAGTTACTCCCTCCAATGATGATATGGTGTTTTCTTACTAGTCCCTTCACAACATTGTCCATATATGTGTATCACTTTGGCAATTTGGAGTTTATCCATCATGAAACCCAAGAGCTCACAAGTCGCAAGCTTTTTGGAAAATCTGCACATAAACCAAAACATCATATAAATGGTGTAATCAAAATATGTACTGCAGTCAATGAAATAATTTGAGAAACCTCAAATACAGACTGTAAGAACACCACTAAAATAACTTCTCAGTAATACAAACTAGTTGAATGAAATAGACAAAGTACAAAGGCAAACTTTACTTGCCCTAGTCACAAAAAAATGTGCCGACTCAAAAATGCCAGCCATTAGCACGCCAATATCTCTGAGCATTATCATTAGGGCGAGCATCTTTAACCTTCAAAAATAGCTTGTAAGCCTTCTCTACTTCATTTGAAGCCAGCAGTTTATTATTTAACTTGCTATATATAACTCTGCTTGGGCAAAACCCCTTGTGTAAAGCCTCCTCCATAACAAGCACTGCGTTTTCAAGGTGCCCTATGTTGCAAAGTCCATCAATGACATGCTCATAAACTTCCATATCAGAAGTACGACCACTTTCTTGCATCTCTTGCCATAAATTCAGCAGCATTCCACATTTACCAAATTTAGATAGCCGCATGAGCAATAACTTGTAGGCACTAAGTGATATTTTACAGCCAAATCTCCTAGCTTTCTTATAGATCATCATAGCAGCATGGGGTGGACCATAGCTGCATAAAGGTTCAATAAAAGAGGTTAAAGACCCTGTAGTGGGAACAATCCCTTGCACTAACATTTCTTCAAAAATTTCAAGAGCATCAGCCACTTTTTGAGCTTTGATAAAAGCAGAAATCAGTTTCATGTAAGTATCCAAATCCGGGTCAAAGTTACTATCCAATAAACCCTTGTAATACTTCATACATTCATCAAAATTCCCAATAGAAATAAAGTTAGAAATCAGTGCGTTGTAAACTCTAGCGTCTGGAATGCAGCCCTTCTCCTTCATATGATCAAAAGTCTCAACAGCATCATCAATTAGCCCTGCTCTTCCTAAGCCCTCGATAAGGTAACTGAAAGTTGAACAATCTGGACTAAAGCCCTTTGCTATCATTGCTTTGAATATCCTCTCCATTTCACTAACTCTACCTAATTTTGACCACCCACTTATTGTGATATTGTATGTCGGACGATTAAACTTTATCTTCCCACCAACTGCATTGAGCAATGAATTTGCAGCACCTGCATGAGCTCGTCGACACAAACACTGTAAAAGCACATTCAAAGACTCAGTATCACGCTTCAATCCAAGCTCTTCTAAGTTCTCAAGCGTTTCTAAAGCTTTATGCACTCGCCGAGCCCTAACGAAACTGTCAAACACAATTGACAGTGTCTCCAGATCAGGTTGTATGCCTTCTTCCACCATATCACGCAAAACTTCAATAATAAACTTGAAGAATCTTCTTCTACCTAGCGCTTTAATGATTATATAGTAACAACGAATATCTCTAGGTATCCCCGGCTGCTTAATTGCCCAATTGAAAAACAAAACCATAGCTTCACCGCCCAAATTCCCTCTATCTACGACCTTAGCAATGATATCGACGCTTAATTCAACACTAACATTTGACAATGCATGTTCAATTGCAGTTTTACCACTCAATTTTTGAAGAAAAATCCCTCGCAATTTCTCTTCTGGCAATAAAAAGTCATCAACAGCTCTACTTTCTATCTGTTTCACCGGATAACTCTCCTTGTACGCATTTGGAATAGTCGAGTTGCGATAAGGAAATTGAAACAAGTCAGAGAGTTTACTGAGAACGCGACTCTCGTCGACGTTAGACTGGTGGTTTATTTGATTAAATGACGGTTCCTTTAATGAGGAATCTGAGAAAAAATTAATGGTTGAAAATGGGGACACAGAAAATAACGAACAAATGCAGGGCAAATGGAACCTGGCTCTGCTAAAACTCAAATTCCATCCGGGGAGTTGCTTGAAATGAAACGCCATGGAAAACCAATTCAGAGTTGCTGGTTCGATGATATGACAAATCTTTTTCATTTGGAGTCTCCAAGGAAAAGAATCACGTTTTTTCTTTGCCACGTGGATTTAAATAATTACTAAGGTGATTTTTTTTGGGGAATTTATAAATAGAGAAAAAATAAAATTAAAAATCAAAGATCAAAGAAAAAACAAATATACATACAATACTAGAACCAATTATCAATAACATTAATTAATTAAATCCTTATAAAATTTAAAAAAAAAAAAAAACACACAACACGTCTTATCAGAAAAAATTCTAAGAAATTACATTTAGCATTTCCGTCGTATAAGAGAAAATTCTAAAAATTGCATTTAGCATTTTATTTTGCAATTTTTGTTTTTAATTTGTACTATTATGAGCAAGATTTAATAGACCCTAAACTAAGTGCGGCAGCCTCAAACTTATATCCTTGATAACTTCTCGAGTGAGAGAGCCTTTTCAAAATAAATCTTTGTCCAATAAAATCGACTCTCTTCTTGAAGTGGATCTTTGTTACCAATTAATTTATTTAAAAACTGAAAAATAACTCTAGTAAAGCTTTGTTTAAGGAAAACCAAAAATTTAAGTTTAAAGTTTGATAATTATATGAGTTATTTTTAATAATTAATAAATTATTTTTACTTTATTTATTATGAAACAATGTTATTTTTACTCATAATATATGTAATTTACCTTTATGTAAGAAATATTGAAAAAAAAAAAAAGAATCTTAATAAATTTTGAATCATTTTGATCAATCTTGATAAATTTTTCAAATATTTAAAGGGATTTTTAATAGGGGGACATTTGATTTGCGGAATAATAGATTTCGATAAAAAATATGATCTTTAAAAAAATACGATACCCATAATTTTTTTTTATTTTTATGACATATTGTGTTTAGATTCTTTCATTTAATTTTGAGAATTCACATATATTAAATTCAGAATAATTATTATAATTTCATTTACATATATGATAATAACTTAAATAATTTATTTTTTAATTGAATTATACTATTCAATGTATTTTTTATCAAAAAAGTCTTTAATAATCATTTTTAAATTTTTATAAGAGATTATTTAAAGTATTTTATGTCAAAAAAAGCATTCAATAATCTTATTTTTTTTATTATTATTATTCAATGTATTTTTTGTCACAAAACATCTTAAATAATTTTATTTCATTTTTTTATTATTTATGACATTTTTTATCACAAAACGCTTTTAATAATCCCTTACAAAAATTGAATTGGGTTATTCAATGCGTTTTTTGCTAAAAATACTTTTAATAATTCATTCCATTTTCTTTTTGTTATTATTCAATGCGTTTTTGTCTAAAAAACGCTTTGAATTATCTCTTCGTTTTTTTATGAAAAAATACTTTAAATAATCCATTAGAAAAAATTTGAATAAAATTAGTTAAGGCGTTTATAGTAAAAAATGCCTTGAATAATCATATTTCAAAATTGTAAAGTGATTATTCAAGTTATTTCTGAAAAAAAAAAAAACGCCTTCAATAATCCCTAAAAAAATTTAGAGAAAATAATTAAAGACATTTTCACATAAAAATGCATTGAATAACTCCAATCCATTTAATTTTTTGAAATAGATTATTCAATACGTTTTTGACAAAAAATACCTTCAATAATAATAAAAAAATACAGAGGATTATTCAATATATTTTTTACCAAAAACATATTGAATAATCCTTTATAAAAATTTTGAATGAAGGTTAATAGTAATAGAATTTTCTAATTTCTAATTAGAATTTCTAATCCGAAAATAATAAATAAACAGAGAGCTCTTGTTCTTATTCGAAACGCCTCGTGATCTTTAACCAATTCTGCGCTTCAATATAATTACCAGGAGTAAGCGCTATAGCCTGTTTCCAATACTTAGCAGCTTTATCGAACCAAGCCTTCGTTATTTCAGAATCCCCTTGTCAAATGGCTTGTTCTCCTCGATCAGAATAAGCAGGTCAATTCATTCCCTTATAACTGTACTTGAGAGTTTCCTACCTCATACAGCTTGAAAGTCAATTCTTTTTGTGTATTTTTAACAAAAAATATCTTCAATAATTTTATTGTAAAAATTTGTTGAGATTTTTTAAAGCGTTCTTTTTACAGAAACGCTTTAAATAATCCAATTTATTTTTTTAAGAGATTATTTAATGCGTTTTTCATGTCAAAAGTCATATATAAACCAAATTTTTTTATCAACGAAAACCTACAATTGACTACATTTATTTCCATACATGTTTTTCAATATGATAATAGTTATTTCACAATTTTTTAATCATGTTAAATTTGAAAATAACGTTATTTTCTTCATCGGAATCCTATAATATCATACGGAGATATGAATTTTTGATTATGAGACTTTTGGTACTGTTAAAAATCTGTCAGTTTTCTCTAAAATCATATTATTCTAAATTAAATATTGAAATTAAATAACTAACAGTAATATTTTGGGGAAAAATATATAGATTTACCCCCATTAAACATCCGTTTAAAATTTTTTATGATTCTTAAAATAAAAATATAAGAATTTGGTTGAGATGATAATGCCTCACCTTAAATGTATTAATTTGTTTATTTTAGATATTATTTTGTAAATAATAAAATTTTTATTATATTAAAAAATCGTTATGAATGTGCTGACAAAACCAAGGTAGATTACAAGTTTTACTATTTTAGCATTATAGTATTCATCACTATAACAAAATGTAGTTATATTTGTATCATAAACTAATCATTTGATGAGAATGGGATATGTGGCTAAATAAAAGTAAGCTGACATATTAGACGATATGATAAATGGTTATCCAATCTATTTAAATAGATGGTAGTTGACTTAAAATTCATTAGTTTAATTTACTATTAAAAAATTAAATAATTTTCTTAATTTTTATTTTTATAAATAATATTTTACTTTTACTATATCTAATAAGTTATATTTTGAGAATATTTCACCTATATTTTAAAAATTATATATAAATATTAATAATTTTTATCAATTTATTATATTATGGGCGGAATTTATTCATACCTGGCCCAAATATTTGTAACAACCCATAATTTGTTTTATTTTGAATCTTACCCTCTTATAAAAAGGTTGAACCATGGCAAAGTGTTTGAGCGTGAAAAAGACTCTGACTGGATTTCGTCCACTCAGATCCAATTGGTCTCTTCTCTATTTCCACCGGATGGGCTTCTGCTTATTAATCCACATGCTGATTGGTGATGCGTTTTCGTATGTTTGTTTGTATTTTATATGGGGCCTGGCCCTTTTCTCATTCTGATTAATATGTGAAAATATTTCGGACCGCCATTATCAAATTTCTGAAGCAAAACTCCCGCCAAAACATCTCTTCCCACTTATAAATCTCCAGTCTCAAGCCGTCAAGCGTCCATTTCATACACTATCTCTGGAACCCAAAGAAATGATGTCTTCACAACCTGGAGCAGGGGCAAACCCTAAGCCTAACCCTAACTTGAAAAACTCCGAGAATCCCAAAAATGTGTACAATATTGCGAGAATTCCAGTGGAATTCCCATACAAGCCGTACGGCGCGCAGTTCTCCTTCATGTACAGAGTCATATCAACGCTGGATCGGGCTCAGAAAGAAGGCCGTTGTCACGCCTTGCTCGAGTCGCCCACCGGTACTGGCAAATCACTCTCGCTTCTTTGCTCCACTCTAGCATGGCAACAGAATTATGCGCTCAAGAATCTACAAGGCAATCTGCCCCACTCCACACCTGCTCCGGAGGCCATCACCGATCCTCTCGGTCACGGCGGTGGTTTTATCCCCGAAACGCAACATTTAAGTAAGTTTATAATGTTTTCTCAGCATTCATTGTTTGATAATTGAGGAGCTCGATTTACAGTATTGCTCCAATTTTGAAGTCATAGAATCAGTGGTGTTCCTCCATATTGAAGATTCCCTGACGGGCCTTGATTATTGTCTTAGGCATTCCACCATCAGAGAGTTCACAGCCACCTCAGCAAGCTGCAAATAGCAAGAAAAAGAAGAAAAAGTTGGCTCCTGTCATATATTATGCTTCGTAAGTTTAATTATTGAATCAAGTTATATTTTATTATTACTTATGTTTTGTCTTAAGCTGGTTTCTTTTTGAGGTCATACTCTATTTAAGTTACCCTTTTCATTTTTTTGGCTTTCAAACTATCATTCAAATATGAAGATGGTTCTGAAATAATCTGAATTAGTACTTATTGTCAAAATTTGTTGCCTAGCGGCAACGACAGGAGCAAAGATTTGTGGGATAGGTTGAGTGAAAAAGGACACTACAGATTATTCCATTCATTTTTCTGAGATAGAAAGTGGTACTTTCGGAGTTGGTATTGTGTTTGGAGTTATTGATGTTTAAGCCTTTAAAATTCTCCTGACAACAGAGCCAATATTCTCATTGCATCCATCAGTGTAAAAATCTGCAAGAACTTGTATAATTGAATGTGGACCTGTTACTTAAGTACGGTGGTTTCCCATTAACATCAGGAGGACACATTCACAAATTTCTCAAGTGATTCGTGAATACAGGAAAACTTCTTATCGAGTGCCAATGGCAGTATTGGTACGTTTTACCTATTCTTCATTTTGACTTTTTTCTTTTTTATTGGAAAGCTGCTTATCAATAGAGTTCTTTTACATTATTTTAGTTGCCATGTTTCACAAACTCTCTTATGGAAAATTTGTCAGCTTTTGATTCTTTTAAAAATTTCTCAGGCTTCAAGGAAACATTATTGCACAAATCCCCATGTCCTTCGAAAGGAGAATATTGATGAAGAATGGTGCATTTTCTGGAGTCTGACCTCAAAATTTGTTTTCTTTTTTTTCTTCTCCAGTATAATTTCCATTGCTTTTTCATACTAAATATGCTACTGAAATTTGACAGCAAGCTTCTTTTGAGGAACCGAGAGGAAGGATGCTTTGAATATAAGTGAGTTGTTTCTCTGTTTGATATCCATTTATGGTGTCTTAGTATTGGTTGTCCATGATTCCACTGTCAATTTTGGACTAAGTATAACCACAAGTAATTACACATTGCAAGCAGAAATATGCTTAAAGTCAAATGCCATTCCTCACTTAGGAAAGGAGGCTGTCACGAGGTCCATGACATTGAAGACCTTGTCAAAGTTGGACAAGTTGTTAAAGGTTTTCCTTTTCTTTTTCCAAATATGTTTCTACCACTATGTTGCTTTTCAGAATCTGACTAAGGGCTCTTTTCATTTTCCAGGATGTGCATTTTATGCTGCACGTTACATGGCAGATGATGCACAATTGGTTTTTTGCCCGTATTCCTACATCATCAATCCTGTTATTCGAGGAGCAATGGATGTAGATATCAAAGGAGCCATTCTAATTCTTGATGAAGCTCAGTATGTTTCTGCCAACTTCCTCAATCATTTTCTGATGAACATCTGATTGGTTTCTGATAAATTTCTGCAGAAGCAAACATTCTATGCTACCAATTTTGATTTTAATGAATAATTATTTCTATAGATTTGATCTGCCCTTTAATTTGGTTGAGTTGGGGTAGTCAATTTGCCTTTTTTATGGGTTGAAAGTATCTGAAGTACCATAAAGTTACATTTTCTTTGATCTTTCAGTGCTTTTATATGGTTAAGGAATGCTCAAGTATGTCAACCTCCTTAATAAAGGTTGCTAATCCTCAGCTTAGAAACTTGAGGTGGGAGATGATATCCATAGTATCATGTCATTGACCTCTACCTTGGTGGGGATATAAGGTAGAAGTAGGTTCTCCTTATTTCCCCTTGTTTTTCACTTTTCTTTAGTTTGTAGTACACAAACTCCTCAGACTTCTGCAATCTCAGATCCACTAAAAATAGTTAGTTAAAGTTTTTGATTTCCTGACAATTATGTGCTGAATAATACATGCTGCTGCAGTTGATGTTCTGTTTCATTCCTTGCATCTACATAGAAATGATGCGATAGATGTGATTTGGTTGAGCCTAAAGGATGTCCGAAACATCTCTTTAGGATGCTAGCATCCTTCTAGAAGGTTTTGAAAATGATTTGTGTACAATAGTTGAGGCTGCCTATTGCTTGCCAGACTAGATGTATAAACAAACTCAAGTTGTTTACAAATGACTTCCCATGCCATCAGGGATGACTGATTGAGATTTGATTTCCTTTAATATTTGAATTGTTTGCCAAGATCTGATATCAAAAGAGTTTCTCTTGTTACAGCAATTTAGAGGATATTGCTCGTGAAGCTGGAAGTGTGGATCTTGAAGAAGATGCTTTGCTCAGTAGGTTAAGAAACTTTTACTACTACTTTATCATGCTAGGATTCTAATTCTTATAGCAATTATATGCTATGGAAGAACTGCAGATGGAGCTAGAGCAACTCCACATGATCAATGCCTCAATTTACCAACCATTGTATGAAATGACACGGGTAGGGAAAGTCATTTCTTGAGCAAGTCAGGTCTGACATTACAATAGTTAATTTGTGGTTCCAATCATTGGTGTTGTGAATGTGTAGGACCTAATAGGTTGGATTGAGCAGAGGAAAAGCAAATTAGAAGAGCATGAATTTCAGCATTATTTATCCTTGTAAGTTTTGGAAAGAACCTTATTGTTGTGGTTATCCTTATCTCTCCTCGTGGAACTGTCATGTTGGCCAATATAATTCAATACCCTTAATCTTTCTTTTTAAGCACACTTCACATTCTTTTTAACATCTACTTTATGGTCTGGCGCTCTCTTGAACTAACTGAGCTTTTAAAAGCTGGATGTACTCTGTAAAATGCATTATGTCTGCAATCACATTGAAACTAGATTGGTAATATTATATTTTCTTGCATAGTTACTGTTCTTGTCTATAGGAACCTTTTTGTATTTATTCTTTTCTCTATTCTTCTTCCCCCTAACCAGTGTTTTTTATTTTTCGTTTTTGTACTATTTAGATGGTAGACACACCCATGTTCATATAACAGTTTTAGGGATAATATATGTTTTTCATCCTGTGACATGTTATGCTTGCTTTTGTAATAAAGAAATTAATGAAACTGTCAGTTTTCACCTTAGTTCCTGCAAATAATATTGAATGAGAAGGTTTTAACCTAAGTTTTATTAGGTGTGACTCTCATGTTTGTTTCTGCTAGCATTTGATTTAGATGGTCTTTTATGTTTCTATTATCATATCTTATAGCTGGACTGGTGACAAGGCATTAAGACAACTTGAAGAAGCTAACATTTCACAGCAATGCTTCCCTATCTTGCTAGACTGTGCAACAAAGGTACTTTACTTAGCAACACTTTGAGTCTCGATTTTTACTTTTACACTGATTATGAACCACATTTTATTCAAGGCAATCAGAGCTGCTTCTGATGCAGAGTCAGATGTACCTCATTTAAGTGGCAACTCTGTGATAGCCTTGGAAGGTACATATTTTCTTTTTCATGTTTTTAGCTAATTAAAAACCCTTGCAGTCTTAATATTGGTTTTGACTATGTCAAGAAATGCATTACAGGGCTGTTCTCTTCACTGACATATTTCTTCTCAAGAAATGGTTCTCACATGTTTGATTATCAGCTTGCTCTACAAAGATATCTTAAAAAGGATGGCAGTAAGTGCTTAATGAATTTATTAATATGTTTTTATTCTGTCATTTTGATGTGGACAGTATCCATCTCATGCTGTGAGTAAACTTTCAGAGAAAATATCAGCCATGTTAATATTAGTAAATGAGATGATTGATATGTTGATTTTGCAACTTCTAGGCAGAGTCAAGTTTCATAGCTTACAAAGAATTTAGATAATAATAGCCATAGGTTGATAGAATGCCGCTGGTTTATATTGTTATTTGTTCTCTTTCAATTGCTATGAGAGTTCAAAAGTTTCACTAGAGAACTCGGTTTTGGTTATTGACTTATTGCCTTTGTAATTTCTGTTCTTTTGATTAAAACAGAAAGGTTATTGACAGTATTTTGTGTACAGAAAATGCTTTTGGCAGTTGGATATGTTCTTTAAGTTTGTGGTGCTTAAATCCAGCGGTTGTTTTTAGAGACATTGCTGATCTTTCATTCTCTGTCATTCTAACATCTGGGTAAGATTGATCCTTATTTGAACATTTCAGTTGCTGCCCTTGCATTAATGAACCTTCTCTGCATTAACAAATTATTTTCAGCTTTGTGCAAGCTTTTAGTATCTTGTGTCCCAAAATTTCCTAGTAAGTTTTACACTAGCCAAGTCAAAGCCAATAATGCCATTAACCACTACTACTTATCTGGAAGGACATCTTCTCCAAAAGTATCTTTTTAATATCTGATTGATACACATAATATATGCTGTCATCCCATCAGTGTGCCAACCTTTCAGAAGGAAGTTGCCATATACGATGCTGACACTGTGATGCAATTTAGGGATGGTTCTCAAATTTACGTTTATGTCCTTTTCCATTTACTGGTTTCTTCGGGCTCATTGCATTTCCAAATAGTTTTTCCACTTTTAATTTTAATAATAATTTTCTGTAATTTAGGACGTTGTCACCAATGAACTCATTCTCATCTGAACTTGGAGTTCAGTTTGGAAACTGTTTGGAGGCTCCTCATGTTATTGATGTTAAATCCCAGGTACAAATTTTATTTGCCTCATTCTTATGATTCTTATTTCCACTTGTTTCACGTATGAGTTATCAACTTTTCTGTTGTAGGTGTGGTCTGCTATAATCTCTCATGGTCCAGGTAATTATCGATTGGATGCAAGTTACAAAACAACTGATCAATATGCTTTCCAGGTATATTGTTTTTTGAGGCATTGTTTTTTTGTTTGATCGAGAGTGAATTATTTTTTGACATTAGCATATCTATATTTTTCGTTCTGAAGGATGCACTTGGTAAATCCTTAGAAGAAATTTGCAAAATTGTTCCGGGTGGCTCTCTTATTTTCTTTCCAAGTTACAAGCTGATGGAGAAACTTTGCAATCGTTGGAGAAAAACAGGCCAATGGTCGCGACTTAATGCTAGAAAGCCCCTTTTTGTTGGTATTGCATATTTTGTCCCTTTCCTAGATCTCATACGATTGAGCGCAATGCTTAATTTTTGCTAGAAATTGCAATTTAAAACTTCGTTTCTCTGCATATTTGGCTGGACCTTTGTATTGATGTTGAAGATGGCCTGATTTACTCAGCATGTATAACTCATTATATTGTTCATGCTTGGATATCTCTTATTGGATTTAAATCTGATCTAGTGGTATCTGTGCAGAGCCAAGAGGAGGTAATCAGGAAGAATTTGAAACTGTTATGAAAGATTATTATGATTCAATATCTAGAGGCAAGAAAGCAGCTCTTGGGAGAAAGAGAAGGATGAAAAAAACAGAAGACAATGTGATAGAGTCCACAGAAGTTACTAACCGTAAAGGAGCTGCTTTTCTTGCAGTTTTCAGAGGAAAGGTTTGCGTTGCTTCTTTTCCTTCTCAATTCTTGACTGTCAGGAGACCACTTCTTTTTTTTTTTTAATAAAAAAAATGGTTGGTTTCTTTGTTCTACTTGGGGACAGAGTATCCAAGTGTGGCTACTTTATATTCCTGCAATTGATTTGGTCAATTTGGTCTGTTTTGGACCAATTTGTGGAAATACAATTTTTAACGTCTTATGTCTTACTTGACAGTTTTTGGTACTTTTTAATTGTGGAAAAACATTGGCACTTTTTAATTATGGAAATACATTATGTGCTTCACTAAAAAATTATTCATATATTTTCCATGCAGGTCTCAGAAGGCATAGATTTTTCTGATGACAATGCTAGAGTGGTGGTATCCTTTTGCCTTGTTCTTTTCTTATGTTTCAGTCATTAACTTTGCGCTTTCTGTCCACTTATACATGTGTTCGTTTTTCTTCTGAATAACTGCTGTTTGCTTACACCTTTAAAAGCACAAAAGCTTATTCCGTTGTATGATTGTTAACTGTTAATTGTGAGTTCTTGACTACCTAAGATAGTTGTTGGCATTCCCTTTCCGAATGTGTACGTACTCTTACCTGTTGCTGAAGTTTTCAAAGAAAAATAAGTCATTTGTCTCGATTTCTGACTCCTTTAGACTTTGCAGAAATGATATTCAGGTCACATTAAAGAAGAAATATAATGACACTTACAAATCATCTAAACACCTTCTCAGTGGAAGTGAGTGGTACTGCCACCAAGCCTTCAGAGCTCTAAATCAGGCTCTTGGTATGCCCTGTAAATTTTCAACCTTGAGATTTATCTATTCGTTCACTCTTCCTGTACATATTTATTAGGTGATTTGATAATACTGTAGGTTCAAGTATTTGAATGATATTTTGGTTATATACATGTAGTTGATTATGTCATTTAAGCATATATTCTCCCTAAATTTCCCCTTGAAGAAAAAAAACAGTTTCCTAATTTTTATGTACTTCAAAGGGGTATTATTTGATAACTACCTTTTATTCTGCAGGACGCTGTATACGTCATAAATATGATTATGGAGCCATCATTCTATTAGGTAATGATTTTGAATTTGGTGATCCATTTGGTTTGCTGTGATTTGCATATCTCATGAATGGGTAATAAGTATTCTTTATTTTTTTTACAAATTTTCTAGAAAAGATCCGAACCATTTAATTTTTTAATTAAAATTTGGCTTTCGGTATTTTGCTGCAGTTGAGATAGTATTCTTCATAACATTGTGAAAATGGATAGTAATATTCACTTTCTTTTTTAATGTTTATTTAAATGGAAATATATATTTTTTTGTGATCAGATTGGCGTTTTGAGCAAGAAAAGTATAGAGCATATATTTCAAAGTGGCTAAGGCCATTCATTAGAAAGTATGAAAGTTTTGAGAGCACATTAGACGAGCTGAGATCCTTTTTCAGAGATGTCAAGGTCCCTTTTGAGTGCCTTTCTTAGTATATGTTCCTTTCTTTCAAGCCATTAAATTTTCTTGTGCCTGGACTGTTGTTCAAAATGGTGTTAAATAAGGTTTTCTCTGCCTTCACTTGTTTGCAGGACCTGGTTGGCAAGAAAAAGGTTTGTAACTTGAATTTGAATAACTTTAATGGGGATTATTCCCTTTCTATGGATCAAAGCTGAGGATTACCAGAAAGAAAATTTTAACTTAACCAGTCTAATCATTGTGGACAGCAACCACCATCTTTGGCAAAATATGACGCCACTTTTCCCCAAATGAAGCTTCAAAGTGATGTTGCAGTTCAGACAAGTGTGCAAGTAGATAAGCACAAGAAAATTTGCAAAGAATATATTGATCTAGAATGTGGCTCTCCTAAAGATTCACGGTAAACGATCAACACCTCTATTCTCTACTGAGTAATGAAAGGAAACTATATGCTTGTGTATGCCATTTGACTGATGAATCTGGCTGTATCTTTTAAGAGATTTTTGTTGTTTGGTCATTTGCTTGCTTTTGGACTATTTTTGATGTTCTTTCTTATATCTAACGGTACATAGCTAATTTAAAAAAAAAAAAAAGAAATGTCACACTGGTATAATTGGCTTGAAAGCATCTTCTTGCAGGTGTTTTGAGACTTCATCAATCACATTTTCCAGTGAAGATCCAGATTTTCTCATGGTCAAGGAAACACCTTTTGTGGATTCTGTTATCTCTGTAGCTAGTCCAGGTTCCTTATCTAAGTATGGTAACTCTGGTTCAAATATAATTCAGGCCTCAACTAAGTGTCCGGATCAATTTTTATCTCAGCCAATGTCTTCAACAAGCCTGAACGAAGAACCTTCCATTTATGAATCTATGACGATGTTCACCCCCGAAAAAGGTGCCGATCAGAATACCTCCAGCCTGATACCAAAAACAGAATCACCTTTGAATCTTAGTGTTTGTTCTTATATCCAAAAAAGGAGGAAATTCATGGGTTCACCCTTCATTAACCTTGTTGATGAAGGAGGCAGTGATACACCTGCTCAAATTCCAGGTTCTATGAGTTTCGAGGAACTAGCCAATGGAGATATACCACGCAGAATTGAATTTGAAACTAGTTCAGCAGAAAACAATCCCAAGGAATCAAATATTCCATGGCCGTTGGCTACTGACAATACTATTTTCTTTTGTCCTGTTATGGATAAGAGATTACGAATTTCCTGTTTACTCTGCAGAGGCCCTTTAGGCCGCCCTGAAAATCAGCTGTATCTTAGTTGCTCATTGACTGTGTCATCAAAAGCCTACGTATTATCTCTTTTTAAACAGAGATTCATTTGTCGTGATTCAAATACACTACCAACCGTAAAAGTTATAATAACTGATATTTCATTAGTTGATCCAAGACTCTGGAACAGAGCTCTTGAAGGTGACAGAGAACAGGGCATTTGGCGTGAAGATGATGGGTGTGTATTCAAAAAGGTCTTTTGCCCCTTCTGCAGTAACCCTAACAATTGTCTTGGTGTGCAAATCAAAGCAGCTGACGAAAAAAATTTGCAGTTGCTAAATAAGGTAGGTTATTTAAACTTTGATGTCTTATAACTTTGCATTTTTTGTGATTCTTCTAATAATGTCATACTCCCTTTTTTATATTTTTAGAAGGCTTCTTTGAGACTGATCTTTTCATCTGTAGATACTGCTTTACTTTGATTTTCTAGAAATTAAAAATCCTGAGGATGCAGGGGACGAGGCAGCAAAGGATAAGGTAAGTTGTAATTTTAGGCCTAATGGTTCTTCCATTTATTCCTTGTCTTTTCTCGATATGTCATGATACTAAGACAGCTTTCCCTTTTTGTTATAATGCTGAGAATTAAGGATAAAATGGAGAAATTTTATAGTTTTTCATTCATCCACTTAGCATTCATGCAAAAGAAGACCTAGTTACATGCTTTCCAAAAATTTTGAATGCTAAAAAGTTTCTGACTGGACTTGCTGAAATTGTTTCCATAGGATTATAGGATTTAAAAGAAGGCTATTTTCAGTCATGGAAGTTGTTTTTGGCTGTCTTATCTATGAAAAATACTAACATTAACACATATTGTTATAGGATTTCTTGCAGGTTAATGGCTCAAGCACGGACAAGACCGCTGTTTTAAATTCCATTTCTAAGTTTGCATATTCCCCGAAGCAGCCAGGCTTAGGAGGGGGAAGCCGAAGGACTACAAAATCAAAGGTTAGATACAAAGAAATGCTTTGAGAATCACAAGACATTTAGTCCACTCTAATTCCTAACATTTTATATTTATTATCTTGCAGCTAAAACTTTCTAAGTAGTGCTAGGCATACACATGCCATTTGCCTTTACATACTTTCGCCATGCTTTTTTTTTTTTGGTAAAGCCTCGCTTGATGAGATGTGGGTTCTTGCAAGATGTGCATTTTGGTGAATTAACTATTTTGAGTCTGATAGATACCTTAGAGCAAAACCACCTTCAGCAACAATTATGGTCTTCCAGGCCTATTTTATGAAGCTGGGGTTTGCTGTTTGATAGGACATTTTTTAAGTTTTAGTTTTGCTCTCTCATCAATTTTGTAGTTCCAGATCCAGAATGTATGTGACTTGTATAAATATATATTTTTGTAACTATGTAGTAAACAAGCAAAATGATCTAATGACTTTGTATGGAGTAATTATTGGTTATGTAAATAGAGAAAATGTTTGTACTTCTAAAATCTTCATGTAAAGTAAATGCATAATCATTTTACTACCATATATATTGTAATACTGATAGTGATAGGATGCATAATCATTCTTTACTATTTATTATCTAATTTTCTTCTCATCTCACAAGGAACTAGGAAGATGGAGGATGAATGTAGCATACCATAGCATTTGTAGCTGCTTATATTATGTTCGATTATTCATGTGCATCTAAGCAACAAATATGTAGGACTTCAATATCAATGGTTACTTAGAAGCTACGAAAGCTTTGAACTGATTTTGTTCACTCAAAAACCTATAATATTTTTACTTGTATTGCTTGCGGTTAGGTTAAAGACTTCCTACGGAGAAGGGAAATACAAACCAAACATATGTGTATCAACCATGTAATAAGCTGAACTCAAAATGGAACTCGTAAATCAATCATAACTTAACTTGCTTAGCTAAAGAATAATACCATGATCATGCCAAAAAAGAAAGGCAACTTTTCTGGAATTAGATCATGTTGAGCTTGATTCTTGAGAATTTTCTGCGGGTTATACACTTCTTTCTCAAAGGGCCTCTCTAAATCAACTCCAACAGGTTCAGTCCAAGCATGACAAGAAATCCCCAAAACTTCATCCAAGCAAGCCAAATTGTTCAACTAGATTATTATAAGGATCATAGTCTCCTGAAATTCCCGCATTACCAATCAAGTGATCAATTCCTGCTCCCCAAAAAAAAAAAAAAAGTAGAAAGTAGAACTGAAGTAACTTAGTTTTGATCCAAAACCAACTGCTTCATCTTCCCAAAATCACTATATTAAGTATTTGAACCAATAATCATTTTAGTACCTGTATCAGAATTTTGGAAATAGAATCTTTCAACCCCTTTCGTATCTATAAACTCCAGACTTTCTGGTTTGGTCCTTTTCTCTTTTGTACCCAAACTTTCTGCATCCGCTTCTCTTTCTGCATTGCCGTTGATTGAACCTGAGGCCTGTAACTTCCTTTTTGAACGAGCACGCCTGTTCTGAAACCAATTATAGACATTTGTTTCAGAAATTTGACCATGTTGGGCCAGTTCAGCTGTTATCTCTTTGATTTTTTGCTTGCTTGGAGTCCCATTTCCTTGGTCGTATATACTCTCCAGAATTTGAAGCTGCAATGCTGTTGGAGTCCAGCGCTGTCTAGCTGTGATCTTGTGGGCAACAGAGGCCGCTATTGGATCACAGTAGAGATTTCCCAACCTTATTCCTCAACCACAGAAAAAAATCAATACAGTCAGTAATGAGAAACAATCTCAGAATTTACAATGAAGTCCTAAATCATTTCACTTAAACACCATAAACAATCTATTTCGACTATGTATACAAGAAACGTACCAATACTCCTCATAGTCTAAACATCATTACCAGTCCATTGCTAAATCTGTATCACAAACAAATCTAGCCCTAATTAAGTATTGAAATATTATAACCACCAGTAATTAATTAGATACTCACATCAGTCTTCATTTAGCAATGAATGATCTTAATTATTGCCAGATTTTAGACAAAAACAATTTGGGGAAGGGATCAAGGGAAAAGAAATGCTACTGACAGAATTAAATCGACTTCTGTTGTCCTTTTTGCATAAATAAACTGATTATTCATCCATAAAGATAGAGCCATGCCTGTCAGCAATTTTCTCATGCATGCTTCTTATTCACTGGCATATACTTCGAAATTACAGGAAATATAAACATAATACAAAGAAACTCCTTTAGGCTTTAACTCATCTTGGAACATGATAAAAGTCGATGGACAGAAACATCAATCAAGCATTGACTTCCCCGTGCAAGGCAAAGAAGTACAGAACCAAAAACACAGATTAGAGCACACACACGCACTCGAAGGAGAAAAGCCAAAAAAGAAAAAAACCAGTGAAATCCTGATGGGCAGACATGGCTTTGTGCATCTCAGCAAGCTGCTCAGAAATGACCGCATAGGCAACGATCTGTTTCCTCAGTTCTTCCATCTGTTCATCAGTCATCACCTTCCCGCAAACCCCATTCTGAATATGGTACTGCAAATACTCTTCTCCTTGTCGTTGTTGTTGCAATTCTTGATTTTGCCACTCCATTTCCCTCTCCTGTTAAGGCTTTTTGCCTTCACCAGGCCACTTGTTTTCTGCAAAGAGTCGTACCCATACCGTTTGAATCACTGTTTCAATTTATTGAGGAAGAAGCGGCACCAAAGATGGTAATTAGTAGCTACCATACAATACATGATAAGAAACCGAGAAATTAATGGAGCAAAAAAAAAAAAAAAACGCGTAAATTAGCGGCGAAGAGAAGGTTCTTCGTCATTCGGGTTTGCCCCAGCGCATTTTAGTGCCGGGTCGCGCGGGTAATTACGACTCCTGGTAGCCGTTGGAGGGTATTTCCGTCAAATACGTTTGAAAATTGAATTTTAGTTTCCAAGTAAAACTAAATGACCAAAAAAAAGAAGGCTGAAAATTCCAAATGATACTAAATTTATTGTACTTACCTTATTAGAATGTTTTCCATTTTTGGTTGGGTAACTTGACTTGGTGGAGAAGCCACGAAGCAGAAGGAAAGGTGCCAACTGTCTCAGCTATGCCAGCTTGATTGCTCTGCCTCAGCCACACCGATTATTGAAATTTTTTGCTACTAGCGATTTTGAATCTTTCTTTCAAATTAGAGTATCATGCATGTATAGTTACTGCTACAGATAGCAGAGCAACTTTTGCTTGATTTAGGGGTGGTATCAACAAAGAAAAAAAAATTAGCGTTGATGATTAGCTGATTTCAAGGGCAGCAAATTAGAAAGAAAGAAAGGCAGACAAACACTTTGATCCTGATGAATGGGTCCATATTGCTTCACAGTGGCAAAACACTCTTATTAGTGAAAAGAAATCAAACAAGGAAAAATAATGTGGGAGATTCTTTGAAAATTGCTGGAGGTGAGGTAAAGCCAAAAAGTTTGGTCCGCCTAGCTAATAACATGGACAAAATGTACTTTAAGATCATTTATTCCTTTTTCCTAGTAGATTTAGTGTGTGGTTCACATTAAACGTGGACATGAGTATTCATGTGCTTTTGGTCATAGAATAAAAGTCCAAAACTCAAAATGCAAACTTCCCCTCCCTCAGCTCATCAGAGCAATCTCAATTGAAGAAGAAGAAGAAGAAGGTGATTCCCGGCCTTCTCACTTCTCACAAGATGGGAAGTTTTAGTCTGTCTCACAGGTCGGTCTGATCGATTTTGAGAATTCTTCATTAGTTTTATTGTACTAGTACATATGATTTCCAAATCACAAAAGGAAATTGTAGTGCTTCACATGAAGTGCTAATTTCTCTTATCGTTTCTCTTAATAATTTCCCGTTTCATGATGCGGCTGATAACAATTGTGTATAAACATGCATTAGAAAGAAACTATATATATAATTAATGGATTAATCAGATGCAAAATGAAAGATTACTTTTGCCATATATATCACGAGTTTAACACATACGGAGGGGTTGAGTCTTGATTGTATCATATCCAACGTCTGTATGTATACGAATTAGTTATATACTAGTATATGTATTCTAAGCAATTTTTATATATAATGCAAGGACTTTTCCATAAGGGTACATGCATGCATTTGTATTACTCCCAGAGAACAACACAAGGTGGGTTTCTTGACTGGGGAAGCATCCGGCATTTCACCAACTGATCAAGGTTATTTTATAGATTTTAGACATTATTAATCAAAAAGTTCAAAGGGCTCGTTGTCCCAGACTTGCAAGAACACATCCATTGAATGAATCTCAATCATTTTATTTATATTGTAGGCAGGCTGTCCAGTAAATGTTAGAGCTAATTGGATTGGGCTCAGAAAAAGGCCCATTAAACCTCAATAATTTATATCGGGATGGTTGGGTGGGGGAGGGAGGGGGCAGGAATTTACCTATTTAGCCCAATGCCCAACCCAGGCAAACACGTCTACAAAAGGAAAGGAGGAAAGCGAACCCGAGTCTGCTGTGAGAGCAAAGAAGCACAAAGGAAACACAAAAGGGGGAGAGGTGAAGCTGGAAAGGCATAAGCTTAAGACTCGCGTAGCCAATAACATAAAAGCACACAGATCGATGACGTGGCATGCAATATCCAATCCCGCCTAAACCCCCCAATTTTCATTTCGTCCGCAATTGAATTTCAATTTGCCCCAACTTAATATCTCCGCCTTGCGGCCTCTGAACTCCCCTCAATCTCTCACGTGTCTTCCTTTCTCTCTCTCTTTCTCTTTTATATTCTCCCCATTCTCTCTCTCAACCGTAACCCTAGCTTACCAACCAGGTATTCCCCTTCGATTTCCCTCGTTTCTCATCGATTTTTCACGAATTTCCCCCTTTTTCCTTCGATTTCTGTTGTATTTTTCATTGATCTGCGATTTTAATTACAGGATTCAACATGAAGGGAGGTAAATCCAAGTCAGATACTAAGAGCTCAAAGTAAGATTTTGTTTTTTCCTTCGTTTTTCTTTAGCCTCCTCAGACGGCGTGTTCTAAGATCTCAGATCTAGTTAACGATTTACTTTCCTTGTTATTTGACTTTATTTGTTGATAGGCTCTCCGTGAATAAGAAATCAACCACGAAAGCGGGAAAGAAATCCGGCAAGGCAGCTAAGGATCCAAACAAGCCAAAGAGGCCTGCTAGTGCCTTCTTCGTTTTCATGTAATCCTTCGCGATTCTCTCCTGTATTTGTCGGTTTTTCTTTCATTTTTCGTTTTGCTCCGTAGAAAATTCTGGCGTTTACATTCTTCATAGAAACTACAATTTAAGAGGTGAATTGAATGATTCTTCTTATGGTCAATGCAAAATTTAGCTTCGAGGAATGATATTGTTGATTTAATATCAAACTCTTATCTAATTCGATAATCTTGATTCCGTGATTTTAGGGAGGAGTTCCGTGAACAATACAAGAAGGATCACCCTAAAAACAAATCCGTTGCTGCTGTAAGTATGAGCAATATATATTTTTTTTGTTTATAGCCATATGTTTATTCCTTTTAGTTTAATTAATTTTGGTTTTTCTTATGGGGTCAAATTTAGGTTGGCAAAGCTGGTGGAGATAAATGGAAGAGCATGTCTGAAGCTGTAAGTATTTTACTGCTTTAATCTTTAAAAGTGTTTCAAACAGTACATTCCGAATTTGTTTTCTGATTAATTTAAAATACTTGCATTTAGGAAAAAGCACCTTATATTGCTAAGGCAGAGAAGCGAAAGACTGAGTATGAAAAGAACATGAAAGCCTACAATAAGAGACAGGTAATTTTGTTTTATTTTTTTAAATTTAATTATTTGTTAGATTCTCTTTGTAATGAGCTCTAATAGTTCATGATCTTTTTTATTAATTCCAGGCTGAGGGTCCCAAAGATGATGACGTGGAGTCTGAGAAGTCTGTGTCTGAGGTGAATGATGAGGATGATGATGATGAAGGCAGTGGGGAGGTGATTTGCAATTTGGTTCTGTTTTTTTCTGCTATTGATCTTGTGGGTTATTGTGGACCTTGTTGAATCTGGTTTTTTCTCTTTTTATGCAGGAAGATGATGATGAGTAGGATGATCCAGGGAGGATAGTATAATCAATGTAGGCTGTGATAGTGTTTGATCATCTTATGTTAATGCTTTGATGTTTCCATGTTATTCTTTTAGATGCACATACTGTCATCTAAGGGAAAAATGTACCTCTGAATCCTGTTGGTTTCTTTTGCTTCAGAAATTAATAGTTGTAGATGGGAGATTTGCTGCTATATGTACTTTTGATTTACAGTTGAATGGCTTAGATAAATCCTTTGTAGAGCATTTAGTCGACTCACTTTATTTTCTTATCATAATACGCATGATGGTATTAAGTTATGTGGTGCTTGCTTCAATGTTTCTGGTTCATTTATGTAGATGATTCACATTGAACAAGTCATTTTGTTAGGTCTTTTTAACTGAGATGATAATAATGAATCAATTTGTGACAGGCTTGAGGTTTTTTGCTTCTGATAATTTTAATGGATGCTTGCCTTGTATGTAATTGTGGTTATTTGTTTGTTGTTTTTTTCTGTTTAGAGGGTTTATGGTGTTTGTTGATGCCTAGGGTTTAATGAGCGTGTTGACAATTTTCATGGGCGGCAAGTGAGTAGAATAATTCTTTCAAGCTAAACCTAGCGCCCCTTACAATGCAAACTAGAGGTTTTTAAATTGTGATGTCATTTGCTGCCATAGATTATTGTTGGGGCGGTAATATGCTCTGAAACGAGTTTCTGGCAATGGTTTATGTGTTTATCCAATGGTTATGTTTTGTGATGGACAGTGTATGTTAGAATAGAATATTTTATAGTTAATTCGAATTTAGTCAAAGGCAGATGATGATATACTTGTTTAGAGTGATTAGTATTCTTTTATAATGATATATGAAAAGTGTTAGATGTTCCGTACCCAGAAAGTAAACAAGGGTTCTTGGAAAAAGAAAATAAGGGTTAGAAAAAATGTGCAAGCCGGTTTATTTTTAATATTAACTATCAAATTTATGCCCAATATTTACGCTCAAAAAGTCTAATTTGACTTGGCCTTAGAGATACCTTATGGGGTTGAACATTTCGTTGAAAGAAATGTGTTGATGTGCCTCACGAAAGAGTCGTTTTGTTTGCCTTTGATTTAGTAAAAAAAAAAAAACTCCCTCCCAGGTTATAGTAATCAACCGTCCTTGACTTATGCAATTGAATTACTAATTGCTATTAGTTTCAAAAATCGTAAACTCAAAACATTTTTCCTTTCTGTTTATTTGATTTTAATTTTCTCATTTTATGCATAATGCTATTAGGAATTCATATTTCTTCAAATTTTTTCAACTGTATACCGATCTATTTTGCTAAACAAACTTGGCAATAAGAGCTTGATCATTAACAATTGAACTTTTTAAGGAAAAACAAAGGGATGGAATAAATCTCAGTTTGTTTAAGTATTATAAAAAGGTAAAATTTTTTGGTTTATTTTTTATTTATCACTAAAATGACAATCTTCAAAATCGGCTGAGTGTAATGGGCCGGTTTGAGAAACCAATAGCATACAGGCCCTCAATAAATATTTACTTTGTAGATCGGCCCGGAATGTTAGTTAAGTGGATTTCACCGGTTTGCACTTGGTGCCCGCCTGCAATTTCCAATCAATGAAGACGAAGTTGATATCCATGTAAATGTTGGCGACTCCTTTAACAGGTTTCGTTTCATTAACCAATCCTTTGTTTTTGTTATGCTCTTATTCTCCTTCGTGTTGATTTTGGTTTTGTCAATCTTTGTAATTATTAAGTGATACCCACTCACTGCAATTTCGAATTAGGGTTTGGTAAATTCCATTTTTTCATCATGGCATTGCTTTCAGTAAACTAATGTCAGGGTTTAGGGTTCTTTTATCTATTATGAGAATTAGGAAATCTTTAAATGCTTAGTTGTTTATATTTGGGGCTTCTACCTTTTGGTTTGCAGGAGAGATTGAGAGGAAAGAGATTGCAATGCATGGATTGAAGAGTGCCCATGGTGAACCATGGGTGTTTATTGAAGTTCCCTTCTTGCAATCTAACCATATAATTGGTCTTTCTTTCTCGAAGATTCTAGATTGGTGCTTTCAGTTTTTGATTCATCTAATCATTGTACTAAACCATTGATGCAATCTTTTGATTGTCATGATTAGTTTGGGACTTTTTTTATTTAGTTTTTGGTGGTGGGGAGATGGGGTGATTGAGTCCATGTTAAATGTTCTTAAAACTTTTTAATTGTGGTGCAAAGTTCGGGCACATGATGTTTTTACGCTTGATCTCTGAACTTCAGGTAACTACACCTGTTGACAAGTATATGAGCAGATGCTCTTTTCATTGTACCTTATATTACTACAATTGAACATTTTCTTGTCTTCTGGTCTTTTTTTTTCTCTTCCTTTTAAGAGAAGTGAATTTGGTATCTTATTTGTACTTAAAAGTGTGCCTGGCTGTGCAAAACCTAAGCCTATGGTTCACTTTTCCTAAATGACAATGAAGATGACACTATATCCTTTATACACATGCATAAAAGGAAGTTTTTGATCTTTGTTTGGATTGAATTAGTTGGGGGCCTCATAGGCTGTGGTTTATCAAATGTTTGCTCTGATATGAGTTTACGAATGTAATGGATTCATCAAATAATTGTATGAAAAGTTGTTAGATTACTTCCATTTTATTCGTGTGTATTTAAATATTTTCTCTATTAGTATATTATATTCTTTTGATGGGTAATGCTTATTGCATAGAGTGGGAATGAAGTTGGCACCATTCTTCAACTTAGGCTTTATGTAGCGTAATGCTTTATTATATGTAGAGGCACTGAAAGATGAAAAGGGTGAAAGCCATTCATAAACAAAAAGGTTCATTGTAAATGCAGAATACACATTCAGGAAGTGCCGATTTCTAAGGATGCACTTCAGTTTCTGTTAATGGGCAACTAGGCAACATGGGTAGCCATGTGGTTCATTCTTTTTTGTCAATTGATATGCATGAACCTGATGTTATTTTCGATAGCAATTTTATTTATTCTCTGAAGTATTTGAACTTAATGACTATAATTAATCCCTTTTAAGTACTTGATTATAGTTGATTTTTTCCAATATTTAGGTGTGCCTAATGCTTTCAATTTTTATTGTTGCTAATATCTTATTGATAATGTGCAGGTAAGAAAAATGGGTAAATCAAAGAATATTAATGTGAATAAAAGGGATGTGTTAAAGTGGACACAGCCTATGGATGATATCCTCATTGATGCTCTCTTGCACCAGCAGAGCTTGGGAAACAGGGTTGATAAGGTTTTCACTACAATGGCATATGAGAATATGGTGAATGAATTGCATCAAAAGATTGGGATACCAATTGAGAAAGGTCACCTGAAAAATCGTATAAAAACTCTGAAGCATAATTTTTATGAGTGTTATGACCTTTTCAAGGGCAGAAGTGGTTTTGCTTGGAGTCCAGACACTAAAATGTGGACTGCTAAGCCTGAATTGTGGAAGGTACTAGCAAAGGTTGGTAAAATATTCTTATTTAAATGATCTGCCTTACGTGCATGGTTATAGTTATGGAACTAATTTCCAGCTTCTGTTGTGTTGTCTTTTTATTTTGCATCTCAGTCAAAACCTGATTCAAAAAAATGGATGACTACAAGAATTGCTAATTACGATAAATTGTTGATGCTTTTTGCTAAAGATAGAGAAAAGAAGGATGGAGCTAAAGGGGGTCAATGGGCCAGCTCAATTGGCGGAGGATTGTTTGATTGTATTCCTTTGCAAGATGTACTTGGTCTAACTATGGAGGAGAATGACATGAATGATACCAGTCAAACTGATTCTCAGGCACCATCCCAGTCTGCAACATCATTGAAAGGGAAAAAACGTAAGGCCCCGAGAATTGAATTACTTGAGAGAGAGCTTAAAAGCATAAGGGAAGCAATTAAAGATGTTGCAGATGCAATTAGGGAGGGGAATCTTATAGCAGAGAGAGGACGACCACGTGTTTACACAGAGCAGGAAGTTTTTGCAGAATTAGTTAACATAGGTATTGATACACAGTTGCGCTATAAGGCTTACGCTTTCCTCATTGCAAATGCGGGGAGGGTGAGAGCCTTGTTTGGTTGCCCAGCTGAGGAGCGCAAGGAATTTTTATTGCAGATGATGTATAGTTCGGAGGACTCAGCATATTAAAATTTATTTGCTAGTTAGGGCACTATGGTTTCTTTTTTTTTTTTTTTTTTCCCACCTTGGAGAAGATGGTTATTAGGTGATGAGAAAAGGAAGGGATTGTACATGAGATTTTAGATAATTTATCATTTAATAATATTCAGATAGCCCCTTTTTTTGGGTATTGTTGGACTTTTCTCTTTTGGGAATGTTACCTGGAAATCAGTATGATAATAATAGTGTACTTCGGATATGATTTACCTGCTACATGGGATGGGAGCCAAACGAATATATTGTTTTACTTTAGTGGATTGATTAATATTTATTTGGTTTCCGGGAGACTGGCCAAGTCTAAGGAGGTTCGTAAGGAGACAGAGGTGGCAGGATTTTCATTTGATAAACATACGTTATTACAATTGTCACAAGAGAAAGAAATAAGGTTAGGTTTTTGAATTTTAGGTGTTTGCTTCACCTTTTTCGTGTTCATATGTAGAGTATAAGTGTCTTTGTATTCAATATGGGATCTAAATTTTTAGTAGTATATAGTAATTTAAATCCAATGAAGCTCACTGCATAATACAAATGCACATGCCAAGCAACCTGTGCTTTGGACTCGATAAGGATTTGAAAATGAAAAAGGAAACCTACACCATAAAGGGGTTCCACAATGAAGCTGCACTTATAATTTTTGGACTTTCCAGTTCCAAATGGAACTGTTTTTTTAATTTTTCAGCATGCGGTGATTGCAAGATGCATTTGCACTTATTGGTTGAACTTAAGTGAAACATACATCTTAAATCGGTACTACTTGGGGTTTTTCAAGTGTTACGTCTAGTGCTTTTTTTTCCCTCTCTTTGTTGCCGGGGATTTCATGGTCCGGAGGATCTCTTTGAACTAAACCGAGTACTTTATTTTGGCTGATTGAATGCTGTCATTTTCTCTCCAAATACTCCTTGTGCAACAGCAATAGCGTAGAGGATGATAGAGTCGTTCCTTACCGAGCCCCTCTTTTTTTAAGCTCAAAAATCAGAATTCCCTGTGGAGGGAAATGTAGAAGTTGCTAAATGCAATTATTAGACACATTTTCATCCATTTTTTTATTGATTGTGCCCTATCAGGCATGCCTCACTACATTATAATAATTACATAAACTTAACATGCTTGGCATACAAAAAAAAATAAAAATTGGATGAGTAAATCTCTTCTTCTGACAAGGACTCAATCTACTTGAGCTTCTGGATATGATAATTGACGGTTCTCTCTAACCACACATCCTTTTCAAGGTACTTCTCATAAAAACTAACTTCCCCACCAGCACGTATGGTCAACGCTGCAGTACTCCTTGTGCCATAAAGCCCCTGTATTTATTCCAGAAAACAGATGGATAAGTAAAACAACCACTTTGTTCTTCATTATAAGTTGAGTTGAAGGAAGGTACAGTTGGAATTTTACCAGTGGGGTGTCCACTTCAACAAATACGGAGCTAAGATTGAACTCCCAGTCAACAGCACAAATGCCAGGTAACTTGCTTTTATCAGCTTTAACTTTGTCCTTCATAAGTTTTTCAACCATCTCTTTCACGTTTACTTCATTTTTACCATACTTATTGAGCATTTGTTTGAAGCTTTTACCCAGCCGCTGAGCCTGCAGAGGGAGGGAAGAGGACAAGGATCAACACTCCAATATCCATTTGCATTTGGGTATAACTTTATAAGAAGGATAACCAACCAAGAGGCATCCATCAACCAAGTCAAGGAAAAACCAAAGCGGCTAATCCTAAGTCAGGACTTGACCAACTCGTCTCCAGTAATTACATGAAATAATGGTCCGGAGAGAACAAATTTGTAGAGTTTGAAGTTTCATGTCTCAAAGAATTTCTTTTTATTTGCATTTTTTTCCCCTGTGATATCATATTGTTTTCTGCGTAAAAGAGATATAATCTACCTTATGCCAGGGTGAGTCGAGCTTCGCATTTGAAAGTACGTGAAGCCCTGGAGAAACCTGTTGAATGCTAATGGGTTCCCCCTTTGGCCTATTGGAGATATAAACCATTGATTTGGAAGGAATGTCAGCCAATATCAGGTTAAATCCATTGTATTGATGAGCGTCTGTCACCAGTTCCTCTGCAAATTCCATCGGGCTCTTTGTGCTCTGAAATAATATAGTCACGTTGAATTTATGCAGCAGCGCCACTTTCATTAGGTGAGATCGAACAAACTCAAAGAAATCACATACCTCCAAGAAAAGCACAGGAAGATCACCCCGGCTATTTGCTTCGGGGAGGGTATGAAGTTCCAACACATTGGTAAGAAAAGCTACCCTGCCTTGTCTTGAACATGCCAACCATGTCCCTCCTGCAATCTCATCTCTTCCTCCCAAAATCTCAAAACCATTATCCCACCATGCCACTGGCTTTGTAGGCCTTGAATACCATAAAGGATCCCATGGATTAATAAGAAAGAAAGAAGAGAATAATTGACGTGGAATGAAATGAAAACTTGCCTGTTGTGGTATTCATCTCTGTTTTGTAGCAGAAGAAGAGGATAGAGTGGATGAGCTTGCCAAAGAAAAGCAGAAATACACATGGTTCAAACTGCGGAGGCTACTAACAGTCACACTTGTGAAGGAAATGAAAGACAATTCGATTCAATTCAATAGTTTGGCTTGGTGTGAAACCTAAACTCTAAAACAAAGGAAGAAAAAGAAATGAGCAGAGAGAAGCAGATTATAGAATTAACTGCATTGTTTTGCATGCGGACTGACTCTATATATACTATGCAATTGCATTGCTTTTCTTGGAAAAAAAAATGGAAGGAAACTGATAATGACTGCTATTTTTCAGTGGTTAAAAGAAACAAGTGGCCAAACCCAAAAATGCTTTGGTTTTGCTTCTTGCATTATTGATAAGGATACCAACAATGTTGAATGGCTAATTAAATATTCTAAGGATAGGAATCTTTCGCTTTTAACTTTAACTGCCTATCAGCCAGGGATGCAGACTGTGGTAGCTAAAAGTTTCTTTCAACTTCATCAGTATATATTTCTAAATTTACTTCTTACTGAGATAATAATTCCTATGCCCTTTTTTTGGGTTTGTGATGTGTAACCAAAGGCATGAAAAAGAAAGATTTTGAAGGAGAAAAACTCCCAACCAAAAGCAATTGAATTCAAAGCATCCGATCCCTACAAGAAGAGGATGACATTAATGGATGACAAGGATCAAAGTTGGAATATAAGGATGAATAATAATAATAATAATAAATAATATAATTAAATTAGCAGCAGCGTGCATGAGTAAAGGGGAAGGAATGAATAATAAAAATGATAAAGCTATGAACAAAATATTTAATCTTAGTAACGTTTTACACGTGTCACGCCATTTAAGACAGACCGATCACCGGATTCGTAGGTAGTACTGCTAGGATAGGCGTAGGAAATGGTCGGAGCAGACGTGTATTCATATAAAAGTAGCCCCCATCCCCTGTCTGGAAACCGTAGGCGTCGCCGTTGTCAAAAGTAGGAGCCTTTTCCATTTTCTTTTGCGTGCTGAGTTGAAGAGTTATCCCACAATTTGTTTTGTTGAATATTTTTATCCTCCAATAAGAAAATATCTTTGTCAAAGGAAGAATTTTAATACTAGTAATTTTTTTTATTTAAATTCTAATTTCATTTATATCAAAGTGTTCTTTCATATTACACTGATAAAATTCTTAAATTTGAAAATAAAATAAAAAACGAAAAATATTTTTATATTAATTTTTTAAATTATCTTTAATATACTCTATGTAAATACTTGTTATCTGCTAATCTCATTTGCAAATTTTTTTTTTCAACAATATAAATATTGCTTGTATATTAAACTATTTGTTATATTAATATACTAAAAAAAAAAAAAAAAAATCTAAATCCATGTGCCGGGTTTCATTTGATTGTGAAGTCTTAACCGATACTTTTGATTTTAGTGTAGATTTAATATTACCAGCAGACTCTTCAATTTTAAAATGATCAAACCAGAAATTATAGCACTTAAATTTTCTCAACTTGTGTATATATTAAGCAAATTCTCATTATTTCTTTTAATGTAATATTATACATTTCAAGGGAATAAATTTTGCACAATTTTTAATAAATTTATACATGTTGATTGCTTTTAATTTCATGCAATTTATCTAATTTTTAATTGCTTTTCTTTTTTTCTTCTTTCAACCAAAATAACACTAGTATAATTATATGGAAATCGCTTTTTTTTTTTTTTAAATGAAAAATGAGAATAAAAAGAGTATTTGCTGCCAATTTATTACTTAACGATCTCAACGCCCAACCATTTTTGAGGCTTTCTAATTAAATTTTATTTGTAATTGCAATTGCCTCTCACGGCGGCGTAAGAGCTACCAGTAGTAGCAACAGCTACACGCCTTTTGATTTGATTCTTCTTCTTTTATCAATTCTTTAGATGGTAATCAAATTACCCTTTTAATAAAAGATTATAACTTTAATCGTTTTTGTCATAATTAGTATTTGTTGTACGAGAAATTTTATTTTTTATTTATTTTAAAATAATTTTATGTATTGAATATATAATTATATTTTGTATGCAATTTTAAAATTAATAACATACATATTAATATATAAAGTTTATTTTATGGGAAAATATATTAGAATAACTTAAAATTTATTAATTTTAATATTAATATAAAATTAAACTCTAAAAATAAAAAATTTTTAAGAATAATTATATATTTAATATATCGCTATATATCATACAAACAATTGATATTAATAAAGTGCATATGTAAAATTTGTTTTATGTATATTAATATATAATGCGTTAATTAAATATAAATTTATTATCTTTTAACATTAATGTAAAATTAAAACTCTTAAAAAGAAATCAATGTAAACTTTAAAGTGGTTATTAAAAAACGATTTAAAATCTGAAATTAATTTATAAATTTAATTTTAATGTTAAAAATAAAATAAATTTTCATTTAAAAAAACTATCAAGTCAAATTTTATTGATAACAAATGTTTCCAAATAATTTCATCATGTGAGTCAACTCATTTTTTTAATATTATAAACAACGAAAAGTAAGAATATTCAAGTGTGTTATATCCTAAGCCTCAATCACTATATAGTTTAATCAATATCGCTTCATTTTATTTACTTCAAAAAATATTCTTAATTTTCAATGTGAAAATAAAACTATTCTTAATTATTACTATACAATATTTTTGAACAGCTCTAAGTAAGAATCATTGGCAACACATATAGAAATAATATCAAATTAAAAAGAATTTTAACAACAGAAAGAAACAATAAAAAAAAGGAAAATATAAAAGTCCCAGGTATATAATAAAAAAATTTGTAACATGACTAATAATAATAATAATAATAATTGTAGATTATAGATAGATGGTTGATTATAGATTATAAATATATATATTTATATATTATAGATAGATAGATTATGGATTATAAAATATGGATATGTCCCTAATTTAATGTGAGATGAGACATTTTTTGCCTTTTACGTTTCCGATCTTTTATGACAAACTATCATTACTTATATATATATATATATATATATATATATATATATATATAAAAGATGTAGTAGTAAATTTAACATGCCATTCCAATAGTTAAAATTTAAAAAAGTGTCAAAAAAATATTGTATCCTCTTTGAATAGTGGAGGACTTCAGTTTAAGATTATCTACATAATATATTTTCTTTTATGGTCTATTTTTTCTATCAATTAAAACAACTATCTTGTGCATTGTATTAGTGGTTTATATATATATATATATATATATAGATTTATTTATTTTGTCGAAAAAAATATATTTAAAAAAATTTTCTTTTAATTTTTTTAATTTTTTTAAAATTGATTTATTCATGGACCCCTTCTTCAAAGGATGGATCCACATCTCAATTGTATTATATATGTGAAAAAAACGTTCAAAATATTTTAAAAAAAATGTCTAGTCCTACCCACATGTTAATTTCTACAACCATTTGGGGATTTTAACTGAAACTTTAACAGGGCTTTCCAGTTTCTACAAAAGTGGCAATTTGATTCTAATATTTGTTTGTTTGTTTAAACTCTAAAGAAAATAGATAGTGAGGAATGAAGAAGACCAAAGGAAATGAAATGTAAGTTGCAAGCTTAGGCAACGTAGAAGAGAAGTCACAAGTCCACCAACATACGCGGTGCTGCTATTACTTTATAATAATTAATATACACATATAGTAGACGTAGACCCAACCCACCCATTGTTAATCAGGCCATTAAGGTAAATTAAAACTATTTATAATACTCAATAATCAATATGGAACTTTGAGTGTCCAGACTTGGGGCTAACTTTTTAATTATTAGCGCATAATAACGGTTGTAGCTAGGCAAACCACTTTGACATACACAAATTTTTTTTCTTCTTTTCTTTCGGTGATGAAATGTATTTCGTAGGAAAATTGTCTTAATTTGAAGTTTATGACATATGAGGGTATTTGTGTTAAAATATTGTAGGAGGGGAGGAAAAGTGAGTTTGGCTTTAGACAAGAAAAGAATAAAGTTTGGTTTGGGGATGCCAACTGCCAACCCAGTTGTGAAATGTGAACGCATGAAGCATGCATATGCTGCTTTTTATTATTATTATTATTACTATTATTATTAGCATAAATTACTTTTAAATTATAATAAAATATTAAATATAATATTTAAATTTCAAAATTTTTTAATATAAAATCTAAATAATAAATTTATTAATTAATATACTATTTAAAAAATTATTTATCCTTCACATAAAAAATAGATATCACTTTAATTAATAAATTTATAATTCAAATATCACATTAAAAATTTATTAAATTCATGAACTACAATAATTAATTAGTTATAATTTAAAAATCATTTGTAATATTAACTTTTTTTTTTTCAAAAATATGCTTCATTAGTCCAATACATTTTTTTCTTAAAAAATGTACATAATTAAGAATCATTGAGAAACCTTTCACGTCAAAGAGTTTTTCTTTTTTATCTCTTTCAAGACTATTCCATTAAAAATTAAATTGACATTGATCTAATTGGCATAAGAAGAAGTTACTTTTGATTGTTTTATGTTTTTATTTTCTTAGGATTTAGTATCATTGGTGATTCAATTAATTTTTAAGATTAAATTAAGCTTTAATAAGTTAATATCGAAATTATTTTTTCCTCAATTATATCTTAACCTGCATCCCTTTGGTTGGAGAAGGAAATTTCATTTCGTTAGTAAAATTGAGAAAATAACGAAAACGGAAAAGAAAAAGATGTCACACTCACACAAGCAAATTGGTGTCACGTGTCACTTCAAATGAGAGTTGGGCACATCCATACATTTCACGTGACTTTCCCTCCACGGTGGCATCCTCTCCCTGCGATTCGCACGTACCGACCCCATCGCCAATATTCCCATTAAAAAATAATAAAATAAATAAAGAAAGGAAAAATCAAGGTTCGTTTGGACCAAAAAAAAAAAAAGGAAAGGAAAGAAAAAGGAAAAAAAAAAAGCAATGGGAGGTGAGATAGCAGCAGGGACAATGACGAGAAAGAAGAAGAAGAAGGGAAGACCCTCTCTCTTAGAACTCCAAAAACGCTCTCTCAAACAACAGCAGCAGCAGCAACAGCAATCGCTTCAACAAGAAAACCCTAATCTCATAAACCCTAATTCTTCTTTCAATTCGAACCGCCGATCCACTCGCCGGATCCCCAATCTCGAAGGAGGCTCCCCAGTGCCCGACTGGGTTGCCGGAGGAGACGATGACGATGACGAGCGCCAACAAAAGAAGCATAAGCTATTGCTTGGCCTCAATTCTTCTCGTAATCATCAGCATTATCTGATTCCTTCCGCGCCCAATTCGGCCTCCTACGGATCCGATTCGAACGCGGATGGCGAAGATCTCGAGGCGTCCCTCAAGCGTCGCAAAATTGCCACCCTCAGGCCTGGATCTGATCAAATGGTGATTGATTATCCATTGATATATATTTTTGGGCGTCGAAATAGCTTTTTCGCGGGTTTTTGGAAGTGATATTTTCTGAAACAGAAACAAAAAATATTTTCCTACTTTGTTTGGATATTTATTTATTTATTTTTGAAATTGAACTTTTGGATTTCGTCCGTCAATTGAATTTTTATGATTGGATCGGAAATGAATGGGCAAGTTTGACTAAGTCATATGCTTTTTTTTTTTGGTTATTGGATAGTTGTTTTAACTTTTTGATTTTTGGAAAACTTGGGATTGTGTTTAACACAGTTTTTCTTTCTTTATTTCCTAATTCACGAATTTTCCTTTATTATTTTATTCTTTATTGTCTTGTATTTAATCTGACCTTTATTTATGTGCAAAATAATGGATGCACTGACCATCGTGTCTGAAAAGCTTCAATTTGTCTCTTCTTTTCTTTAATAATAATACTTCAAAAATTTTTTTTCTTAGTACTTGCTTCGCGTTCTTGTAGCTTTTAACTGTAACTTACCTCACTGATTCTTCAATAACCAAGGCAATTATATTGATAAGAGAGTTTATCTTGTTTGCAGGGAGAAAAGGTGTTGAAAGCGACGGACACTCTTCCTGGTATAAATCAATCTCGGTTTTCATGAAATGGCATTTCTGGGAATTTTTAAAAAAAGCGTTTGGTTTTGCTAGTTAAATTAATTTTATGTCATTTATATGTGGACAGGTTCACCCGTGGAGTCTGGCCCCACGACACCTTTGCCAGACAAAAAGTTGTTAGTGTTCATTCTTGACAGGCTTCAAAAGTATGTGTTATTTTTGGTTCCTTCGATTTTTTCCTTTTTTCTTTTCTATCATATCTTCTTTTTATTGGGTTTTGATTGTTTTTACTTAATCTGCTTGCAGGAAGGACACTTATGGGGTTTTCTCCGAGCCAGTGGATCCCGAAGAGGTGCATTTTCTTTTTCATTCTTGCGTTAAATGTAGATTAATGAAAAGTTAAATCCCAGTTCATGAGATTATGTTGGATTGATCTTGTTACAGCTTCCTGATTACCATGACATTATTGCATACCCGATGGACTTTTTGACAGTCAGGAAAAAACTTGATGGGGGAGCTTATACAACCTTGGAACAATTTGAGGTTTGTTTTGCAAGCCTTCTCTTTGCTGATATGGATACAATGTTCATCCGTCTGTCCACCCTGGAAAAAGGTGGACAGGACCGGCTGATCAAGTTGTTTGAGTGCATTATCTTTGATGGTTATTATGTTCTGGATTTGTGTGTTTTCATAGAAATATTGTATACACCGAGTCAAGATTTTGCTGCCAATCAAGCAAGTCCTGGTTGAATAAGGAGGCATGCTATGCCTTTTGAGATTCCTGTAGTGATGTTGACTATGACTTTTTAGTTCTTCATATAAAGTCCAATTGTGTTAATCATTTTGGGGTAGAATTTTGGTCTGTTAAGTCTGAAAGACTCTTTAATTTGGTTTCAGAAGATGGATCATTGTTCTACTTACCTTTCCTTGTCTTTTTTTTTTTTTTTAAAAAAAAAAGAAGTTTATATAATATAGAAGTTAATTGGTGCTGCCAATGATTTGCCCATGATTTTAGGAATTTGATTGCAGAACTTGTTTTGTTTAATTTGGGATCATAAAAGCGTTCTGTTTTCCCAGCAGACAACTTTATACACTATGAGTTGCCTTTTTAGGGTAACTGAGAAGATGAAAATCTTAATGAAATGATTTTCAACTTAGTATGAATGCTCTGGACTTGTCCTGTGAGGATAGTCTTTAGATTTCACAAACATTGTTATATCAAAACTTTGTTTTAGAGTTTTTCTCTCAGGATACTTGATATTGCTAGGACTGGAACTGAAAGTTGTGACTTTGATTCATGCAGAAAGATGTTTTTCTGATTTGCTCGAATGCAATGCAGTATAATGCACCAGATACAATTTACTTTCGGCAGGTTTGGCTAGGTCTCAATTTCTATTAATCCCTTTTTTTTGGTACTCTGGTTTCTGTCATTTTAAACATCTGGACTGGTTGGTTAGGCACGATCAATGCAAGAGCTGGCTAAAAAGGACTTTGAGAATTTGAGGCAAGATAGTGATGAAGGTGAACCACAACCGAAAGTTGTAAGGAGAGGAAGGCCACCTGGAAAGAGTCTCAAAAAGGCATTGGAGTCGTTGTCTTTTGACTGCGTTGGTTCTGAGTTTTCCTCAGATGCAACTCTAGCTACCGGACCTGATGCTTCCGGACTTTCAAACACTTACAATTTGAGGAAAGGTCCTAATTCACACAAGCTCCGGCCTGCTGATACATTAATCAGGTCCTGCTGGGGTTCCCATAGCAATGAAAATTATGTCAGTTGGTCATCTGAATGGGAGAATGAATTTCCAGGTTTGGTATTAAGTCTGACTTTTTATATATCCTTGATTCTTTACGTTTTTAAAGTGAAATCTTATTTTGTACATACTTTTTTATGCATATTGAGCTATTTTTCTCACTTTGCAGCTTCTGTTGTGAAGGCTGTGATGAAGTATGGGAAGAAACATTTTGCAGTAGATGAGAACAAGCGTGACACCTACAACCACTCATTAGCTTCTGTTCATGAGCAGCCTATATCTTCCACCTTGGATGGAGGATTAAAGCAGCTAATTCCGGTGTGTTTTTTGCATTTCTGCTGCAATAATGGTCATTAATGCATTAGTTAAAAGTGGATCTAATTAGTTGAATCGATGGAATCTCTGATCAACCTTAAATTCATCTAGCACAGAGAAGGGAATCCTAAAGTTACTTTTGTGTATAATAAATTGTATGAAGAATTCTGATGTAAGAATAGCTAGATTTGTGCTGGTAAATTTGACACTATTATGTATTTATATATCTAGCCAAAAGGCTGTTTGAATATTCTAACATATCAGTATTGATTATAAAGAAAAAAAGAAAACAATCTGGATCATGGGCGGAATAGAATGCTCGAGTCTAATGTAATCATGGCAGTCTCATTGACTAATGTTTTGTTTTTATTTTTTATTTTTATTTTTTCAATTTTAAAGTTTTCACCCATTGGTAAGTGGTAACCTTTTTCACCCTCCTTTTCCAATGTTTATCAGGTTGGTTTGAGTACGGAAAATGGTTATGCTGCAAGCTTGGCACGTTTTGCTGCAGATCTTGGACCTGTTGCCTGGAAATTTGCTTCAAGGAAAATTGGAAGTGTTTTACCTAGTGGGCTGAAGTTTGGTCCTGGATGGGTTGGAGAAAACAGGATGATTGAGCAGCAGCAATTTTCATTTTCTGAAAAGCAGAAATCTTCAAGTTCTCTATCTGATAACCATTCTAGTAGACTTTTGTCTCCAGCAACTTCTGGTTCAAACTCTGTTGCTGCAAGTAGATTTCCTTTGCAAGGTAGAGAAGACACAGAAACTGTCAGAGGACTAAGTTCTCAAAATGACTTGACTTCTGCACCTTCTCATCAGTTTCAACAAAGACCTTTACTGCACTCGGGCATCAATGGTTCTATTGGTGGGTTTGGGATTGGTTATTCCCCTCAAACAGGATTGGTAACGCAGCCTGTAAATTCCTTGTTTGAAAAGACTTCTGTGCCTTCTCAAACACAAGGCATGGTTTCAGGTAGCAGCTCTACCATGTGCCCAATGTCTGCAAGTGATTTTCTTCCAAAAGAAACCAAGTTTGCAGATAGTTCAATTGCTTTACATTCTGGAAATGCAATGTCTATAGGCCCTGACCCGGGGTCGCACGTGGCAACTAATGTTGGGCTTCAGCGGAAATCCTATAACATAAAAGATTTCCCTCCATTTCCCCCTGATCTTAACGTGAGTTCCCTGGCACCAGGTTCACCTAGTTCTAGTGTGCCAATTGGTTCACCCCAGTACCCAGATTTAGCATTGCAACTCTGAAATTAGCAGAGCATTATTTCCATATGATCTGACATAAGTTAATTGCACCTGTATATGGCTGAAAAGATTGAGCCGAATTGACCACATTCTTCATTGAGTAGCAGTTCCTCAAGAAGTCATAAGATCCGATTTTAGGAATGATTTGTACAGATTGATATATCAAAATTTTTCATAAGGATAAAAATCACAGATTTATTCGTCGCATCCGAGTTGTTGTTTAGATATTTTGGGTTATTCAGTCTAAAACAAGAAGATGAAAATAGAAAACAGCAGGCCGTTAATTACTCAATAATTAATTGTAGCTTTACATTTGGTAAGGATGAGAATGCGAAACCGTAGGTTTAAAGGTTATTGTTAATGTTGTAAATAAAAGAAGGCATTGTGGTCATTCTTCTTAGATTGTAATTAATAACAATGTGATATGACTTTTATTATTATTATTATTATATAGCAGTACTTAGTTTGCCTTGTAGAAAAGCCACGATGAGAGGTCTACGTAGGCTTTTTCAGGGCCTTCCATTCTCCTGCTGGCTGCTTGTGCCAATCTCTTCCTAGTTTCTTTTCCCTTCTGTTGACAAAAAATGCATCTTAGGGTTGGTAAAATATTAAGTCTGAGCCGTCTCCTAGCTATAATGATATATAGCTACAGATACGGGTTCCAAGCATATAATGGCCCACTTTTTGTTTGTCTTTAGATAATATAAATGTTCCTTCCAGTAATGCCTTCCATAATTCCTCCTCATTGACTGATTTCCACGTATATTTATATATATAAATATAAATGCAAGACTTACATTTATGTAAAGGAATCATTAATCATATATATTTTCTACTTAACTTGGAATTATATATATTTTTATCAGATTAAGCCCATGCAGTGAATTCCATAGGCCGAACCCTGATCACAAGAAAAAAAAAACAACAAAAAAGGAAAAAGAGAAAGTTGTACTTCTCGTTGTACTTTTTATCGTTCAAGAATCATGAATGTCAAAATTTTGTTTCCTATAGTCGCTCAAAAATGGAGAATTACTTTGTAGCAAATGCACCTTATGTACTAGCAAAAGTAACCATATATAATAAAAACCCCATCAAGATGCAGGTGTACCAAAAAAAAAAAAGACTCAAATAGTAAAATTTAAACTAATTCATATTTTGAAATTGAGGGTAACTGCTAGCACTGATCCTTTTTTGCCAGAGAATTGTTAAGATATACCTAAAAGCAAAAGATTGTAAGTCTCGACTCTCGAATCTAGCATCCAGGCATGCAATTATTATTATTATTTTTATTATTAACTCTCTTGTACGTTGAAAACAACATCTTTGATCATCGGACAAGCTCTTGCATCCATCCATGTCTTCCATTCCATGATAAACAAATGCCACCAAAATTTGGCATTTTGAAGTCAATGGAAGGAAAGCTACATTCCAAAAAATGGCTCAAATGAAAAGTTGAATAACTGGTGGATCAAACTCATACAATACATTGCATCATGACTAATCTATCACTTGATGGAACACAATTTCCTTAACTTTCAACTTACAATCTCCATTTTCCCAAATGTACCATGGCATCATGACTCCTCCAGCATGATAAACATTATCATCCACCATATTTATCGGCTGGACGTGACTAGCCAAGACGGACAATGACCTCAACAAACTCATTCTTCCAAATTAATCTATATATATATATATATATATATATTCATGTCATCTTTCCAATCAGAGTGAAAAATATGAAGAAGAAGAATAACATCATGGGATGGTTTCTTTCTTTCTTTCTCTTTTTTTTTTCTTCTTTTTAAACATTTTTAAAACGAAACAGATATTAATGATTGGTACTTCTACAGGGAAGCCTATATATTATTATATTATTAGTTTTTCTTTCTGATCCTTTCAATAATTTCTAATAAAATTGTTTTCGAAATATGTATCAATAAGAGAAATTTTTTGATTGGTTGTAGGATTCTCCAATCTCCAATAATACCATCAAAATAATTTTCTTCTTTGCTAATTAATTAGTACTATGAACCATAATAGGTTGCATTGAATTACACGTCTAAGTTTTACGTTTTCCAGTTTTAGCTTCCACTTTCCACCATCACAATTAATAAATCATAAGCATAATAATCTAGCCAGATTCTTTTGTATTCAATTTCTTCAAAAAAATAATAATTGAAGTTATGAACTATTAAAAGCAATAAGTAAATTAACATCCTCAAGAAAAGAAGAAATTCTTTTCATTTGTTTCGATGATCAACCACAAAGTAACAAAATAAAGTTGATCTGTCCAAAAAAGAAAAAAATTCCTTTCTCCTCTTACATAGAAAGGAATAAAAAAAATGAGTTAAAAAAAATTCCACCTCTTCAGGCTCAATGAAGAAGAACTTGAAACCTAATATGGCTGTGTTGGCTCTACCACTATGGCTCAGCATTGTTCATCTTTGCCATGCCATTTTTAACCCTTCAGGCGTTTGAAAACCGAACCATCTTTGCGTCAACAGTTTCAGCCTTTCATCTTTCACATCACAGAACATATTTTCCCAGCGTTCCGGTTTGATGGGTTGGAACCCTAACCCCGGTGTCCGGTCCTTGGATTTTGGGTTAACCCCTGTCATCCAATCCGCAACAAAAGCTGAAACCCTCCTTCGAAACTTGGTCATGAATTCAGGCCACGCTTGGTACTTATAATGGTTAACCGCTGCCACGTCCAATGGCAAGTCTTTCCAACTGTAATAACTCTTGTTCAACCCAAAGTGATGGATCACATTTAGTAACGAATGATCAATCGCATCCAATAGAACTATTGATTTGTGTCGTTGCTCAACTCGCCTGCGACAGTTATAACCCTGTATCACCCCCTCTGCCGGATGCTTCTTTTGATCCGACGGTCCGAAATCATTGCACTTTATAGAAACTTGACCGATTGATGATCGGTTGGATGATATTGGTGGCAACAAAGATTTAAGCATAGCTTTGGATGGTTGAGAAGAATTGTTAAGCCATGATGGTGAAAATATGAATTCATCAACATCAACATACATCATCCATGTGCATGAATCTTTGGCATAAACTGCGCTGTGAGAGAAACCAGCTTCTTGCGTTTTGGGCCAAACCCAGAAAATCCTTTCGATGTTATAATCTTCTCCTTCTTCGTTAAGCTCCTTTATCACTCTCTCTAAATTATCATCGCTTCCATTATCGTATAAGATGAATTTGTCAACCCCAATCTTGGAATGGTACATCACCCATTCTCTCAAGAACTTTGCCACGTTGTAAACCATGGTGGTGGCGCATAATAACGATTTGGGCTTTGAGTTTGCTGGCGTGCGTCTAGGAGTGTAATATGCTACCGAAGGGACTACCAGCTTTTCTCTGTTGATTTCGAGGGAGACTTTGATTCTTTCGGCGCTAGCAGTAGGAATATTGACGGCCGTTAAATTGGGATGGTGGCACCTGAATACCTCTTGCATGGAGCTGGTAACGGGGGTTTTAACGTGGTTACCGAACACGCAATTGAATTGCTTTGGAGACTTGTTGATGCCTTGACGGTTGTTAACGCCTTTAACGAACAAAACCACGTCGTTCTCGGTAGAGAAAGATTCGTACACCAAGAAGTCCCACCGTGGCATTACAGGCGCAGAAGAGATAACGACGGCTGATTCCTTTTCCGGCGACCTCGTCAGGACGGGCTGGTGAAACGGGCGGCGTCTACGATTACCGTTGGGAAGCAAGCACTTGAACGCCGTGGCATTGCTGAAGGGTAAAACACCCGAAAAATTTGCTGGAGAAGTCTCGTTGTTTTGGAAAAGGCAATAAAAACTCTCCCCGGAATTTGACGTCAGCGAGGTGTCACTACTAGGCGAGACGAAGACGAGGACGAGGACTTCCCAGTTCAGTAAAAGAACCGACACCGAATCGACGGGGCCTTGAATGGAGGAGACGTGTCGAGTCCGGTGAGTGAGCTCCTTGATGTCTTCTTTAATGACCTGGTTTAAAGAATCGGGGTCCTCGAGTCGGGCGATGAAGTTATGGGGATGGAATCGGAGGTCCTTAAGGGAAAGGGATATGGCGGTGCGGGAGAGATGAAGAGAACAAAAAGCGGAGAGAAGAACGCAGAGGAAAACAAGAAACAGAGTGGTGGGGGCTTTGCGACGCATGGCTTCGCTGAAACAGGGAGTAGTGATAGTAAAAGGCAAGAAACTTAGTAAATAAAGGGATAGGGATTTTTTTACAGGGGAACTCATTGGTTTGTGACTTAATTTGTTCGATCGGTCGGGTTTTGTCCCCCAAAAAAAAAAAAAACCAAGTATGGAGTATTGGAGTTTGTTAGTATCTGTATATGGAATGTTTTGGCTGTCACCACAGGTAGCTGTGAATTTATATAGCAGGTATGGTAAGCACAGAACAGAAATCTCTTTATGTGCCTGCCTTATTTTACTTGGTTTGTAGTCTCTGCCCTGCCCCCGTTGGATGTTAGGAAAATGGTCCAGCCCGTGTAATTGGTTTTGGACCAATCAAAGGTCATGAGCCTTGATCTTTCTTTTTACATAGAACCATTGTTACTTAATAAAAAAAGATGAGATTGTTTTAAGGTGACGTCGTAAACTAAGAAAAGAAAAAAGAAAACTAAAAAAAAAAAAAAAAAAAAAGGAGAATTGATTGAACGGAAGTCGATTCGTGATCCGATTAAGCTGAAACTTTGTCAGTAGGTTTATGATTTAGAGTTTTACATTCTGAACGGTGAAGATCAGGCTTGAAGCTCTCCAAAAACAAATTCATGGTGTATTTGTTGAGTCACTTATTTGGTAAGATTTCTCTAATTGTCTCTCTAGTTGTTGATTAGCTCTAGTTTTAACTAGAAAAGAATTTTGTATATCTATTATTTGATAGTGGAGATTTTTTTTGTGATCCGTGATTTTTCTCTCTATACTGGAGGGGTTTTCCACGTAAATCTTGATATGCTTTATTTTTCCTGCGTTGTTGATTGTTGATTGTTATCTATTACTGTGGTTCATTGCAATATATTGCTTCTGCGTTGTTGCGTTTATTGCTTCAAGTCCAACAAGTGATATCAGAGTAATGTTATTTTAAGACATCGATACAGAAGCAGCTCAAGACAGAAGTAATTTTGTTTGAGATTATAAAGGGTGATACAGGTTTCATGATAAAATTGATAGTATCAAATTATTCAATTTAGAAGCCTATGATGAAAGATCATTTATACTACAAAGATTTGTATGAGCCAGCATTGGGTGATTCGACTAAACTAACAGATATGAAATATGAAAACTAAAAGAAGTTAGATAGAAATACACTGGTTACAATCAGAAAATGAGTTGATATTAGTTTGTTCCATCATGTAGTTCAGGAAACAGATGCCCACATTGTTTGAAAAAAATTGGCAACATTGTATGAGAGAAAAATAGATATAAATAAAGTTATGCTTGTTAAAAAGCTTACAACTTTACAGTATAGGGATAGACGATCTATTACAAAATACTTAAGTGATTTTTAAGATATATTTAATCAAATGACTACTATGAAGCTTAAAATGGATGATGAAAAGAATGCATTGTTTCTTTTGGGTTCATTGCCAGATAGCTAAAATACTTTAGTTGTGACTATTTTTAATTCAGCTCCTGATTATAAGGTGATATTGGAGATGGTAAAAGACAGTATGCTTAATAAAAAAGTAATATGAAAAGATGTAGACCTTGAAAATTAAGCTTTGATCACAGAGAACAGAGGTAGAAACATCGACAGAGGTCAAACTTCAAAAGTTTTTAGTAAGTCTAAACATAGATCTAAGTCTAAAGATAAAGTGAAGTATTTTCATTGTGGTAAGGCAGGTCATATAAAATGACACTGTAAAATTTTGAAGCAAGAGCAAAAAGATGAGAAAGGTAAGAGTTTAGATAATGGCAATGTTGCAGCAGTGAATTCAGATAGTGATTCAGTTACTTTGATTTGTACACATGATGATTGTAATCATGTTAGTGATCTTGGATTAAGTGCATAGTTGACACATGAGCGGCATATCATTATATTCTTAAGAGAGAGTTGTTTACAACTTATAAAGCAGAAGACTTTAGTTACACCAAGATGAGAAACAATAGTGTGTCGTAAATTATTGAGATTGGTGATATTATTGTACAAACTAGTATAAATTGCATGTTGACTTTGAAGGATGTCAGACATATTTCAGATATGAGAATGAACTTGCTTATTATTAATGTCCTTAATAAGGAGGGATATGAGCGTCGACAAAAGAATAGGCAGTGAAAGCTTCTCAAAGGATCTATGGTAGTTGCAAGAGAAAAACTATGCTACATAATGTATAAGACATGGATGCAATTGAATGATAATCAGATAAATACTGTTGAAGATAATGCTTTAGCAAACTTATGGTACAAGAAGTTGGCACACATGAGTGAAAAAATATTACAAGTTTTGGTAAGACAGTCTCTTATTCTCTTAACCAAAGATATGTCTATCGATTCATGTGATCATTATTTATTTGGTAAGCATCGTAGAGTTTCATTTTGTAAAAGTTTTCTAAGAAAAGAAAATAGATTGAAATAGATTTATTTTTATGTATGTGATCCCATTGAGGTTAAGTCATTAGGTGGCAGCATGTATTTTGTTACTTTTATTGATGATGCTTCACATAAGACTTAGGTATATATGTTGAAAAACAAAAGCTAGATATTGTAATATTTTTAAAAATTTCATGTCATGGTGAAAAGGATGACAGGGTTACTCTTGAAGTGTATTCGAACTGATAATGGTAGAAAATACACATCTAAAGACTTTGAAGAGTATTGTTCAAAACATAAGATCATGCATGAAATGACAAAATTGAAACACTGTAACATAATGGTGTAGCTAAAAGGATGAACCATACCATTATGAAAAAAATCAAATGTATATTAAGGATGACAAAATTACCAAAGTCATTTTGGGGTGAAATAGTCAACACGGCTTATTATTTGCTTAACATATCACCATCAGTTCCTTTGGGCTTTGATATTTCAGAAAGAGTGTGGATAGGAAAAATGCTTCCTACTCTCATTTAAAAGTTTTTAGGTGTAAAACATTTATACATGTGTTAAAAGAATAGATGTCAAAGCTTGATCGTAAAGCCATACAGTGTGTTTGTAAGATATAATAATGAAAAATTTGGTTACAGGGTATGGGATCCGGTGAAAAAAAATAGTTAGAAGTAGAGATGTGGTCTTCCATAAAAAAAATTATAGCAGACCTTGAAAAAAATGAGAACACTACACAGGTTATTATTAAGTGTGATGTTTTAACACTAACAGGAGTTTCATAGAAAAAAACCACAGATAGTGAAAATGAACAAGAAACAAAACTTGGAGATATGAATGAGCCAGTCACAGTTAGTAATGAGCCAAATGCAATCAGTTTTGAGTAAGAGAGCAATCCTCTCCACCAGAGAGTGTTTTGAGCAAGAGGAGTTACCTTCAACATCAAATGATGTAGAGTCTTAACCTAAGAGATTTATTAGAGAGCGCATGCCATCTACTAGATATCCAAGTTCATATTTTATTTTAGTTACTAGTGAGGGAGAACCAAAGAGCTTTCAAGATGTGCAGGTTACTTCGAATAGAGAGCACTGGTTAAAAGCAATGAAAGAAGAGATGAAGTCATTACGAAAAAATGATACTTATGATCTTATTAAACTTTGAAAGGAAAGAGGGTTTTGAAAAATAAATGGGCTTGCAAGTTAAAAAAAAAAGATAACAAGCTAGTGAGGTACAAAGCTCAATTGATGGTGAAAGGTTTTTTTCAAAAATTAAGTATCGATTTTGATAAGATCTTTGCTCTAGTTGTGAAAACAAGTTTCATTTGAGTGGTACTGAAATTAACAGCTAGTTTGAATTTTGAGCTTAAGCAACTTGATGTTAAAATTGCATTATTGCATGGTGATTTATAGGAGGATATTTTTATAAATCAGCCTGAGGATTTTGAAGTGAAAGGAAAATAGCACTTAGTTTACAAATTGAAGAAAAACTTGTATGGCTTAAAACAAACTCCGTAATAGTGGTACAAAAAGTTTGATTCTTTTATAGTGAGTTACAACTACAAAAAAATGACAGCAAATTTTTATGTGTATATTAAAAAACTTTCTGATAATAATTTTATTATTATTTTATTATATGTTAATGATATATTGATTATGGGACAAGATGCTGAAATGGTTTGTAGATTGAAAGAACAATTGTCTAAGTCTTTTAATATAAAAGATTTAGGTCCAGCAAAGTAAATTCTTGATATGGACATTATTCGGGATAAGAAAGTTAAAAAGTTATGGTTGTCTCAGAAAAAATATATTGAATAGGTGCTTAGTAGATTTAACATACAACATGCTAAATCAGTTAGCAGTCCACTTGCTAACCATTTTTATCTGAGTAAAAAATCTTATCTGATATCTAAGAAGAGCAACTAGCTATGTTTAGTATTTTTTATTCTTTTGTAGTCAATTCTTTAACATATCTTATGGTTTATATATGGCCTGACATTACTAATGTAGTTGGTGTAGTGAGCAGATTTTTTTTTAATCTAGGAAAGATTCACTGAAAGGCAGTGAAATAAATTTTCAGATATTTGAGGGGCACATAAAAAATATGCTTAAGTTATAGAGTTTCATAACTAGTTCTAGAAAGGTTTACTAATGCTGACATAACAGGTGATCTTGATAGTAAAAAATCTACTTCAGGGTATTTATTCACTTTTACAGAAAGAGCTGTGTCTTGATAATCTAAGTTGTAGAAGTGTGTTGCTTTATCAACTACAGAGATTGAGTATATTGCAGCAACCGACGTATGTAAAAAAATACTTTGGATAAAACATTTTTTTTTTAAATTAGGGTTAAATAAAAAAGAGTATGTGGTGTTTTATGATAGTCATAATGCTTTAATTTAAGTAAAAATATCATATATCATGCTAAAATAAAACACATTGATGTTAGATATCACTGGTTACTTCCAGTGATTTAAAAACAACAAATATTATTGAGAAAAGTTCATGCTGATGAAAATGTAGCAGATATGTTAACTAAGATACTTTTCAGAAAAAAGTTTGAGCTCTGCAGTAACTTAACCGGAATGAGTTTATTGGCCAAGATAAGTTTCAAATGAAATTACTATAGTGATGAATCTCTTCCTAGTAGGGCTAGAAGGAGAGATTATTAGAAAAATGGTCCAACTCCATGTAATTGGTT